TTTAATTTTTAAAAATAAAAAAAATTAAAAAAAATTAAAAAATAAAATTTTAAAATAATTTTAAAATAATTTTTTTTTTTTACTTTAAAATACTTATATTTATATTTAATTATACATATTTTAATTTAATTTTATTTTATTTTAGCTTTAAATATAAATACTTAGTATATTATATTTTTTTATATACTTTATAATATTTTTATATATTATTAATTAATATTTATTATATTTAAATATATTTTATAATTATTATTATTTATTATTTTTTAATTATTTAATTTTCTTTTTATTATAATTAATTTTATTAATTTTTAATATAATTTTAAACTTTTTATATAAATATATACTACTTTATAATAGCTTTTTAATAATTCTTTTATTTTTAATACTATTATATATTTAAATAATTATTTATATTATGTTTTTAAACTTTAACTTTATTTAATAATTTATAAGCTTTTTACTTATAATATAAAATTTTTAATTAAATAGTATTATACTATTTTTTAAAATCCTTAATTTTTATAAGCTAAATATACTTTATAATAAAATTAAAAAAATTTTAGCTTTAATATATTTATTAAGCGTTTTATATTTTTTATACTTTATTATTATTAATTATATAATTTTAAATAAAATATTATATAATACTTACTAATATAAAAAAAATAGCTTTTACTATAGCTAAAATAATAACAGTTTATATAAGCGCTTTTAAGCTTATTACTTATAAAAAAAAAGTATTTATTTTTAAAATTTATTATTATATTACTAATATATTACTTATATATTTTATTATTTTTTATATTATTAAAAATATATAATATAATACTATATATATAATAAATATAATTAAATTTAAGCTTTAGCTTAATAATTTTTTTATTTTTATAATAGCTTTTTATAAAAAATAAGCGTTTAATAATTTAAAAATATATTATATATTAAAATTTATTATAGCTTTTAAATTAATAATAATAAATAAATATTTATTTAAATTTAGTTAAAAAAAATATTTATATTATTAAAGTTATTTATATATAGCTAGTTAATAATTTAAGCTATAAATTTTTTATTATTAATATAAGTTTTATAAATATTATTATAAATAATAAAGCTATTTAAATATTAGTTATTTTAAATAAAGTTTTTTAATTTATAAATAGGTATATTAATAATAATAAAATATATATTATAAAAATTATAAAAAAAAAAGTAATTGCTTATAATTATATATAATTAAAAGTAATTTATTATTAAATATAAATAGGTTTAAAAAATTTATTTAAAAATATTATAGTTATAAGCAGGGTAAATAGCTAAAAGAAAGTAGTTGTTAGGGTAACAGGGAAAAGGTGGTATAGGTGTAGTAATGCAAAATCTAAGTTAGGGTTTTTAAACAGTGTTAGCTGTAGGCCGCCCTATCGTCATCCCATCTGGACTGTACACCTGTCTTGCCTTCTTCCCCATCCGGGAACACACCATTGACTTAAAAATCCTCAACCGGCCAACATATGCGTCCGTCAAGCGCTCTCTTCTGTCATCAACCCCCTCAACCCTCTCAACCGATTCATTGAGCCCATTGGAGCTTTACTCCTGCCCATGAAAGCCCATTCTCCTACAAGAAAATCAACCAGACAGAATAATGCTGCTGTGTGTTCCAATCGCCGTCCACCGTCCCAGTCCTGGTCACGATTCCCGGTCAAAGACGTGCATCCCGTGAGGCTAGGAGTCTATCGTCGACAAGCGCCTGATCAAGCAGTTGGGGCCTGCTCCCGATCGTCCACGGTAGTCGTGTCACGTACGCTGCCAAAATTGCATCCCTGTTGGCCCTTTGCATTACAGCACCAGACATTGCTGCCTCGGACTCCACAAGTACATCCAAGGCCTCTTCGAGACACAAAAAATGCTCTCTCCTGTTACACCCATCAGTCGCTTTTTGTGCTACCCTTGGTCTCTTGAATCCTCCCCATTCCGAGCCTCCTCCTGGTTGCCGCCAACATCTGGTTGCTAACCTTGATTGGCGTGTCACGGTTCCCAGAGTCATCCTTCCCGGCCGGCGTGGACTTCGGCACAGGGCCAGAAGCAGCAGCAGCAACAGTCTCAGCCGCAGCCGCAGCCTCGTCCTTGATTCCCACGCCCGTTAAGGCCCGAATCATCCTCTCCCGCTCCCGCCCCTCCTCCAATCGTGGGAGACCCGTATCTATAATAGGCTTGAGGCCCTTCAAATCGACGCCCCGGCGTTCGAACTCGGTCATGTTGGTGTTGCCTGACCGGCGAAAGATATTACTATCCTTAGATACAGCCTTGCTGCCCTTCTTCCGCGAGGTAGAGTTTCGGCTGGCGGCACGACTACCGTCCAGGGGCTGGTTGGGGCGGCTGACATCGGCACTGATGTACTCATCCAGCTCGCTGTTCTGCTCCTTCTGAAAAAGATCGTGCAGATCTCTAAAGCCCCTGGTCGTGTTATTGGTTGGTTGCTTGCCTGAGCCATTCCTGAAGCAGACACACATCGCGAGGAAGAACTCGCGACAATCAGCACCATCAATCTGTTTGAGCCACCAGCTCGATTTGTACACGCGGGACCAGAACAGTGCGCGCGATTGCTCGCGGATAGACCACAAGGACTTGCAAACGGAGGTGCTGTCGGCCAATAGATAGCGCACGCGGGCTGGCGTCAGGTTACCCTTTGGGACAACACGTATCATTTGCTCGCGAATCCTCGTGTCGATCGCCACGCTTGCAACAATGTGGTTGGCAGGAATCGCAAAATTTTGGTGCGGGTCAACTTCTGCAAGCAAGTCGCCGATGGTCTTCAGCGTTGGCCCTCCGGAGGAGATGGTGTGGTAGAGCACCACGCCTCCGCTTTTCTTCTTGCTGTCGTTCACACCTGCTTCCCCGTCCTGAGCCGATGTCGTGGTATTGTGTGAGGCTCTTGTTTGGATCCTTCGAGGGGACTGCGTCTCTGTGGATTCGGGCTCGGGCTCGGCCCACTGCGGTCGCGCATTCTCCTCAGGCTCGGCCTCCGCGATATCCTGGTTTTGTTCCATCCCAGGCTCCTTGGGCCGTTCACTCCTTGCTCTCTTCTCGATCCGACCTGAACAATTATTGCTACTAAAGGCCCCTGGGCCTGCTGATGGTTTTGGGCCCGCAGCCGAGCTCCGTGGGGATGGTGTCATTTTGTTGGTCGGCATTTAGACCTAGTGAGAAGACCGTATTCAGGAAGTAATGTAGCAAACCAGAACTGCGTCACAGGGTGGACTGTTCAATACTGGCTTGTCAAGGCATCTGTACACCAGTATTGAGCTCAATAGAGAACCGAAAGCGGGGCTCGGACTCGATCCGCGGATGAAGAGAAGCCGCCCTCGAAACCTCGATGCGGAAGCAGATTCTTGTGTGGAAAGCTTGAGAGGATGATGCCAAAAGACAGCAGGAACGACGACTGCTGAAACCAGTGCTGATACCAATGGTATACTTGATACCTAGGCAAGAAAACAGACGCTTGATATAGCACAAAAATCCACTGGATGGATGATAGCCTCAACCAGGGCTTGACTCGTCCTTTCTTATGGCTTGTCCGCGCAGGCCAAGTCAGGTGAATAGCTGCCAAATGACTGAGATGCTACAGGGTTGGAGTGCGGTCAAAGCATCAATACTAGGTCGTCAGCAGTGGTAAAGATGAACCTGAGATGTCATTCACTTCGTGACGCGCTGTGGGCGCATGAAGCGACTTGCAAGGTCGGTCTGGGAGAGCCTGACGGCAGTCGTTTGTGTTGTAAGGAGGAGGATGGAGGGGTCGTGTCGGTCTGTGGGCTCGCACACAATGGCTGCTCGTAGGCTATGAGGGCGACGAGGGTCGATTAATGTCTCGCTGTGTGTTGTCAACGGGATTGGATGGCTTTTACGACGTGTTGACAGGCGGCTTGACTGCCCAAGCAGAAGCATGCGCTGTTAGTAAGGCTGCAACTTGACTTGGATGTGCGGTGCGTGATCATCTGGGGTTGTCAACAGGAGGCGCGTTGTCTAGAGAGCAATGTTCTGTTTCTGACGGCAAGCACTGAATCTCTCAGTAAGGGACAGGTGATGGAAAGTACAAAACATATGACGCCAATCCAAGTAGCAAAAGGCATCAGGATTGAACTGTCAGGTCAATTGGTCGAGAACGGACACACATATGCACAGTCTCTGGAGTGAGGCTAGCCACGGTACTGAGCCCTTGAAGTTGTGATTTTCTGCTCAAGCATGCGCATGCCACTGCCCTTGCGGAAGATCATACAATGTTCTGTCACTACGCTACATGTACCAATGCGATAACAGTCTCAAGCGCACAAATGACCCATTATAGCTAATACAAGTCACATCTTGGTTATTTGTGCAGAACGCACTGCCATCTAAGGATCCTCCATGAAATCCCCTCGCTTGTATGCATGTGAGCCCATGCAAGTGTGCATGCACATGTGTGAGCACAATGATTATGATTTCTAGACTCATTGGCACACCTGGTTATTAAACAACAGCTGCAAATAGGTGGAACTTGTTTTCCATGTAAAGAGCTCAAGTTCATCTGATTGCACATTTCTAAGAGCTCGAAAACCCATGTCACTGAGGCAAAAGTACCAAATAAGTGTCTTGGTCCTGTAAGAAAACTGTTATCATCTCCTTGGCTCTTTACGTCCTCTTGGGTTGACCTTGTGGGTGGTTTAGCCACCAAAAGACCTTCTTAACGTTTGTAGTCCTGTTACGGATCCCAAGACCAATGACATTATAACTACACAGCACTCAGAAGTTGTCTGTCCAGCTGGATTCTAGCCAAGGCCACTATCATTGAGCCTACTCCAAGACTGGCTCCTGTAAACATGGAAAGGGCCAAATACCCGCCGGTGGCTACCAGCTGGCCCGCGATGGGTGTACCAACGAGGACACTGTTAAATGGGAGTCAGCCCAATACCATCAAATCAAATCAGACAAGGGAGAAGGCACTGACGTTACAGAGATAGACCCCGTCACAAGTCCGATTGTGGTACCTTGCGTGTCTCTGCTGGCAAGTTTCCCAGAACACGCCCCTTGCAAGCTCATTACAGCCTGGAAATATTAGCCAGATGATACCGATGCATGATAGTTTAATTCGAGGAAGACCTACACCCGATGTGAAACCATACGTTAAGGACCACACAATCAGCCCAGCCAGGCTCGTCGCAGCAGTCCAGCAAAAGCCGACTATGGCAGACGTCGCCAGGGCTACAACCATAAAATTGAAGTGTCCCCACCGATCAGCTAGTATCCCAGGGAAGACTCTGCCGAATAATGAAGCAGCGTTCAGGATCGAAATCAAATAAAAGGACATGGAAGGCGAGACTCCCTTTACCACTGCGTAGGACGACACGTAGAAAAAGGGAGCGAAGAGGCCGAGGTAGCCAATTGCAAGGCCAGAGCAGAGGAAAATGAAGGCCGGTTGCTTTATAATCGACAAGTCCGTCTGTTTTCTGCTCCTTATATTTTCTTCATGCTCCTGCGCTTGGCCCTGCTCATGATGGTCTGGGATCGACGGCTGCGATTTATCGTGAGGTGCTTCGACAATGGTCAAGCAGGCAGCCGCTAGTAAGGGCATCATGATAAATCCCACAATACGCATCGTCCAATTGAAGCCAAGTTCGGTATGATAGAGGAGTCGCTGCAGCACGATGGGCCAGACAAGCCCTCCGAGCGAAGATCCACTGATGACCAGACCTAAAGCTAGACCCCTATGGTGTGGCAGATGGCGAGATACGACAGCAACAGGAGGCCATGTCACAAATGACATTGATAGCCCAAGGAGAAGGGCTTGTGAGAGGAAGAATTGAAAATACTCGGTGCACAAGGAGGTCATAAAAACGGCGACCAGGAGGCCAAGGCTCCCGCTGCAAAGAAGCACCTGTGTCTCATTGTCAACGGTAATTCCGTTTGGAACCCCCGAATACCTTTTCTGTGGAGAAATTGTTTCATCGCTGGTGCATGTAAAGCCTCTTCTTGAGGAATGTTGCATTGTGTGTTTGGGCCCAAGGCTGCGTATGGAGGAAGATTTCTAAAGGGATTAGAGGCTACTCACCTTGGGGCCAATTCTGTCAACGAGAACACCGGCCAACGGTGCCAGAATATAGAGCATGAATATAGACACCGAACCAAGCCATGAAATGTCTGACTCGGACTTATTCTGCAACATGTTTGCTTTGTAGTACACCTCAAATACCCCGAACGAGTTCAGGAAGCCGACACTGGAAAAGAGAGATAGAGCTGCGCCGGCAACTACAAGAAAGGAGCGCGTGCTATTACAAAGATTTAGTCACAAAGCAGTCGATGCTTACATGAAGAGTAAATCTTCTTCTAAACCGAATCGTCAGTAATCTCACCTCGGCTTGGCCTCTATTATGGGCTTCGTCATTTTGACAGGTCTGGTTCTTAATGAGAAATATAATAACGAAGTATTGTGACATTAGGAATGCCCTCGTCGTGTCACCGTTGATCAATTTTGTAGCCTTCCAAGCATCAACGTCTTGGTCGCTCGAGATGTTCTTGATATTGGGTTGTAACTTCGGAGCTTCCATGGACGTGCAGCGACTGATTGGTACCTTAGCGTCGTCCCCTGGAGTTCATGGGCCATTCCGACAGGAGCTAGACTCACCCGGCCCACTGTCCAGGTCATCTTCTCACCCAAAGTGGTTTCGCGCTCAGTTCCCTAGAGGCAGTGGCGCTCAGTCTTCGTCCGGATCATCCGAGGAGCAATCATCCTCACTTCGCTCCTGATCCGATCTGATCTGCCATCCCATTCCACGGATCTCCGGCCATGAAGCGACGCACGTCTCCATCTGCAGCAGATGCGGATCGGGACAATCCCCGCCGCCGACGACAACCTCAAACCAGCTGCAATTTCTGCCGCTCCAAGAAACTCAAGTGCGACCGTGGACAGCCATGCGCCAACTGCACCACTCGTGGAATCTCGTGTGAGGGTCAGTCTTCGCTGCCTCCGCGGACCTTTGATCTGGGGTGGGTCATATTCTACTTCCGTTTCACGTATCTACGAGTCTTCCTAATATGCTCCCCTATCAGGACGAATGCAGCAGGCCCGGACGCAGTTTTGGAGAGGCTGCACCGGTTAGAGGAAGCCGTCTTCGGCACTACCTCGACTGCAGCATCTGCGCCTGACGTTGCCGCTTCAACGCAGCCCTCGAGGTCAAGGTCTGCTGAGACGCCTGTGACACATTCTAATAGAGCTCAGCGTGAGCACTCGGCCGAGCTGGACTACAACCATGCTGTTCCAGTAAGCAGCAATTGATGTCCCCTTGCCCTAGTATTACAGCTGTTATCCCGTCTAGGGACATGTGCAATATGACAGCTGATATAAATTCTCTTAGGTGCTCGAAGACTGTGACTTATTCACGTTCCGCGTCGTGAACAGCGGCCCATACTTGGATCCCAAACGTACTCCAGTCAGATGCATAGATATACCATGTCGAGAGGACGCTCTGGCTCTGTTCAAGGGATATCTTGATAACACAGACTTCCACATTGCAAACTTGATTCATTATCCTACAGTAGAAACTATGATCCACGGCCTGTACACGCAACTGCTGCAGGGCGAAAAAGTCAATCTGGGCTCAGCAGCTTTTGTCCTCAGCTTCTGTGCTGCCAGCGCCTTCTTCTGGGACCAGGAGTTCTCCTCAACTCTCGACTTCTTGTCCGAAGAGAACGCCGCCGCCCACTCGCACGCATGGCGGACAGCCGCATTCGATTTGTTAGACCAGTTGCAACGGTCAGCCCTGAATTCACTCGATGCAATTTATGCCCGGCTCATCCTCGCTGATCTAATTTACAACATGGAGGGCACTTCGTCACGTTTTCGTTACATCCAGAGTGGCGCTCGTACGGCAGCTTATGAGATGCGGTTGCATCTGACTGATCTGCCAGGCCGAGAGACTGCGGATACCGGTTTCTCTCGTGAGATGAAGAGACGGATATGGTGGTACCTTGCCTCGACGGACTGGTGAGTTGCTCGGCAACGTAAATTTGCAGCACGCACTTGCATTGTTCTGATTAAACTCTGTAGGCTCCTAGGCTCGATGGGAGGCCCATCCGATAGGATTTATAACGTCAATCCAAGACACATGCAGGTAAATTACCCTCAATTTATCGAAGAGTCGGACCAAATGATTCATGCGTATGGCGCATGGTCGGAAATGGCGCTCCTGCACACGAACATGCGAATTCGCCTTGGAGAGATCTGTCGCCAGGTTGTCGACGCCTTGCCTTTAGGTTCTGGTAATATCGACAATCTGCCATATTCGAAGATCGTAGCCTTGAATCGACTCTACGAGCAGCTTGAGCTAGATATACCAGCAGTGATTCCCACGGCGGACATTAGTTCTTCGGACACCACAGCGCAAAGGCTAGCTCTCCAGCGATCTATCGGTATGCTGTCTCTAAATGCGCGGTGGGCCAGGCTTCTGAGACCCTTGTTGCAAGCCAGCAGCCTGCCAAAACAATTCGAGGTCTTCCGCAAGAGGTGTCTGAACTCAACAGAAACGGTTATCGACATAGCATCGACAATACTTAGTGCGGCTGTCGACTCGCCGAGCTCGACTAATTCTGAGGGCGGACGCATGAACTCGCGTAGTCCTTACCGCAGCGGACTCGTTATAAACCACCTGTTTATGGCATGTGCAATCCTCGCCACAGACCCAGCACTTCGTGATAATACTGGTACAGGAAGAAGCATGCACACAGACGCTGGTACAGAACGCAGAAGGTCTGCGCTAGCAAATGCGTGCCGGCTACTCGAAAAGGCGGGTGAGAAAAGCGAGATGGCAGTTGCAATGGTGCGGAGGCTGGTTAGTGTCCTGCGGAAGCACCAGGTTCATGGTGTGGAGGTTCCGCCAACTACGCCTGGCGCGCTCGATATGCCGGATCAAAGCTCAGTGCAGAAGCCGCAGCAGACTCTGCCCATGGCAGACCTCTCGGTGATGCCTGTAGGGCAACAACAAGACGTCACGTATGGCTGGGGTTGTAATGCAGGTATGATGGATCCAATCGGACTCGGTGGGATTTGGAACGAGTTTCTTGAGACAAACCCCACAGATGACGGATGGCAGCAGCTGTTTGCAGATCTAGATTCTTTCGCCGGAGGGGTATAATCTGCCGCCCGGACCGGCCGATTCCAATCTTGGAGGTATCTGCTATATGCGTGGTCATTTGCATAGTCCGGCATCAATTTATGGAATGATGCCTTCGGATATCTGAGATATGTAATTACTCCCTCCCTTGTCTCTTTGTTCCGTTCGTGATTCCACACAGTCACCGTTCGCGGGAAAGCGGACTTGGCCGAGTGAGGCACGAAGTTTTTCTTTGTCCCAAACCACTACGTCTTCGGGACGAGGCTTAATTTTTCTGTTCGTCTTAAATCCTAATCAATCAGCCCTCTCTTTTCAAATTGGAATCAGTCATACTGTTTGCACTCAAGCAGTCCTAACGCCGAGTCTTCACTTCAAGTCGCAACGCACTACGCAGTCACTTTGCGACTGCTTCAGGCCGTACTACTATTCTCAGTCAAGAGGCTCAGAGGCTCTATGACGAGTCCCAGAGTTTTGGTCAACCACTGAATTTCAAACTCCACAAAGACCGGTCCACGAAGATCGCGTCCGCGCCTTGCCGCTCAATGTGCTTCACACTGTATTGCCACCTCCGTTGCATCCATTGCAACAGCATCAATTCCGAAGAGGACACGATGCCCTGCACTAGGGGTCTCTTATCTAACGAAACTTGTCCCGAGACAAAGGTAATCGGAGCCAGATACTGGAAGTGCTGCAAATCATGCAGGTCTGGTAGCGGTCGGAACTGCTGGTGCAGGGTCCAGCCTGGATTTCGGATACGGAAGTGAGCTTGAACTTAGGCTGTCGCAGCGATGGTGATGGAATCGAGCTCGACACTTCATAGAAATGGGCCAATAACGAAGGGCTGAGATTGTTTTGAGAAATCCTTGATTGGCGTGAAAGGAGCCCAGTCAATTGGCAGGGTTGTCTGCTCAGATTTGTCATCGAGGAAGGAAAGCGGATTAAGGCGAACTCAGAAAAGGTCGGTTCTGGGTTGTTTGAGATGGACTGGAGCAGAACAGGATTTCACGAAAGCGAACATTGTCAGCATAGACATCGGGCCGACGTGTCGACTTGCAACTCTGGCCTACTGCATGTGAGATGGCGCAGGCGGCTTGTTATGACAGGCAGGTCGTAGTTAGCGTCACTGGCTACATGAGTTTCAAAACATGCTCAGAGAGTATGAATGCATCCGTTTCTCTCGATCATCAACTGTCTTTGTAAATCAACATAGCGATTCCTTGAAATATCGATCTTCGATCTTCAAAAAAGAATGCCGTTGTGTGATTCTCATTCTTCATCGTTACATGTTCTACAGTCAGAGAAGAAGAAAAAGTAATCGATGAGGAGGAGAACGACAAAGACGAAGAATAAAGAGAGATCCATCCTAAATCCTTCGCTTACATGAGAAGCCTTCCTGTCCTTCTAGTGGCTGCAGTTTGTCGACTTGTCGTTCTTCCACATTTGGTCTCGCATGAATGGCGACATGTTCAGGGGCGACGGTTGAAGAGACACACAGCGGCACCCTGAGCAAATATGCTTGATCTCTAGCCTTGGAAAGATCGCAGATATGTTGTTATATGGACTCCGTACTAAAACGAATTCGAAGTTTACAATTTTTTTTTTTAACGTAGACCGCGTTTATACTTCCGCTGTATAAAACGTTGAGCGGTGAGACTATTATTCAACTTTACCGCGATATCTATCCGTACCTGAATTGAGCGAGTATCCCCAAAAAAAAGAAAAAAAAAAGAGAAGAAAAAAAAGTTTCTTCTTCAGACCGAAGACTAAGGTGCTATATAGCAGATTGCTTTCCCACCTCCCAATCTGGACCAAGCTACGACTGTACTCGTATCTCCGAAGCGGTAGTCCGGCGATCCACTGTCGATCACTTAACGGGGCCGAAACGCTTGCCGGATTATAAATGCCGGTAGTTCGGCTCCTGTACGTCTGAAATTTTCTCCTCGCTGGCCCAGAATCACTACATCATCTTAAAACAGCCGAAACCTAAAGAAGTTGTTTTCTTTTCCACTGGATACTTTCAGTTCGCTTGTTATTAAGCGACACTTGAACATCAATCACTCTAGTCATAAGCCGCAGAAATCGACGAACTCCGGGGCCGGTCCCGGAGCGGCGATTTGGACAGCTATCGCCGGCCAGAATGGCCACGAAGCCGGAGCCTATGCTATATGATCAGACTAATATCCTGCCCACCGGCCGGTTGATTGTTGTCTTCAGCGCGCTGGCGTCAGCGCTCCTCATTACTTTCATTGACCAGCAATCCATCGGCGTTGTCCTTCCTACCATCGGCCGCGACTTAAATAGCTCGTCCACGATAACCTGGGCTGGCACGTCATCACTTATTGCTAATACAGCATTTCAGGTGCTCTATGGCAGATTATCGGATATATTCGGCCGAAAGGTGATGCTTGTTACGTGTCTCGGGCTGCTTGCACTTGGAGATCTTCTTTGCTCGTTCGCCAAAACAGGGCCGCAATTCTTCGCCTTCAGGGGCATCAGCGGTGTTGCTTCTGGCGGGATCATGGCATTGGCAATGATGGTTGTTAGTGATGTAACAACTTTAAAGCAGCGAGGAAAATTCATGGGTATACTGGGGTCGTGTGTAGGATTGGGAAATGCAGTCGGGCCATTCATATCCTCGGCTTTCACTGAGAGGGCTACTTGGAGGGCGTTATTCTGGCTCCTGTGCCCCCTGGCCGTCGGCTCGGGACTCATACTCTATTTCCTGCTCCCACCACAGAGCATTCCCCCAGAGCCTCTGAGGGCAAAGTTGGCCAAGATTGATTATCTTGGAATCCTATTCAGCTCGGCCGGGACGATCTTACTATTAATCCCTGTATCAGGCATCGGTACCCAGTTTTCTCCCACGAGCCCAGTAACAATCGCCTTGTTGTCGCTTGGCTCCACCCTGCTCTTCCTTTTCGTTCTGAACGAATGGAAGTTAGCTAAGCTTCCAATGGTTCCATGTGAGCTCCATACACGGTCATATGCATTTCTTGCGTTGAAAATTCTACTGACTTGTCACTCAGTTCGCCTTTTTAAGAAGCCAGCTTTAGCAGCCATGATGATTCAGAATTTCCTTATTGGCCTCGCATACTACAGCATTCTATATTATTTGCCCATCTTCTATCAGACTGCTCGGCAGATGTCAGTGATTCAATCTGCCTTGCTCATCCTCCCAATTGTCCTGCCACAATCAATCGCATCGATTGCAAGTGGACAGTACATGTCTAGAACAAATAGATACGGTGAAGTTATTTGGGCTGGATTCTCTTTATGGGTTACAGCGGCTGCCGTGGAAAGCAATTTCTCGAGGACTTTTCCTTTAGCAGGAATCATCGTGACTTTGATCATTCAGGGAATAGGTGTTGGTTTTACTTTTCAACCGAGTGAGTTTTCGCGCAACAAATTCCTTCTCCAATGATTTCACCTGTTGACACGGCTTTACACAGCCCTCGTCGCTGCGCAGGCGCACTCCGCTAAGCAGGATCGAGCTGTTGTGATCAGTTCGCGTAATTTTTTGCGCGCTCTAGGGGGTGCTACTGGTCTCGCTATTGCATCTGCCCTCTTTTCCAATACACTGGTCGGTCACTTGGATTCCACGTCGGCTATCCCTAGCGACATCGCGGATGAGATTAAGTCGTCTATATTCTCAACACCAAATATGTCTGGCTTAATGGAGGAGCAAAGGGTCATTATACTCGATTTGTACTCCCGAGCAGCTCGCTCTGTCTTCTATTTTTGGGTAGGATGCATTGGCCTCTGTTGGGTGTTGATGTTCTTCATTAAGGACAAGGGCCTCCAAAGGAAAGAGGAGAAGCAGGAAATCACAGCAGCTACAGATCAGGTGCTGGATGAAGAATCCGGCTCGTCCACGGCCTCGGGGGATGAAAGGGTTTCAGCACAAGGAGGCAAGAAGTCAAATGATCTGGTTACTGCCATAAGGAGCGACTGATACTGTCCCGCGGTAGATAAATATCAAACAAAGCCTTTTAAAAGTCCATACATGAAAAAAAAAATTCTTATCTGTCAGCAACCTCTCCAAATGAGCAGGATTAACACTGCCACCATCCTTCTCATACCCGCGAACCTCCTGTCGGGGTGGGTTGCGGGCTTTGCCTTTGTTTCCGGCGTTGATTTATCTTCATATGCTACAAATGGAAGCTGTCGTATCTACCACGATTCACACTCCTCCCTCGAGCACTATTTTTAGGGTCGAGAGACGGCCATGCAGAACATCACGAGCTTTGAGGGACGCTAGAAAAGAATTCTCGTACCAACGCATGCGGGTGGGCCTTGCATTATCTCGCTTCCTTCGGCCCACCGGTCGACATTGGATTCTTTCCTCCACATTTATTCTCGACCCCCTGCCCTTTTCTCACCGGGAGGAAAGAGATTCTTCCTGAATAGTCAACTCGGTGTAGGCACTCGTACGACAAAACGCTGCATATGCGTGCCTTGAAGCTCTCACTGCGGCAGACCTGCAGACCTGCATGCAAACCGTTCCATCTAGCCTGACCGGTGAGCCCGTCAAGAAGCAGGCAAGACGACGTATCATTCAATACTACAAACCTTTATCCACGTTACAGGCACAGAAACGATTTCCGCAAATGGGTCTCATCACAGGGTAGGGATCGGGTACTCATGCGGCCAATGCTGGTCACAACTTTTGTTTTGGTGCACAGAAATGCACGCATCGGTGTTCCAATTACCTTATGTCGGCATGTTTCACGTCTGAAATTTTCATGAGCTCACTCCTGTACGCGGAATTCCTATCTTTCCACATCGGTTACCGCCGGCCGGAACCCAGAGACAAAATTTTCTGGCGTGGTAATCACCAAACCCACATGCCTAAATGCTTACCACTGCTAAAGTCGTTGAAGTCTCCAGACACCCGCATAGAACTGACGCCGATGAATGAATCTAAATTCCATATCTAGCCTGATCAGTACATGTAGGCTAAATCAAGATGGCCAAATCGGCACTTATCCATAGCTAGCCATTGACTGTGGCTGAATGGCTGATGCGAGAGCCAAGCCGTGCCGAAAGACATTTATATCAGACGGCTCGCTTGTCTTCTCTCACGAACACGAAAGATTCGATTCCCCTTGACAAGAGAAATTCGACCAAGTGCACATTATTACGCTCGATCGCTCATCAGACTATACACAATTAGTCAGCCAGTATGCGTTTTACCAACGCTCGCTTCTTGACAATTTCGCTTACTCTATACGGGGTCACCTCCGCCAAAAGATTTCACCTCACCATTGTCCCGGAAGATGGATCAAGCTCTTATCCAGTTTCAATAGCCACTGTCTCACGCGGAGCTCTGATTCTTTCCTCAGCACTTGAGTACAGTAGCCTATTTACGTTTAACGAGTAAGCACATTGTCATTCTAGTGATACAGTGTAAATGCAGCAGACGATCTACAAACTCTTGCAGTCTCAGTCTTGACTAATGCATAACTCATCCACACAGCACTTCTGGCCGCATCTTCCAAGCAGATTCAACCACGACTGGCAATGGGCCCATCACAGCCGGCAATGTTGTGCTCTTTAACTTTTACACGACACTTGAAGGGTCCGCGATGGAGCGAGTTGCGATAAGCGACGAAGTGTACTTAGTCAAGAATGGAACGGCGGCCGATAATCATTATGTCTGGTGGAGTATACCAAGCGAAACAGGACTCCCTGTTGGCATTGAGTACCGAGGAAGCAGCTCTGCGGATGCGAACGCGGCGCTGAGGGTAGACTTACAGGCCTCTTGAGCACATTATTTCATGTTAATTAGGCGCTGCGATTGGTCTGTAATCGTATGATTTGGATAAAGTTGGAAATTCATGATTGCGAGAAAAGATTTCATGGCATATTATAACAGTGATTACACTGTTTCCACCTTAATTTATGTCTCAACAACGTTTATGTTTGCCACAGTAACCTCAGAAATCGAAACTATTCGAACAAACATGACTAGAAGCTTTGGATTCTTCTCACTTTTCATATTTTCGACCTATTGAGGCCGCAAGTAATGGTATGTAATGCCCATCATCATCAGAGCACTTCACCTAGTTGCTTTCTTGGGGGTTTTTAGCTCTATTTTCAAGTCGAGGCATATTTTTAAGCTCATATCGTACGCGAAGTTGCTTAATCGGAGGACGTTCTGTTAAGAAATTGCAGAGATTCCTAGAAGGTGATCGTGCTTGATATTTAGTTTGAACTGTGAGGGATTTACTGATATAACTGGTCGGCTGGCGCAATGGTAGCGTGTATCACTCCTAAACAAGAAGCGATGATGAGGTTTTGGGTTCGAGTCCCAAGTCGATCGACTAGTTGTCTTTTTCTTCTGCATTATAATGATTTGTTTTAATCACAATGTACAATAACGTTTCAAAAGGTGAATGATTATTTTGTGATGTAATACACAGACATAGTGATTTTCTTCGCGAGATCTACGAAGCAAACCAATAATGCTTGCTAAGCTTATTTAAAATACCACGCTGGATTCAGCTAATTATAAGAGCATTTGCTATAGGGTTGCCTAAGTCCTTACCCTTGTCTTCATCGTTGTGGATCTCGCCGGAATCCTTCGCCGCCTCGAATTTCCCTACGTGTTGATAAAACTTAGCGTGGTCACCCGGCCATCTTTCATCGTACCTCCCTCAATTTGTTTCTCAGTCGCAATGTCATCAATAAGCAACCCGGTCCTTGTGACCGGCGGTAGCGGTTATGTTGCTCTCGAGCTTATTTCACAGCTGCTGCTTCAGGGGTGCACTGTCCACACCACTGTACGAAGCCTGCAGAACACCGCCAAGATTTCGTGCTTGCAGGATTTGAAGGCGCAGCATCCAGAGGGGAAGCTGCTTCTTTTCGAGGCCGATCTCCTGCAGCCAGGCTCCTTCTATCCGGCCATGCAGGGCTGCGAAATAGTCTTTCATGTTGCATCTCCGTTCAAGGTGCCTGAAAGGATCAAGGATGGCAACAAGGAGATGGTCCTGCCAGCATTGCAGGGTACAAAAAATGTCCTCCAGGCCGTCGAGGAAACAGCAAGCGTTTTGAGGGTGGTATTCACCTCGACGAGTGAGTCTGCCCCCTATTCAATTGCGCTGTGATGGGACGATAGAGTCACTGACGTGCCCAACAGCTGGCGCCATAGCGGGCGACTACATAGATGTTATCAACAAGATGCGAGTGATGAGCCATGATTACTTTAACGAAACGAGTACTGTCAAGCACAATCCATACCACTACTCTAAAGTGCTTGCAGAAAAAGAGGCCTGGAGGGTCTTTGAGGAGCACCAGCAGTCGGATCAGAGACGATGGGACCTGGTCGTCATTTGCCCCGCTTTCGTGCTCGGCCCAACTCTTTCATCATCTTCAGAATCAGGCAGCCTCTTCCTCATGGACGAGCTTCTTTCCGGTTCAATGTTCTATGGTGTACCAGACTTATCGTTTCTGCCGGTTGACGTGCGGGACGTCGCTGTAGCACACATCAAGGCTGAGCTCAAGGAGGCGTACGGCCGGTACATCGTCGGCCCACCCAAAACAACAACATTCTTGGAGATCTCGAAGCATTTCAAAAGGCTCAGAAACGGTACGCCATGGCTGCCTAGTTTTCAGCTCCCGACTCCTTTGGTTAGAATTGTTGGACCGTTGTTCGGGTTGTCGCAAAAGTGGATCTCTGGTAACCTCGGAGTCAAATTTGCCGTCGATAATACCAGAAGCATCAGCGAGCTTGGATTGAACTATAGAAGCCTTGAGGAGACACTGAACGACCACTACGTATCTTGGGAAAAGAAAAAGAGACAAGGCAAATCAAAGACGACGTGATTCGTAAAGGTCAACTTGTTTTCATCTTGCATATTACGATGCCTTGATAGAAGCTGGTCATGACCGCCAGCTCTTAATGTGTCAATGTAGAAAGCAAGAGAAAACAAAGAACAGTGAGGGCCAGGCAAATATCGATAAATAGAGCAGCCGCCCTCAGCCCAAGAGTTCCTGGTATCCGCTCTTTTCCCTAGCATTCGCCAGCTCCGCCTCATCAACTAATTTCGAAGGCTGAGTATATCTATCATAATCGCTCCAGCCAACATCATTGTTAATAATCTCAGTTCCTCGAAAAATGACGCGGTACTCGACGTGTGGTGCTTTGGTTCCCTTTAGCTTCCTCAGCATTCGAGGCCACCGCTTGTTGCACTGCGTGCCAGTTCCCGCATCGGTCATCTCCCCCCCAGGGACCTCCAGGAGCACAACAAGCTTATAGTCCCTTCGTCGAAACGTATTGCTGGCGTTCCCAGTGCGATCCTGGATCAACTTGTAAAGCTCGTCTTGGACCGTCCAGTCGAGCTTTCTTAGCCGGGCCTCAACATCTTTATCATAATTACTCGAGCTAAAGAGCCTTCGCTTATATTGATTTCGTACGCAAGACACAACCTCGGCGAGTTCTTCCTGTTCGAACTGGGTCTTTGGCGCAATAGACACCACCCGACCTCGTATAGTCGAGAAGGTCTTCAAGAATATGGGAAACACACAAAAGCACCTGAATTCAGCCTTGACGTGCATTTCTGGTCGATGGTATGTTAAGGTCCAGGACTCGTATATAGTCTTTGTGGTTTGACTGAGTTCGGGGGCGTTAGTGACTCAAGAAGACTACCAAAGAGCATCAGGTCAAGTCTTACAGTTCCCGGCTCTGAGACGATAGACCGCCGCAATCGCTGTGTTCGAGCATTTTAAATCGCGCCCTTTGCGTCTCATTTGTGGTCTGTCTGTCGTTGCCATAGATGGTTGTGGCGTCGTCCTCAGTAGTCGCCATCGTGCATGTGCGGATAAGGCCAGCAGTGCTGTCGTTGTCGCGAGAATAATCCATAAGTGAAGCAGCAGGCCTGCGTGAGGGTCTCGATAGCACGCGTGTATTCCAGGGGGAGTCTGATCCAATCGCTTAGAACCGAGAATCACCGAAGGCATCCACGTCGAAGAGGAGGAGAGCCAGCAAGTATATATTCCCATCATTCTCGACACACGAAGGCATCGACCATCGGTTGCTATTCTTGGATCTGCGGCCCAAAATGACTATGTGGGATGGAGACTCGCAATTGACTTTACGATGCTTTGGTTGAAACGGGTCCCGGCCATTTCAACGGCGAGCGGCACAGCGTCGCCAGCGGTCGGCCGGGGGCAGGCCACATTCCTTGCGCCAACGAGCCAAAAATAAGCATCAGCGATTCCATTCCAAAGCTGTTTGACTTACGGTGGGCAAAAGCTTTACGCAGAAGAGCCGCCCCACCCCCTCACTCCGGGGCCTTTTCCCCAATCCCGCGTAGATCAGCGGCTCTTATGCCGGCCTAAGTGCTTATAAGCCTGCTTGGTCGGCGTGTCAAAGCCGTTTTAAGTTTCCATAATTCAGGATCAATATCCTCGGAGGACAAATCCCAGGAAATACAAGTCTAGTACTGCATCACGGACAAACGTCATTAGCTCATCACAGACATTCTAATCCCGTACCTGAGCAGCGGCTTCTCCATGCTCAACCAAATCAAAGGTTGTAACCCATCCAGGTGAGGATGAAGCTGGTTCTCATCATCAGAGCAATTCATTTCCTTAAGCATCAAACATTTAATACGCACCAAGATTGTATCTGGAACTCAGAGAGACTTACATACCGAGTAACATATGAATGCATGCAGGTCCGGCTTTGGAGTTCAACAGGTGTTAACAAATCATTTTTAAGCATCCATCCTGACGCCTTTATCGATGACGCTAATTGGGAAGGACACTACGTTCAACTTGATTGCCTTTGTTCGTAAGCGCAGATTTTATTGGCTTGGCTCTATGTATTCTCATATACTTCATGCTATTCTGTTCGTTGAGCCATGCTGCCATCGTCAGCTGAACACCGAGTCAGTGGAACGAACGCCGGCCCGTACTTGGCATGTTGCATTTTACACTATAATGAGGTCTCATTCTATCGTAAATGGAATACCGGGGAATCGCGGAAATGATGTATTAGCAAAATGACTTCCTTGGCGAACTGTAAATGTGTCGTTTTGGCTGAAGGAATGATGCTGTTGGACTTAAGACCGCCTTAACTTCCCAGGATTGGTGAGTGGTTTTGCCGGATTTTGGAGAGGGTTCGTTTTCCAAAACTCTCTCTGAAGAGTATGTAAGAAAAGGCTCTTCGGACTGAGGATTGATGACTTTAAAGTTGCTTGTGGGTTGCAAATGAACTGAAACTGGCCATAGTTGAACTTGTCCTACATGAACGGGACATATATCTACACTGCCTAAAAGTATAATGGTAAAGAAGAGAAGAGCTGCTGCCTCATTCCAAGGAGCTGAGTCCAACTAAGACTGAATCTACCAGTCCTCGTCTGGGCCACATCATTCGACACTTTAGTATGCTGCCTCACCAATATAGTTCCCTGGCTCTTGATAACGGGCAACAACGTAAAAGCCGCCAGCTCCGTCAGAAACGGCCGCAATGCCCACCTTAGATGTGTCCTTCCAAACAGCTTGAGCTAATTCATCATGATGATTATTAGCGGCCTGAGGTTCATGCACCTGGTGGTATTGAGGATGCGCGAGGCTACTTACTGTAGTGACCAAAGTTCATGTAGTTGCTTTCTGTGATTGTCTCTCCATTGTACTCCGACTTTTCAGCAATCCACATGGTCGCCGCATTGGTCATTGGGATATCGTCACCGCTGCTGCCCTGCCAGTAAAGATTCTCCCCTTGGTCCGAAACGCTCGAGTGTTCGAGTGTGCCTGAAGAGCCATATTGGGAAACCAGCGTTTCGCCATACGTCTGGGCATTAGCAGCCAGCGTGGCATCCCAGACGAGTGCTGCTGTGCCAACGTCGCTGCGTGCCGCGTTGTGGAGGTCGAGGGCCTTCTGCGCGTCGGAAGACAAGGAGGAGTTAGACGAAGACGAGGTCGACGTGGCTGCGGCAGCAGAAGCTGAAGTTGAGGGTGTGGCGGAGGGAGTTGAGGCGGCAGCAGAAGTGTACTGGCCCCAGAAGTCCCAGTTGTAAGGCGCGCAAGTAACGCTGGGCGCAAGCAACGCAGCTGCGAATACGGCTTTGACAGAGATCTGCATCGTGGCGTTTGGAAATGGTCTTGGGTCACCTGGACTGAAGTAAAAACGAGTGGATGGATCCTGTCCGGAGGAATGACTCGAAAGCGTGAAGATAGCTTTTACCTGAGAGAGCGAAAGGACCGGTGCTTGGAAAGGGTATTAGAACACTGAACTCAAACGCATCTATCGTATGCCTCAGGTCATAGATATATACTCATGTAGAGCTGTCGTGTAGCATCACCTTCATGTGGGTCAATGTTTGAGCTACACTACATGCGCCTTGGCTTTGGCCCCTGAATGCCCAGCCGTACCCAGCCCTATGGGGACTAATGGGGACTGCGGGACTCCGCAAAAGACCGGACGAACTGTATTTCAGAAACTTCTGGGGCTTATTAAAAAGAATCAAGGCAATGACGCCGCGTTTCAAGCAGATGAACCTATCGGTGAGCATTTACGTAAGATGCCCCAGTAAATCTGGGTCTGTCGAGGTCTAGACACCAGTCGAGGTTTAGACCCTTCACACTTTTCTTCGTCTTTCCCGTGCTGGTGCGGGAGGACGTGCGCATATGTTTACTTGGGATTAAATACAATTGAAACATTGCACTTATTGGGTAACTTACAGGTCTAGGGGCAAAGACGTCAGGCCACCTGTAAATGTAAAAGCGCAGAGATGCCATCCCTGAATTCCAAGAACCGGGTTGCTTAGTGACAGGGTATATGCTTTGGTTAATCAAAGCTTCTCCTTTTTATTTTGAGTAAGACCCACTTTGCCACGATCGTTTGGTCGAGAAGTTCCACCACTCAATAACCTCGCCGCTGTGGCCATGAGTTGACAATGACGGTATCCAACAAAGACTGATACGAGGCTGAAATATTCCTTGGGGTCTTACCTGTCTCTTCTCGATGCAACACTAGAGATGGCACAGATGAGGAAGGAGAATTGCCAGAGATGGTGGAATGACAAAAGTTCAGGTCTGACATCCTGCAGATCGCACTGTGGCTGATACGTTGGACTAAGCGCATACGATCATCGGACTGGACTTACTCAGGAAAATAGCCCTACCCTAATTTCAGATATAATATATACCTGGACAATTTCACTTTGCTCTTCTCCGAGCATGTTGCATAGAGTGTTCCAGCAGAAGCAACTGTTAGGTCTGTTCCATCGGTGGTGACGGCGGGCTCCTTCCATTGACATAACCGGTGGTCTGTGCAGCATAGGTGAGTCGTCCTTCTATCCAGCAGTACTGTTCAACATTCTCGCATTATCTATCCGGTAGCCCATGGTTCCCTGCAGTGGTCTGTCCGCATGCATTTGCCATTGTCTTTGTAGCTCAGAGGTAGTCCTGTGGAAACGCGTCTTCCCAGCCGGCAATGGATTCCGGCAAAGTTGTGTCATTCGCGGTCCGATCCGTTGTCCAACTCACTGCATGATCATTTCCTCACGAGATCCTGCTCTTAGCATTGCCATGGTCTTGACTTACTGTACTCTTCAGGGTATTCTTCTCTGATCCTTTGGGGAAAGAGTACAGATTCATCATCGGTCAAGTCACTCCTCCACGCTCTCTCGGTCTCGTTAGCCTGGGCCTCCAGAATACCCGGTGAGGAACGTCGTGCCAAACTCTTTGTTTTAAATTGGTCTCCTGTGTTCGAGGTTCGTGCTTCCAAACACATAAATATTCTCTTGAAGAGGATGAATTTCTCGTGACGTCCCAAAGACGCCTCGTTCATCTCTATTTGGCACAAATCAAAAAGTTGAGGAGTGCTTTACAAAAAGAGACGAACAATACGCATGAAAGATGCCGAAACTGATCTCACCATTTTATCCACTTTCCGGCATAGCTCGGGGATCAGCTAGGACTTGTCAGCTCCCATAGATTCACCGAAACGCAGGGGGAATTGAGCGCATCCTAGTTCATAAGATGCAGTTCATGGTCTCCGCCCCGGCGGTCACCAGACATGACGAGCTCTTGATTCTGGCTGGCAGGGCTTCAACCTAAAGACACGGGCAGGGGCGGTAGGATATGTTCAACAAGGTCCATCAATTGGGAGAGAAGAAGCAAGTAATAGCCGGACAGGGCGGATTGGATTCTCCAAGAAGAGCAGGACTGAGATACTTTGAGATGAATACAACAGAGCGTCTAAGAAATTGTGAGAATTTTGGCTATCCAGGGGCGAGGTTTTTTTCTGCGACGGCTTGTTCAAGCGGGGTACCCATGATATCTCATTTACAAATAGCAACATGCAACTTCTTCTTCAAGGTCGACCAGGGGTACCGCCAACGAGACTTTTCTTGTCCACTTTCGGTCCTGCCCGCCTTGGTATGTGCGTAATGACGGGGGACGGGAGGCGCATCCGATTCATAAATGCTTTCATATTACTGTATACTTATGGTTCTTCTCTGTAGCGCAATATGGTGACCTCTCCATGTCGCAGGGGCCTCGTTTGACACATACATTGGAGTTCGAATGAATATCCTGCCTTACCACTAGGCGGATATCTCAGATAGGAATCGAATAAGACACAGATTATTTACGACTCCATCGAGACTCAGGCTAGATACGTTTACCTAGATAAAACTGCTTGATGCAAATTTGCGTTTGCTAGGTGATCATGCCCAGGTTCCGTTGGCGCCGCCGAAATACCCAACTGATGGCATCTGCAGCCAAGGTGTCCCAAGACCATCCGCCGTGTTTTGCCAAACTGTGTTGCCCCACCAATCGGGAAATTGGATGTTTGGCCCATATGTGACTAGTATATTGTCAGCTAAATCGCCTGTATGCATACAGACAGAAATGCTCTGTGCGGAAAATTTAGGAGGGCGTCGCGTAAGCTTCCATGGTAGAGGAATGCTATTCTTGATCCTGCCGAGAGGAAGCAGAGCCTTTTTCTTTTTTGTGTATTTTTCAAAAAAGAACGGACTTACTGGCAAAAAATATTACAATGCCAGAAATGGCAAGTCCCGTGTCCAAAGCAGCAGCAAGGACATAATTATACTATGTGAGAGTGAAGATTGAAGGTTAGAACACTATCGAGTTTCTCACATTTCTTCTTGGAGGCAAGGGACATTCAACCTACCTTCGTCCACCATGCCCTGAAGCGGCTAAATATAATTTTGTTAAATATGAGGTTCACAAGGTACCAAGAACTGAAATTCACCCCGGTGGCCGGGGGCACATTATAAGTGCCGACGAAAATCAGTGGCCAATTGATCTTGCGAACAAATTCAGACTTTGTCTTCTTGAAAATGTAATACGTGATTGGCGGCAAGATGAGGCCTATCCAGAAAAAGTGCAATAGACCCGAATAAATTCTACCGACAGAATCTGTTATGTGTTAGTCGCCTGCTACTGATCCCGAATCGATAAATTCTCGAAGACTTTAACGAAGTTCGGATGGGCAACCGTAGCGGGGGAAGACTTGTACTTACAGAGGCGACCTGGGCCAATCAGGCCCCATATGATGGAGGAAGAGTAAACCGTAAGTCCATTTGGACAAGTGAAGCCGTTTGGCTGGTCGTCGGTGCAGATGCCTTCGACATTTCCCAGCATCCAGAGGGTCACACCGACCTGAGTTAAAGCCCCTAGGATAGTCGCGATACCCTGGGCAAAGAAAAGAGTCCTCGAGGGAATCTTGAGATAGTGCGCAAGCTTCATATCAGACGCGAAGTATAGACCTTGACCAACAACATCTGTGGAGAGGATCTTGAACAATATGTTCTGCAGCATCTGGAGTCAGCTATCAAAGCACCAAAGCAGAAGCTATTGTGGAAACTGGGAGGAATTATCAGGCCGCCATCTGCCCATGGCCTGTCTCAGAATCTGCAGTCTGACAAAAGGCTTGAAGGCAAGTAATCGAACAGACCACGGATAGCAGATGTTTGTTCTTGAAAGAGTTAGAAATGTGTCCGGAAGCTGCTTACGGCTATGGGCTTTCCCTGGAACATGTAGCCCCCAATGAATTCTGACAAGACGTTGACCTGGTTGGCATCCACGTTTGTCACGCCTTGAATCATGCCACATGGTATCATATAAACCGCAGGAATGATAAAGGCGAGAAAGATACCGTAGACCGGGAGTCCGGTATGGTACACCTCAGTCATCGCGATTGACATAGCGCTTTACATAATCAGTGAATGATCCTCGAATCTTTTGCAACTACGTGTTCCGAGTTGACACATGCAGAGATCGATAAATAGTGAGACTGTTCAAGGAAAGAGAATGAACGGAATTTTGAAGGTCACTTACAGAACAATGACAATGATGGATAGGAACCACCAGGCGGGCACCCTCTTGTAGGCCCTCATCATTCTTGAGTGAACATCGAGCTTCGTTGAGCCTCGAAATGCGTGCACGATCTCATTCCAGTGGAAGAAGTAGACGTGCGATAGGACAGATGTGATCGATGCGAATGACAGCCCATAAACAAAGGCAAAGGTGGCGGGCAGGTATGGAGGCGAGTAGTCTTTGTATTTGGCCTCGTCAAAGAATTGTCCAGTAATTACCTTGGTCGAGTCATAGACTTCTCCGAACCGATCATACACATCTGCGGTGCAGAAGGGCAGGAATGCGGTAAACCAGGTGTTGGTATAGTAAAGAGCAGGGGTGACGACCCAGAAGAACAGCGCAAAGCCGAAGAAGACGTTGGCGGCTGCCCAGTGGGGGCTCAGCAAGGGGTTCGTATTGTAAGCGACCATCGACCAGTCCAACGTCAGAGGGAAGAGCCCCATTCCGGTCACCATCCCGAAAATTTGGTTAATCACGACACGATCGGGGACGATCCAGCATATCCAGGTAAAGTAGGAGAGTCCTGTCCACATCAGACCTGGGAGCCAGTACCAGACGAATGCGCATCCTCCCACGACCATGAAGAACCTGATACGTGTAATCTTCCATCCGTCGGCCACCGCATTAGCTCTTGAGTGAAGCGAGGTTAGCAGGGCAACATTGCTTAGCACACCCGGCCAGATCATACTCGCCTAACGGTTCGATTAGTTAAACAATCTCACTCCTATAACCAGAACGAGGGTTTGCAAAATAGCCGCAGGAAACCATGAGCTGCAGTGTGTCCTCAAGATGGAAACGCCACATGTATTTGTAGACGGTCTTACCGGTTCAACAAGCCACCTGGCGCTCAACCCTGCAACACCATAGCCTAGGAGTTGGCAACAAAGCACGACCATAACACTAAAACCAGTCTGCAAAGTGAAGCCGTACAGTTTGGCTGCTTGAATGATGTTGGTAGCATCGGCGGATCCAAAGCCAAAAGACACATTAGACATGATGGTGACAAGGGCGTGTTCTTTGATGTTGAAATGTCTGTCCGGGTTGAGGCGGCTGATGGGCATTAGATGGGCAAGAAAGACACCTATAGGGTAGGCGATCAACTCCGCAACCAAGGACACAATGTGGACGCCCGGGTAGCGTAACCCGAAGAATTGGTTGACACCAGCCCCGAGGAAAACAAAAACCTTGGGGTCTATCAGCCTTCTATCTGTAGGCAGAGCCATAGGGCCCGGACAGGCCGGCTGGCCAGGGGCAGCATGTTAGGGAAGACTCACGATGCCAAGGAACCAAGCCCTGAAGGTATTGACGGGCATCGCGCTGTCGTCCGTCTCGGGGACGACAGCGCGGACAGCCGGGAAGGGGCTTGTATCAGCATCCCAGTCGCCTTCAATTTCATCCTCGCCGATGACCCGCGACAAGTCTACCTCGAGCTCGATGAGATGGCCATTGATGACATCTGATCCCCCGCTGTCATGAACGTCGTGAGTATCCTTCTCGGATAGAGCTTTCACAGCCTGCGGCAATGGCTCCCCGTCCGTTCTCTCGGGATCCATCAGAAGTTTTGCAGGCACGCGAGCGCCAAGTTGTCAGTTGGCAATGGCACAGCTTGGCGTGGGGAGATAGCAGTACGGCAGAAGCGGGTTGGAAATGGAGGGTGGCGGGTAACATCCCGTAGGGCGATATTTATTGATGGCAAGGGATGATGTCGTTCCCAGCGATATCCGGATCCTTATCAGGAATCAACTTGTAATTGCATTCCTCATTGTATTAGCTGTCGGCCATCACAGACGCCGCGGCAGCTGGCGCATGACGACGCCTACGGTGCAGCACCTGAGTCCCTGGTGTGCATGCAGCACAAGCAATAAGCCTTATCCCAGCCCTCCGGCACAGGGTTATCATCAAGCTTCCAATTCTGGGGGAGGGCTGCTGCCGGACCCATGGTTCCCGCGTATGGGACCAATGAGAACGGGCTGTTTTATCGTGGACCCCAGCACGTCGGGCGGCAAATCCTAGTGAAGGTTGACAGCTGACTCTCCTCAGTATGTCAGTTTACATTCGTGCAGTACATATTCAGGGGGAACGACCGATGGATTCCCCACTACCTGCTTAGTCTTGGTGGCCTACTATGTCTTGGTCCAAAGCTTGTGGAGGCTTGTCGAAACTTGTTGTCACATGCAGTAGATCAGAACACCAAGCGACGTCTTCTCCGCTTCGGTTTTCCTCCATTCGTTCTAAAGTTGCTGATATCTGCATGTGTATATGTTCGTACTCAGTTGCTGATATCCGGTTTCATATAGACCAGTCTTGGCCGGAGCACTGACTCTGCTTCCAGGCTCTGAATGGCACGTCCTTTCCCGTGAACGAGTAGCTATGTGAAGGGCTGTCCGAGTAGACAATGCCCATGTTACGTAGCGCATTGGTGATGATGTTGAAAGCTTTAGGCGCCTTGGCGCCGTGAGAGGCAACGGATTCTGCGCCGACCTTGTCGACTTCGCGGTCGTTCTAGTCTCGATTTGAAGACCATGAAATAATGGCTATTGCCAAGATCCTCTCCCCGAATGAAGAAGTCCGCATCGCGCGTCAAAGATACCACACAACCCCTGAACGCATTCTGAGCCAAGAGAGAAGTCGTCTCTGAGCAAGCGCAACGCGAATTATCCCACACTGTAGCAGGTCGTGTAGTCTAGACCCGTCAGAGATCTTCAGCAGAGAATCGATTGCTGACTGGATTTTGTCTAGCTGAAGCGGACAGCCCACCAGTAGCGACGAATTGGTTTCATATCGGTCAGGGAGTACTGCCTGGCCTTCGACTGCAGTGTAGATGCAGCAGAGCAGCAAGACGAGCACTTTCGTGTCTGGAAGGAAAGGAGAGAGGCGAGGTTTTACTGACCAGTGGTTGAGCGTGTCCTTGCATTTCCCCAAGCAAGACGATGTACTCCGTCAAGGTCGTCGATAGGGAACTTGAGCTTAAAGAGGCAATTGCTTTTTCCAACTTTCTTTACGAGCTCCTGCAAGGAATATAGTATTGCAATCATCCTATCCGCAGGCGAACGGGGCTGAATTTATTGCTTGCTTTGCGTGCGAAAATTGCCGGTTTAGCCTAACTTGTTCTCTTGGTAGATGGCATGTTTGCCTTCTCCCTCCTCAGCCCCGGACACAGGATATTGAATGAAATGAGGTCAACTTCGCGATATTTTTGTGACGATGGTTGTACGCGACAAAAGAGGCCGCGAAAAGGATAGTTAGAACAATAATTCTTTTTCGTTGGCATGAAATGCGTTCGAAGTACATAAATCTGGTGGGCATATGCTTGCTTAGCTCTTGAGTCGTCTCGGCCCTCCAAAGCCCGGGCTTCAAAGCTCCTTACTACCGCAAAACAAAATGGACTGTCTAGTCAGGTGGCCTTTATTCGAGACACCATCGAGATTTTAGCCCGTCACGTAGGGTTTTTGTCTCTACTGATTCATTCACTGAAGATGAGGCAGGTCCCTCTGTTAATTGACCGGTTTTGGAAAAACGATGTAGACTGGACAATCACGGTGGGCACGACAGCTATCAGGAAGGCTTCTGATGCCAATTGTGAGTCCACATATGGAAGCAGATTGGATTATGAGACTCTCGACGCAAATTTTATTTGGTCCTAAAACCTCTCATAACGTGCAACAGCGCTTGAACGAGTCGCTAATTGCCGAATGTGTCTGTTGACATTTTCTGCTATCAATTGCCACTACGAAATGCATCCCCAACCGTTCTTTAATTCCTTCTTTAGGGCTATTCTTACAACCCAAAGAATTTCATGTCATCGGCTCCCCGAATAGGTACTGTATGCCCGACCCCATTGGCGTAAATTCCCTGCAGCTTGACCGGATTGCCCCAGCTATATGTTGTATATCCGCTCTGCGGCGTATTCGCAGCAGTGGTATCCGGCTTAGTATAGTCGAAACCAAAAACTCCAGCCCACTCCTTGATCGTTTCGTTGTAGTTTGATGGGTACAGAGTCGTATCGGCGCTGCCGTGGTAGACCTGCATCTTTGGGTAGCTGCCGTTATAGCCCGGATACATGTTACGCACCATCTTTAGAGGCGTCAGTGTCTGCGGAGAAAAGGAAATCTCAAATGGAAAACAGTTCTTACCCCTGCCCATATTGCTGGGGTACTATGAATCTGCCCACTCGCACAGGAGCTGTTCCAGGCGTCGACAGCACCAGACTGGCTATAGAAGCATCCGGCGGGAGTTCCAGAATAAGGGATACCCGCGGCGAAGAGTTCAGGGTATGTTGCTGTCATGACATTCTAGAAGCATTGGATTAGTGTCAGGGCCATTTCAGTCCTCTTTCGTCATGATCGACCATCGCATACCGTCATCATCGCCCCTGACGAGCTGCCCGTGACAAACACCTTGCTCGCATCTCCATTGTACTGCTTGAGTGTATACGTCACCATGTTCGCGATAGAATCTGTCATGTGTCAGTTGCCTGCTACGAAGCCTGAAGAGATGCATTCTGGAAGATTCTAATAAAGACTGGTGGGTAACCGCCGCGGGTGAAAGGCATATACATACTGCTATCCCCACCACCGTCGTGCGTCAGTGCCGCCCGGCTGCTCACATCCCAGCAAGTGCCGCTATAAGGGCTTTCGGGATAGATCACGATGAATCCCTTTTGGTCGGCGAGTGACGCGTAGGGCGAGCCGTTATAATACGCTTGTGCGGTCCCGGTGCAGTAGTGGATCGCGACGATGATTGGCGGGTTGGTTGCAAGTTTGGATGGCACATATACTATTATATGTTATTAATCAGCTACGTAGACCCGGAACAATGCATTCTGAACGACTCTAATAAAGTAACATCCGTAGCCGCGCAAGGTTTATACATACTGTACATCTTTGTCCCCGACGTGTTGGCGCCGAAGTTGGTCACCCTGCTATGCGTTAGAAGTCGCAACGGAGCCTGAAGCGATGCATTCTGGGCACAGTTTAGACACACTGTGTGATAGCTTGGGCAGCGCGCTTGAGGGGCGCGGCGGGTGTAATCAACTCGTCGAAGCTTGTGGGCGAGCTGCTTGCGACCGCGGCCAGCAGGCCGACCCGAAGTAGAATTGAGAAGAGCTTCATGGTGGACAACGTCTCGGCGGGCAGGATTGCAGGCGGTGACTTTGGCTGAGGAGTGCAAATGCTATCAAGGGGTTAGAAAAATAGTTTGTGGACCGCAGTTGCGTCTCTTGTCATTATATACCGAAGTGCTTGTCTTCTGTGACAACTTGAACGTTCTTTACCCCCAATGCTTACGACGTCCAAAGCTGCTTCCGCTTCCCCGTCGGCGCTTCATCGTCCGAAAACAACGTTAAGCACAGGCTGGCTGTCACCTGCATGGCAATGATGACCCCTGGATCTTAACAAGTAATCTCGATTTCTCCTCAGTAATAATGCCGGCACCAGGCATTTATTTATCCGGGGGTCGCAATAAAGGCAGATGGATGGCTACCCCCACGACTTTACCCCTGAATGTTGCTCCAATGGCCGCTGCGTCTCGGAGCCGGCCTACCGAAAGCTTGACAGCCCTAGCAAGGCTTGTCATCTGCCGAGCGCGGTGTACACTTCACGTCGTCGGCGCCCATGGCTGTCAAGGTGCAGCCGGTCCGCTAGTCAGCTCGTTTTTCATCACTAGTTATCAAACATCTTACACGTCCTACGTTGTGACGTGACGATCACTTGGATTAATGCCTCTAAACCTTAATGACTATGGTTGCAAATGGATATGCAGAATGTAGAAATAGTCACGATGCAAGCTCGTCTATACCCAGCAAATCACCGTCCCCGTCCAGCCAATGCACACTCTTCCTCGTCCCATTACGTCTCCTTTTATCGCAATTGGTACTTTTTCTCAGAGCGCCAGGCATTCTAGCCACGATGTCGGGGATATTCTTCCTCGTCTCATTGTCCCGGCTCTTGCTCAGCAGATCGTCCACCCTCCACTCCCACCTCGCCCGTTCCACTATATCGCCCCCCTTCCGTAGCTGAGTTCTCCACCCTTCCACCCAAAGCCAGGCAAGACGGAAATCAGAGTCTGATTCCACTTCGGGGTTGATCGTGTACGCAGAGCTTACCCTGCCCTCAGCGACATGTACCATCCTGTCGGAGCGCATGTCGTCTGCAGTCTCTGCACGCAAGTCGATTGTCTGGATGACCTTCCTCAATCTGGGCCGCGCCACTGCCGACTTTGACACAGGCCCCTGCTTCATCTTAATCTCTTCACCTCGGTCCGAGCGTGTTCAATGCTCGTCATTGTACGTATTGTGGCCCGATGGCTGCCCGTCGCTCCTCAGGAATGCACTACGCTCGTCAATTTCATGATCCGCTTCATTCAGGAAGCCACCGCGCTCGTCATCGCGCTGGCCCGTGAGGTTGCCTTGGGAGCTTTTCTGCGCAGGAATGGCGGGGTGAAAGACTCCTGAGACAGGGCGCGTCCTGCCTGGGCTTGCAGGGGCATCGCTACCGCCATTCGAGTTCTGGTTCTCAAAAATGTTCCTCATCTTGGCGAACAACGCACTGCCGCGACTTGGGCTGCTATTAACACTTGGATTGCTGGGAGCAGCACTGACTGATGACTCAGCGCGTCCGCGTTGAAGGAACGGGTTGTAGCTTGAGGAAGATTTGGCGGCGCCGTGACCGCCGTCGCCGCCGCCATTGTCGGGTCGAAAGGGGTCGTACTCAGCGGCGGTGCTCGTGGTATCCCCGCGTGGACGAGAACTCCAGCTCGAGAGGTAATGCTGATAGCCGGGTGCGGGTGTGGGCCAGCTGTCACGGATGACAGGCTCGTGCCTATCGACAGGGAGGGATGAGTGCACCGGTGACGACCATGATGAGTCAAGCGTGGTCTGGCTGTGCAAGGACGCTGGAATAGAGTCCTGGCGACCGTGTGTGACGTCGCGTGGCACAAACAAGGAGAGGTCAACACCTGGGTCGGCCTGCGCCTGGCGTTGTGGCGTCGCAAACGGGTTGTTGCTGTGTGGCGTCCCAGAATTTGGAGTCTGCGGCCGCTCTGGGTTCCATCTACTAGAACTCAGGCCCTTCGCGTCACCTGCGTGTCCGGGCATCTGTGTGCTTCGCAGTGCGAACGGACTGATCTCAGGGGTGTCGTGCGTAGTTGATGGCCCCAGCTGCGGCGTGGGGTTCAGAGATGATGGACGCAACTCGTCCTCATGCTCGGCAGCCCAATCCGCACGAACAACGTTCGGCCCTCCGATGTAGGACCCAAATGTGGGACGCACGGGAGTTGTGTCACGCATGCTGCTGATGCTGCCTTGCGACCGGTGACCGGTGCTGCCCAGACTAAGCGAGGAGCGATGGCCACCTAAGGCAGTGTTGTTTTCGTCGCCCTGTGTCGAATAAACCGTCTTCTCTGCATCCCGGGAGTTGTCAGCAAGATCGTTAGAATGCTGGTAGACAACAGCTTCACCATAGTCATCCTGATCTTCGGTATCGTCAGTGTCGTCAAAGAGGTCGTCAGTTCCTTGAACAGTATGTGCACTTTCATCCGGAAGATGGCCGAGTGCCTGCGTGAAATGACCAGGTATTGCAGCTCTATTGTCTGACTCGGCCTTTCGAAAGTCGGCGGATTCAAGTGGCGTCTCAAATGTTTCCGAGTCGCTATCCACTTGGTCATCGCCATGGGTGACATGCGTCGATTTTGGTAAGTCATAGGGGGTTGTGTTGGGTTGGCGGGTGTCAACAGTGTCGTCGGCGGGGTGCAGGTCATCCTTCTCCCGAGACGCCAAGTCTGTATAGGGGTCATTACTGTATTCGCTGGAAGGAGTCACGCCGTATCCTTCCCCATCATAGTTGGCCTGCTGGGCGTCCAAATACTGACTCGAGTGATGGGGGGAGGCCTGATGGGTTGCGGCTTGGTCGACATCTGTGTGACCGTGATCAAGTTCGTCTACTTCTGGTCCATGGCCAGACTCGAGCTGTTGCGTACCACCTTGATCCAACTGTGGTGGATTGGCAATCTGATCGTTCCTGTCTTGACTACCGGCCGGCTTGGCGTCTTCGGGTGAAATGTTCCGGAAGGTTTGATTTTCAGTGTCCTCAGATTCAGGAGAATTTCCGCCGCCGTCACTGACTTGTTGGACTTGACTGTCTTCACCAATCCTGTCAGAGTCCTTCTCGCCATTCTCTGCTTCACTTTGGCCAAAGACCGGTTGCTTGTTTATCTCGAGAGAGTTGAGACCACCATGGCCTCCTTCTTGTTGATTATCATCATTTGAAGAATCCATGGTCTGTCGTTCGGGTTTGCTTGGGTCCAAGCCTTCCTGCTTGAGATCATGCTTCTTTTGCGACCGAGATGGCTCCAAGTCGTGCTCGCCACTAATTTCACGAGGCTGGTCATCTTCACCATCTTGAGTCTCTCCGATTTGATCTCTGTTGGAATCTTGCATGCTCGGTGAATCGCTAATGTGCTTATCTGAAGAGGGTGTCTCGTCTTCCACAAACTCGTTCAAATTCCTCTCACTCCCAATCGAACCTTTTACGGCGTTTGTGGATGATTTGACAGCATGTTGCTGGCCTTGCTGTTCGTCATCATTGCCAGCTAAAGATTGGCCATGCACACTTCCAATTCCTGTGGTTGATAGTTCATCCGGCTGCCCTCGGTCCAGGTCGCTGTGGTTTGACGACTCGTCTAGATGGACTTCAGACCTGACTCGCCTCTCTTCAGGACCCTTGGACATTTCGAGGACATCTGGGCTGGCCTGACTCCCGTTGTCGAGGCCGGGAGAAACGTCGTGGTGTGTGTCTTCATTGGGTACAGAAGTCCCTAGAGGCAATTCTCGATCACTTCCCTGGCGATACGAATCTCGAAGCCCCTCCGCGGCTTGGGGCGACAACGTATCCGCTCCAGTTGAGGACCCATCCCGGCTGCTAGCCCGACTGGTTGGCTTGGATTCGCCGTCGCCCTGAAATTGCGAAGGTTTGTTCTGGTCCGCTTCGTGGCGCGGCGTGGGAGGCACGGCAAATAAGCCTTCATCGGGGTCTTCGTGTGGACCTTCTGTGCTGATAAAGGGCAGTTCGGCGCCCCGGTCTGTGGATCCATGTGGCTGACCAACTTGGACAGAATCCGCTCTCTTTTTGAAGCTGATTTCACTATCGTGTGCCGGTCCATTGAAGGCTTGACTACTCCAAGGTCCGAATCCGTCTGAGCTGAAATTATGAGTAGCCGGTGATTGAGACAACTGGCTTGGCTCTTGTACGTGCTCTGAAGAATCAGGGATACTAGCAGCATCACCGCCAACGAGTATATCCTGCTGGGGCTCATCTAAACCGCGGCTCATCGTGCTTTCGACGTCGTCCACTGAGTGTGATTGCTCAACTTGACTGTCGTCGGGCGCCGATCCCTGATCTTGGGGCTTGGCAGTGACAGAAGGTTCTGTGTTGCCTTCGATATCACCTTGGGAATCCTGTTTTTGTGCTTCGGCGGCGTCTCGAGTAGGTGCCTCAGACTTTGTCTCAGAAATCTCCAGCTGGGGCTGTCGTTCCGCTTCTTGACTGCTCCAATCGTCCAGCACTGTGTCCTCCACATCACGGGCTATCGGTTGATGATCCGTTTGCGTCTGACCGTCATTAGAATCTTGTGAGCCCGCTTGGGTGAGGGAGCCCTCCATTTCTTGCTTCTCGTGAGTCTTATCAATGCTTCCAATGCCTTCTGGGTGACTCGTGACCGCGCCGCTCTCAGTGTCGTCAGCTGGCTGCTGCTGGCTGACGTTTCGCGACCCGACATCGTCGCTAGCAAGATCTTTTCTATTGAATTCAGACTCGTCTTTCCCATGCGTCATGGTGCCAGGTATGGGCTCACTGCCAGAAAGATCGAAAGTCTCTTCTGCTGGATGGCCGTCTGAGCCTTGAGGTTCTCCTCCCAGTCTGGGAGGAGAGACGTCTTTTCCCGAACCCTCGAGAATTTGCTCGGACCGCGGCTCCCTTGGACTCTCTTGATGGCTCTGGGGAGACGACTCCGCAAGGGGAGGCTCAGAGCCTTCAGTGGACTGGTGCTCATGCTGAGCCTCATGTAGCGTAGCTGTGGAGTCCTCGAGGTTTCGACTGCTAGCCATACCGGTCTCGTAGCCTGAATCGCTTCGTTTGTCGCCGACTTCTGGGTCTTGTGCTTGCTCGAGGGACGTATCTTGGATATCCTTAGGCTCCTCAATACTGGGAGTACCATTCGGGCTTGGTTGTGCTACTTCCTCTTCCTTGATCTTCTTCGTCTGGTCCTTGGAGGCCTGAGACTCATCATGACTCTCATTCATTTGTTCATGAAAAGTAGAGTCTGCATTTTCTTCATTATGGTCAGGTTCCGTACCGACCTGACCGCCATGACTGGATATGCCTGAACCATCTTGCTCTGAGTTAGTTGATTCCTGATGACCAAGCTCACTCTGCTCAAATTGTACTGCCGCGTCGATCTTCGGTTGCTCTTGTTCGCCATGCGTGGATTCCAGAGGGCGGTCATGCTGTTCACTGCCATGGAGTGCCTGCTCACTTTCAGCTGGCTGAGGGTGATCCTTGGCATCGCCAACGTCTTCCTCTGGAACTGATGGCTCATCTGCGCTGATTCTGTTCAAGCCAGCTCCCTGATCCTGAGCCACCTCGACGTCCCTGGTTTGAGAGACGGACTCCGTTGGGACATCCCGGCTCTGTGAGTGCTCTACGAGCCCGGTCTCATGCAATTGATCCCGATTTGGTGATTCCACGTCGCGGGTCGCTGGGCTATCTTGAGGAAACGCAGAGGGCTCCTTGTGTCCGATCTCCATGTTTCGAGAAGCGCCCACATCTTGCAACTCGCCTAACGCGGGTTGGTCATGGTCATTCCGCAATTGATGCTCTGAGTTCTCTGTAGGCTCGTCACGGAGTCCATCCGCAGGTTCGGTATGACTTGCCTCCGCATCGTAATTAGAACTATTTGCTTCTCTGCTTTGCAATCGATCCCTTTCTTGTTCGCTTTCGGCCCAGGGGTCTGCCTTGTGCTCGACGGAATCAGCTAGTCCAGATGTGGCTGACGGCTCTTCAACAGCTTGCGCCTGGCTGGTGTCTCTTGGGCTCTCTTGGTCGACTGTCGAAGTGCCCCGACGGGCTGGTTCAGGCTGCTGGGCACCGTGGTCGGACTCTTCATGTTGCTGTCCGACTGGATGGTCATTCACACTCGATGAGTGCTGCTCTAACGTGGAGGACGTCCCTCCTAGCCGTGGCTCCTGATCAGAATCAGCTTCCGCCATCTTGACGTATTCCTCCGCAGCACCACCCTTGGTAACCCCAAGGAACAAGTCGTCATTGTTGGTGCTCTTGGGTTCCTCCTGCTCAGCCGAGCGTTCTGTTGCCCTCAGGTCGTCATTTGTGGGCTGAGATTGACTTTGGCTCGGAGCCTCCTCATGAGCCGACATGTCGGTAGTGGGAACTTCGCTCCCGGTCAGTTCCCTAGGCGAATCAGAAACTTCCGGAGTTTCTAGGCCTTCCTGGTCGTGGTGATCAGCTTGTCGCTCCATGCTCAGGTTGGCTTCTTCGAAATTACTGGGTGCTTGTTCGGTGTCTGCTCCCGAAGGTTGGCCTTGGCTTTCAGACGGTGTTGACATCGGGGCATCCGCATCGTGAACTTGCGAGTCCTTCTGTGTATCGCCACTATCTAGGCTTCTGTCTTTGACATCAAGATTTTCGATCGCGGGTCCATCCTGGGCGGATTTCTCTCCACTAGAGTTACCCATATCGTCATGCACGCTGTCCGTGGTTGCTTGTCTTGTTTGCTCGCTTTTCTCACTTGGTGCCGCTGCCTGTTCTGCGGCTCGATTGGAGCTCTCTTCTTCAGCACCAGCAGTGGTTTGTTGAGCGGCGGGAGCGCCATGTTGTGTTACAGATTCGCTAGATGTTTTGTCGGCACCGCTCAAAGGTTGAGACTCTGACACGGCTTCTTGCAATTCACCTTGATCCTCGTGGCCAGCTGGTTTGTCAATGGGGCTCTCGTGTAGACTCACAGGTCCAGCACTGGGGTCTGGCGGATGGTCTCGAGATTTCGACTCATCTTCGACCGATGCTTGTTCTGGGCTAGTTGACTCTTGTTGTGGCTCAGCTTGCTTTGTATCTGCCTGTGCAACTTGCTCCGGTTTGCTTTCCTCAGTTCCCTGGTCACGGGACCCATGCGTCCCAGCTTCCAGCTGCGGCTGGGTTTCAGACGGATTCCCACCCTCTCGTGGCTGATTCCTTTCATTCTGGTCAGGGAGTCCACTTTGTGAGGCTCTGGTACCGCGCCTGGCTCTCCGTGTTGGCGGAGGCGGCAAGGGTGCTTTCATTTGTTCGTCGATCATGCGGTTGATTTCCTAAGGTCAGACCCGTTAGTCACAACTTGTCCCGCCTCGTCGTGTTGGCCATGTAACTTACTCTTCGTCTTTCTTCCAAGTCCCTAAGTTTCTTGTGGCCCTCATCTAGCATCTGTCTCGCCTCCTCTTCAATATGATCCATCTTGACATCGGTTTCCTGTTCCACGCCGACCTTCTCGCTCTCGAGCTTCTGCTCTCTCCCGACATCTTGGTCATGATTCCTAGCTGCCTTTTCTTCGTCTTCCCTCTTACGACGAGCTGCTATCTCCTCGTCTTCTTTCCGGCGCTGTTCGGCAATTTCGTCGCGCTCAGCCTCGCGACGCTGATTCAACTCAGCAGACTCCTTTTCGAATGCGGAATGCAATTGACGGAAAAACTCGTCCCGCTGTGACTCGAGGGCGTCTAGCTTCTCATCATGCCCCTTGGTATCGAGCGAAGTTATCGTGTCGTGGATTTCTGAGAGGGTGTCGCGCATTTGCTGCACGAGTGATGTAACGTCGAGCATGGTGAAGTCCGTTTTGATGCTTGGAGCACCGATCCAAGAGCACACGTTGGCAAGCAAAGCAGACTGAAGGGGGACCGACAACGGAGCTAGCTCAGGATGGCCTTGCTAAACAGTTGGAGCTGAAAGGATATGACAGCAGCTTCTAGAAGGGATAAGAGGATACTGGGCTGGTATTTGAAACAAGTTTTGTGCGGATATATCATCATATAGATATGGCGCAGACCCGAGTTCAAGCTTTTGAGCGACGGCCGACGGGCGACTGGAGATGAGCAAAGCACTTGCTTTCCAATCAAAATGTGACTGGGGCCAAGGGATAAAAACAAACAGAAAAGATTACAACCAGGAGAGCACAAATCCGAGGCGAAGGGAAGAGACCACCGCGGGATGCCGGTCATCGAATCAAGCCTCACAACCGAGGGTGCTCTCACGTCATGACAACTCGGATGGGCATGGAATGCATGACCTTGGCCGCTTTGATAGAGCCGAGCGCGCAGGCCTCCCATGAACTCGATCTGTTTGGTGACCCATGATGGCACTGGGTGAGGTAAGGGGCAACGGCATGAAGATGGATGCGCCAGGTCGCCGGGCATCCAGGTCGCAGCTCGCACGCACTGAGCTTGGAAGGTGGGCAGCTTCATGCGGCGGCAATGCTAAATGGGTGGGAGGGGTCCCAGGGATGAGCTCCTAAGACGTCGATCAAGAGAGGGGCCACTCCTGATTGGAGAGGAGGAGGGGGTGTAGCATGAAATCGGAACGACATATGAATGCGGCCATTGGTGACAGACTTTGAATGGCATGGAACAGGGCAATGCGAGAACGTTGTGAGCGTGTCTGTTCCCACGGTGCCCGCAACGCCTTGTCGACTTAGTAGCGCCGGCGGCCACGCGAGAAGACGCCTTGGGCTCAGTTTGCGTCCTTGGTGCTCCAACAGCTTGATGAAAGGAGCAAGACTTGCCAGGCTTGGGCTCGTCATGTTCCCTGTCTCATAGACGAACACTCACAACACACGCACTGTCGGGCAGCCCAGGCACCCTTGGCTCTGCTCTGCAGTGTGCTCGCTGTGCAGGAGAGCCGTGACGGAGGAGTGGAGTGCCAAAGCCCAAGGGAAGCCCTGCATCGGGATCCGAGGTATCGGGACCACGGCCAATGGAGGACGAACAGCGCAACTGTCACGAACTGACAAGAAGGGGCCGTGGTTGAGTCGTACTGCAGGCAGGGCGAGACGTGGACATGATGATGGGTTTTCAGTATCCATGCATGCAAGCATGCATTCGTGTATTGTTTGTGTCCTGTCGTCTCCCCTATCCTTAGAGGCAATGTCGACACACACTTGGTAGGCAGGCTTTCTCACTTCCCAAGCACGGTACGGCGGCGCCGCAAGACCGGGCGCATGAAGTGATGCGAGTTGCGAGGCGTTGCAGGAACTGAACTCTGACGGTGCGTTTCAGGACTCGGGTGGAGATTTGGTGACCTCTGACCCACTATCAGCTTGCCCGTATGTTGCTGGCGTGGCGCCGTTAGAGCTCTGTTAGAGCACAAGCATAACCTCTGGAATGTGGGGGAAGCGGTCGGCTGCATTACCACACTTGCTCTTGATGGCTGGGTGCTCCGCCAGAATGGCTGGAGATCGTGACCGGGTGTCGTGATCAGCCTGCCAGCTCAGATTCAGAAGGGACCTGGTGAATGAGGCTGCGGCAGACCCGCAAGCAGTAAAGCAGCCGAGGTGAGGCGGTTGGGCCTCACCGTCTCTGCTTGTTACCATGTACGAACCAACGTAGGTAGGTAGGGACAGGCCTGGGAACGGGCACCGGCAGCGGCGATGCGAACGGCCGCTGTGTACTGACTTGACTTTACAATTTATCATGTCTTCATGGAATCTGAATCTTATCTATGCTCATTAAAATGCAATGCCGGGTGCCAAGGTCAACTCGACTGGCCGCCACGTCGGGAATAGAACAGTACAAGTCCGGCGTGATTCACACAGGGAGCCAACGTCACCAAGGCTCGCAGAGGAAGCCCGGCGAGATAAGCCTGGTCTTATTCTTCCTCCTCCTCCCACCCCCCTCCCTCCCTTCCCCTCGACGCTATTGATACTCGTGTCATTAATACTCATTATATCCTCCTCGTCGCAGAGCCCTTGCTGGCAATGGCTGACCTCCTCCTGTATGACTCGCGGTATTGCACACGCTCGAAGAATCCAAAGCCGATGACCGCCGCGCCGATGACAGTCCATGCGCCACAGATGATCAGGCCGATCGGGAAGATGAGCAGGTTGACACCCGGCAGCACGAAGGCTATCGTTCCGTTGTTTAGTCCCTGGGTGACCTGGTCCACGGCAACCTGCGCCTTGGCCGTGTCCGACAACACGACCATGTCAGAGAACACACCAGTGACGAAGGCTGCCTCGTTTGAAGATACGGTAGTGTTGACGGTCTGTCCGGCAGCGTTGACAGCAGAGAGTGTCACCGTCGGCATGACGAGCGCTTCGAGGGCGGCCCTGTTATTTTGTTAGCCAGTGTGTCCAGGCAGGACCAGAGAGAATGCCAGGACAACGTCTATGCTGGACAGTCTGGCAGTCTCACTCGTGGCGTCGATGTGGTCGGTGGCTTACATGTTCATCTCGAGTTGCATCTTGTCCGCGTCGACCTGCCCCACGAAAAGGTAGGTCTGTAGTAGTTGGAGATTGTTGTTGGCTCCAGCGGCCTGCCGTGCCTGCGGCCCGGAGACCTTCTGCGCCGCGGTAGAAGCTGTCACTGGGCTGACACTGGCCCCATTATACGACAAGGCGACTTGGACCTGGTTCGCTGGGATGCCCGCGAACTCCTCCCTCGGCGTGCTGAGCTGGTAGAGACGCAGGTCCGCCTCGAAAGCACCGGTCTGGGTGTTCAGGACCGGCAAGTTGTAACAGGTGCAAGTCCCCGACGGGTTGGTCGACTGGGGCAGCTTCGAGAGCGCATCCTGACAGGCGGTGTTGACCTGGGCTTCCCATTCTGCCATGTTGACGGTGCCGTTCTGCTTCAGTGACACGGTGGATGACGCCTGCCTGCTGACGACAATGTGGTCGTCGACATGATCCTCCATCCTTTGCTCGACTGACTGTGGTGATCGTCCGGTGAGAACCCCTTCTGCCACCAGGTCGGCAACACCGCCAGCCTGTGCGCCGACGGCGAGCAAAGCCGTTACTCCTGCTTGCCACAGCATCCTGATGCTCGGTCTGGCTCGAGAATTCCCAAGCTCTTTCTCTCTCTCTCAAGACTCCCTACTACTCCACTACAGAATCACGCCGATCGGGTTCGAGGCTTCGGCGGGTGGGTATTAATGATCCGGCCGGCGGTTGAGCTGTGCTCGAGTGTACGTGTGCAGAGGTGAGTTCGTGATGTGGACCAGCCGTTTTGTTGACCGACGACTCCCAGCCCTTGCTGGTAGGAAGACACTGTATTCGGAGTTGAATTGGTGCGGGAGAGCGCCGTAGATCACTGGTTCAAAGAAACGAAAGGCAAACAATGCGGGCGACGGCGGGAAGGACAGGTTTTAGGTGGCCAAGGCCTCAGGAACTAGGTCGAACTGCAGCGGGCTGAGACAGCGAGTAGTATGGTACGGGGAAGAAGATGGGATGATATCGGAAGAGAAGATTTGCACGCCAACCTAAAACACGCGCGACAATCCGATGGATAGGAAATAGAGGAGACGATGGACTAGTGTACTGTACACGGTGGGCAGGCGCAGGCATAGGCGCAGCAGCGTTATGCAACAGGCATCGTCATGATAGACGTGAGATGTCTCCGGAGCGAACGATGTGACCTGATCAAGTGGGGTCATCCGATTGACAGTTCGCGGCAAAGCCTGTGTGTGGGAAGGGGGGGGGAGGAGACAAGGGGGGAGGGCAGGGGGGGAACAATGGTGTCTGGGCGCAGTGGTACTGGGTAAGGGGGAGGAGGGACCACACTGGCGCGATGGGACCCGTGTCAGGTTTGAGGATGACAAGATATTCAGGGTGGCCCTGATGTGATACTCGCAATGCGAGAGGGACACGCGCCGGCACAGGGAATGGTCCCACGGGGCGTGCTCGAAGAGTCAAAGAGGAGAGATGGAGAGATTGGAGAGATGGAGCGAGGCGTCATCCCGACAGACCGTGTCGGCCTGGTAACTTGCTTATCATCGTCTGAGCCGGGGCCATAGAGTAGAGGCTGAGGAGGGCGCACGATGGACCAGTGGACCAGTGGACGAGTGGACGAGTGGACGAGTGGACGAGTGGGCGGCGAATAGGCGGGACAAGACAGCTCGAGCTTAATGGCGATAAACTACAAGCCAGGCACGTGCCAAGAAGGGGTCGGCCAGGCTGGCTGCAGGCTGGCTGGCTGCCCTGGGTCGATTGGGCGCGTGGCATTGTCGCGACTTGTCGGATCGCCGCGACCTGGAACACTTGGGGCGTCGAGGAGGTCGGAGAGTTGAGACCAGACGGCCAGGACGGTTGGTTCGAGGGCTGGGCTCGGGCTGGGCTCGCAGGGTTCCAGCCTGCTGAGGTTTGAGGCTCGTGCAGGGGCCCGAGGCAGATGCGAGGCACGGGAAATTCCCCTTGATTGGCTTGATTGGCCTGATTGGCCTCGCTTGTGCCCGACGTGGGCCCTGGCTGCGGCACGCATGCGCCCCGAGACCCAAGGTTTGCTTGCCAGGCTCGAGCCAGGCACTCCAGGCACGCGGCACGCCAGGCACGCCAGGCTTGCATGCTTTCATTTCAATCTCTCTTTTCCACATTGAGCGCTCCCTCTCTCAGCACTCGGTCTGAGGAGTCTAACAGACTACCTACCCTACCATTCACAACGGGGGCGAATCGCCTTCACTGTCACACCTATGCCGTACATACGACCGAGCCTGACAGGTCTCGCAGTGAGCTGAGCTATCGGTGTGGCTGTTTGTCTTTTGTCTTTGTCATTATTGTCATGATGGACTGTGGCTCGATGAATTGGGCACTGCGTCGATCACTCACCAGCTTTGTTGTCGATCGGGGGGGCCCCCTGGAGAACATGCGCCGCCAGCAGGCGATCGACATCGCAAGTTTGCACCATGCTCCACGAGCTTATTTCTGTCCATCTTACGTCTGTTGCTGCATATCAACTGTTCTCCATGACTCCAATGCTATCTGGCCACCTGCTTGTCTGCAAGATCGTCTCGAGGCCGGCGAGACAGTCAGAACGTATCGTAGACGAAAAGACGTGCCCCATCGCTACTAGTAACCTTCTTTTCATCCTCTTTGCGTCTTTCGTACTTGACCTCACCACTGCTTCGGCTGGGCGTTGGTCCAGGGCTAATTCGCCCCCCCCCCCCCAAACCTAAATGATCGGGCTAACCCTTTCTCTTATTCGCATACCGTGCGTGTCACGGCATCGCCCTGCCTCCAACCTGCAGTTTTGAAATCATCTGTCCGCTCACGGCTCTTACCTCCCGGGATAATCTTCGGTATGCCTGTTCTCGGCCAAGTACCCGACGTGCCGACAAAACTGGTCGGCGGTCGTGCAGCCCCCGGGACGATCCAGCCGCGGCGCGGTCGTTACTAACGCGGCCCCATATCAGCCCATCAACCTCTCCGGCCGATGAGATGGCGGCCATTCCTGGCACGTCTTAATAATGCATCATCACCAATTCATTCACTGCCAAGGCCGACCCGAGGAAACAGACCACAAACCCGGTCGGTCTCTCACAGAAGACACCGCGGCCGTATTACGTCGCTGACTTGTGGGGCCACGTCTTGTTCTTTGAACCCTCGGATTTTGATTCTTCTATTATTGCAAGCTGATGCGCAGGGTGCTGGCCGGACATGAGAGCGACTCTACGGCTGCCCCAACTGGGATAGGTACGTCAAGTAAGCTCAGACGACAATCTCTCTTCACCTCAAAGCGTAGCAGGACGCATACCTAGTAGGCAATGAATTCAACTCACCTTCAGCCGGCCATGGTGCAGCAGACATTTTAGTACTGAGCAGCCTTCTCGCGGCCTCTTATCGCCGGTTCGGTAGCATCCACCTGGTCTATCGTACAATCAACCCTTGGTGTTTATTCCATCTACGTTTGCCCTCGGCCAGAGCTCTCGCTCTATTCTTGGTCCTAAATGTCATTACACGCCTTAGTCGGATCAAGTCTTGTCGACAGTGGACTCTCCTATCCGCCTTACCGCTTCGATCTCGGCCAATAATCCCAAAGGAGCATACCTTCATATCGTCAAGTTCTCGGTTATTTCGGCCATCGTCCTTTTGTGTTGCTGAGGTCTTGTGTCCCTACGAGTCAGAAACCTGGAAGGTGATCCTCCACACAGCCCGCTTCATTTTAAGGTCATGCGGCGACTGGGAACCGCTGCGGGCGTCCAGCCGCATCAATCCTGACTTTGATACTGCGGACCGTTGAGGTATTCATGGGTACAATTGCGGACAAGGTTCCCTCGGGGACGGCATCGAGCAGAACCAATGCTCAGAAAGACTTGGTTGTGGCGTGTGGGTCCCTCCGCCTCTGATTCTGCGCACTGCCATGGCATATTGTACATCTGTGAGCAATGTTGTGAGCATGGCACTGCAAGGCCTCCGGGACCCTTTGGGCCCTTTGGGAAACCTCTGCCGCCCTTTACTACGTAGAGCTCGAGCGTTCTCCGTCGCTCAGTGACTCTTGCCCACACGACCTTCCAACTATTAACCAATAATGTACGCATTCGTCTGAATACGGAGATGCGCACCACATGCGTGCCCTGCGGTCCGGTCGACTTTACCGGATCTGGAGGGGATTATGATCTTGACAGCGGCCACGGAGTCAGCGATGGCCAATTGCAGCCGCCCTGACTCCCCACGCCCTTCCCTGTAATAGTCCCCTACTTTTCATGATGCCGGATCATCCACTATACGACTCGAGTCCCCTCGATATGTGGGCTTAGTCCTTCCTCGGTGTGGCAGTCGCGATGGGGCAAGGGCACGCTGCGAGGATGCGAGGCTTGAAGCATACTGGCGATTCAGCTTATATATCCTGGTAGACTTCATCCGTCATCGCTGCCGGTTATCCCCTTGATAACTCGTTACCTCCTTCGAGTGCTTGTTCGGAAGTTGTGCCCTGGAGCTTTGATAGGTTGTATCAGCTTGTCTAGCCGCGTCAAAGGTACCGTTGAGCACTCTCGGTCGATTTCCGCACCCTCACTTAAAGCCTCTATGATGTCTTTCCGATCCATTCTCATCGGCCTGGCCGTCACGGCGTGCCCTGCCCTGGGAGCTCCCGCTCTAGCACCAGATTCCTCGCCGCTCGAAACCAGGTCTGTCATCTCTCATGATGCAGTTCTTGGTTTCGCCGAGACCGTCCCCGATACTATTGCAGGCGCCCTAATGCTTAAGTACAAGCCCAAACTCAAGGTCACAAACGGCTGTGTACCTTTCCCTGCCGTCGATCCGGAGGGAAATACCAGGCAAGCCTTTATTCTAAATTCATGTCATTATTTGTCGACCTGTTCATCACACTAACGTAGTCATTACAGTGGTGGGCTGAAGCCCACCGGATCCTCGAATGGACACTGCTCCTCTTCAACGGGCCAAGTATACGCCCGTTCTGCTACTCACGGAGACTACTTTGCCATCATGTACTCTTGGTAAGGCTCTGGCCCATATTTCCACCCCCTGCAGTCTCTCAGCCGCCTTCCTAACACATTTTATGATAGGTTCATGCCTAAGGACTCGCCCAGTAGTGGGCTCGGCCACCGTTACGATTGGGAAGAGGCCATCGCCTGGCTCTCGGGCGAGACGGCGGACGCCACCCTGGTCGCTTTCTCCGTCTCCGCCCACGGCGGGCTTTCCTCGACCAGGTCGCCCGGCCGCTCTGGGGACTCACCACTAGCCGAGTATGCCTCCGAATGGCCACTGAACCACCAGCTACTACAGACTACTACCGTCGGCGGAACACAACCGCTGATCGCATGGGATAGCCTGACGGATGCAGCACGAGATGCTCTGCAGACCACAGACTTTGGCAAGGCCAACGTTCCTTTCAAGGATTCTGTATTCTTTGGTAATTTGGAGAAGGGTTATGCTACTCTTTGACCGGTCATTGATGGATCATATTCGTAGTGACGCGAAGGCGCAACAACTTGGGATTCTTTGTACATATTTTTGGCATGCTCCGATATCCTCTTCCGTAGGAGAGCCCACATACTTTAATGGTCAACATTGATTTGACTTACCCTCGTAATATCGACCATTCCTAGTCATCCCAATGATCATTGTGTATGATGCGTCTTCATCGGCAATGTCCTTGCACCTTCCCCGCTTCTCCCTCGAATTTCAAGAGCATTGGAGTTCCCTCCACTCTGCCGAGACGTTGTCTTCGAGAGTCCTCCTCGCTCGTTCAGTTGCTCGTTAGGGAGCATTATTGCCCGGTCGAGGGAATATGGAAGCCCGCGGTGGCGGCCGCGGATCATCATGAAACAGATGATGACTTTACTGAAAGTGGTAAATCTCCCGCAGAGAGAGGTCATCACCGAGGGGTGGCCGAGGGAGAGTCCAACGCAGCCACTGCACAGTTGTCAGCATCGAAGACAGTTTTGTGCCGTGGATTGCATGTCCACTCACTACGCTGACATGACTTCAAACAGGATCGGGAATACTTGGAAGGCCTATGTTGATCATGCAAAGTTAATGATATAGGCCAAACGGTTGGTGGTGGGCTTCGGAGGCAGTAATACCGTCTGATTTGGCTCCATGATCTTGTCCGACTCGGCGATACAAATACAAAATACGCCCAAAAAAATGTACCATAGATCGAAACTCAGCTGGTTGCGGATGTGTGCCATAATATATGATGTTGTTCCTTGGTTTTCGTCGGGCTCTTCCTCATCAGGCAGATAGATTCCCAGACTCTTCTCCTCATAAGTATTGGACGCACGGATGCTGATCGCAATTGGTAAAACGGAAATATACATCATGATTAACAAGCTGAATTGAACAGCCGGGTTGACCTGCGAAAGGATATAGGTTGCGGTGCCAGTGTGGCGTGCGGAAGCAGCCTGGAACAGAGATGATAGAATTCTCGGCCCTAGAGAAAGATCATTCACAGCTGGGTTGTTGAGGTCCAAAGCGATAATAAGCACAACATCCGCAACATTGAGGAACACGACGATACCGAAGAGAATCCATGTCGCTCGGCTAGGGAAGAGCAGTGTGTAACATCTTCGTGGGTGGTCGAGCAAAAACTTGAGCGTCTCTTTTAACGACGATCGGGCTGGGGCGAGCTTGAACATGACCCAAACAAGGAGTCGAAGGAAAATGGGATAACATGTATTCCCTGCAAATGCCAAGAAAGTCATGCTGAGCATTGGCCAGGTCGCGTCGCGGAAAGTAACCATACTGCAGCATTCAGAATTAGTTATCAAAGTACCAGCAAGATAGAAGCGTTTACGAAGTGGGAGGAGAAATAGTGGGGCCACAGCTTATCTAAAACGCTATAGCCTGACACAAGGCTGAGAGGCAAGTGAACCAGCATGCCACATATGGCGATATTTTTTCTTGGAAGTGTCAGGATTGTATCTGAAAACTACTTACGAGTCCGGAGTGAGTGTAAAGCCTAGGTTATTGGCCATCGTTTGGGCAGAGTAGATGCCCCTGATAGGAGTTAGCATCTCTGAGAGCACATATAATGACTGGAACAGGCAATTGGGCCCTTACCACCATGAGTAATCTATAGAATTTACATTGAGCCAGTCCCTATATTTCTGAGGAGCGCGGTGTATCCATGGGACCAAGCTGATTACCCCAAGGATGTTGAGGAAAACAGCGTACGCTGATCTGGAATCAGCACGCGACAGCAGTGTCATTGTGCGAGATGATGAAAATTGTACTCACAAACAACAATTTTTAGCAGCACCTTTAGAGCCCGATACTCGATGCCACCAAGTCTTTCTCTGTCTGCCGAGGTGAGGTTGAGGAATTGTGAGTTCCGGCCGATTGTGACCTGTTTTGATAACATTGGTAGACCAGTAGGCCGAGGGCCTGAGCTGGGCTGGCGCGCAACTCCCGCACGTGTCTTGCCCAATACAAAGACTGTGCCAACGGTCGTTGCAACTCTTTCAATAGAGATGGCCTTAGCTAGAGTTGGAAAGCCTGCTGGCCCGTCTCCTCCCCAGGTGCGACGCCTAACGATGCTCGTCTTGGTCGGGACATTGTCTTTTGGGTCTGCCAGGACAGCGTCGTCCACATCTGGAAGCGTTCTTCGGTTAGAGGTGATATGCACTGACTGGGATACGTAACGACTCCATTAGGCGCAGGTCTCACTTACCGTCTATCACGTCGCCGACATCTCGCTCGACTATCGGATGACCTACTCAATCAAAAACTCATGAGTACAATGCAACGCGAAGTGTTGATCGAGAAACATAGAAAGAATGCTTGAAAGACAGACCGTTGTCTCGATCTCTTGGTCCCGGAACGTAAAGTGGTTTCGAATCAGGCGGACCATTGACATTGGGGGCAAACGTGATGCGTCTCGGGCTGTCTGTTTTGGCTAGTTGCAGTGATTTGTCTGTCCCTGTGATGGACGGTGGCGACTTTCTAGCCGGCTCCGTGACTGCCAAGCGAAGGTTTAAGTCGGACTCAGAGTCAACAGGATGTATGCTTGATTCATCGGCTTCGTGTTCGTGTTTGAGTAGTATTGGTGCTGCACGGCTGGTCAGAAAAAGCATGAAGAAATGGCTGCGGAAGCACGAGATGAAGGCCCCGACGTACCGAGGGTTTTGAGTTTCTTCCTGAACCAGTGCAGTCTCACCACTACTACTGCGATGTTTATGAAAGTGAGATTTGTGACCATAGCAATTAGATAAGTATAAACTTGTTGGTATGTCGCTAATTCTTTTAGATCGACACTTGACGGACCCACCAGATGTTAGTCTCAAAAAAAGCGAATTTAGGGAACGCATACATACGTATTCAGCCCTGATTCTGTCGAGGCACTCACACCAAAGAAGTAGGCGTCGATAGCCGATATATTGCCATATGGGAGTAATATAATCAGGCTGGACAAACCTGCCAGGATTATGTATATGTCTTTTGACGAAGATGTGTTGATGTGAGAAAGGATCTCTGATGCGCATCAGGGTGGTTCACTCACAGTGTAGAGTAATGAAGTTGGCTTTAGGCATCCATCGTGGTCTCGAGGTCGGCTTCCATCTAGACCGCCCTATGAACTCCATGCCGGACGATCCTCAGGTCAGATCCCTTGAAGCAGGCGATTCCGATCGGAACAGCTGTGCCTAGACTGGGACGACGCTCATTCAGCCTGAGATTCAGTGATGCAACAACTCCAAACCAGGATAATCGGGCGAGGGTGCTGTCATGGCGGAAAGGAGACGAGGCGTGACCTCAAAGGAAAATACCGGAAAGAGTGTTCGCATGTGCGGCTCCAGCACGAATAAGGAGAGGCAGTGCCGCGTCTCGGAGGCCAACCCGCCAAGGAGCTACGGGCTGGGAAGAGACGACTTGGCAACGCACGCCACGTAGTCCATGTGCAAGCTGATGAGGTCACCTGAATCTAAATTATCGAATTCGTGATGCTGTGAAGGAGCGGCCCGGTCAGTTCCCTCTTCTCGTTGCTTGATGGGCGCCTTCTGAAATTGGAAACCCATCTGGCTGCTCTTGTGGGTGGTCACACTGGACGGGATTCATTCACAAGGTCGCATCCATCTTCTACCTATCGATCCATCGAGCTTGTCTTCTCCTTTTATCTATTTCCTTCTTACTCAAAAGTTGTAACTGTTCTGTCATTGTTGAGGTAGCTACAACACACTTGAAACAATGAACCTTGAGGCTCAGAAATTCGTGCAGCCATTGGTGCTTTATAATTGCACACTACAGCCATCCTACACCCTACTCTTTGATAAGTGGATCACGGACTTGGCAGGGGCTTAGCGATACTTGGAAGTTCATCATAATTTCTGAGGTACGGTGCGTGACAAGTATCGCCTGCACCAAGAAATAGCACGCTGATCTCATGCCTTCCCATGCAATTTTCTCCTTGAGGTCAAAGAAACTCTCTGCTTACGGAAGATGACTATGAAATACTTTCTAATCAAAGCCATCGCCAAAATAAATTGAAATCTAGAATGCAATCCTTGATACCATGCAGTCTACTGGCAAGCGTCCCCTTCAGCAAAGCTAATGGACACGTTTGTGCAGCAGTCGACGCTATTGCTTTGCAGGGTGCCGTTCGCGTCAATGCCGTCTGTCCTAGTAGCGTATACATGCCCGTGATGCAGGACAGCATCCAAGTAAATGCACTAATTGGGCATGCTTGGCAGTCACGATAGCTATCGTCTCGGGCTATATAACTCAAATTAGACTCCAGAGGGTACGAGTGCATCTATGTTCCTCTGTAAACAACTATATTCCGTCTCAAGCGGACAGCGTCACCGGATGAGGTGGCTGACTATGTGATCTTCCTGTCATGTCTCCCACGAATTGATCAGTAGATGACCTTGGGTTATTCACAGAGTCTGACACAGTAGCTGATAATCAGGTTGTAGGAAAGGGGCTATTCCAAATTCACCTGTCGCTAGAGCGATGAAAGATGTAACCTGCAGTTGAAGCGGCTCTCCCTGGCTCAGACTTATCAAGCTCATGTAAAGTCTTTTCCAAACTAGGACGCAAACAGTATAATTATCTTTTATTATCATTATTGATTATCCTGGCAAGTTACAATGTCGTTGCTTTTTTGACTTCCAGTCCGCCCGTCGTTTCCAACGATTTCACGAACCATTATATCACACAAGGTCAAGTAAATCTTTCACATCTATTGTCCGAAAATGAAATTAAAGTCATCCTAAATTACGGGGCATCCGGCGCGCTTACCGAGGGTCATTCCTCGCTCGAATCGTTGTTACTCGGCTTATTCTTCATGAATACAAAAATCTACAGTACTCAATCACGCATAAGTCTCATGTTTTTTTTTTGGGGGGGGGGGAGGGGGGGACATTGAAGCACTGGTGTTACGACTAGAAAGTTGACAACTAATGTCTTATCAAATACAGATATTATGCGCCTGTGATGTGTTGCGGGTATCTCTTAGAAGGTTGAATGAAGCTAGTTCTTAGCTAGTTGTCGCGTTGAATAGTAATCAACAAAACCATAACCTCGGAGCTACACGAATAGCGACACCTCACATGTAGCTTCGCTGAGAAATGCTTACAAACTCATGTACATAATTTCAATTGGTGACCGCTGGGTTCCAACGGCTTCGGCGAAAAAGTCTTGTCGTTTTCTAACACAACCCTTGTTGTTGACCAATCTTGCCATCGGACACATCGTGTCTAGCACTGGGTGAACGCTATGCGTAGTTCTTTCTCCATCAATAGACTTGTTAAAATAATAATCAATCTATGATGGCTAGAACACTCTATCGTTAAAAAAAAGTTAAATAAAAAAACAATTACAAGAAATACGCTACCATATCGCATGACCGTATGATTTCCTGAATCAGATCAGTCATCCCTCTATACAGATACTAGGTACTCATGTTCTGAGCGAAGGCAGTCGGAGGTTTTACAACGGATCATAGTACAGTGTGAAAAAAGAAGAAACATTCGATTTCAAACCAACATGGGTTTTACATCACGCTTGACTTCTTCCAATCCTCAGTAGCAATTGCGTTATATATATCCCGGAAGAATTCAGAAAGTCCCGAATTAGAAAATCATATCAACTCACTTGTCTTGAAACTCAGCACAACTCTTTCAAAATGAGCTCTCCTGCGACCTACTTCGTCACTGGCGCAAACCGCGGCATTGGCCGCGGCTTTGTCGAGAGATTCCTCCAGAAGCCCTCAACCACTGTTATTGCCGCCGTTCGCGACCCCTCACACCCTACATCCAAAGCTCTTGCCGATCTGCCAAAGGCCCCCGAGACCCGGCTCATTGTCGTCAAGCTGGACTCTACTGTGCAGACAGATGCCGCTTCTGCTGTGGCTGAGCTCAGCGAACAGGGAATCACCTCTTTGGACGTTGTAATTGCCAATGCCGGCATCGCTCAGGATGGTAGTAGCGTGCGCAACACCTCAGTCGCGAATACGCAAAAGCATTTCGACATCAATGTGATCGGCCCCTTGACCCTTTTCCAGGCCACCGCCGACATGCTCCAAGCTAGCAAGACAGGCAGCCCCAAGTTCGTTACCGTATCGACAGTTGTCGGTTCCATCGGTTCCCAGGAGACTTTCGCGACCTTCCCCCGAGTTTCAAGCCCCTATGGAGCCTCCAAAGCGGCCCTGAACTGGTTTATTCGTCTCCTCGCTTTTGAAGAGCCATGGTTGACCAGCTGGACATTCCACCCTGGGCTCGTAGAAACGGACCTAACTTCTGGCGGCAATATGGACTTGAAAGCTTTGGGAGCTATCTCTGTGGAGACCAGTGTTGCGGATATGACTAAAATCATTTGGAGTATGGAGTCCAAAGAGCTCAGTGGAACTTTCCGAAACCATGATGGCACCATGCTTCCCTGGTAGAGCACAGCGTTGAGCAAGTCTTGTAGTAGAAAACGTTGGATAGGTTGTATCGAGTCTGTCGTGTGGACTTTTCAGGAGCGCAGGGGGCTGCTTTTTCCTAATCGCCTTTGCATCTTAGAAATCAAATCGACACCGAAAACTGCCGGGGAAAGAAAAGTTCATGCATAGCCTAAAATTACCTACGAACGTAGATCGTTGTCCTTTATAACACGAGAAACTTTCTCTTTTCTTGCTGAAGACCAAGCATGGGCAGAACTACGCATGTCCAATTTCTACTGGTGAGTCGACTTCGAGCGACACTAGGTTAGCATAGTATAAGTAATTGCATAGAAGCTCGAACTAGAATGTACAAGCCGTGGTTCTTGATTCCTTATTTTACTTTGCCGCTAGACATCGAGGTTGCTGCCATACCCCTGCAGTGTGCTAGTTTCAAGTTGAATTCATCTCTGTCAACTGCGCCTCAATTAGCGATACACAAGAGAAGTGTGGCAATGAAGTGCAGTATAATTTGGACTTGTGCGTGCTCGTTCTATAGGTCGACATCTATGCAGAGACGACGAGTGTTTCAGCATTCAGCACCGGTTTCTGTTCGATTTAGCGATCAAACATATCATCTATTGGAGCAGTGTTCGTGGCGATAGCTGTCAGGGCCTGACTTGAAGTCAAGATTGAAGTCGTTGGCCGAGACGTCTAATATGCCGGCCTTTCAAAACCGAAGATTCAAATTGCGTACTCATACGGTGACTACACTGTGAAAGCATCTCAGGTTACAACGTCTGGTACTTTATATATGCCCTTCCTGAGGTCTCCTGGAGAAGGTTCGATGTGGGTGTCTCGGCCCTGTGAGCAGCTCGGCTTACTACCTGCGCCGTTAAAGAGGCCTAATTGTCTTCAACGTTCAAGTTTGATTGCGATCTTCCTCGATTTTCGAGTGGAATTTTACCAACGAGCCAATGCCTTGTGTTAGTCTTGTACCTATTTGATAGAATTAGTAGGGTCGATATTGCACTGAGGGGTGCGCGATGGCCGAGTGGGTTCCTTGAGGTTCGTATGCATGTACTATATAATATCTGATTGCGATGTTTCTCCAACGAAGCCCACCAGCTACCTCGGCAATCCCGAGAAAAGAAACTTCTTTCGTAGTATAGTGGTTAGTATGCAAGCTTGTCATCGCCCATCCAGGAAGCAGCAACGCTTGAGACCCGGGTTCAATTCCCGGCGAGAGAGAAGAATTGCATCAATTTTTTGCCTTTTCTTTTTTCCAAACGCCTGTATCGGATTTTTACTGAACTATTCTAGTGTATGGATTGCTGGTGGATGTAGCTAAGGTCCAGGCTGGGATGCTTATCACCAGATACCCACATCCTCACGATCTTTGCCCAGCTCTCCTTTGATCTACCCAACCACCTTACCCTGGCATTTCTTGCCCATTTACTTCCAATTGAAGCTCAGGCCACTTCCACAAAGACCTTACTCTTGTTTGATAACAACTATGGACCGGGCAAACGTTGAAATACAGCAATGAGTTCGAGAAAGTCCCAGCTGCCAGAGGTCTGCAATTCAAACCTCGCTAGAACGAATTCGATACCTCGGTCTTGCTACTCCATCTGGGTATTGTTGTTCTTGATGACATGTGCTGCATCAGGTATATATAAATCAAGCCTCAGATACCTCTCTCTTGCTGAATAGCCTTGTTAATGGCCCTACCACGTGTTGATTTTCACCACTTTATTTACCAGCGTCACGAGCCGCAGGGCTCATGATAACCCGGGTTACCAGAAGATGCGTATATCGGCCTTGTGGCACTTGCACAATTGCTATGCTGATTCCTCTCTCGTGTCGAAGAGATGGCCAGATACCCGTGAAGAGATGGGATGTTCCAGCATCAATCTCGGCGGCCCGACAGGCGTGCGTTGGCTCACTCGATAATTATGCAGTAGACACAAAATGATCTATGGGCATACCCACCTTTTGATTGAGTCGTGATGCTGTCTCTGCAAATCCGGCCTCATTTTGCTTGAGTGGTCGCACCTGGATTCATGGACCAAGAGTGCAGTGGTAGCAAGACTACCACAGGCAAATGGGCGTCAGCTAGACTATCAACGTTGATCACTAGGAATTCATGTGACCGGGTTCCTTCTAAGCACGACATCACAAACCATGCAAATTGCCTTGCAGCCAATCAGTCCCACCCGCAATCATCGCTCGCTGTCGCATCCAGCACACTTCTGACTCCTTGCAAGCCGCGCTCTGCTGGCAGCAGTAGAACTCTGCTGCCGAGGACTAGAAGTGACGGGGACCTACACCACCAGCAAGAACCGAGTCTCGAGCCCCTCTAGATGCAGACACACAAGTTCTCTTCGTGCCGCCAAAGGGCGTGAAGGCGTAGATGGTCCCGATAGCCGACAAAGGCGGGCCTCCGTTGTCGAGAAGCTCATGATCACCGTCGGAAGTGCCAAAGTATGCGTATCGTTCAACACACGCCTCGTTGTCGAGCCATGCGATGGCATCCGTCAAGAAATCCGTCTTCTCATCAGCGCTTCCCTGAGGTTGAAACTGCGTGGGTGGGAGTTAGCTGGGGCTGCCTTGAACTTGCCCACCGGCGCCATTGACTACGACACATACCTCAGTAATCCACACAGGGCGATCACCAGCGATTTCGCACATGTCGGAGACGAAGTTTTTGAAGTCCTCCAAAAGGGAGGCCGGGTTGTACTGCAACATCCAGAATTGAGTAAAAGAACAACGAGGAAGAGAACTAGTTGGCGAAAAGGGTGAAACATGACAAAATCTGTCCAAGGCCCATCTCACAAGCTTTTGATCTTGCACAAATGCTGCAAGCGGTAAGAGAGTCCATGGAAAGCAGCGTCATATTCTTGGAAAGGTTAAGAGAGCCTCACGAATCTGCTTACCCAGTGAATCGGGATGAAATCGACAGTGCAGTCACTGCATTTGTCAAGAAACTGGATCATCCACTGGCGGCCATCATTGGATACCGCAGGGGCACCAAGTCGGGCCTGTCCAGCGAAAGGTTGCATGTACTGGCGGTATGCGTCCGCGGCGGCCGTGGGGTCGAGGTTCGCCTGGCCAGGATTCTCGGGCTCGTTGAAGGCAAGGAGGTGCTTGGAGCCGGCAGCAATCCAGGAAGAAGCATGAGCCTCCCATGCACCAGTGTGGTCCGAGGTGTTACCCCAAAGCATGGGAATGTATTCTGTAAACTGCTGCTTGTTGGTGGTGTTTGAATCCCAATTGTACAGCCAATTGACAGAACTTCCGGCAAACCCCTGTGTTCGGAAATAACAACTATTGCAAAGATTTCAATCATAGGCGATCAAGGTTGAGAAATAAGTCATTGACAGAGCAGAGGACCAATAAAAAGGGATTCCTAGATATGGGGAAGAGCCCACAGAACGCAGCCCGGAGGGAGACCTGCCGAAAAGAAATATACTAGGATGTGGTGGCCGTGCCAGGTATGGTGGATGTAGGAATCATTTAATAGGTCTTCCATTTAATCCTACTCAAGAGGAGGATTGTCTAGGATGGAACCGTTGTAGAAAGGCTTTGATGTAGAGGAGGTCAGACAGCGCTTACCGTAATGAGGATATCATCGTTGGCTGCCAAGCCGCGCTTGGGTAAACCATCAGCCATCACGCTGATGATCAACAAGATCATGAAGCCGGTTCTGAATCGACAAGAGGTTAGTGAAGACTTCAAATGGTTACGAAATGTAGACAAAAAGCGTTGTAACAATGAATTTGCTCCATGAGACCAAGACACTAAGGGAGGAGGTTGAACCCACATCTTGAAAACTTCCATGACGACAAGGACAGATTATAATTACTGTCAAACGTAAGCAGTTGAAAGCAAGGTATGAGCTCTTGTGCTGTCGACGTTGCGTGCTGCTTGTCAAACAAGACGTGGTGATTCAGTCTCAAGCATGGGCGTGCTGTTTCTGGCAAGGTCGGGCAATAACGTATTTTTCTGGGCCCCTGCGGAAGCAACCAAGGTGGAAACCGTCTGTTTTCTAGATTCAACAAGTATGAGCTTATTGATATAGTCGAGCAAACGGAGTGCTGCTGTGGCAGTCTCGCTACTTCTGTTCAATCACGAAGCTGGTCCACATGATTGGATCGTATGGCACGGCAACCGACCGGGGGCTTGAGTTGACTAGAGTTCCTTGGAATATTTGCATTCAACCGAAGCCTTGACTGTGGACAGTTTGAATGTTAAGCCCCGAGAAATCTGTGAAGACTGCTTCGACTCGAATGCAGAATGAAAATGGATGCGCCCACAACCACTCAGCATGGTTTGAGGCGTCATATAGTGGCTTCCTGGATTCAACAGTTCGGAGGCACAGAAGCCACACTCCTATCAAAAGAGGCTGCTACACATGCGCTCCACTCAGCATTCATTGCAAGTCTGCCTCTTGAGACTGCAGCAAAGATCGTGGCCGAAGTTCCGCAATTCTGGCCAATGAATTGGTCATCAATCAAGCGGAAGGCGAGCATCATTAACGAAGCTTTTGAAAGCTCGAGAAGCTTTGGTGATTTTGGGAACCTCTTTCCAACCAGACCTTTCGTAGGCCCAGCATCCTCCTCATTAATCGCGTAAAGGCCAATACTGTCAACAGCAAAATGAGGCGACCCAAAAACCTCCGAAGCGGCAAGTGAGAAACAAACAAACGGCACCCACGCATGTTGCTGTAGATCGCAAGTGGCGGTTGAGACAAGTGATCAGCAGGTTATTTCGACTTGCAAAAATACTATGGGTGTTTCTGTACTTGGGGCCTTATATCCCAACTGTGTATCCCGCCAAGATTACTCTTCTTTCTTCCCATCAGTGTGCCTCGGTAATGACACTAGACAAATGATGTCGAAAACACCGAGTTACACCATGCAGCTTACCGACAAGAATCTCTGCTCTAGCGCCTTTCCCACAGCAAGTCAGTCCGCAGGACCAGGGTGCTCTCGTACCGGGCCCTTGTCAGCAGTGATGGTAAGTGGGGATGCCTTGACGTGAGACGTAGTGGGTAAACAAGCCGAGCACAACTTTTCCTACGATCCCGAGAACCAAAACAACACGTCATGAGTCCTGTGAAAATCATGAAACCAATCTCTGAGGTCAAAGCCTTGTCCGCATTTTTGCGATCTTCGCCATTCCAGTCCGGTGGCCCTTAGTAAAATCGTACATAGACTTGTGATGAAACAACGAAAAGCGGGAATAAAGTATGCCAGGCCGTCAACCAGTTCATTCCAAGTCAACCGCCGCCTTGAGTCCGAGTGATGATTGGCGGATGTTTCCATCATCTTTCCATTAAGACAAACTCCTGAAAACCTTCATGAGACAACTCCTTTTCGGTAAGAGAAATGAGAGGACGATTGGGCCATCAGGCTAGTCCATTGGCAGCCTCATGTTGCAGTCCATTCGAGAAGAGTCTGAAGACGACGGAGCACGACCACACCCCTTTTTCTAAAAGTTGCTGCCTCCACCATAATTCGAGCCCCAGCCGCCGTGGCGAGGTGCCCCAGAGCCGTAATAGCTGTTGCCACCGAAACCGCCATAGCCTGAGTAGGGACTGTTCTGGTGTGCCTGACCAGATCCTGCCCCCATGCCGTAACCTGTCGCGGCAGACTGGGCGCCGTGCAGGGCGCCATGGCCCTGCAGGTGGCTGGGATAGCCGCCGTATCCCATGCCCGGTTGTGCAGACTGCGGAGGGGGGAGGCCAGCCTGGGACGGGCCAGTATTGGTGGCGGAGCCGGGCCTGGCTCCGACGAGCGAAGGGCTGGGTCCACTCGCTGCCTTGGCGTCACCGTATGGCTCTAGTTTCTCAGCGCTGGACGCAGCCGGCTGCGTAGCAGGTGCGTTGAACGACTGGCCCCCTTGGGCGCCATACGAGCCGCCACGGCCAAATGTGTCGTGGATGCCCCCAAAACCAGCACTTCCAAGGCCGGGCTGAGCACCCGACTGAGCAGATCCTGCGCGGCCGTAGTCGCCGAGACCAGACCCGACACCACCGCTATCGTTGCGGTGCAGAGACGACTGTGGATATCCAGTCGCGGGAGATGAGGCGTGTTCGAATGGCGTCTGCTGCTGAGACATCCCGTAGTGGTGTGGCTGACCGTATAAGCCACCACCCTTGCCGTAAGGGAACCCGCCCTGGCCGTAGCCGCCGTACTGGTTCATGTAGTTGGAGTAGAATTGTCCATAGTAGGGTTGGTTGTAAAATTGATTTCCATGCTGCTGCTGCTGCTGCTGCTGCTGCTGCTGGTGTTGACCAGCGAGGCCCTGTGGGTGGCTAGGAGCCGTGGGCTGCTGACCTTGCGCGGTCGGGTTGGGTGTGGTGTTTCCGCTGTTCGGGTCCTGCGCGACGGCAGTCCCGAAACGTGACTGATTAGCGCTCTGGGGATACTGGCTGGCCAAATCACCCTGCGAGGCGCCGTATCCACCGAACCCAGCCCTTGCAGCGAGACCGCTGTCTTGTGGAGCCTGGCTCGTCTGTTGCTGCTGGCCGTAGTTTTGTCCGTAGTAGTTATATGGGTTGCGATTTTGCTGGTCAGCGGTGTAAAAGGAAGAATACTGGTCGGCTGAGGAGCTATAAGCGCCCCCCGGTTGTTGGCTCTGAGGCTGCGATTGCTGTTGGCTTGGGAAGCCCTCGAATTGCGATTGGGCCCCAGACGGGTTGGCCTGGCCATACGAGTCGAAATGCTTCTGAGGGAATGGGGACTGCTGCTCCTGGGCAGTTGGCTGGCCGAATCGACCGTACTGCTGCTGAGCAGCTGGCTGAATGGGGGGCTGGGCCACCGGAGCTTGGGTGGGAAACGATGTCAGCACTGCGTCACCAAGGTGTAGAATCGACGGGTCTAAGGAAACGGAGTTGAGCTCACTACCTTGGACGCCAGGAGCCTGGTGGGCAGCAGGCGCAGTCGGCGGGGCTGGGGCGCCTAGATGGGCATTAGTCTGGTAGCCTTGGACACGACCAAAAGGGGCTTGCGAGCCCTTTGGCGAGGAGGGAGGTGCATTACCGGAGGGGACCGTGGTTGATGGGAGGGCGACTGCAGGCTTTTGGGCGGGGAAGGCTTCGGGGACGGGGCCTGGAGGGGCAGGAGGCAGGGAGGCCCGGGGCTGGGTGACGGGAGAGTCTGCAGGAGGTTGCGCACGCGTCTCTGGCTCCTCGCGGTCGCCGTCAATGTCGTCCTCGCTTCCATTCAGGTTGAAGGCACCGAACTGAACGGTGGCGCGCTCCAATTGCTGGTTGGCTGCCTGGGGCATGCGGACAGCCTCCTCCTGGTTGAGGAAGCGCCGTTGGGTCTGACTAGGGGTGCGAGGGATGGGAGCGCGCTCTGTTGCTCGGCTGGCGGTCGCGGCAAATCCACTCGTGGGTGCCTTCGGAGCCTGGTGCTGGGCGTGAGAGGCAGAAATCGGCGTGGCGTTGGCGCTGATGGTAGAGGCTCGAGGGTCCCACGAGTCGGCGGTCTCACTGGCAGCTGTCTCTGTTACAGGTGGGTGGGATTCGTCAACAACCTGCTCAAGGTTCGTCTCAGTCAACTGGTCCTGGGACGGCGTCAAAGCAACTTCTGGCACGACTACCATAGGATTCTCTACGGGAGCTTGCTCTTGCGCAGGCTCCGCAGACAGCTCAGCGATCTGTTCGGAAGCGGGCTCAGGAGCCAGGGCAGGAGGCTCGTCAGGGGCAGGGAGAGGTTCGACAGTGGGCTCGGGCTCGGATTCGGGAACGGGCGCAGGAGCCTCTTTGGGCGGCTGGGGTGCAGGCTTGGGGGCGGTAGACTGTCGGAGCATGCTGGCCCAAGTCTTTGCGGTTCCTTGAGGGATGACAGCCGATTGAGCAGGCTCGGAGGCGGCGACGGGTCTAGCAGCGGGAGGGGGAGGAGCAGAGGTGGCATCGGAAGTGGCATTGCTGTCCCATGCGCCCTCGGCGGCGACAGCTGCAGCCCCAGCAGCCCAGCCGCCGTCGTTGTCATTCTTGGCGGCGTTCCAGGCGTTGGAATCCTCCGTGGGGACAGACAGAGGTTGGTTCTCCTTGAGGCGCCCGTTGGTGGTCGCGGTCGAAGATCTGGCGCGTGCAGTACCGCGGGCGCCGCGCTCAGTCGCACGGCCACGGCCACGTGCGCCTTCGGTTCGGCCACCTCGAGTGGTTCGGGCATTCGTGGCGGCTGGGGAGTCGGCGCCAGTAGTAGTGGTGAAGGTGTTCTCCTTGGCCTTGGACTTGGCCTTCTTGTCCTTTGGCTTTGAAACCTCGCCCCACTGTGAGATGGTACCTGAATGCGGACGGGAAGGGTTAGTCAAGGCAATGGCAGCGGCACCAAAGGCGAAGACCACAGGAAGGTGGAGGAGGACGGGGGACGAGGGCAGGTTAGAGGCGGGGCAGGTGGTAAGATCACTCACCATCGGCGATGCGCTCGATGGTCGAGGTCTCGTCGCCGTCAGTCTCCTTAAGAGCGTACAGGATGTCGACCTCTGACCAGTCTGGGAAGACCTCCTTGATGAGCGAGACCTTGGAGCCGTAGGTCTTGTTCAGGTCGCCAATCTCGCCTTGATCCTCGAGGGTAGGTAGGGCGGTGGATTCAAAATCATGCTTTTGGTCGCCGTTGGTCGCAGCCGCAGCAGAGCGAGAAGCGTTGCGTCCTCCCCGGCTGGTGAAACCACCTCGTCCGCCGCGACCAGAGCCCCTACCACGAGAGGCGGCTGGTCTTGCTTGTACGTCAGACATTTCTGAGGGTGGTTTTGTGTGTGTATGTGTGTGTATGTGTGGAGGGTGTGATGATGGTGGGCTGAGAGGCTGCTCAAGGCAAGGTCAGCAATGGCTGAGGAGAGGAAGTTCGGAGGCAGACGAAAAGCTGTGGGCGGGCCGATGGATTGGGTTGGTGGGATGGGCAAAGGTCAAAAGACGCTGCCGTCGTCGTCAATCGGTGGTGGGAAGGTGTAGGTGGGTGGATGTTCAGAGACGGGGTCGAGATCGGGTTCGTCCACACCAACGAGGAGAGAAAAAAACAACAAAACACCCAGACTCCCTGTGCTACTGAGGAGTGGGTGGAGAGGCTGTTTCTGGAAGTGCGATGTGTGTATGGTGGTTCCAAAGCCTTGTTAGCTGCGCCGTGGGGTTGGAATTGCCATTTGCAAAGGGAGAGGTGATGGCAAGGCCAGTCCAAGTCCAAGGTGGTGGTGCCAATGCGTGCCCAAGGTCAGCGTCAGGGTACATCTGTACTGTGTGGTACCTGCTAGGCTTAGCAGGCAGGTGGGTGCGGTGCTGGGTGGCAGGGACCTGGCTACTACTGCCCAGCCGCAGCTGTGGATGGCTGGATGGACGAGGGCGACAAATTCGGACTGGCCTCGACGCAGGGATCTCTCCTTAGCATTTCAATAACAGTTGGACATGTATATTAGGTTTTATTTGGTTACCTCACTGTTTAGCTCATCGACTACCTACCTAGGTACAGTACCCACCCACCCACTCAGACCATTGTGACTATCTGCCTGGGGTACGAAGCTACCTGCCTAGGTACAGTACCAAGCTGTGCTGAACTCCAGTCCCTACCAATACGGCGGGTGGACAACACACAGCTAAAGCCGAAGCTGAGGCCTGGGTAAAAGCACTGATGGCATGCAACTATGTGTTGCAGCACAGATGCCTGGGGCACTAGGGACTGGCTGTAGGGGATGAGGATGAGGATTGGATAGAGGATGGAGGATGGCCTGGTCGACAGCCAGGAGCCATCTGCACATCACTTTTTAGATGTGCCAGGTCTGAGTTTGGGACAAGCAGGGGCCTGCAGGAAGGGAACCCACGTACATTTTGCATTGAGCACAGTCGATTGCATTTTTTAGGAGGACATTATCCAGAACACACCTAGCACAGCACCTAAAGGGTTACTTTGCTGCCCATTGCGCAGGCATGGTGGTTTCCTCGCATGCAGGCCCAAGTTGCGAGCTACAAAGCGTCAAGAGCAAAAATGCGAACAGGTCCCTCTTGTTCTACCTGCATCACTGGCCCCACCCACCCTTCTCAAGAGCCATCATTACCTATGTATGGCCCAGCCAAGGGACGGCTGCTGTGGTCGCATGGACAGGCATGCGTGAAATTGGCCGTCGCTACGACAGACTTCAATCTTGACCTGGAACTACAACACCAGGTTCGGACCACTGTGGTGGATTTCTTGGGGCTGCCTGGGTGCCTGGGTGCCTAGGTGCCTAGGTGCCTACCATTACTGAAGGCATACTGGGAGACTGGGTGTGGTGACGGGAACAGCCACGGTTACAATTACGTCAAGGTGCCGTCCCATTTGCTGATTTCCGTTTTGGATTTAGCTTTTTCTGCCATCACGTGTCGGCTGGTCGGCAGGTCGGGTGGTCAGATCCTCTACAGGGGTCGGGAGCTCCCAGCCTTGTCCTGCCCAGTGCTTGCTTGGCCTCGACCGTTGGGTGGGGCTTGCTGCCAACGTCGACCGTGGGTGGACGTTGATTGATGATCACTCCATCTCTTCCCCGCCGACACTTCTTCCGCGTTGACCAGTCCGGCACCCTCCCTCTCGCTCCCTCCAACAAACCAGCGGAACGGTCTTGTGAACATCGCAATCGCCACGTCCCCAGACGTCACAACCGCATGTGCCCTCGAATGGGCTCCGATCCACGTTGCGCTGGCGGAAGCTGAGCACCACTCGTAAACCCGCACGCACAATTCATGTCCCTACCGCCAGCCAGGACAGTGACAACCACAACAACATGTTTGGAACAAAGACCCTGAGCTCCCTCAAGGATTTCCTCCCACAGATTCATCAGCCTCTACCTCTGAATCGACGTGAATCCCAGCTACTGCTCAAGACCCTGACCACCTCCTTCCGGAATAACCTCGACAAGGAACATGGCTACTGGAACGAGAACACCTCTACCGTTTCCTTGAAGGCTGCCAAACACGCTTCGACTACGGCTTCGGCTTCGGCTTCGTCCTCCGGCCCTCACGACCCTCACCACCGACCAATCGATCGCCACGTGCGAGCCATCCTCTCAAACCCTCTCTTCAGCTATGACCGTGCCGCCCACAACACTCGCCCCGCCCCCGAGCGGGATCCTATGGATGTGTTTGACGAGGCTGTGGCTAAGGGTCTAATGAACCCTCAACGCGCTGCAGGCGTGCTGAAGGCGAAGAGGCACTCCATCACGCAGTCTTCTACCATCTCGGTGAACGAAACCGTGGCTAGCTCCGGCACGGCCCGGCGTGTGCTCCAATGGCTCCGCTCTCACGGCCTTGAACGTGACCTGTCCTTCGTCAGCTGCACCCCTCTGATCGCGTACTTGACGCAGTTCATGGTTGAGGAGGGCCTGGAGGAGATCGCATGGGCCTGGCTGGAAAGGCTGATGAGTGGTGAAGGACCCGACTCGGCCGGCTGGAAATCACCATCGCCCGCAGCTTACATCCTCGACAGCCTAGTACGGGCCAAAGCCCTCTACGGCAACAGCCTGGACGGAGGCTATGCTTGTATGATTCGAGCCCAACAGATGTTCAACAGCAAGCCCACCTTCGATACTGACGTCATCTCCGCATGGCGGGCGCTGTCGTGGTGGTCCACCGTTTCCGCCTGGCAACGTTCTCAGCCGTCGGAGGCCCTGTTCGATGCATTTGCCGCCTTGGGCAGGCAGCTGGAGAGGTCCAAGACGACTTTCCTCGTCGACCGAGCCCACCTCGACCTACACCACCCCACCCACCCAGACGCAAATCTCTCGATTGGGTACTTGGAATCGTGCTCACTCCAGACTCTTCTGGACCAGGAAAAGCAGGAAGATCAGCAAGCTTTTCAGACTTGCAGCCACACGAGGAAATATAACGCGATCGTCAAGCGAGTCGCCCTGATGGGCATAGATACTGTCAACCATCTATCTCGCGTCGGCCGGGAGGAAGAGGCCGACTGGGTTGGTAATCTGCTGACGGACAGATTTGGCCTCACCTTAGTAGCAGCGTTCAAACCTAGCCTGCTAGGAACTGACGTGCGGGCCTCTCAGCACTCCATACCCGCAGGCTGAGGGCATATTGCCGAGTCTGTTAGAACGGGGATCACAGCCAAAGACCACTGGGATACACTATTAGCTGCTCTAACAGTTCTGAAAAAGGCAATTACTCATTACTTTAAGTGGAGCGCGGCAGCTGGTGTTTGCCTCAACTTTTGACCCGATCAAACTCAAGCGCCGCGATTGAAGCACGCCGAAATGCCACATGGTCATACGAGGATGCTGGCCGACAGTCATCGATAACACCAGTCCTCTTCTGTAAAACCTAGCGCGCCTGCTGGACCCCGGTGAAGCACCCGGGGTATGCTTATTCGAGAGGGGCATGCAGATGTGACCAAAAAAAACGAGTCCACCACATCATATACATATCTCGCATTGTTCAGATACATAGCAAGGCGCTCAGGGTATCTAGGGGCTGCAAACGAGACTCTAGATGTTGTCGGCTCATGGAGGAAGGAAACAACCCCCCCCCCCCCAAACGTCCAGATCAACCTATTACTTAGATAATGCTCGATATCGGGAGACAAAATGATTACGCAACAGTTTCTTGGTTTCTCAAGCGTGTTCTAATGACCCTCACCATCTTCAAGCCCGTTCACCACCCTCAAGGCCCTCCTAGGGGCCATGACAACACTGAAGAAACTCAGCTCCTGGCCCTCGAGCGAGCTTGTGCTGGCGCCACTCATGCTGTCCCTCCTCGGCCTACCATTGCTACCTGCCTCCCCTGGAGAAGTGCCCGATCCGGACGACGGCCCTCCTTTGGCCTCGTCCCCATAGCTAGGCCTCGCACCACTGCTTGTGGGCGTGAACCTGTTCGAGTTGGAGTTGGAGTTCGGGTCGAGCAGGTTATCCCTCCCTACCCACGCGAATGAATTGTCACCCGCGCTGCTGCTTGCGTCGCTGGCGTCGCGCCTATGGCCAGCAAGCCAGGCCGTCTCCTCCTTCCCATCAGCATTGCTCTTCCTGCGTCCAAAAGCGCCGAACAAAAATGACCCGTGCGACGCTGACCGGGCTGGGAAGCGATTCTGCACTGCCAAATGCGTCTTATACGCGCGCACCTGCCGGCGGTACAGCCACGCGCAATAGCCGAGATACCCGGCTGCCAGGCCGGCGAGGCACGCGATGACTATGGCGGCGATCAGACCACCCCGATCCCCTCCGCTGGAATTCTTAGGACCCGGCGAGGGAGGGGAGGTGATAGTCGCGGTTGACCCGGACGCGGTGATGGTGAAGACAGGTGATTTCCCCGTGGCGAAGGGCCCGCCTGTCGCGCTGGCTGCAGGCTGTGTGATGGTTGCACTGCCCGAGGGTCCGCCCCCAACTACGCTGATAACCTCTTCAGGTACTACATACCCGTAGCTACCAGCCATCACGCTGTTGCCCGCGGACTCGGCATCAGCGGACGGCGCAAGCGCCCTAAACGAGGACCCCCATTCTAGGGAAGAGGCGTTGAACACATAGATGCCGGGACTATCGCAGCTCGTCACTGTTGTGTTAAAGCCGCCCGCCACAATCATCTGCCCATCGCGTAAGTTGCAGGTATGTCCAGCGCGTGCGGAGGGGATGTTGGGGTTGGAGCCGCCTTGGGAGACCGGCCCAATCCAAGTGAACGAGGGGATGGTCAGTATATACATGTCATCGTACTGGATCTGGTTGCCCTTGGGAACTGTCAGCATTGTGACTGGTCGAGGTGGGAACCAGGGTGTAACTTGGAACTTACAGCAGGTTGCAGATTCTGCCCTCCAAATAGATAAATTTGAAAACTACTCGCATCCGGCGCACTCGCGATTACCGCGCATGGGTTGACACGTACGCCCGGAGCGTTTCCAGTGGTCTGTTGGTGATACCAAACCGAATTGGCAATGTCATAGACGTCGAGTGTGGACATGTCGTTGGTGAAGTCCTCCGCCGTTCCACCGCCAAGGCCAATCAGTACACCAGAGGCACCCCAGCCGGGGACGAACACCAGGACGCCGTCAGCCCGCTCCGTAAAGGTGTCGCTCAGTTGCAATCCTCCTTCTGTGATATTTCTGTAGGTGCCCGAGGCCGGGGCGCCGCTGCCTCTCAGCGCAAACACCCCATCGTTGGCGTAGCCAGGGTGTGTGAACTCCAGCAAGCTCTTCAAATAGACACGTTCTGTGTGAAGGCTCCAGCCCGGTGTGGTTGAGAGGTCCAGGTGGCCTCCAAAATACCAGCTCAAGCCTAGCTCTGGCACACTGACTGCGGCCCCCTCGGCGGCTCTCTGGACGGGCACGCCTTCGGATGCCGAGTTGTTGCCTGAGGAAGTCTGGGGGTCTGTATGTTCAGTCCATGTGCCGGAGCTGATTTGATACTGCCATGTAGAGATTGGTGCCGGCTCTTGGAACGGATTGTCGGCAAATTCTCCACCGTAGACATACAGACTGGTGTAATCATTCCATAGCGCGCCGAGGGCGACAGCCGGAGGTCCGCTCGGCTGCGGGAGACCAGTCAGCGATGGCGAGCTGATGTCCCAGGTAGACGTCAGGTCGAGCGCGAGGAGGTTGTTGTTCCAAGTGTCGTTCTCCTGACCCAGACTTGTCTTGGCCTCGCCTCCGTACATGTATAGGGTGCCATTGAGGATGGTTGCTTTGTCCCGGGGGTCAGTCGGAGTCTACCTTTGGATTCATATCACCGGTGAAACCACTCACACTGCATGGCCCATCTCGTGCAAACGTCTGTCGGGCTGTCTGCCCTAATCGAGATGACGGGGCCAGCGTCTGCGACACCTACAGTGTCTTGCTCGCCCCTGCCCGTGAACGGGATCAGAACAGCTAGGACTAGGGCGAGCATGCTGACTGCTGACAGTCCGCGTAAAGGCGATGGGGCCGGGCTTGCCACCGTCCTAACTCTTGGTCTCCTTCCGGCTGCGAGCTTAGCATACCAAGGTATCTTGTGATCCGTCGGGTGCATCGAAACAGTCTTAGAGCGTGATATCTCATGTGAACTCCGATGCCGAAGTGTCGATTCTCCCGATTCTTCCTCGCTTTTATCTTGCATCACGTTCATTTCCTTGCCCTGTTGGTCCCCGGCGTTGCCTTTCTCGGCAGCGTTGATACGGATCGACGAGACTGTATGCACTTGATTAGGCTCCTCCTTTTCGGCATGCTTCTCGTCAAGGTTATCCGTTGAGCCGGCTTCGTCTTCTGGCGCCAGTCCAACCTCCCTGAAGATGGACCTTCGGTCCTTCCTGATTTTGCTGATCATCGAGAATGGAGACGGCCTTTTGGCGCCTTCGCGCAGACGGTCCTGTGTGTTTTGATGGTTGAACTTTGGCCGAGTGACACGATGTGTACCGGATTCAAAGGAGCTATGGGGGCCGCCGACCTTGATAAAAGACATGGTGGATGGGCCCGGCACGTCTAAGTGCTAGAGGCGCGGTACATAAGCATACTGTGAGAAGAACGGCTTGGTATAACTCTTGTAGACGTCCAAGGGGGCCCGGCCCAGCCAACCTGAGACGATATTTGCCACAATGCAACCTCTGCAGCTGACAGACGGGAAGAATAAGGTAGTCACGGTAGGGAACAGGTGCGGTGGGTGTGGGTGGTGAGTGAAGATCGCACCAGACAGGGCAGACACAGTGAAGGATGAGGTCATCAAGCAGGACCCTAATTAACGAGACAGAAGGAATTCAGACGGCTTAGGGAAAACATGTACCGCGAGACACCCGGGCCTAGAACATCGAGAAGGCAAGAGTTTCCAGGGGATGGCGACGGTAGAGCAAGCAGATGGGCGGACCCGTCTCTTTTGAACGTTTGCGTTGTGAGGACGCGATCGACATCTTTGTTCTCGGCCGCTCTCTGGATCCTCCTCACCTCGAGCCTCACCTTCGGCATCAGTGTATGTGATGTGATGTCTCTGATTTGCTTGCCGCAGCCGGCTGTTTTGACTCTTTGAGCAGGTCGAAGCCGACGTGGTGCAGCCGGCGAGATGATCGCCTTGTTTAGGTTGAGCCTCGGCGATTATCGAGATTTCCACAAGGTCAGTGCCGTGACAGCTCACCATCATCATCAGCGAGCACTCTGGCAGGCTGTGGACCGCAAGTGCATGTCAAACTGCTGGGGCACGCGACGCCGGGCAGTAGTGTTGCAGTCCCTGGTCTGGCACTACATCATCGAATGCTGTCACCGCGGAGCCGACCAAATAATCTGGGGGTACCAGGGGAGGAAGACAGGGGCATGATGGTGTGGAGCGGTTGCAAGGACTGGGTGGACAGGTGGATCACCTTACCGACTATATTAGAGTGGTAGACTAATTGGCTCTCCGCGAAGTCGACAGCCACGATTGGACGGTGGTTAAGCCACATTGCAGCAGCCAGACAGGCCAGAACGGTCTCGGACGCGGACAACAAATCAGGTTTTTGTTGTTGTGTTCTTGGGCAGGCCCAGCAGCGGGTTCGATCCTCGATTGTCCAGCCGATTGCTGTATTCCGTCGTAGCAAAGATGTCGGAGAATCAATGCCAGATGTGGGAGAAAAGCCCGACAGAACACGGGCATTCATTCGTCGGGTCCCCGAGCCGGTTTTGCAATTCACCCAGTCTTTCTACCCCCTGCACGGGCTTGCAGGGCTGCATGTGGCCAGGAGTGCCAGGGACCGACATTCATCCAGAGGTGCCTTTAATGTGAGCGAACAGAATCAATCGATCGTCATCATTACGATGGAAACCAAGCACCCAGAACTGCAAGGCCATGGGACGGGGCGGGGAGGCGGTCACTCAGCCCAAGGTGAGCACGATTCTTCTCCGGTCAACTCAGCCACTGTGGCTGGGCTGATGTATGTGTGGCGGCGAACTCAAGGGAGAGCAACTTGAGTGTGCAACATCCAAGCATGGCCCGAGCCTAAATATCCTGGCCCTTCTAAGTTTAGAGTGACGCTTGATACAGTTGACCGAGTAACTTGGAAAGTCCGAAGTCTGAGAAATATGGTTGATACTTTTTGCGACAACAATGTGTGAAAGGTTTCAACCAGGAAGTAACAGTATCTCTATCAAGCCCACATATGCAAGTAAGCCTCATGCTTGAACCGGAATTTGCTCTTCTCGTGGCTTCGGCCCGGGAAAGTAACGCAGGTAGTCACTACAGTACAGTATCCTGCATCTGGGTATTCATTCAGTTCCGTTACCATTGGGCCATCGTGGAGAATTGAGTGAACGTTTCTGAACTTCGATAGCTCGGGCACCGCAACACAGCGGCAAACACGATCTGCCCGAGTTGGCCGACATTGGCGCATGGCCTGAGGCCAAAGCTGCAGATCATTGTTTGACCGTAGCATATGCATCAGATAGCCCCCATATCATCAAGCCGCCATTGCAAATGGAAAGGCCGAGCCCGCTTGGCCACCATCACGATGCTATCCTGCGAGCAATACTAATTGGCGAGCTTCCATCTGCAGGCAGTCTTCGTACACATTCTCTCTACAGCTCATCAGACTTGCCACTCACATGCTCATACTTCATGGCCTCGTGCCAGAACAGCCCCTTCCCATCCAGCCGTGTCATTGAAGCATTTTTCAGCCCCTTAAATCCCTCGCTAATATACAAGGGGTATCCGGCGGGCGTAGCCAGCAGTGTCATCGGCAGCCTCCCACCTGGTGGGCGCCTCATCAGCTCCAGCTGTGCCTTGCCCCATCGTAAATGCTGTGCAGCAAAACCATTCCCGTCCCATTCCGGGTGTGTTGCTAGCAGGCCAAGATAGAGCTGGGCGCCGAGGGGCTCAGTGAGGTACTTGCGTTCGACATCCTCCATAAATTGCTGAAAATGAACAGCACGAGTAAGGTTCATGTCGAGATGCGCAGAGCAGTCGAAGACTGAGTCTGGTCTGTGGTCGACACTACCTTGGACGGTCTGGGACAAGCTGAATGCGAGAAGTGATGACAAATGAGGCGAAGCACGTGATGAATCGTTGTCATCGTGGTCTTGAGTCCGGCTGAAATCCCATACCGAAACGGATACAACTTTCTCCCCGGAGTTGGATGTCGAACTTGGCACTGTGATCACTTGGAACCTATAATCCAATGTGTGCTGTTGGAACAACGCAAGGTAGCTATCACGCTGGCAAGTCCACGTATATTCCTCGCCAGCCTCGTCCGCAAATTGGCGAATATATTTAAAGACCGGCGAAGGTTTGAACGCGTCGATGATTACGGTGGTAATATCGTCTATGTCGTCAATTGTGGCATTGCGGAAGCTGGAGGGCACCAGGGCCGAGACAGACGATGCAGCAAAAAGGGTCAAAAGAAGGAAGAGGGAACATGAGGCTCTCATTGTGCTTCACCGTGGGTTGCGTTGAGTCAAGATAGTCAGACGTCGGCGGAGGAAGCAGATAGAGAAGATTGGATCGAGGGTGTGAGACTGAAGACCTCCGGCAGTGGACGGGGTTCGCTCTCCGTCTTACAGCTGCATCCAGCCACATCCTGTTAGACACGCATCATTCAGGCTAGCTCCAGAGAGCAGGCAGGCCTCCTAAACCATGGTCATATTGAGTGTTTGCATGTTGAGTCGCGAGGTGTTCATGTCTTCGCGCGAGGATTATAAATTTTTCAGGTTCCTCAAGGCCCAAATTCAGCTGGCAGCTTTTTTGCTTGGCTTGGACTCTGTTGCCCTGTCGATTGAACTGCGTACCGCCAAACTACCTATCTAGATACCTTAGGCAGGTGGGTGGGCACTTAGGTGGTGAGGTACAACGGTACCTAAGAGATGATAGTGGCCCCACTTTTCTGCCTCGCCTGCTGGTGCCAGCTGCTCACCAACTGGCGGCCAGTTTTCCGCACCACTGTCCAATTTTTCCCAACTCGACCCCATCAAAGCCGCTACTCTACACTCCGAGAAGTTTGAGCATCGACAAACCATCACCACACCCATCGCCAGTCAAGATGCCTACCCGATTCTCCAAGACGCGCAAGGTCAGCACTTTCGAATCCAAGACGATGACGATTTAATATGCAGTCTTACTGACAATCTCCAAGCACCGCGGCCATGTCAGTGCCGGTAACGGTCGCGTTGGCAAGCACAGAAAGGTACGACCCAATCCACGACCGAACTCGTCAAACCCATCATACAAAAAAGCCTCCGGGATGCCGACCACGAGAATGAGACGCTGACTTCGGCTTGCAATTTGACAGCACCCCGGTGGTCGTGGTATGGCCGGTGGTCAGCACCACCACAGAACCAACCTCGACAAGTACCACCCTGGTTACTTTGGTAAGGTCGGTATGAGGCGCTTCCACCTTCTGCGGAACCACCAGTGGAAGCCCGAGATCAACGTCGACAAGGTATGAAAGAACAACACCCGGTGGGCAAATGGTTGCGGTGGACAAACGGTTGCTGATTACCCACACAGCTGTGGTCTCTGGTTCCCGCCGACGTCCGCGAGAAGACCCTGAAGAACTCGGCCGCCGACTCCGCCCCTCTCATCGACCTCAACGCTCTCGGATACGCCAAGCTCCTCGGAAAGGGCCGCCTGCCTGCTGCCCCCATTGTTGTCCGCGCACGATATGTCAGTAAAGAGGCGGAAAAGAAAATTACGGATGCCGGTGGCGTTGTTGAGCTCGTCGCCTAGGCGATTGGAGAGAGAGAAGGGATCATGAAGGGACACGGCAAACCAAAAAAGAGCAACTTTGCACACAGAATCGGTCGGAAGGGGCTGGCTGATGGATCTCATACCTGGCGTCAATCGGTTTTCCCGTGTTTAGAGCAATGACAACATTGTTACGATGAACAAATACCCATTTGAACAGCCTTGCTCGAGGAGGAGACTATCGCGGCGCCGAGGTCACAACGTGAGGTGCCTGCCATGGAGACTTGCGCCGGGCGACATGACGAGATTAGGTCATGAGCTAAATATGAGAATGACAGTCGTGACCGATTCTACCAGCCCTTGAGTGGTCCCGCACTGTTCATATTCAGCGACGAGTCTACCTATGCAAATTGTGGCCTGGTGTACGTTTGATGCATTTGCCACGAGCTAACAAGCGTTTGAAGTGAGAAGCGAGCAAACTCAAGCCGAGCGCCATTTGCGGCCCCGGGCCAGCCGCTGGCTAGCAGATGAAGACACAGCGAAGGACGAGCACACGGCCTTGCTGCTTCCTCGACTGCCGCATTATTGTATATCGTATGGTGCCTGCCAATAACCGTGACGGCATCTCGTACAGCTCTGCAGGAAATGGACAACCCGACGATGCCCAAAGCTGGTTATGCTGTGAGCTCGCGTGTTGCTTGAGCGGCCGGGCTTTCGTCAACATAGGGGTCAGAGCTTGGACTCTGGGGTGCATTAGTGAATTATGGACTGTGTCCTATTGCCCATGGACTTGCTCGTCTCTGGCCCGAGATAGTCCAGATCTCCAGGTCCGGTTATTGGCCACGCATCGCATACAAGTATGGCAAAACCACCTGGCCAGTCAGACCTGCGCAGTATAACCGAACTTGGACACCCAGTGTTCATTGGCCACGAGTTGTTTAGGGTGGTCTTGAAATACCCGTTGGTGGGACGTCATGGTCGGAGTTGATAAGACTTGCGTGCGCCTTGCGACGAGTGGGTGTCAATTCCCAGATCCCACGACCTATTGACTGTGTCTCGTCTGAACTCTAACCCTGGTCTTGACCTGCAAAATCAGGCTTGAGTTACCGTGTACTCCCTGCCTACAGATCTATGCAGGCAGTAGCCGCCAATGATGACAGGCGGCTGCTCAGACCTTGGCGGGCTCGCTCGTCCAGCTCCAAGTTGTCCGGCTGGGAGGGGCGTTCTTCCAAGGTCCAGGGAAGACAGACTGCCTTGGCGCGGGCGCGAGCTGAGCTAGTGACATCACCTTCCGTCTCTGCTCGTGTGCCACGAAGCAGATGGTGACGCGGGGCCAGAATAAAAGGGCTCATGTGTCGTGTGCGCTCCATTGAATCATGATCTCTACAATCTTCCGCTTGTAAAACAAAGGTACACTCACATCAAGCCACTCATATAAGAATTTCGGCCAAAATCAATCAGCTACTGCAAAAACTTCCACCATGGATTTTGTCAAGAACCTCGCCGGCGGTAACAAGGACGGACAGCAGCAAGAACAGCAAGGGGAGCAGAAATCAGAGGGAGGGTTCATGAGCAAGCTGAACAATATGGCCGGTGGTGGGGCGTCTGGTGAGAAGAAGGAGGACGGCCTCGACAAGGGTGAGCATGTCTGGCGCCGGCGTCGGCAATTATATGAGGCACAGCCTTGGACTGACAGCATTAATGTACAACACAGGTGTTGACTGGGTCCAAGAGAACGTGCTGGGCCAAGGCAAGCAAGACAACGAGTCAGCGGTAGAACAAGCCAAGGACGAGCAGATCTCAGGTACGGCATCGACTGCCTCTACTCTCTCCCTAGAGGAAAACATGTCCCGGTGCCGACTGCTGACACAACACACGTGAATAGACTTCATCCGTGGCCAGTACAAAAACACAACCGGAAAGGACTTCCCAGTTGCCGACAAGTGAGCGATAGTCGCACAGGAGCAACATGTGAAATGCAGGTCGAAGCCGCTTGCGCGTATTATCTTTTCGTTGTTGCTGGGGCCAACGTTGTCGCCAAAAGCATGTCTCGCCTCCCGAGACCGTTCTGTTTGCTGAGCTCAATCTTTCCGGGGGCAGAAGACACCGGGGGCCTCCCTCATAAATTAATTTCATAGCAAAATGGGTCCTTTAAAGCAACTGCAACGTGTGGACAGTCGACAGCGCTCCCACGAACGATCCAATATGCTCAGCCCGCCCATAGAAGACTTGCTTGCCACGCTTACAAGGTTATTTGCAATCACCTAAACAAAATGAAGAGACTTTTCCATACAGCTTACATGGACTCCAAAGACTTATGTAGATGCTAAAAGCACAGGGAAGTCTTAAAGGGCCAGGCTGTATCGATGGGTATGGGAGGTTGTGTCTTTTGGGGTAGCCACCGTAGTGAAGCTCCGAAGGTTAGCCGCACGCCAACGTTTCTGTAGAGTCCCTGTGACCCGTGAGTGGGGAGCTCCCAGGGCTGAGTTGGTGGGACCCCTGGATTTCCGGGCCCATCGGCTCGGGGCCTCGGGGTGGGGGGCAGCCGCTCCACCAACACGGAGCTTATTGTCTAGCAACTGACATCAAGTCCTGTACCCGCGAGTTCGCTGACAACTGATGACCCGAGTCCTCCGGCCTGCCCGTCACCAGGTTGTGTATTTCTACTCCTAGCCTCACCCAAAGATCGGTTTGACCCAGCTCGTGCTCCGTGCTGCCTCTCCCTAGTCCCATCTCATCCCCATCGCCATGGACTACGTCGAGCAGCGCATGGCTCAAGAGGCCCAGAGAGCCGCCGAGTAAGCACAGCCAGCTCCTGACCCCGTTCATCAAGCCTGTTCCCGTCTCTCTCAGGCATCAGCCTGCTCTGAGCAGGCGGGCAGGAAGTCAGGCAGGAAGGCAAAGGCTGACCACCGCGTGGAACCTGCACAGAACCGCTCAAAACAATGCCCTCCTCACGCCTCTAAACGTCCTCCTACTCCTCCTCCTCGGCTACACCTTGTACGCCACCCTGAGGCCCTCTCCGCCGCCGCTGCTCCCCAAGGAACCGCCCGCCACCGTCTTCCGCACCTTCAACCCACGCACCCTGCTCCCCTTTGATGGCAAGGACGGCGGCCCCATCTACTTCGCCGTGCGCGGCCGCGTCTTCGATGTCTCGACCGGCCGCAACTTCTACGGCCCCGATGGGCCTTACGAAAACTTTGCCGGTCGTGATGCCTCACGCGGCCTGGCCTCCGGTTCCTTCGACGAGGACATGTTAACCAAGGACCTCGACGGCCCGCTCGACTCCCTTGAGAATCTAGGTCCTGATGAGATGCAGTCCTTGCGGGAATGGGAGGAGAGCTTCCTGAGCAAGTATCTAGTTGTCGGCAGGCTGGTCCCTGTTGGGCAGGAGGACAAGCAGTACGCCTAGCTTCTCAATCGTGTCAAGGGCATAGAAGCATTCCTCGGGGGACGGGGGGAAGGACACCTAACCAGGAGACTTGTAGCATTGGAGGCTTGCCCACGGACAAGAGATGCCCCGCTTAGGAGGGAAGGATGCCATATGCAAAATAGACGGCTCATTCGGAATGCCCTACTATCGTTACTACTGCGACGTCTCATCTTCCTCGGTCTACCAGCTCCACGCCCTAATCAGGCTGTCCTTCAGATTTTGGAAACTCGCCCAGCCTCGCCGCTAATGCACCATCACTGTCCCAGTCACCAGTCTCCTTCTTCTGCCTTGCCCAATCCAAAAGTCTAGGGCTATCATGTAAAAATGCTAGCATACTGACAAGCATATCTACGTCTCGAGGCAACAGCTCAACTCGCTTCCCGTAAGACACATATATCGCCACCGTGACTGGACAAAGGGAAGCCAGCAGAACCACAGATACAAACCACACTAGGCGACATGAAACAGGGACATGAACCCACGCCTCCATCGTCCGCGACATACTGGGAGCAGCCATGCTTTCGTTGTACTCGGTACCCTTCGGGCTCGCTACAGCGAGAAGGTCGGGCGGCAGATGCTCGTCGATAGGCAGCCACGGCCACGTTGACCTGCTCTGAGGCGAAGGGTTTGAGGTAAACACTCAAGGTCTGGCTGCACGAGGGTGTCTACGCCGAGAAGTGCGCGTTTGTTCTGATCGGCTTAGATGCAAGGCCGAAAAGGAGAGGAAGTCGACGTTGATTACGGTGTCGCGGATGTTGAACTGGTCATGGTAGGTCAGCAGGCCCGGACACGACGCTTTCACTGTGCGGTGGTCGTAGAACGTGGCACTTACAACTCGGTCTCAACCTGCTTGTTCCATCGTGGTCAAGGCCGACGCCGCGGCAGTCTTAAGATTGGTCGAGTACACAAGGCCCTGTCAGAACATCCAGACATTGCTACGCGAGATCAGATCTCCCGGTATCTGCTCAAGCTGGCGGGCTTCTCCGGACTCCCCTGTAAGTCGTGTTATATTCACTCCCGTACTGAGTCTCATCATCTGGTACGAACGTACACGGGTCCCACGCCACATTGTTATCAGTCCATGCAGCCGTTGCATTCTGCGGCTCGCCGATCATCGTGTATCAAGCAGTGTTGGGAGCGTTGGGTCAGAGTAAGTGTGAGTCATTGAGCCAAGGCTTTTGCTTCCTATCACAATTGGAACTTGTCGCAGCTCGAGCTAGCGACTCGTTTCTACCGCGTGCATTGCAACTCAAATGTCCTTGTCCCACAGGGCTGAGATGCCAACAGTGAACATTTCAGTATCCAAAGCGCGGCGGGGATCAAATCTAAATATCTCGAAGCCTTCACTGAACCAAAAATGAGCGGCGAGTTTGTATTTTCAACCATAATTGAGTCCCCAAGCGGCCTCGAGTGGTTCAGCATAGCGGAAAATGGTTGCAGCCGTTTGAGCGTCCCTTCAACCGCACCGTACCACAGCTCAATCCCGACGGCAAAAAGGGTGGGTGTGATAGAACATGACGCAAGGCTTGTCGCCATACTGGCTACGCTCAGATGAGCCTCGTAAACAAGAGCCTGTTGGTGGAGCTTGACTGTCTGGGACACTCTATATAGCATGGTGCTGAACTATAAAACGAGACATGCATGCGTTCGTATGGCTACGCCTTATACAAGTCTCCTTCCCTGATTCCAATATACGGCCACCATGGTCATTAGAGCAGCGAGAGTAGCTAGCAAGGATGTTCCCATCCAGTTCCATGATACAAACGGTGGAGAGCTTTTCGGCTCGTCTTTGAGAAGACTTCTGAAATCATTGCTTTGGTCAGACTCTAATGGGGACATATTTTGTACAGTGCTCAGCGAGCCATCTTCCAGATTGCACCATACAAGGCAGAAACGCTTGGGAAGTCTGTCCACAGAGGGCCGACTGAGTCCTTGAAATGCTGCTGTCGCTGAATCATCTGAAGCGATCAGAGCCGCAGCGGCAGCAACACTGGCAAAAACCTTAGACAGGCCGAGCGGTCGTCTCTGCGGTCGCGACTGCAAAGTAAAGGCGACTACCATCGCAGCGGTCAGGATAAATAGGACACCAATTACATGATGTCATCCACCACGATTATCCGGCGCTGACCTATGGTGACACTTGCCGGGCTTTCCGTGATTGGGACACCGGCAAGGCTTTGAGCTGACAAAAGCATTTGGCACTGGGTCCAGTCACCGGTGCTGTAAATCCCGAGCATCTTCCAGAATCGAGTCGCTCTCAACGAGCTTGTGTGAGTAGTTGTCGTACATCGCAGCCAGTGCTTGCGACGCGCCCGCAAAGTATCCCGTAGGGAAGTACAACTCTCACTTTGCCCAATAGAACGGATCCTTGTTGAGTGCAAGAGAGTCAATCCGTGCCTACTTGGCTTTGAACTCCCCTGGGTCAATTGACAACTTTGTGGAAATATTAGGCACGGTCACTGTCACATTCACTTTCGCCTCGAGACAGCTGCTCGAGCGTGTATAGCTTGTCGCCTTGAGGGAATCGTTCACAGTCCATGGGCTGTTGAACGATGGAAAAGATCAAAATTCGCAATTCGACGAAGCATTGGAGTATGCAAACATGGTCCAGGTGGGAGCCACCCAGGAGAGATTGTTGAAGTCGTTGGTCCACCAGCCTTTGCTGTCGTCACAGATCCTTCAGCATATTGATGAAAATGAAGGGGATTCACCGTGTGATGTTGACATTGACGGGTGTAAGGGGAACGGCTGAGAGGTATGAGATCACATCCAAGGCCACAATGTTGGCAATCGAGGTCCAACAGAGGAGCTAGCTGCGCGGCCAATGCCCCCTCGTGTTGAGCGCGTCGAATGGATCATTACACTATTGTCGAGACGGAAATCACAACGTGTTGGAATCCAGGAAGACTCACATACGGCGTAGCCATATGAATGCATGCAGGTCCCATTTTCCAGTTCAACACAACGTCAACAGAGCGGAGGCGTGCCCAGGCTTCGCCGAGCGTGAGTAGACTTCCGTCTTCCGGACGAGCCCGAAGGGCCGTAAGTGCAGAGGGAATATAAGACAGCAAAGAGCGTCGGCGTGAACCTCCAAGTGAAGAGTAGGAGTTCCGAGAATTTACTATCGGGTCTTAGCCCACTAATGCTAATCAAGTATATCGTGATGCCTAGAGTTGCTCCACCGAGTAGCATTGGTGTCGCTATAAGAATTGCGAGAAACGGAACATGCAGAGTGTATGGGAGCCATGTGTCGCTGGTCTTTGTTCCCAGGGACAAGTCAGCGGAATGAGAGTCAGAGGCGGCGACCTTCGAGCTTCGGGGATGGCATGTCTCTGTGGGTGCAATTAGACCGCATCGCTGCCATTTAGATATGTCTGCGGTGGCGAAGTGGTTCCTCTCGCACCAGACTAGGACACGTCAAGAGCTAGAGGAGAGGAGTATCGCACGTGGGATCACCTCGATTCAAATCTGTCCACACAACCCCCACCTCATGATCCGGCATGATCCAGATGTATATGGGAACAACGTTTTGCTTTTCGTCGAGAACTATTTATGAAAACGCCTGTCAGTATCACACGATAGCTCTGACACACGGTCCGAGGACCTTTGGCCTGGAATTAATGGTCATTGCTAGGGTTCAATGTTATAGGGGAAAAGGCAAAAGCTGATACTCAAATTTCCAGTATGACTACTCTTTTTCTCGGGATGTTCCTCGTCGACAAGCATCGCGTAAGAGAGAGAAAGAACCTCAAGGGGCGCGTCGAAGAGATTAAGGAAGAGAGTGTGTTTCTAGGGCCGTTGAATATATCCCAATCGCACACTTAAGCCTGCATTAGCGTCAGTGGTTTTCAAGCTTAAAGCGCTTGCAAGCCCTTTAGCTACAATCCTTCAGAGCAAGCGTTTCACTTTCGCAGGCAGCAAAATTCGCCTCCACCAACGACGTCGGCCGCCGCAGTTGAAGGCTGCCCTTGGGAGCGTCCTTCTCACACAAAAGGCCTGGGCCACCAGAACATAAGGGGGTTATTCTAACGACATGCGTAACGAGTACAGTTGCACGCCGATTCATAGGCATGGATAACATTTAATGCCCCCAACCCAGATTTGACTTCTTTGGCTTGGCCGAGGTACGCCATCACTCGCACCATAGTCCCTTTCCGCTGTTCCCTCCATTGCATGTCTTTCAACGTTCACCAGTCATGCTGTACCTGCTCCCACTTGCCTAATGTATTCTGAACCTTCTCCAGTGGATAACTGGGTAGCTTCCAGGGCCACCCTGTATTTCTACTGCAGAGTTACTTTCAGCCTGTGCAGATCGGAATTTCAAAGGTGTGAGGTAGAGACACCAGATGATTGATAATTAAATCACAGTTCGCCTACGCATCACTCAAACGTAGATTGATTGACTCATCTTCTCACCTGTCAAAAAGCTTTCGCGCTGCCAGGTCTCATCTCAGTCTGTCCTATGCTATGTTTCAAACTCTTGATCCGACCACATTGTCCTTGACGCTCTGCTCCAGTCCTGTAAAGCAAAACCCGTAGGCGGCCTCCAACAGCTCTTCAGCCCTCTTGATCGGGTGGATTTCCGATAGGTCTTGCCTTTGGTCTGGCACGTCGTCCCACTTGTTATTAGGATACTGCTTTCTTAAAACCTCAACGATATCGTTGAAGGTAAAAGGTCTAGCAAATGCAAACACACGCTCATCTTTTACGAATGGATTCGCTAACGCTATGACGTGAAGCCGAGCCGTGTCCTGTACGTTCACATAATACTGGGGCGGAATGTGCTTGATCGATTCGTAATCATTATCCAAGACAGCCTTTGTCCAACGAGCCGTCGACGGGTACCCTTGGTTTTCTGGACTGAGGATCGCGCCGATGTTCGCATTAGGGAGGACTACAAAACGTCGTCAGCGAGAAGCTCAGCCAGTCTTGCTGGGAATGCGACAAGGTATTCAGGCCCTCACCTGTGTTTATCACGAACTCATGTTCATTCTCTCTCGCCCACTTCCAGACCGCTTTTTCCGACTCTGCTTTGCTAGCAGCATATACGATAAAAGCATCCTTCTCGCGAGTCTCCGCTTTCCAAGCCATCTCGATAGCCTCATCATTCCATGACTCAGTAGTAACACTGAAATTCTCTCCTGGCTTCGGCAGAGTAGCAGCCGTCGAGGAAGAAGTATACACAAACCTCTTCATCCCCACACCCTCCTTCTTCGCCGCTCGCAGTGCATGGAGCACGCCCTTGACAGCATTGCCAATGACAACATCTGGGTCGGTTGAGTTGCTCACTGTAGTATTTAGGGTCAGTTATGAAAGCACCCAGAAAGAAAACTTCACAAAAGTGGGGAGAGATAGGTAATAATGTGCTCATAACCTATCTTAAAGGCTGCAGCCTAATATAAGGCTCCAAGGTAAGAAGTGAGAGAGACCACAAATGGCAGCTTTCTTCTGTCTTTTTTCGTCCTTTCTTGTTCTTGAAAGGGTTCAAACTATGTCAGAAAGCTGCTTACTATCGCTCGCAACATGCATAAATCCAGATGCACCTGTCAGGGCGGAATCAAAAGCTCCATCAATAGTCATATCAGAGACTTCGACCAGCTCGAACACCTCTGAGCCATACTTGTTCTTGAAATAATCTTCCAACCATGCATTTCGGTAGATGCTGCGCGTTGTGCCGCGAACCTTATAGCCGGCAGACAGGGCCTGGTCCGCAACGTGGGAGCCAATGAAGCCGTTGACGCCAGAGACGACGACTAAGCTGCCGTAGGGTATACCAGGCGAGGCAATGCCTTTCAGCGGCATGTTTGGGGTAATTCTTGTTAGGGTTGGGATCCGGTGAAGGAAGAGAAGAGACAATTTATCGGAGTAGCTATGTGTGAGCTGGTGGCATTCCGAATTATGTACCCAACTTGCTTGATGTCTCTCTTTCCTTTTAGGTCAATGACGTAACGAGTACATGCAACCGTGCTGACACAGTAAGAGAAATGGCATTAGTGGCGCACCCGGTCGGCTTAACGTTTCTAACCCAAGATCTCAGTATTTCCGGGCATACAAGTTGCAATATTGCTCTCACTGCTTGATTCCACTATTCTGATCAAAATCTAGTCGGGCCATATATTGCTTTAAAATACCTGCATAATTTGACCAGATCAGCATACAAGAGTAGTTCTGCCTCAGTGCACAGTTGACAGCCGACTTAAGAAAGAGGAAAGCAAGAGGGAGATAACAATAATGGAAGGCAAAGTCAGACCGGCATCTCTCTTCTTCACTCATCAATGTCTCCGAGAACTGAGTAGATACTTTATTTGACGTCACAAGATGGACGCGTCTACGCCACAGCATACGCATTGTTCGCTAATGGAAACAAAAGCCTCCAGGACCTGTAAAATGGGATATCGTCTCGGACATATCTCTGAAGAAAGGTAAGATTAATGATTATCTTCCTCCTATGCATTATTTCTGGTTGATGATGGTGTTAGTTGGTACCTGCTGAACCAGTTTTAACCATATAAAATCAGCGCAATGGACCACACTCCTAATAGGTTCTCACTACTGAAGAAGCCGTCGCCTTTGCACGGTCAGTTATAGATTACAAGCAGCCTCAATTACTGCAGTCACCCAATATGCATGAATGCACACTGGCAGATGACGACAGCTCACACAAACATACCCCAACAGCATGCGGAAGCTCGCTCTATTCAATGTTCGCAAGGCTTCAGGACACATTGCAGTGTGATGTCAGCTCGATAGTGAGCTGATGTGTAAACATATGAGTTGCTCAATGAACCCGATACTCATGTATCGTCTTATATGGGTATGCAGGAAATAAGAACCGTGAAACGTAGGGCCGATGTCCAAGCATTGGAGAGTTGTTAGTTGTGCACTGCAAAAATTCCAAGGTATGCAACTCCTCGAGATCTGTAGCAAAAGCCCATAGTCTACAATCGACTCACCAACCTATGAGGATTTTAGCTTGTGTTAATTGTTCTCTGTTGCAATTATTCGTGCACATACGGTATACATGCGATGCGAAGTCAAGAACGCAATCTAGCAAGGCCGAGGGAAGGATTGCATGCCAAGGTTCATTCAAGCTTTGTGTCACCCGGTCACCTAGACTACTCTGTATTGGGAGCAGCTTCCTACCTAGGTAAGAAGCGAAGATGCCAGGGGCCATGAGAGGGTTAGAGATATTCAGGTTTCGTTTCTGGCAGCTGGCCAAGTACTGGCCATGGATAGTACGAACTTACTGTCTCCGCTCGAGCCATAAAGATATTCAGAGTATCCCGCCTCATACACTGGTAATCACACTGAGGAGGGAGACAGGCAGTTTCAATCGCGATACCTCCTCCATATGAATTTCCAATAAGCGAAGATCTAGGTGGGTCTTCTACCTTCTTATGTAGGCCAAAAGACCTTGTAGACCTTGTAGGGCGAGATCCTGGGCAGTTAGGGCGGTCAACAGCTCTCAATGTCGGATATGGATGGTCCAACGCCTCGGAAGCTTCATCATCATGGACCAGCGGCAGGCGAGATGCGATGGGGTGATTGGCCTGAAGATAGCAGATATGCCCTAAACTAGAAAGCCCTTGATAAGCACGATAGCCGCAGATGGCTCAGAAAGGCAGGTCAAAATGCATGTGGTCAGCATGGGATGCGTCAAAGGCAGTCTTGGCGCCACTCAGAAATGAGTCTAGGGGAACAGTGTGGAAGCAGAGCGAGGAGAAGAATGAAAATTAAATAACAGGAAAACGAAAAGTTATCCAAGGGCAGTTAGTCTCTATCATTTGATGTGGTTTCCATTAAAATGCAAGTAATTATGGTTATTGAATGAATTCTTATCAAAAGAGGGTCTCAACCTCAATTAGTGTGAAAGACGTCAATAACATATGGCAAGAATCAAATGAAGAGATTTTTAATTTGTTTTCCATGGTCCAATTATATAGTTCATCTGGAAAGGACTTCGGTCGAAGTTGATCATTGCAAAGGTGTCGTAAGTCTCTATTTGGAACCGAGTAATAAAGTTGGCTCCAAGTACTCATGCCGGCCCCGAGTGATTAGAACCTAGAAATCAGTATGTTTCACAGGTGGCTGTTGACTACATTGCAAAGACTCAGGGCCCCTTTCCTCGGTCAGTGTTCACATTTCAGCTCTGAAATTTGAAGTTGAAGTCTGGCCTTCGCATTGCACTCTCAGTCTTACATTTCCTGCGATTCATAATGGCGGGAGAGGACGATGAAAAAGGGTTCACGCCACTTATGAACCATCAATCTGACGATGGGTCAGATGAAATCAGTTGCCCGAGATGCAGGCACCAACGTAAGCCTCAGCACGCCAAATGGTCCTCTTTAGGCTTAAAGGTCCTTCTCGTGGGCCTTGTGGCCGCCACTGCAATTGTCACTGGCTTGGCGCTCACAGTCTTTGGCTGGATATACAACGAACACAAGTTTTTCACTGACGCCGAGCGTCACACTTGCAATCTGCCGACGGACTCCATATTTGGGAACAGTAAGCTTCTCTCTAAGTCTGCTTGACTAATTGGCCGCAGACATCCATTTCCAGCGGAAAATACTAGTATAAATGACACTAACGCTTCCAACACCAAACTACAGTCCCTTGGCGAACGGTCATCGTTGACAAAGATCCCCGATTCAATGATGTTACCGTTCCGGGTAATGCAGGGGGAGATGGCCTGAATGATGGCTTCGTGTGGAGTGACATTATACCAAGTGAGTAGACTACATGTGCGAGGCTATCACTTGTGCGCTGACTCATTCGTTGCCAGCAACCATGGTCGCCATCCAAGATCCTAAGCGCTTTGGCCTAAGCGGTGGCGGCAAGGACTGGGAGAGCCCAGAAGAATTCGATGAGTCGACCGAGGCGTATACAGTATCCATCATGCATCAGTTGCACTGCTTGGTAGGCCGCGTCCTTCACTTCTAATGGTTCCAGTGGCTTAATACTAATGATGATTCCCCTGTTTCTCAAAATAGGCCGACTTCAAGAACCATTTCCTTACGTTCAGGAACACAAGCATTCTTAGTGAGGGAGATTTCGCTCATTTATCACATTGCGTCGAGATTGTGAGACGGGGCGTCATGTGCAAGGCTGACCTGGCTCTGGAAACCCCCGACGACCCAAGCATTTGGCCACGGCAGCATGTCTCTGGTTGGGGTAACCTACACGTGTGCAGAGACTGGGATTCGGTTATGAAAGCCATCAAGGAACATGCAATCACTCGTGGCACGACGGGATGGAGAAGGATTCGGGAAGACGATCCACCTCTCATTGTGGCTTAAATGACTACAGGGAAGCTGGCGGGATATCCGATTGATGCGAAAAAGCATATGCGATAACAGAAGCCTGCTTGCCAGATGTGCCTCTAGAGCCCGAGATGAAAATATGAGTTTCAATATGATCCACCGAGTTTATGTGACGGGGTTCATATATAAAATTCTTAATCGTACCTCTATTGTTCTTTCAAAATAAGGCATATAAGTTAATAAGTTCAAATGTATATGTGTATATAACACTATAGGGGGGGGGGCAAGAGAGCTTTATATACTATTAACAAAAATAAATATTAATATACTAATTATAACTTCTAATTTAACCCTTTCTAAAGTAAATATTCTAGTATTCTTATATTTATTAAGTCAGACCGACTTTATTCATGAAATATTCTAATACTATATATAATTGGTGGGACATTGTTTTCAAGTTAACTATTATCAGCGTATAAAAGCCAGGCCTGTCAGCTAGTGTTGCCGCTAAACGTGTCCCTTGAATCCTAGCCACCCTATCCACTTCCCGTATTGGAAGCGCCCTATTTTCAATAAATACATACTTATGTATGTAGGCATGCGATAGCTGTTGTGTAACAGTCCTCAGAATCCTTCTCGAGGAGGCGTCCTTGGCGCAGTCTGTATCGGCAGGGCCGTCGAGACCGTCGCGTGAACAAAAGCCCGAGTGGGTGTCGGTCACTCTCAGTGCTGTTCTCCATTCTGCGGATGAACCGAAACGCCAAAAGTCACGAAGAGAATACACATATCAATGCCAAGCGAAGCATTTGAGGCAGAGGCGCTCCCTTCAAGCGAATATTCATTAGTCCTCCACGCGTAGCTAAGCCTACCAGCTTGTCTGACTGTTTGGTTATTCAAGGCCGTCGGCGATCCTCCCAAATGGGGTGAGATGACTGTATTGAATCTCTCGGTTGTACGTAGATGGGCGGGCAGTCACCCCCATATCGCAGGCGTGCTGCGCATGTAACCTGATTGGGCCTGGGTTGGTTTCGGGATAAGACGCATGTGCGCATGGTTCGCTATCTCCGCTGCTATCTTGCCAGTACTATCTCACCCTCGTCCCCCGGGACGCGCTCATTGTGTGGCTGACCTGCCTTGACAGACCACTTTGCAACTGGGATGAAGCAATCAAATCAGATCATTATCTCCGGCCCAACATGGTTGGGTACACCCCACGTCCTCTAGATCCTTCACGGATCAATCCTCCGCTGGCGAGCACCCCTCAGCAGCCAGAATTCGAGGTCACATGGCGCTCACCATGAGAAGAGCTCGTATCTGTGTATTTCATTCGTGGAACGTTGCGCTGGATCTAAGTTAAGTATCTGCACGCCCCGAGGTCCTGGGCGATGGGTTCCGAGGTCCCTGGCTGTAAACTCGTCCTCTTCCTGGCCTTCGGCACCCCTCCTTCTCCTGGATTCTGCGTCGCATTCGCGCCTTGACTCTCGCAAGGCATTTCTACACAAAGAAAGCTTGAAAAAAAGGAAAGAAAAGAAATTGCGCTGCTAACTCCCTTCCCACGAGGGGTCTTGCTTGCAAAGTGACTGCCTCATCATGGGATCCAGCGAGGAATATGGCCGGGAGAAGTCAGCCCCCCCGTCGCCACATGAGCAGCACGTCTTGGCCCAAAATGATGTAGACCATGGCGCAGACAGCGAGCTGCAAAGGCGCCTGAGCAGCCGGCACATCACCATGATTGCCCTGGGCTCATCAATTGGAATGGGGCTATGGCTCGGCAGTGGAACGAGTCTCATCAATGGTGGCCCGGCTGCACTTCTTATCGGGTGTAAGTCTCTCTTCTCTTCCCTTGTACCGTCTCGTTGTGTCGCAGGGAATCTACTGGCTGGGGACATGAGAAGCTCGAAGGCTCACATTTTCAAGACCTTCTCTCCGGGACAATGATTTGGTGCGTCTCGCAATCCATCGGCGAGATGGCCGTTATGTACCCTCTCCCTTCGGCGTTCGTGCAATGGACCAACAAGTTCGTCGATCCTGCAGCTGGACTGACCCTAGGATGGTGCTATTGGTTCCAGTATTGGATCACCATCGCCAACGAGCTGGCCGGCCTTGTGACCGTTCTCAGTTTCTGGACTGACAGGGTGCCTACCGCTGCGTGGATCACAATCTTCTTCCTCGTCATCGTCGCTATCAACGTTGTCGCTGTCAATTGGTTCGCCGAAGTCGAGGTAATCTTCGCGAGTATCAAGTTCGGCTGGATCTTTGTCGTTATCATATCTATGATAGTTATCTCTGCCGGCGGCGCTCCCAGAGGAGGTCCCATCGGCTTCAGGTACTGGAACGAGACCGGGGGTTTCACGAACGGGTTTAAGGGCTTCTTGTCCATAATGCCGACCTGCATTTTCGCCATGTCTGGTTCCGAAAACTGCGGCCTAGTCGCAGCCGAGACCAACAACCCGCGCAAGTCTGTGCCCAAGGCTGTCAGCTCTATTTGGATTCGTCTGGCCCTCTTCTGTGAGTAAATCAAAAGAAGTCTTCTGCTCAATTCCCTCCGTCTCCTGGAAGCTGTGCTAGTGAAGTTCATTAGCTCAGACACTGGACCAGGCTGATCATGTATCTTAGACATCCTTGGCTCGCTCATGGTAACCATCACTGTCAGTCCTGACAACCCGGATCTGTTCGGTGGCGAGGGCACAAACGCTTCACCCTTTGTCGTAGCCTATAAGGACTCGGGCTTGATGCCACTTGCCCACATTATGAACTTCATCATCTTCATCTCCGTGTTGTCGACCGGCAGTATTTCTGGCTATGGCGGATCACGGACTTTGGTCGGGTTGGCTCAGATTGGAATGGCACCAAAGGTTTGTAGAGCCCGTTTCCTTCGCTTTCAGGCTCGCATAGACCAATTGTTTCATTCGTTGACTCTTTGTCGCCATCAACCTAGCAAATGCTCAAGGCAGACAAGACCGGCCGTCCCTGGTTCGCTCTAGTGCCGACGCTCGTCATCGGCGGTGGCCTTGCTTATCTGAACGTCAGCGAAAGTGGAGCCGAGGTCTTTACCTGGTTCTCTAATTTGACTTCCCTCTTCACCCTATTCGGATGGGCCATGATTTGTTTGTCGCACATCCGCATGCGCCACGCCTGGAAGATCCAGGGCCGCTCTGTCGAAGAACTCCCATGGAAGACATGGACATTTCCCTGGGGTGCATACTGGGGTCTCATCTGGTGTATCCTTCTTATCATCGCCGAGTTCTACCTAAGTGTTTGGCCGTTGAGTGAACCCATGAGTGCCAGGAACTTCTTTGCCAACTACATTTCTATTGTTGCCGGAGTCGTCATATGGCTAATCACTCGTGCCTACTTTTATGCTACCAAGAGGCAGGGCTGGTGGGTCGACTCGCTCACTGTCAACCTTGACGAAGGCCGCAGGTTCTACTCTCGGGCAGCCATTGAGGATGCCGAGAAAGGCGGCATCAGAAAGTCTGCTTTTGGATGGGTCCACCACATCTAATAGCTGTGAAGACGGGTTTTCGCGAAATGTTTAAGAGCCTCACAACTTTCCACTTGGGGAACAAGAAACCCTTAAAGCCTCGAGTAGCCGAATCCTGAGCTATGATACGCATCAAGCTGGGCATGTTGAAGCGGTGAATGAGGCAACATCCGAGGAGAAGCGATATGACCAATGGTCGATGCTTAGCTATTCTTGTTAGAGCACATGTAATGCACCTTATGGTCGTGGCACTTTCGAAAAATGTACAGAAGTATCTCCCTTTGTCTTGCTTGACCTTTCGTATACTTCTAATCACATATACCCAGCATTACATTGAATCCGTCGTGCACGTATTATGGGATCGCGACCATTGTATTCCTGCTGTCGTTGCTTCCCCGGCTGAACGGACCGAGCTCAGCTAAAAAAGACCCACTGTTCGGCTCGCGGAGTATCTAAATGACTGCGCTAAAAGACACGTGCATCATGCAACGGTAAGCAACGATGCTGCAGGCTCGACGTTTTAGACGACGCGTTCGATCATCAGACGGGACGGGACGAGAGCGTTTCATCCAGCGGCTGGACTCGACGGCCCACAGGCATTGGACGTCAAGTGAGCGCCGGCGCTTGATTGGTGGGAAAGCGGAGTAAAAGAGCGCACTTTACAAAGAATATAATGTGAAATGTACTTTTTTTCCTTTCGAAACTACATTATTGCTTCGAAAAGATGGCGATTTGCTGTGTCGATATATAAATCGCTATGTATTCATATTCAGTACCTTTCTCCAGCATCTGTGTAGGACCAACATGACGAAAGACGGTTCATGCAACTCTGGCTCGGCCGGGGTGCAAATGTGACCTAGGTTATGCTATCTACCACCCTGGCTAGTCATGTTAACCCACAGGGCCGTTTGACAATCAGGGGAGGCCATGTCACCATGATACAATGCAGCCAGAGCACAATTTAGAGTGTCGATGTGTCCGAACAGGTGAATACCTGGGTAGGGCAGAGTGGCACAGCCTGGTGAAACACGGCAATTGCGAAACTCTAGTTTGACTCGTCGAAAGTGAGGACGACATCTGCATTGTATGCATGTGTTTTTGAAGCACTAGCTTTTTCCCGGGGGAGCGGAAGGGGGGGGGGGGGTTGGACGCATTTTCAGGTAGCAATCTTCACCGAATTATCTACCACTGTAATATTGATATCTATAGGTAGATCTGTCAAGCTTAAGATTGCCGAAGTTTGGAGCATCCAAATTTTGGGGAACAGTACCACTTATTCGGGCAAGGGAAAGCCCCCTTGAGTGAAACAAATCCAGGGTAGGATGCCCGTATTACCTGCGTCGAGTCGGCTGTCTTATGTACATTTGGTATTGAAGCAAACTACATTTCAGTTGTCATAGGCCCTACAATTGATGTGAAGTAGTGGTAACTAGACGGTAGTTCTGGGACGCATTGACCCCATCAACCGTCGAACGACTTTTATTGTAGCTTTAGGGTCAGTCACGGGAGGTCTACAAGGTCAACGCCCAAGACAACCGCAGAAATGGCTGGCTTCGAAACCTCGTTCTCCTTACATGCCGGGTATATTTCGATCAGGATGGGCTCGAGGCCAGTCTCCCGAGCGGGTCCCATGAGAAGTAGCATCGATTCGATTGGTGCGTCCTTATGCTTAGGTGTACATAGCCTAGACATCTGATTGCGGACAAGCTCTAGCTAATAGTAGGAACTGATAACCTGAAGCGTATTTCACCCCATCTAACGTGCACAATCCTTAGTCCCGATTGGTCTGGCACAGTCAGTCATATGTAGGGTCCGAAGATGAGGATCTAGACGGCGGCTCGGATCTTCGATACCGTAAACCTTGATTTCATCGTCCCCACGGTTCTCCTTGTCTGACCAGGATCATCTTCTCGAGACGCCATTCCGATATGGGCTGAGTGCTTGACTATATACCTGAGCGGCGCCAGACGTTCACAATTGTTCTACACGGTCGTGTTCCTTTGGTGGGCTTTCCTCAGCAGACCTCAATGCTCATTGCTCCTCAAACAGACTGCAGAAGCACGCTCTGAGTGAGGTTCACCTTTGATGTTAGTGACAACAACCTCGTTACATGAGCCTTGGAATGGGGTACAACAGTCATCTCGAACCAGTGCCCTTGGAGCCGACTTCTCCACTCCAGCAGGTCGGAATCTTTCTTGTCTTCTCCTCCACTGCGTTGGCTGTCGGGATAACGGCCCTGCGCTTGTACGCCAAAAGCAAAGCAAGGCAGTTTTGGTGGGGTAAGCGTATTATGAAGGCCGTCTCCTAGCTTGAGAAGACGATGCTGATGATACTCACGACAGATGACATACTCTTGTGCATAGGCACAGCCCTGTCCATCGCGCAGGCTGTGAGTGTGTATTTTGCCATGAAGACTGCATACTTTGGTATTCATATTGAGGAAATTCCTGAACACGACCCGGTCGTACCGCTGCGGTGGCAGTTCATCATTCAGCTCTGGTACAATCCAACACTAGCGGCCGTCAAAGCATCAATACTTCTGTTCATGCTGCGGCTTACCAGCCACTTGACAAAAATCAGATGGACGATCCAAATCCTGAATGCCTTGAATTTGGGAATGGGGGTGGCGATCTTCGTCGTGGTGATTATGCAGTGTGACCCCATTGAGTTCAACTGGGACAAGTCGATCCAGGGCGGCATGTGCATTAATCAGGGATGGTTTTACTTATCCACAGCGACGTTAACCATCTTCACCGACCTCCTAGTGCTAGGTCTCCCGTTCTGGGTATTCCTCGGCCTCAACATGCCGCGGAGTCTCAAGATTGCAATCATCTGTGTCTTTCTCGTTGGTGCAGTCGTCCCTGCCGTCGGCATGTATCGACTCATACTTCTCTACCGGACTTTCTTCGAATCGCCGCCTACGGACCCCACCTACTCGATAAGCCTCACCAGCTCTGTCATCGAATGCAACCTGGCCATAGTGTCATCCTCAGTGCCCGCTCTTCGTGGGTTATTCCGTTGCTGGCTGCCCCAATTGTTCTCCAACGGGAAGCCCAGCAACTACCCTTACAGTTACAGCATCAATATACCTGTGGGAGAAGCCGCACAGCATGTCGCCTTCAGCGGATGCCCTTCCAAGACTATCACGAATAAGACCTCGACGAGGGGCGGCTTGCGACATATAGACGGAGAAAACCCGGCTGTGACGGATGAGAGTGACAGGACAATGTTGGTGATCATCAAATTGGAGGGCGGCGGCAGCTTGTCTCATGTTATGAATGACAATGTTTTGACTTTTGGAGAGCCTCAACTCAAAAACTCGGTGAGTGCGGTGTAGCTTGGGAATCAGAATGTTGAAAAGAGACTGCAACGGATCACAGCACAGTCAGCAATATGATACCGAATAAATCCATGAAGGTGTGAGTCAAGACCTTGGTGGCTGGCCCTAAATATCACCAACACATCAGAGTGCAGTTGTTCACGTGCGGTGTTACAGCTTTGCGTTCACAACTTGTCCCTTAAGCTCCTTGGCGATGGAGATGCCTGCAGCTCGGCCGGAGAAAATGCAGCCGCCCAAGAATGTGCCTTCGAGAGAATTGTAACCGTGGACCCCACCACCGCCGAACCCAGCCGCCTCGCCAGCAGCATATAATCCGGGAAAGGGCTGGCCGTTCGGCTTCATAACGTTGCTTGCAAGATTCGTTTCCAGGCCTCCGAGGGTCTTTCTTGTCAAAAGGTTCATGCGTACGGCAATGAGGGGCCCATGCTTGGGATCCAGCAACCGATGCGGCGGCGCCACACGGCTTTTGCTGTCGGGCCAATAATTGCGTGCGTTGTGGATGAGCATCGCCTGTGCATCTTTCGAGTAGGCGTTGTGAAATTGGCTGTCGCGAGTTTCGACGACGTCCTTGATCTTGCTGTATTCTAGTTGGGGGCCATCCCGTTCCCCGGCAAGCTTATTCATGCTGTCGACGAGGTCTTCCAGGTTGTCCTTCACGACGAAATCAACTCCGTGTTTTTGAAAGTTCTGAACGGGGACTGTGCCCTTCTTGCCAAAAACTCGAGTCAGAAGCTTCCACCAAGACTCTATCCAACCTCTTGTTAGCAAAGCTGGCATTCCGACCTCATCAGGAGATTATTAGAGGAGCGATGTAGTTTTTAGCACCAAAATCTACAAGCAGTGAGGCTAGACTAAGAGGTGTGTGTGTTGGGAGGGTGTGGTGGGTGGTATGAACGTACTGCCAGTGATGTCAGGGTTTTGCTCTGAGCCCGATAAAGCAAATTCTCTGGCGATAATAGACTGTGTAAGGATGAACCAGGTATAGTCGTATCCGGTGCTGCAAATGTATTTGAGCGTAGCCAGCGTGTCGGTTCCTGGGAAGAGGAAGGGAGGAAGCCGTTTGCCGGTGGCATCAAGCCATAGAGACGATGGCGCAGGCAGCACGCGGATGCCGTGGTTTGGCCATATGGGATCCCAGTTGGCGAGCCCCTCGGTATAATGCCACATTCTATCCCTATTGACTACATGGGCTCCAGCGGTCTCAGCGATGGAAATGATGCGACCGTCAACATGAGCTGGGACTCCAACGACAAAGTGCTCGGGGACTTTTGGACCGAGTCGGTCCTTTGGCCACGAGGCCTTGACTGCCTCGACGTTGCCTCCGATGCCGCCGGAGGAGAGGATCACGGCAGAGCCATGAAGCTCGAATGAGCCTGACCTGTTCCTGTTTGTCTTGACCCCCCTGGGAGAATCATCAGGTTCCAAGACGCTGCCCTTTACGCCGACCGCCCTGCCGGTCATATGATCGATGATGAGCTCGTCAACCATGTGGCGGAATCTAAATTCGACAACGCCTTCCTTTGCCTTGGCTTTGACAGGCTCAGCAAAGACCCTTACGACCTCGGGCCCAGTTCCCCAGGTGAGGTGGAAGCGGGGGACAGAGTTGCCATGGCCACCGGCCGTCCCATCGCCCCTCTCAGCCCATCCAACGTTTGGAAGGAAGCCCAGGCCCCTGGCCTTCAGGTAGTTCTCCATGTGGTCGGTGGCAAAGTGGACAAAGGCCTCCGCCCACTGACGGGGCCAGTAATCGTCCTTGTCGCGATCGAAGCGGGCCGAGTTGAACCAGTCTCTCATTGCCAGTTCGCGCGAGTCCTTGATGCCCATCCTCCGCTGATCCGCTGAGTCGACGCAGAAGATGCCGCCGAGGGACCAAAAGGCCTGGCCACCGAGATTGCCCTCGTTCTCCTGATCAAGGATGACAACAGGTATATCGTTGCGGCTCAGTTCAAATGCGGCAACAAGCCCAGCGAGGCCGCCCCCGACGATGATGACTGGCTCATGAACGTGATGCGGAGCCATGCTGGCTAGGTCGTGCCTCTATCGTGCCTCGGTGGTGGCGATAGGTAGACGACTTGTGTGGTAGGCGCACAAATAATTGGTGAAGGCAAAACAAGAGGACCGGGACCCAGGAGCTCAGTATGGCTCGAACATGCACAGTTGAAGTACGGTTGATGGTTGCCGGAGCAGGGCTGGGATGATGTAGAGAAGAGGGCAGTTGAGAGGCTCAGAGAGTTACGGGTCTCATCTGTCTTAGACGAATGCCTGTTTGGGGTTTCCCCACGGGGTTTAGGCTCGCAGGGCAGCTTTGCCTCGGCTTGCGACGCTGAGAGCCTCTCCACCCACCTTTCCACGGAACGCTTCCTTGGAATAGGTAGACCTACACGTACTCGCTGCGCAGTCAGTGACAGGCTGCATGTCTCAGGCACCGTGCATTCTATGAGAACAACTGATTCCCAAAGCCCACACAATCCCCCCCCCTCCACACCACCACCTTAATCCAGGTAACCGTCCATCGTCGCCTCCATCTTCACCACACGGTCACAATCACATAAGCACATTGCCTCTGAGGTGTCCGTCTGGTCCATATGATCTGACATTTCATCACAAATCAAATGGATCAGTCGGGCACAGACGTGTGTGCTGGCAGGCAGACTGCAACAAAAGCAGCTCGTGTGTGTCGAGCGTCTCTCTGCATCGTCACCCAGACGAGCCACTCGGGAACATAGAAAGCCACCAGAGAGAAAGTATTTGTAACAGTAAAAAATGTATATGTGCATATATATATATATATATATATATATGCACATACATACACACACACACAAACATGTGTAAAACACCAAAAAATGATGCAATTCTTCTCTCTCGCCGGGAATTGAACCCGGGTCTCAAGCGTTGCTGCTTCCTGGATGGGCGATGACAAGCTTGCATACTAACCACTATACTACGAAAGAAGTCTCTTTTCTCGGGATTGCCGAGGTAGCTGGTGGGCTGGTGTTGGAAACTCGGCCCATTTGGTATAACTATATTGGCTGTCTGATCTAGGTCTGCAACGGAGCCAGACCTAGGCTGAGAGGGTGCAGCTGGTCTCACGCAAACCGACTCGCCGGATTCTGAGGCATCATTCCCCACAATTCTAGCATTTTGGGTAAGTGACCTTGAATATGTATCTCTTTGCCCTGATCAGATACCTGCCATTTAAATGGATCAGACTGGACGCATGTAGATGAATGTGGACTGTGTATAGAGCTGCTCTGGATGCAGGATGCGATACTATCATGGACTACCTACACTGTACGCATACACTTTTGGCCGCAGTGGCCACGCCAGCTCACCATCTATTGGAGCAGCTATGTTTCCATCCCATGCGCACCACTTTGCTGAATTCATCTGTTGATTCGGAGGGCCATTCATGGCTTGTGAAACAAGATAACACAACTTAGGGCAATGACAACCTGGCACATGATGTTGCAGGCACGTATCTTCTCCGCGCTGCTCATTGTAACAGTAGACGCCGAACCCAGACAGGACATGCTCTGACTCCTTGTTGGACTTGTCCGAACCGTCACAGATGTCACGAGAGTCGTGATTGACGACGTCGCAGCCATGTCGACAGAGGGAGTCGCCGACAGCAGGGGCAGGGTAGCCGTCTGCGACTGCCACTGGCCATTGGACATGAAGTCAAGGATCGGCTGGGCGCCCCAGTTCGACATTTCCGCCCCAGAGCTCTTGTTTCCAGTCATCTGGACGTGCTGTACTGGACACTGGATCAGACACGGCTCGATGTTGTCAGGCGGCCACAGTCGTTGATGCTGGTATCGATGGCCTGTAACCCTGGTTGCGCATATGCAAGTGAGCAGCAGGACTAGCATGGTCTTTCTAAATGTTGTAGTAGGTTCTAGATACTTTCGGCCCGCCACGTGGCCATGTTCAACAGGTAAATCAAGGTATTCCTCGTTTATCTCCGTCATGTTTTGAGATTTTCGATAAGTCTTCAAGTCTTTCGTGGAGGCTTTGGCCGCTTTGCCTACGAAATATCTGCCAAAGTTGTTTGGTCCATAGAACTTATATTCAGGCACAGACTCGACTTAAGGAGGCGATACACTACGCCAAGTCTATCATATTTGGTAAGCCCACGTCAGTCCTGCAATGCTGTGACTCGATAGCTGGAGCGTACCACGAACAACCAAGCACTCCCTCCAGGCACGCGGCTCCGACACATTCTGACCCTGAGAGACTACGTCAGAGCTTCTCTTTATCCTGGATTGATGGACTTCTGTGGCGTACCAGGCGACGAAAGGAGCCCCGTCTGCACTATTCACATGGAACTTGACAGGGCACTGACAGTGACTCGCTTTTGCCATCCTCACAAAAATTCATGGCTTTTGTGCCGCACATGTGAGTCACTAAATCCGAGTCACTGAGGACAGCCCAACAAAAAGGGACAACAATGGAGAGAGAAGGTCTCCGCGGCATTATGTGAATCTCACGCATCTTGCCTGGATAGGAAGTCTCTATCTCGTACGGACCCAGGTGAACGAGTCATCGAGATGCCCTGGAGTTAAGCCCCGCCACAGAAATTTGATATATTTGTTGAGATTTTGACTATCTATCTCCGCTTCTTTCCCCCATCAAGGTAGTAGGTGACACTGCTATTCAGATAGTCACATTGAAGCTGGTCGACAAAGTTAGAAGTAATTGAGGGATAGTCTAGTTTCTTGATGGGTCCCGTCATTTCGGATACTTCAGGCCACGGGCCCGCTTCATGGATAGCCTTTATCGTATTCTGGTAGCCCCTGGCTTGTAGATATGCCAGATCCGGATTCGGCTCACCAGTACGGATGAAGCTGCCAAAATAGCCGCTGGTCAACTGAATGGTGAGCAAGTCGTTGATATCGCGGTAGCTGGCCCGAGACCCGGGGAGTTAGCACTCGCAACAAGAGAACACAAAAGGGAGAGACACTCAGACTATGTTCGCTGCAAAGTAGTGGTGGAATGGATACTCTGACAAAGTGTTCAAATGGGTAAGCACGAGTCTGGGAGCTAACCTGTGTAGAGCGCCGAAGAAATTCGGTATATCGGAAGAGTGGACCTTGTAGTAGAAAGTATTTGGATTTCCGAGAGGATACCCTGGAGTGATGGCTCCCGAGATATCGAGTCCAAGGGGGTTGTAGGCCTCCTCAGGATAGGCACGAACCTATATACACAACATGAGCATCTTCTTCAAGAGCTACTCATATTACCATGTAATCAATGCAACTAAGCCCAATGACTTACAGACTCGTAAAAGTATGCTGCAGGGACAGCACCGGATTGAGCGCCAGCATATACCGTCGCTTCGCCTGCGCAACGCCAGACCAGGTCTGTGTTAACGCGAACAGAAACATTCACCGAATCTGCAGTGAGATTGCCAGTATCGTGGAGTGGGAACAGCCCTGAATCGATGATGTGCTGGGAATAATAGGGCGAGATGGAAAGGTTTTGCTCTAGACAGTCGGCTTCGTTGGTGCATGTCTTGCTATAGCTGCCGACTGAAGCACCGTCATCCTCGGCCACGCCAAAAATTATAGGCACATAGGCAGTGTTCTCATTGCTGGAGGTCAGAATGAGCTGTTCTGTGTTGATGACCTGGCCGTCTTGAACAGGATAACGAGCGACAGTTGCCAGTGAACTTAGATCCCCAGTATATGCGGTAAGACAGGTTACTTGGGCAGCTAAAGAAGTCTGCTTGCAACCTGCCTCAGTGAAAATGTTCTCGCCGGCGATACTAAATGATTCGTTGATAGTATAATACTGTAACTTGTTAGTCTCATTCAAATCAAAGGGGGATAAATACAAAACATTAGATGCCACTATCTCTGGATCTTTGAACAGCTGACACTGGACAGATACAACCTAGTCGAGATATAGCAGCTCCTAAGCAGCGCAAGATGGAATCGACCTTCGGAGGGTTATCTCTTACCGAACTATATGTAGTCCCATAACCACTTCCCAGTCCGAGAGCGAAATCGAGGCCCAGGTTGGACATACCGACAGCTCCGTGGAACTTACCAATAGCCTTACGGGACCCCAACATAACGCGGACGGAACCAGCACCTGCGGACTGGCCGGCAATTGTAATCCTCGTAGGGTCTCCTCCAAATTTCTCAATGTTTGCGATAACCCAGTCCAGGGCCGTAATTTGGTCGGCGAGCCCGTAGTTGCCCGGTAGGTGGCCTGGAACGGCGAAGAATCCGTAAGTGCTGAGCCGGTAGTTGACAGTCACAGTAACGACATCCTCGCGAGTCGCGAATTGGCCGCCATTGCCAGCCCCTTGCCCACCTGCAGTTCCGTCAGCACACATAACATCACATCATTGGGCTCATCGAGTAACCAACCAGTGAAGCCTCCTCCATGAATCCAGAAGACAACGGGTCTGAGATTCTTTGTCGATCCTACCCTTGGGATGTAGGGGGTCTCGATGTTGAGAAAGAAACAGTCCTCGCTGCCACTGCCGTACTGCAGACATTGAGGCCCGGCCAGCTGAGCAGGGACGACTGAGCCATTCCCAGGGTAGACCTCGGTATACCTGAAGCGACCGGGAAACTGAGCATAACGCACCCCGGTGAACCAGAACGCCTTCTTGTTTCGAAAGCCTTGGTAAGTGTCACCTGACTCAATGGTGATGGTAGCCGTCGAAGGGACCGGGCTGAATCCACCGACGTCGTTACCCGGCTGTGTCTGTGTGCAAAGGACGGGCAGGGACTGGTTGGTGCTGTTTTTGTGAGGAACCGCGTGGACCGGCACGTTGTCATTGCCGAGAGTGGCGATCAGGATGGCGTCGTCAACCCAGAACTTGCTACTGTTGGTGTAACCGGCGTGGGATTGATAACGCAGCTGCAGGCCGAGATCAGTGGCATTCTGAACGGGGATCTGCGAAGGAAGCAGCTGCTCGTTGAGAGCTACACAAGCCGCTTGTGCCTGATCGTAGGGCAGCGGGTCCAGCAGTAGCGCTCCAGCATGGTTGATATCGTCCTATGAAACCAGGTCAGTCCGACGCGAGCTTCGCCCCAGGGACGCGACCTTGGTTTGAATGGACGTACTGTGAAGTTCAGGTTGTTCTGGTACAGGAGAGTCAGGCTGGTGTTGATGTTCGATAGCGGTACTGTGGACGTGGCTAGAGCAGTACAGACCGCAGGAAGCAGGGACTTGAGCAGCATTATGGCGGCGATGGAGTCGTGTCGAGTGGCTCAGTCTGGGCGTGGGCTGTACTGACCACATTGGAGGCACAGAAGCCACCGCCGCCTCAACTTGTTTCAATAAATAGAAAGAGAGAGATATATATACCCACCTACCTACACGCTCCCATGATAAGCGCTGTGAGGCTAGCCGCTGCAGATGGAACCATGAGGCGCACCAGGCGCGCCGATGCAGGGGCAAGTGGACGGATGGGCGGATGGACGGCTCCGCGTCCCAAACCGTTCCAGAGAGCAGCATACACATCGAACGTAGACACGGTACAGCAGAGACGGCCACCTGTTTCTTCCGGCGATCCTCGAATCGTCATCAGCTACCTAGGTCTTCCAGCTAGCAGGCATAGTGCCCATCGCGCAAGGCTGTCCCCTATCGTGGCCCTTTCTCGTCCGCATGTGCACTTGCAGTTGGGGGAGAAAGAACGTCGGGGCAGTTGTCGCTAGCTCTTGGTACAGAAGTCTGGCGGTCGACGCGCAGGCCCCAAGAACCTGTGGAGCTCGTAGACCATCAGGGGCAGACAGCCAGCAATCTGGACCGGTAACAGCTGGATAAGTGTGGTTGCCAGTTATTACTTACCTTTTGGGCAGTTCGCAGGGCAGTGCACTTCCTAGTTCTGATGGCGGGTGCACAGATATTCTTTTAGTGAAGCTTTGCACAAAGGTGAGACCCCGCCAGCTTAGACTCTTTTTTTGGTTGTTATTTTTTGGCGGGGTGGCAAGGGGAGCTTGGCTTAGCTGTACAATCCATGTCAACAACAACCCCCACCTCGGTTCACGACCACGGCCACTCCAATCGCCACAATCTCAACAAAGGCTTCGCCAGCACGTTCTGAAATCGCGATCAAGAGCATTGACATTCCAGAAGAAGAGCTGCTCTTCTCGCCACAGCCATAATCCTCTTTGAACACCGCCGGCTGGCTGGCTCCCAACACGCCCAAGCTTCTACGATGCCTCCGAACCCCTTCCTTCTGGCAGCGGACGATCCCGCGGCGCTGTTGGCCCTCCTTCGTGACAGGCCGAGTCTGGCCTCCCAGCAGGACGACCATGGCTACTCCCTCCTCCATGCAGCAGCAAGCTATAACCAACTCGAACTCCTGCGCGCCCTCGTCAACGAGTTCAATGTACCTGTCGACCTGCGCGACGAGGACTCCGAGACCGCGTTGTTCGTCGTCGAGACAGTCGATGCTGCCAGGCTGTTGGTTGAAGAGCTTGGTATAAACACAGCCGCGACCGGCGACGAAGGATTGACGGCGCTTCAAAAAATTCAAGAGGACGGCGACTTTCCGGCAGTCGCTCAGTACCTTGCTGGCAAGGAGGCACCCGCGGATAGCGGGCAAGGTGCCGTCAATGGAGCCAGAGCCAACGGCGATTTGCCACCGGTTCCCCAGGGCCTGTCGGTCAATTTCGGATCAGTCGATGAGGGAGAAGCCACTGGTGCCTCGCCAGACCCCGAATTTAGGAGGCGCATTGAGGAACTAGCGGCCAGGGAGGATTTTGACACGGAGTCAGGCCAGGCAGCGCTCCGACAGTTGGTGGAGGAGGCTGTCGCAGGGGAGGAGCTGGCCCAGGAGCGAAACGTGCGACCCAGGCAGGGCTGAAGGACGGCACGGGCTAGCTACTCGTGACTTCTGACATCCCACAGCAGGTACTCGCTTGGCGAGCCTGGCAGTCGAAGAAATGTGGACTCGGCTATGTCTCCATTGATGCCCTTGGGGAAGGCCGAGACTGCCAGGGAAAACCATGATTGCGAGGGCAAGGCGAGGATCGCCTCGACGAGTAGTTTGCGGGCGAAGCAGGGCGGCAGAAGCCCCTCCCAGACGACGGTACATAGCCTCGCGCAGGGCCATTGTTCCGACTCGCCAGGCGGGTGGTACCGACTCAGATATGGGTCAACCGAGTCCGCCGATGACACGCGTGGGCTTTGGAGGCGCACGAGCGACAACCATTCGTAGACTTCGCTTGCGAATTGGGGGAGCTCTCCATCTCGGGTGGCGGTGTCAATTCCGGGAGGTCGCGTCAGAGGTGGCATCGCGACATCGAGATGGTCAGCGGTCTGTGGTGACGACCTAAACTTGGTTGGCTGGAAAGCTTCCAAGGGGTCGGGGTCAGGGGCTAAAGGAGGACGTCAACATGGGGCGCATGTAGGAAGAAGAGCAGACAAACAAAACCCGAGGCTCACTCTTGTTAGACACGTTACAGAATAGCCAGGTCAGTGGCTCCGTGAGGGTGTTCTTGCAGGCGTAGACAAGCCTGTCAAAGCCGGGTCTCCCATGTAACATTGATGGGCTTCGGAGGTCGAGCTCGACCACCCAGCGAGGCCTCAAGCCCCTGTTTCCCTTTGCGCCGTGTGGCTTGCCGACCAGGCCTGCGCGCTCGTACGTCTCCTTGTCCAGACACATGGTAAGCTGGCCGTCCTTCAGGGTGAAGACGTTGTCAAGGCCATTGCGGCCGCGGGACAGCATGACGATGTCGCCTATCTTGATGTACTCGGTGAAGAAGTCGCCTCGTAGAATCTGCAGCAGGGTCATGGTGACCCTACAGAACTCTGGCGCAGGCACGTTGCCGACGAGCCGCTCCTGGACTGCCTGCCATTGGTCCTGGGGCATGACGAGGTCAACCTGCACGGCTGCATCAGCACATAATGTGAACGTGAATCTCGTGTTTATCGCAAGGGTGAAAGTGTGCCCCAGACAACAAGAGGAGCATTTACCTTGCTGACCAGTCCATCGAGCAGGACTGACGACCACGGCTTGCCCCTATCTTCCCATGCTGTCGGCAGCTGGTGAGGGTCAATGTGAGGGAGGCGGCCGTAGCTGAAGAAGCACTTGGACTTCTCGTAGACGGATGGCTGCGCAAACCCGAGCATATTGTGCGTGTTGCTCGGCCCCAGACTGCGGCTGGACTGCCTGGTCTGAATGCACTCCCACAGTAACCGAGTGCGACTTCCAAGCCAATGGTGTTAATCAGATGGCCACATGGCAAGACAGATTGTTAAGAATGGCCTCCCTCCAGATTTTGGTCCACAGCATAGTAAACAAGAACCCGCAGGCTGAGCGGTGGTGCCTTTGTCAGGTAAGAAACAAAGGCGCTCAATTGCATGTGTGAGAGCTTCCTTTTATTAGGTAAGCAGGTATGGGTCTAAGCATTTTGTGCTTATGTATTTACAGTAGAACATGTACATAGTAAGGCCTGCCTGGAAATGTCCCCAAACGAAGCGTCTTGTACAGCCACACCACGAGCGAGTCTCGCCAGCAACGGTCACGTCGCTACCCTTCACTTCCTTCAGAGGCCCCCAACACGAAGGCAGAGAGACGGCAGTAAGGAAGCCATAATTCCTACCTGCTCTTTGCTTAACATGCATGGCCAGACAAGATGGAACGGCCCATGACACACCCTTCTATGTGATTTCTACTCTCGCTTCCCATCCCCATCGAACCCAGACCGCAGACCGCAGACCGCAGACCGCATGCTTCAGACCCCAGGACTGAGGGCACGGTATCTCATCACCTCTTGGCTCTTATACCTCCTCTTTAGCCGGCGTGCGTCGCGTTGACACGGACCAGGTCTCCTGCCCCTAGCACCAGCCCCAACATGGCAGAGGCTTTGTTCCTCGTCCGCTTCAGCCAGGCGCACGAAACCTTCCGCGTGCCTGAGCTGCAAGCCCTGGCCGAGACCGAGAACGTTCCCGTCACCATAGTATCATACAGCAGCCGCGTGCCGTTCTGCATCATTACTGGGCCCCCAGATCCGCACGCGGCAGCCCGCCTTGTCCGCCGCGCCATCCTTACCCAGGCCGTCTACGAGTACTGGGGCTCCGGTGAGAGCCTTGACGAGCTGCACCAGGCCGTCAAAGAGCGATCCTCGCACCTGTGGGAGCAGTACGCCGCCGACTCGTGGAAGTTCAACATCGACTCCTTCCAAGGCACGCGCAGCGCCGACTCTCGCCGTGACCTCATCAACTCCTTCCGCTACATGCCCCTCCGCGGGCCCATCAGGATGAAGGACCCCGACCAGGAGTACACCGTCTTTGAGGAGTGGCCACCCGACTCGCCACGCCTGGGCCTCGGCCACCCTGATCGCTACCACTTTGGCCGCTTCCTCGGCAGGGGCGCCCGCGACATGGTCGCGCGCTTCGACCTCAAGAAGCGGCCCTACATCTCTACCACGTCCATGGACTCAGAGCTCGCCCTCGTCACCGCCAACCTGGCCCTCGCCGCCCCAGGGAGGCTCTTCTACGACCCCTTCGTCGGCACCGGCAGCTTCCCCATTGCCTGCTCCGCCTTCGGCGCCCTGAGCTGGGGCAGCGACATCGACGGCCGCGCTGTGCGCGGCTCGGGCAACGACGCCAGGGCAGAGGCCAAGAGGGGCCTGGTCAAGGGCGAGAAGACCCTCCGCGGCAACTTCAAGCACTACGCCATCCTTGACAGGCTGGGCGACGTCTTCACCTCGGACCTGACCAACTCTCCGCTGCGGCGCCTGTCATTCGGTCTGGGTGGCAAGGGCGGAAGGGCGCGGCTGTTCGACGGCATCGTCTGCGACCCGCCCTACGGCGTGCGGGAAGGTCTGGTGGTGCTCGGGTGCCGGGATCCAGAGACGCGGCCGTGGGTCGTTGAGGCCGGCCACGAGAGACTCAAGGACCCCAACTTCGTGCCCCCCAAGAAACCCTACAGCTTCCTCGCCATGCTTGACGACATCTTGCACTTTGCGTCAGAGACACTTGTGGACGGCGGTCGGCTGTCATTCTGGATGCCAACGGCCAATGACGAGGACCAAGAGATCCCGTCGCCGGCGCACCCCTGCCTCGAAGCTGTCGCCATCTGTGTGCAGCCATTCAACAAGTGTAAGTCGTTGCTCCTACTGCTTCAGGCCAACTACTCTAAGCGGCTCATGCTCCGGTGCTGACATTTTCTTCTTCTTTTTTCTCAGGGTCGCGCAGGCTCATCACGTACCGCAAGCTGTCGGACGAGTCTGTCGACGAGTCCGAGTTGCAATCATGGAGGGCAAAGGCGCAGAGACAGCATGCGGGCACGACTGCAGACGAGCTCAACCCTTTCAGGAAGGGCTACTTTAACAAGTTCCAGATAGACGCCTCATCTTGATGGCAGGCCCGCCAGCCCATACGCAGAAAATGTGCCTCACAAGCTGCTTCTTGTTTGTATCCTGAACCGCCCAAATACCGGGGTCGATTGTGATAAAATGCCACGCTGTACCCAAAAGCGTGCGTCTATGGCACTGCAGACAACCTCGCTTGGAGAGGAACGGACCCCCTTGCCGCCCTCGAAGCGCCCTTCGTCCGGCCCCTCGGCTGGGAACGTCGCCCTGATCAGCCTGACGGATGATGTGTAGCCCTCAAGACCTGCCCTCGCCATCCATATGTCATCAAGCTCATGTACGGTGTCTTCGCTTTCATGCTTATATATTACCAACCGCCAACTCCATGCTCGGCGTCCAAATTCTTACCGGAACTCCAATGCGCTGTAGCAACCCTTGTCCTCAACGTGTTTCAATTCAAGTTGCTGGAATCTGCAAGATTGTCAGCAGAGTAGGGCCAGACGCGTGCTGAGTTCGTGTGTTTGCGTGCTTTTGGCACCACCATAACACGGGGGGGGGGGGGCACCGTTGCCTCAGATCCACTCACCTCTCGCTCTTGCTGTGGAAATAAATGCCATTGATCTCCCCTTGGACCTGATTAAAACAAATATAGTAGAACCCCTCAAAGCTCGCACCGCTAATCGTCCGCACCCTGTGATCAGGGACGAGGAAGTGCTCCTTCCAGCGCATGAAGATATGTTCGCTCTGCGCAATGTCCTTGATTACCACTGCGGAGCCTCTACGTGCCTGCTTGGAATATGGTCGGAAGGCGGGGAATTTGGACCAGTGCGATAGGTCGGTCTTATCGTTGGCTCCCCAGCTCTCGTGTTTTGTCATGAAGCCATACTTGTTCCCAATTATCTCGCCCTCAAAGTACGTCGTGAGCGTGGGATGGTCATCGGTCAGCCCTGGCGAGAACAGACGGAGAGTCAGCATTCTGGACCAGGAGCGCATCGCTTGGTTGGCTGAGGGGACAAACCTTGGATACGGAGGTAGCCGCAGAGGAACGATTCCCGCAGGTCGACATACTTGATCTCAACCTGAACCTCGTAGACTTGCCTCTCGGACTGCTGTGTCCCTGTGAAGCGGCTGCCTGCGCGCAGGTATGTTGACGGCGAGGCTGGTATTATCTGGGCATTGTCAGTTAGTCCCGGGCCAAATTGCTCTCAGACCCATACGTACCCTTTTAGAGGGGAATCCATATCCCATACTGGGCAGAGCGTAGTCCTCTTCCGTCGCATGATCAAGGTCGGTGGATGTGTGCATGTCAGGGTCAGATCCAGACGGCGCGCCTGTCCCGACGCCATGGCGTGGCCTCGAAAGACGGAGGGACTCGGGCGATGTTATGTCGCAGGGAGAGTCTGTTCGTTCGTCGTCGGTCTCTGCCATTGCTTGTTGGTCGATGCGCCCTTGGCTGTCGGTAGTGGAGGGACTGGTCGCTGCCATATCGGTGGTGGTTCCATCACTACTCAGGAACTGAGGACCAAGAGGGCTTGTTGTAGAGCTCGGGGACGCGCCGACGTCTTGCTCGAGACTTGAGTGCCGCCCAGCACGTCTGCTGACGTCGTGGGTGGAACTGTATGCATCAGAGCGGGTGTGCCAGCTGGTAGGAGGGTGCTGTGCGGTCTGTTGTTCCTCGGGGTCTGGACATGTGGCGGCGATTGTGTACGGAGGCTGAGGACCTGGCGAGGATGGAGTAGGCATGACTGGAGGATAGTGTATGGCTCGGGTGGTTGGAGATGTGTTCCCGGCGGGAATGCCTCCGAAAGCGCCGGCTTTGAGAGACGAGGGGGGGGGGGGCGGACAGGATTTTGGCAGACAGGCGGTCCGCGAAAGCCAATGATGTAGATACTGTGGCAGGGAGATGACTCGAGGCAGACAGACGCCTTTGAGGCGATTGCGGCGACGAGGACGGGCGAGCCGGTCGAGGCAGGCAGGCAGGCGCAGGGCTCGCAGCCTCAGAGGCAGGCCAGGTCCTGCAAGATGAATATCGATGGATGCGGGATTCCGGCTGTCAATGACGACGGTGCTGGCTGTTGTGGACTGCGCAGTGGGAAAGTACCGAGGGTTGATCTAGATGGGACAGGATAGCCAGCATGTGGCACCCGTGTGAACGTTGGGTGCCGGGTGCTGGACGCTGGATGGCGGATGTTGAGCGTTGCTGTGGATGCTGGATGTTGGATGTTGCGCCTCTGAGTTAACAAATGCGCGGTAAGATGTGGAATTGGGAAGCGTCGCGCAACGGAAAGTGGCAGTCCAGTCGAGTCGAGTCGAGTCGAATCGAGTCGTCGGGCCGGGTCGAGTCAGAGTGAGACGAGGGTTGGACCGGGTCCAAGGTTGGGGAAGGCTAGGCCCAGAGCGCGACGCCTGTGGCACCGAGGCAGGGCTAGGCACGTACTGTGGTAGTCTAGATAGTCCAGGTAGTATGCTGGATACCCAAGCTGCTGCTTTGCCCCCAGACACGAACGGTGACAGGATGACGGGGCGAGGAGACGAGCGGCAGACAAATAAAAGAAGAAGACAGGAGGGGGGGGGGAGGAAAAAAAGATACCAGGCTTGGGAAGAGGGTACCAGTGAGGAGGAAGGCAAAAGATGACGGTCTAGTCGTCCATGTAGTCTTGGTCTGTACTGTAGACTATGTATGGTCTTTGCATTGGAAGGGCGAGTAGAAGGGACACGAGCCCACCTGTAGTACACACCGTCACCGTATGCACACCTCCTGCCTGCGATGCGAGGGCCCGTCGCTTAGGGCCTCGGCCAGTGCGACGGCACCCCGGCCTACCTGGGCAATCAACCGATTACCCTGCAGACAACAACGACAGGCAACCTACCAGCCTGCCAACCAGGCACCATGGCTCGACTCTCTGGCCTTGGGAGCCTGCACGCATCACATCACCTTTCCACCACACTTTCGAGTATTCTGCGTACAGTCAGTCCATTCGGCCATGGATTGGATTCCGGGTCTGGACACGCCATCCATCCCACGCGCATGACCCCTAGTATGAAGTTCCTCCAGAGTCAGGAATTCCAAAAGTCTGAGGGGCTGGAGTCAGGAGCAACGGCGTGACCGACTCGTCAGTGTCTGGACCGATTACATCAATCAGTGACCCAATTGCCCCGGCTCCTCTCTGTATCTCGTGCCCCTAGCAGATGCAGATTCACTATGCATTGTGAGACGGTGGACTGTAGACTCTACGCTCTAGACTATGGCATGTAGGCGCTTCCTCCGCTGGGACATGCATGCCAAGTAGTCGACCATACGGAAGCTGGCCATTGCTTTTGCTCATCCTCGCTGTCGACTGTCGACTGTCAGCCCCATATGTCCGCCCTTTTCCTCTGCATCCACGCTCGCTTTGCCTTCTTTGCTCTGACCATCCAACCCCTGCTGTGAGAAGACACCTAAGTAGATTTACGCCGTGCCAGGCCGAGACCCGAACCCGGACCCGAACCCGAACTACTTCCCCCCCCCCCCAACTGCTCCCTTCCAGAGCAGCAACGAAAAACAAGGGGTATCATGGTCGTCGTTTCCTCCCCTGGGCCATTCAGATGGGCTTGATCTTGAAGTGCAGAGATATCAGGGAGAAGACAAGAGCCTTTAGGTCTTGCACCAGGTAATAGAAGACCCGCAGGCCCTCGGGGTCGGCAGACTCGGTGACATCGTGGAGGGAGCCGATCTTTGCTGTCTCAAAGCTGATGTGGTCGCCGCCCATCTTGATCTCGAGCTCCTGCCTTCCGTCCTTGTTCTTTTGTGGCCACTTGCCGTCGTCTTCCTTGAGGATTTCGCTCGACTTGATGATGCGCTTGATCTCCTCGATAATAACGGAGCTGACGCACACTAAAACGCAGTCCTTCAGCACGTGCCGTCGAGCTCATGGGTTTGTGGGCGTGTGCGTGCGTTGAAAGATTGGCGGGTGGTGATGGCGGTGTTGGTAGGGGAGGGGGGAGGGGAGGTGGCTAACGTACTCTCCTTGCGGATGAGACTGTCGTTCCGGTAGTTGGAGTTGTTTGCGTATCGTGCGACGGCGCTGCGTCCGTCGCCTACGACTCGGAAGTCGAATTCTGTCGCGACAAAGGCCGTCAGCTATCCACAGCATGGTCCACAGGATGAGGGTTGGAGGTGAAAAACGGGGTTGGGAAGCAGAAAACGAAGAACACAAACCCAGAAACTCATGGCCGAAGCGGCCTGAGTGGCCAGAGTAGTACCGGATATAGAAGGGCTCGTTGGCGGACGACATGGCGATGTAGTCAAAACAGTCAATACCAGGCGCGTGGATGTCGCAGATATCAACCATAGGGTCTCGTCATGCTTAGCAGCGGACGGCGGATACGGTGACGGCGGCAGGCAATCGGCTGTGTGTTTGCAGGTAGACTACATAGACCAGGTACCTGCTGCGAAACCTGGGCAAGCTGTGGGGGCCGCGGCAGGACTGTGGGGAGGTGTGTACAGTCTGAGAAGGAGTAGCTGACAGGGCTGGGTTATCTCAGCGGCCCAGGGCCCCTTTCTCGCGGTCACCAACCTAGGTTGTACCTTCCTAGATACATTGGTACCCAGATACCTTCCTCAGTAGTGTGCCCTTCGCATCTGGCCATGGCCGCATTGATACTCAACTGCTTGAATTGTGGTGAAGCGGCCAGTACGAGATGGATGAGAACTAAAGAAATCCAAGTTATGTTCCGGCAGAGCTGTCTTTGATGCTGGGAGTCCAGCAGGTGCCCGTTGCCAGAGGATGTGATGTTGTAGATACCACCATACTGTCTACATAGTCCACCTAGGTATCTAGATACCTAGCTCAGGTACCTACCTAGCTCGCCTAGGTAGCTGGGCTCTCACACGCGGGCCGGAACCTGCCAATTTTCCACCTCCGATTTGAGGACGCTTGGACCAGGCCGGCCAATTGCGATGCGAGGCTGTTAGCGTCTTGGTGCCACTGTGTCACTGGGTGCCAGCCTGGCACCCTGGCAGCCCTGGGCACTTGCACTTGCACTTACAGTAGCCCAAGCAGCGGCACCATAGCAGTACCGGGCGGTCCAGCAGTCGGCAGGGCCAGATCTCAGCAACACAGAGACGAGAGACGATCCATCTCTGGCCTGTGAATTGCGCCAACTCTCGCCTCCCTCCACATCGCCCTCGACAACGCATTTGTTGGTTGCTTGAAGCCGGCACTCAACCCCCTCACCTCTCTCTTTAACCCAATTGAGCTTTCGGTGCCCGTCGTTATCCCACCCCCACTCCCCTAACATCGCCATCAGCCGACTCCAAACAAGACACCTGTCGACTGCATCAGCCTGGGGAGCTTCGAGTCGCCCCAGTCCCGCCGTCGACAGCAACCGCCGCCCTCGCTCTCGGACCAGGGCCACAGGACGAGCACCGCCATCAGTCTGACACGTCTCGGGAAGCTCGTTGGGCTGCCCACAACTCCCCCAACATGTCCTCCTTCCTCGAGAATGCCTACAGCCTCGTCCACCAGGACAATGCCGCTGATGTCCCCTCCATGTCCGAGCTGCGGACACAGCTCGAGAAGGGCACCGACGAGAGCAAGGTCCAGACCATGAAGTCCATCCTCACAATCATGCTGAACGGCGATCCAATGCCTCAACTTCTCATGCACATCATCCGTTTCGTCATGCCATCCAAATCGAAGCCCCTCAAGAAGCTCCTCTACTTCTACTACGAGATCTGCCCCAAGCTCGACGCTGGCGGCAAGCTCAAGCAGGAGATGATTCTGGTCTGGTACGCGCCCATACGGCCTGCTGCTGCTGCTGCTGCTGCTGCCGCCGCCGCCGCCGCCTCCTTCTCCTGTCATGTTAATCCCATGTTTGCCTGAATGCTGACAGCGCTTGTCCCGCAGCAACGGCATAAGAAACGACCTCCAGCACCCCAACGAGTATATCCGGGGTAACACCCTGCGCTTCCTCTGCAAGCTTCGCGAACCCGAGCTCATCGAGCCCCTCCTTTCCTCGGCCCGATCTTGCCTCGAGCACCGTCACGCATACGTCCGCAAGAACGCCGTCTTCGCCGTAGCTTCTATCTACCAGCACTCTCCGTCGTTGATACCAGACGCGTCCGACCTCATCGCTACTTTCCTCGAGACTGAAAGCGACCCTACGTCTAAGCGAAACGCGTTTGCCGCTCTCGTCAGCATCGATCACCAGAAGGCCCTGGCATACCTGAGCTCCGTCTTCGAGGGCATCCCCAACGCCGAGGAGCTATTGCAGCTGGTCGAGCTCGAGTTCATTCGCAAGGATGCCGTCCAGAACCCCCAGAACAAGGTAGGCCCTCAGGCTTTTGTGAGATAGGCAAGGGCAATTGGATGTGCTAACGGCTTCAGGCGCGCTACCTACGGCTGATATTCGACCTTCTTGAGGCCGGTGCGTCCACGGTCGTCTACGAGGCCGCCTCGTCGCTAACCGCCTTGACGAGCAATCCCGTCGCTGTCAAGGCAGCTGCAGCCAAATTTATCGAGCTGAGCATCAAGGAGGCGGACAACAATGTCAAGCTGATCGTGCTCGACCGGGTGGACCAGCTTCGGAAGAAGAACGAGGGGGTGTTGGACGACCTCATCATGGAGATCTTGCGCGTTCTCTCGAGCCCAGACATTGATGTGCGCCGGAAAGCCCTGAGCATCGCCCTGGAAATGGTCTCGAGCAAGAACGTCGAAGAGGTCGTGCTCCTTCTCAAGAAGGAGCTGTCCAAGACCGTGGATCAGGAGTACGAGAAGAACACCGAGTACCGCCAGCTCCTCATCCACTCAATACACCAGTGTGCCATCAAGTTTTCTGAAGTGGCGGCTAGCGTTGTCGACTTGTTGATGGATTTCATCGCCGACTTCAACAACACGTCTGCCGTGGACGTCATCAATTTTGTCAAGGAGGTCGTCGAGAAGTTCCCCAAGCTACGGCCAGCTATTGTCCACAGGCTAGTTGACACGCTCAGCGAGGTGCGAGCTGGCAAGGTATACAGGGGAATTCTATGGATTGTCGGCGAGTACTCCCTCGAGGAGAAGGACATTCGAGACGCGTGGAAGCGGATCAGGGCCAGCCTCGGAGAGATTCCAATTCTTGCCTCAGAACAACGTCTGCTCGACAACGTCGACGGCGAGGAAGAGAAGGAGAAGGACCAGGTCAACGGTCATCATAAGCCAGCTGCGCCGACAGGTTCACGGAGGGTGCTTGCGGACGGTACATACGCAACCGAGACTGCTCTCACCAGCCAGTCATCCGCTGCTGCCAAGTTAGAGGCCGTCAAGGCAGCGCAGAAGCCGCCACTCAGGCAGCTTATTCTCGATGGCGATTACTACCTTGCAACGGTCCTTTCAGCAACCCTCACAAAATTGGTCATGAGGCATTCCGAGATCTCGTCCGAACACGCCCGGACGAATGCTTTGCGCGCAGAGGCGATGCTGATCCTGATCTCCATCATCCGGGTTGGTCAGTCGCAGTTCGTCAAGGCGCCCATCGACGAGGACTCCGTTGACCGGATCATGTCATGCGTGCGATCCCTGGCAGAGTTCCGTGAGCACAAGGAGCTGGAAACTGTCTATCTGGATGACACAAGGAAGGCCTTCCGTGCTATGGTGCAGGTTGAGGAGAAGAAGCGGGCCGCCAAGGAGGCTGTCGAGAAGGCAAAGACGGCTGTGCAGGTCGATGACGTCGTGGCCATCCGCCAACTAAGCAAGAAGAACATGGGAGATGGGTCGGACGACGTTGAGGTCGATCTTGAGCGTGCCACGGGCGGCGACAGCACCGCGACAGAGGATCTCAGCTCTAAGCTGAGCAGAGTCGTCCAACTCACTGGCTTCTCGGACCCCGTGTACGCCGAAGCGTACGTAAAGGTCCACCAATTCGACATTGTGCTTGATGTGCTCCTTGTCAACCAGACCACGGAGACCCTGCAAAACTTGTCTGTCGAATTTGCGACCCTCGGAGACCTCAAGGTCGTAGAGCGGCCAACGACACAAAACCTGGGCCCGCATGATTTCCACAACGTGCAATGTACAATCAAAGTCTCGTCGACCGACACGGGCGTCATTTTCGGAAACGTTGTATACGATGGCGCTCACAGCACAGATACGAACGTAGTAATCCTCAACGATCTACATGTAGATATCATGGATTACATCCAACCGGCGACCTGCACCGAGACCCAATTCCGCACGATGTGGACGGAGTTTGAGTGGGAGAACAAGGTTAATATCAACAGCAAGGCCAAGACACTGCGTGAGTTCTTGGATCAGCTGATGGCGGCGACCAACATGAACTGCCTCACGCCCGAGGCAAGTCTCAAGGGCGACTGCCAGTTCCTGAGCGCTAATCTTTATGCGAGAAGCGTGTTCGGTAAGTTTCAACTGTTTTTTCTTGCGCCTCGCAGGTCTGATGCTGATTTCTCAATCACAGGTGAGGATGCTCTGGCGAACCTGAGCATCGAGAAGGAAGGCGAGGATGGTCCTATCACAGGTTTCGTCCGGATACGTAGCCGCAGCCAGGGCCTGGCGCTTAGCTTGGGAAGTCTCAAGGGACTGAACAAGATCGGGACGTCGGCTTGAGTTGCAACGTATTGAGAATTATAGATAAGAGGTGACGGGACTGGTTAATTACAAAAGCCCATGATGAAACAGAAAGATAGCAGGAAGCATAGAGATATGCACACTGCTGTCTCAAGTAGCCCACACCACAAAAGCTACCATGATTGAATCCACTTACTTGTATGTCTGTGCTGTGGTGCACCATGTCAAACTTGCCTTGGAGTGTACCCATATCGCCTTAATTATGTCTGCATTGTCTTGGAATATGCCCTTGGTCCAAGCACATCAGACCAGACTGTATGTATTAAACCTCTTGAATTATAAGAACACCCCATCCCTGCCTCTATGTAGACACTGTGGTCCGAGACCTGAGAGATAATCATCTCCCTCCCCTATTCAGATCTTTTCTGCTCTGGAGAAGAATGTTGACATGTGACATTAACATCAGGCTTTACCCTCCAAATGACACTTCCTACGTTGCATAGGGTAAGAACGTTGCCGAGAATGTTACATTCGTCGCCCCAAGTCAACACCTTTAGTACTCCTCAATAAGATGAGTTATAGTTATCCCGTAGGAGGTTATAAGTATTATTAGATTATCAAGCCTTGGTTTCAAAGCAGATAGAGTGGTTTGTAAACTTGGATGGACATTGTGAAAAAAGAGAAATTGGCATGCAGCAAAGGGGTATCTCAGTACGAATAGCGGGATCAAAGCCCTGACAAAGATGCGCAAAAGCCAAATGCAAAAGTTCTCCCAAGTCTGTAATATGATGATCTGATGATCGGGTGGTTTGTTCAAAGCACCACGGAGCCACCGTGGCTGGGCCTTTCGCGCAAAAAAGAATCATGGTGTACATGGCGCTGACGATCAGCAGACTGAAAATGAGGCGAGGCTCAACAGCCAGGTAGATTGAGGCAGCTGAAGAGCTTAGCTGTAGAAATACCGCTCGACTGTAACTAAGTGTCGGACTCGAGCGTGGACTACCAAGTGACGCGGAAGGGGTTGTGAGATATTGGGTGGCTGATAAGAGTGCAAAACCCAGTCCTTGAGCCAGACCCGCGAGAGGGCAGAGTTCTCCTCAGCGCGCCGGTTGAATGAGGATCATGTGATGAAGACATGGGCAGAACATGGCTACGATCGACGCTCATGGTCGAAATCGGCCGCCGCGCAAGTCCTGTGGTTGCGTCAGGGACAACGTGAACAGGAATTTAGCGGTGGACCTGGCCAAGCTCTATGTGAGGACTCGTCGGCGGCTGAGAGGACGCGTTTCGTAAAAGTCCAAGGAGCCCAACCTTGAAGGTCGGGAGTTTAGTGTGTCAGTCTGGACACGAGGAGGTTGGTAAACGGCAAGATGATCCTCACGACCTTGAGTTTGAGGGTTCTGGGCATGCATAGGGTAACTTCAGGCAGTCTGGTCTTGGCGAGCCTGTCCAGACATTGATATTCTCGTCAGACTGCGCCTCTGGTTCCTAGCGGGGAGGCTCGTAGACGAAAGCATTGATAACCTGGCCTGTCCAGCCCTGGGCTGTGAGTGAGGTTTTGTCTTTCAGAATTTTGCCCATGTGAACGAGACGAACACGGTAGCCAGAGTGGAGCTATATGCGGGAAGGCAAATCCTGTCAGTCGTGGTGATCCTTGTTGAGACAATGAGAACCGGCAGCGGGCCAACTTACGTTAGTCTCCTCCAGGATACGGTGAGTAATGCTTCGGACGGACTCGTCCTTTCCAATGTCAAGCCTCAGGTCTCTGGCGTTATTGCTCAGGCGAATAATGACGAGGGTTTGGTCGGAAACGTTGACGACGGCCTTGCCCTTGTCAAAACGGCGTTGCTCTGCCTCATCCTCCCCACCGTCATCGTCTTCTTCGTCATCCTCATCGCCGGCGGTGACATCCTCAGCAGTCTTGGCCTCTCCAAGTTGATGATTGTCAATTTCTTCGTCGACAGATGCAAGATTGCGTGGATCAGAGACGATATGGGTTGGCAGCTGATAGTAGTTCCCAAGAAGGTCATAGGCGCCGTCAGCAAGGTTGCCGGTCGGCAGAGTAATGTCGGCGGCGTCGAGGATGGTCTGGGCAGTGGCAAGAGCAAGGGCAGCGTTGTTGTCATCGCCTGGGACGTCATAGGGGCCGTCGCGTCTCGCAGTATCGGCGGCCCACAAGACCTCGAGGGCAGCATTCAGGGCTTGCCAAATTTCAGGCCGGCCACTGACCCTGGTGTCGAAAAAGTCGGTACGCTCGCGATCCAACGCAGTCCTGGACCAAATGCGGTTCTTGGAGGTCCACTCGCTCCGACGCAGAGGCTTGTTGATGTGCTGATCGAGGGGTCTGCGACGGTGCCGACTGCGGTGCTGGTGAGATCCGGCACGATCGAGGTCTGGTGCATTGGGGCGGGCGGAAGGAGGCTGAGGCTGCAACTGAGACTGAGACTGAGACTGAGACTGCGACTGCGACTGGGAAAGGTCGGCGGATGGGGGCTGGGCTGGAGGAGCTCCACCGGGGTAGGGAGAGTTGGGACCCCGAGGCAGCGAGAAGCAGCAACCCTGAGCTCAACAGGTCAGTTGGCGATGCTCAGAATGTCTCTTTGCGGCTTGGGGAATACGCACCATCTGGAGAGAGAAAGCGGGGGCAGCCTTCCTTCCAAGGCTGGCCTTTGCTCCGTCCTTGGAGTGCGCTCCAGGCTGAAGGAAAGCTGATGCGACTGTCGACTGTCGATTACCGACTACCGACTGACTGACGACGGACAATCAGGCCTTCCCAGCTTCTTGGTTGCTCATACGCTCATGTCGGTCTTGGGCTGCTGTCGTCGCATCCTCCAGTGTGGGATCTGGTCCGATCAGTTTGATCAGTTTGATCAGTGCGATCCAGTCGTGCGTTGCAGGCACCTGCGAGTGTGGGGCTAGGAAGGGGTGTTCAACGACCAAAGGTAACGAGTGGACTACCAAAGTGAAGGGAGGGAGGGAAGGGAAGAAGCTTGTCGGACCGGATGGCAGCAGTCGCTGGGTGACTCGAGGGACCGGGGCACCGGGTCAGTTCAGATCAGATCAGATCAGATCATCAGCAGGGTACGAGGGTCTGTCCGCCCAGGATGGGATGTGGGGCTTCCCAGCTCCGTGCAGACCCACTCGACTCTCAACCATCCATCCTCTCTGCCTATTGAGCACGGGAGAAGCGCCAGATACGGTCGAGGCGGATCGCCGAAAATCGACGACGCACAGAGGGTTTTCTTACGGGTCACCCATGTCATCTCACAATGTCAGGAACACCGGCAGTACCCTTTGCTTACAAGATTTTACGAATTTACTCCATGTCTCGCGGGTGCTTCAGCAGGCACGGCCATGCATCGATGAGCCTCTGATAGGAAGCAGTCAAGGCAAAAAGGATAGGCCCAGCATCAGGCCCAGCCAGCCCTCGCTCCGTGTGCCTTGACCAGCCATCCCACACTTGAAGCGCCGCCGCATCACCACAGATACCCTCTGCACTTGTCACTTTTGCAGAGGCACCGCGTCATCTCCTCCTGCAGCTTCTCGTCCCGGGCGTTGCTCTCGATCTCCCCCTGCCTGTCCACATAGTCGAAGGTCAGCTCCTCGCCCTTTGCAATGTCGCAAATCGCAAACAGGGCAAGGTCGTGGATGTGCTTGTCCGCGTGGTCGCCCACCCGGGCAAAGATCCGCAGGTTGGGGTCGCAGCTGTGGTTGATGAAGCGCGTCGGCCCCGACATGAACTCGCCGTCCACCTCCAATGGCGCCCCCTTGAGCCGCGGGTCCATCGAGTCGGGGTCTGTGAACTTGTCCAGCCCAAACAGGTAGACGTCCTTGCGCTGCGCCTTGGACGAGTTGTGCCGTCTCTTCTCCGCCTCCTCAGGCGTGATGACCTCGCCCAGATAGCAGTCCACGAACTGCCCGCGCTTCAGCTCCCGCATCGTCTTGACCCCCCAGCCGCGTTGGTCCCTCGTGCGGAAGATCTGTAAGGGCACAGTCCGCCCCTTCTCGACGACGCGGTTGGGGCAGATGATCTTGATGCAGTCGCACTCGTCGTGGCACTCGTAGATGGGCGCCCGCGAATTGAGGTAGGAGCCCCGCAGCAGGCCGGCCTTGGCCCCGTGCGAGTGGTAGGCAAAGAGCTTCTTCAGCAAAGCGCCGCTGCCAGGGCCGTTAGCGTTGTGGTGGTGGCCGTTGGCAGCAGCGGGCCCAGACGTGTCCCTGGAGCCGTCGCGATTGGCCCTCGACCTTGCCCAGGCTGGCTTCTTCAGGTGCTGCTCGGCCCACTGCCAGCTCTCCTCGTCTTCGTCGTCGAGCTCGGCCTCTTGTTGGTCCTCGTCGTCGGAGCACTCCACCTGGTCAAGGCACACGCACGCGGCGCCCTTGCAACCATCAGTGCCAATACAGTGACAGCCCGCGCGGAACTCCTTCTGGGCAGGCGTCACACCAGGGCCCAGGATGGAGCGGTTGATGAAACTGAAGTTTGGAGGCAGAACGGCTTTATCGTCTGTCTCGTTGACGATGGTGACTGGGAACTCGCCGTGGGTGGGAAAGGAGCGCAACTGACAGAAATGACAGGCCTCGCGTTCGGATGGTGAGATCTGGGCCAGGGTCAGGGCCACGACTTAGTTCGGTCAAGACAAGGACAAGACCAGACCCAGGTGCTTCAGCGGCAGACATACCTCAGACCCGTCACCGTGGCGGTAGAAGTGGCGCTCTGTGGCTGCCTCCATGCTGTGTTTGTGCTGTGTTTGTGATGTTTTGCTTGATGGACAGCCACAACAAAATGAGTATGAGTGGTGGGTCTGTGTGTGCATGGGGAGGGGGGGCGTGACAGAGACAGGTGGATGATGAGAGAGAGGTTTGAAGCATAACCCAGATGTCTCTCACCCTCTCCCGTCGCGCGCTGCTGAGGGCCGGCGTTGGGGCGAGACGCGTCTGGAGCTCACAGCTAGCAGCTACCCCACCCGCGTTCAATTAACGGACGGTGGGATGAGCTTCAAATGTGGGGCAGCTTTGGGGGCCTCAGCAGGGGTTGTGACATTGAGACTACGTACGGCAACATGCAGCTTCAACAATTGCAAACCGCTACGCCCGAATGGAAGCTACCAAGGTGATCGCACGAGGCCGTCTCATCTCAATGGTAAGGCCCACACATCTACCCCCGACCCGCATTTCTCTTTGCTCTCGTCAATGCTAGCCCAGCTTCTCGCGGACCTGTCAGCTCGTTGTACCATTCAAGGCCAGTGCGAATTCCCGCAACGTCCTTTGTCCCCCAAGCCCTCATGCAGCCGATACCTCGCCAACAGTCTTGACAAAAGCCTCGGGGTCATGAGCGAAGCGGCCGAGGAACAGGCCATCCGCCGAGTCTTTGAGCTTTTCGAACAGGCCCGGCCCAGCAGAGCCCCCATAGATGATCCTAGTGGCTCCTTGCCGCTCCTTGACGCATGGCAACTCCCGCAAGGCACTCACCACACCGACGACATGCTCGGCTGCCGCAGGTTCTGCGGCACCGATGGCCCACACCGGCTCGTAAGCCAAGATGACTTCTGCCGCGTCTGCCACCGCCGCCATGACTGTCTCCACCTGTGTCGCGCACTGTCCCACTGCCATGCTCACCATGCCCTTGGTGCGCTCTCCGACGCACACCAGCGGTATGAGCCCATTCCTGGCAGCTGCAGCCGCCTTCCTCGCCGTGTCTGCATCCGTCTCACCGAACAGCCTCCTTCGCTCGGCGTGACCAACCTCAACAATGCGGCATCCCACCTCTGCGAGGACAGAGGGAGACACCTCGCCCGTGTAGGATCCAGTATCCTCCCAGAAGGCATCCTGCGCCCCTACCATGACTGCCACACTGCTCGACTTCACCTGGGAGATGACTGAGGTCATGGTGATGGCATCCGGGATGATGAAGATGTCGACCGCGTCGGCACCAGGAGTCTCTGCGAGCTGGCTCACAACGTCAGAGACAAACTGCGCCGTCCGCTGTGCCGAAAAATACATCCTTTAGCTGCCATCAGTGCGGGCACTCAATGCGAGTACAGAAAGACAAGAGAGGGCTCGTACTTGGTTGAAACGCCAACCAGGCGGCGGCGTTGTTTCTGCACAGGAGTGGCCATGGCGGAGAAGTGAGAAGCTGGCTGATGGAAGGGCTCAGGAAACACCGAGAGGTGTGTTGTTCTTGACGACACCCGTTCAGCATCCGAGAAGTGGGAACTGATATAGGCGGGTCTGAAAAGTAGGGGACACAGCTAGGACGAGGAACAAGAGGTATTGATTGATTGACCTTCGAGACAAGACACGCCCTCTGTTCACAGACCCCGGGCGCGACACAGGGGCTTGATCGGCGGGGCGGAGAAATCAGCATGAGAGCAGACCACCCCGTCTTCCTTACCTGCCGTGGATAACCTTTGATAGTCCACTCGCAGCCTCTGACGAGCCAGGCCGCGACATAATAGGCACGCACACCAAAAGGGCTTCTACTGAGAGCTGGCAACCCGCATCCTGTCATAAGTACGGGTGAGCCTCTCAATCTCCTACCACATCACGTCCAATTGCAAGGCAACCAGCCGAGTCTGGTTCATGCATTTATTCATCAGGGGTGTGTGGAAGGCAGGCCTCTCTTCACAAAGGCACATTGAACATCACCCCGACTCCCTCTCAAGATCCCGAATGGCATCGACCTTGCTAGCGCTCGCACTCTGTTCGTCAAACACATACCCGAGCCATTCCTTTGCGAGTCTGCGGGCCAGCTCCAGCCCGATCACCCGCTCGCCCATGCACAGCACCTGAGCGTTGTTGCTCAGGACTGCCCGCTCGACGGAGAAGGAGTCATGCGCCGTGACCGCCCTGACGCCCTTCACCTTGTTGGCCGTGATGGCGACCCCGAGCCCTGTCCCGCAAATCAAGAGCGCCCTGTCGACCGTCCCGTCTGCGACCAGGCGAGCTGCCGCCGCGGCGCGGTGAGGATACGCGGTCTTGTCGTCAGTAGCGAACGACCCAACGTCCTCGATGTGCTCGACTCGCGGATCTTTGGACAGGTCGGCTTTGATGGTATCCTTGTATGTCACGCCCGCGTCCTGTCATCCCATTCATTAGCGACGGCAGTGAGCGGATACGCGACCAGTATACAAGGTTGACTTACGTCGCAGCCTACCGCCACCCTCCACCTCGGTGTCGCTCCGTCTGTGGCCATACTGAATTCTAAGCTAGGGTGACAAACTGGTCGATCGGTTCTCGTGGGCAATGTGAAGTCACTGTTGGGTATGGACTTGGTCTTTATATGTGACTCGGATAGTCCAACTCGAAAGGGTTCTATTCACCAACTTCGAAGGCCGCATTCGCGGGCATCGGCTCCAAAATGAGGGGGACCAAGTTGGCCCGCAGGCGCTTATCTGTGTCATCATTCTTCTCCCAGACTATGCCCAAAACCTGGCGAGCCGGTGGTCCTGCGGAATTGGAGGCGAAGAGGACTGCCATGTCGATTGTACATGTACATGTGGCACCAAGAGGTTCAGAGTGGACTTCGCCTTCTCAGTAGCCTATAGCCCAAGCCTCAAGGGCTCGCTATTGAGGGGGTGCTTGTCACCCTCGGAGCAAGTTATAGAATTCAACGTGCAAATTTCCACGCCCCGAGGGGATTGGACAATTGCAACCCGGATTGCCCATTGCGGTAACCCGGGTAGCTCCTCTCTCAAAACGCAGTGACTAGAGGCTCGGGATCCCCACAAAGCCAGCTGCGAACGCCTGCGATCAACCCCGCTGTCTCCCACAACCCTCCATACCGCCTGTCCACTTACCCGTCGGCAAAAGTTGAATCAGCGGGGTGGGTCTGGGGGTGGGTCCGGGGTTGGATCTGGGGCAATGTGGCGGGTGGAGATCGAAGAGAGACTCCGGAGAGGTCTGGACCCAGAGGGCCACATCCGCATTCCACTTTCCGGTCCCGTTGCCCAGCAAGCAGAGAGGCCATATCTACGGCATGTAATAGCACACTTTCGGGCCAGGCGTCAAGCCAGCTTGAGAGGGGCTGTTCGATTCCTTTGTCTAGTGCCACTTTGTCTGATATCATAGCTTGGATGGGAAGTGAGGTTTGACGTTGACTGATGTTGTTCGAAGAACGTCGACTTTCAATTGGGAAACATCTACCCTCGGGGAGGGGGGCTGGAGCAAGAACTCTCACGGGAGATCGGTGCTATTAGTCAATGCGGAGGGACTCTGGCTAGGCCGGATAAGAGCTAAAGTCATGGCGGAGGGCCGTGATGCGGACTCGACGGCATGCCTAACGCAGAAGTACCGATACATGCCCTTCCTTCACGTTCTGCCTGAGTGCCAGGGTTGGGCGGAACGAGCCCGGCTCCCAGGATATTCCAGTGCCTGGGCAGGATGCAGTATAGGTTCGGTCAAGTGTGTGGTGTCAGCTGCATTGCACGACAAGCTTGTGATCAGATTTCACATATAGCGAGTTGAAACATCCAAGAAGTTATCTTGGTCAAGCTTGTCTCTGTGGAATACATGCTCTGCCTGCCAGCGACAGGCATAAGCGCGAGGAATACAATGTCTAGGACTCACCTCTTTCACTCTCCCGATGGCCTCGTGGTCAAGTCTCTAAGGGGACTCATCTCTTACAATCCAAACCTTTCACTCGACGAAGCCAACCGTGTTGTCTTTGACACAAGACACGATCAAACCAAGGTCAGCATCATATCGGGTGGGGGGTCAGGTCATGAACCTGGTGAGTAGCCCCTATGCATTCGTGCCATCTGAAGCCCTGCTGTTGACAACCCAAACAGCATGGAGTGGCTACGTGGGCGAGAACATGCTCGCGGCCTCCGTGGGCGGTGATATCTTCGCCAGTCCCTCAACGAAGCAGATCTTGGCTGCCATTGACGCGGTACCAAGTAAGGAGGGAACCATCCTTGTGGTCACAAACTACACAGGCGACTGCCTACATTTTGGTCTCGCAAATGAGAAGGCCATCGCGAGGGGTCATCGCTGTCGAATGATTGTCTGTGGCGACGACGTCTCTGTTGGCAAGGCCAACGGATCCATGGTCGGGCGGCGAGGGCTTGCTGGGCAGATCGGGGTCCTGAAGATCATGGGTGGCGCCGCAGGACAGGGCGCGTCCTTGAGCGACGTCTACGACCTCGGTGTGGCCTTCTCCCAGCAGATTGTCTCGATTGCTGCCACGCTGGACCACTGCCATGTACCCGGGCGGACAGAGCATGCCGTGCTTGGAGATGACGAGGTCGAGATTGGCACGGGTCCACACAACGAGCCTGGGTACAAGAGGCTTTCCCCGGCGCCCTCAGCCGAGGAGCTGGTCAAGATGATATTGACCCACTGCTTGGATGAGACTGACCCTGACCGGGGCTATGTAAAATTCAACACCGGCGATGAGACCCTGCTACTTATCAGCAATTTTGGTGGCATATCTCCCTTGGAAATGGGTGCCTTAACGGACGAGATCCTCCAGCAACTGGCCACCGACTGGAACATAGAGCCAGTGCGCGTCTACGTGGGACCCCTAGAAACGTAGGCCCCTCTTCAGTACCCAAGGCCGTGCTCCCCTGGTCTCAAAGAAGCTCACCCGTACTGACTGGTGTTGCAGATCTCTCAATGCACAAGCATTTTCGGTGTCCGTAATTAATGTGACAGCTGCGGCCGAGAACTGTTCCTATTCGGTCGACGAGATCAAGGCTTTCGCAGACGTGAAAACGACAACCTCTTGGGAGTCCATGGCGGGGTCGCAGATTGCAAGGCGAAACCGCCAACAACAGCTCGTCAGCCCTCCGGAAGAGCCCGTCAAGGCAGTTGTTGATCCCAGCAGGGACCTGAGGCTGGAGCCTGCGGCATTGGACAAGATGTTGCGAGGCGCATGCGACGCACTCATACAAGCCGAACCGGATCTGACAAAATGTGAGTCGCAGTGGCCCCCACTGCTATGCTAGGCCCTCCATGACAATCCATGAACGAGATGCTAATGAGCTATGGGGCTCCAGGGGACACCTTGATGGGCGACGGGGACTGCGGTGAAACGCTGAAGACCGGTGCGACCAGCCTTCTCACAGCGCTGGACGAGAAGAGCGTCGCGGCCACCGGCTCCGTGGTGACGGTTCTGCGGGAACTGGAGGACATTGTCGAGAGCAAGATGGGTGGCACGCTCGGGGGGATCCTGGGCATCTTCTTCGTGTCACTGCGCACCGCCGTCGAGAACCTTGTGCAGGATGGCCTGGCGCGTCCCGCGCCCGAGGTCTGGGGCCATTCTCTTGCCACCGCTCTTGAGCACCTGACCAAGTACACCCCGGCCAAAGTGGGTGACCGGACTGTCATGGACACCCTCATCCCTTTCGCTGCGGCAATACAGGAGGCTGGCAGCTTTGACGAGGGCATCCGGGCGGCTGTCAGGGGCGCAGAAGCCACCAAGAGCATGACCCCAAAGCTTGGAAGGGCCACTTACGTCGCGGCCGGGCGTGAGCGGGGAGGTGAGGGCGTGCTACCCCCTGATCCAGGGGCTTGGGGCGCAATGGTCGCCATACAGGGTCTGAGGAACGGGCTGTCGTCGAGAAAGGACAGTGCTGTTGCTGTATAAGTTGCGGGCGGTAGCGGCTGTACGATGCGCACATGGAATTTACAAGTCTGTGGGTAAGGCAGATATTTAGTATCTTCAGGTAATTGTCAGGCAGTGCGACGAATCCACCCGCGGGAGGTGGTGTCATCCTCCGTCCAATTGATGCTACCGGGCCATGTTATCCTACAGTGAAGATGCAAAACCTCTGTCCCTGTGCTCTTGAGTCACTGGCCTTGGCCGAACTTGACGTGGACCTCAAGCCTTGCCAGCGCTTCCCAGCTGCTGCATGTATGTCTCGATGGCCTCTTGCATCCGCTTTGTCCCAGCCTCGATGACACTGGTCAGAGGTTTGCCTCGCATCTCCTCCTGCACAGCAGCATAGTGCTTGTTCATCCCCTTGTTGATGTTGACTTTCGTAACTCCTCCAGCGATGCACTTCTTGAAGATGTCCTCGGTGAAGGGGTCGGCACCGTGAAGGACCAGCTGCACGCGGTCGCCAACCTTGTTGTAGATGCTCTCGAGGCGGTCATACTCGAGCTGGATGCCTCTGGGACCGTAGTTGCCATGCACGTTCCCGAAAGCCGGAGCCAGCATTTCGATGCCTGTCGCGACGAACTCCTCGGCCTCCTCGGGAGTGGTAAGCACCCCACCGAGGTCTGCTGTTTCAGCGACGCCATCCTCTCCGCCCTCGATTCTCCCGGGCTCTGCCTCGGCAGCGATCCCTCGGTCATGGCAGTAGCCGACAAGCTCCTTGGTCAGACGGAGGTTCTCCTCCTTATCGTAGTGACTCATGTCGCACATTATGGAGTCGAAGCCATCCTCGATATCGGCGGCCCGCCTCACACTGCGATAGGGGCAAAGAAGGAGGGTCAGCTTCCAAGAGCGCTGAGATGAGCGGTGGGACGGCCGACGAGTGAGGGCGGCTTACAGCTCGGGTGTCTGGCAATGGTCCAGGTGAAGCGACACGGGCACTTGAGCGTTGTGGCAAGCATCCGCTGCAGCTCTTACCAGCGAGGAACCAGCATACTCGATAGCCCATGGGAAGAGAAGCACCATCGCGGGAGACTTTGCTGCTTCGGCAGCACGGACGGTGGCAATGATGGACTCGATGTTGTAACAGCACATGCCTGGTACAGCGTAGTTGCCCTGCCTCGCGGCCTTCAGGATGGCCATGGACCTGTTCTGAGACAGCGGGGGGCGGGCCATTTCGGCGATGCTACGTTCGAACCAATTGAGTGTGCTGAGCACTGGCGATGAGTCGGGATGATTGGAGGAGTGAGACAAGAGCGAGGGTTTTGAGGGTGAGGGTGAGGGTGAGAGTAAAGGTGAGAGAGAGAGAGAGTGTGTGTGTGTGTATGCGTTCATGCACTCAGTCTATCTACAGTAGTCAGTCCACTGTACTGTGAATAGACATGCAACCACACAATGCTGCCTCCACGTCGGCTTGCCTAATTTGGTCGTTTTCAGCAGTGGACAGCAGACCCCCCATCCATCAAAAAGAATACTGTGTAGAAGGACACTGAACTCGACGTATAGGTCCAATGTCCCCCGGTGCGCCGAGGCGATTGTGGGGCACTAGGTACATCGTCACGAGGGGAATTGACCTGTTACTAACGTAGCTCGCCGGCTGGCTCCTCCAGTCGGCCGGCTCATGTGTGCGTGGCAAGCCGGCACTCGCATGTCCAGAAAGCCCAAGCGAAGTCATGAAGCTAACGGCCAAGGACGGTGCCCCATCCATCACCACAGCGGGGTTGCCTTGCCGACAAGATGACCGAGTTCGGGAGACGGAAAAGGGGGGGGGTCGCCTTGTAGAGTTCCTCGGAACCAGACCTCGGTCGAAACAGTCCCGATAGCCTGTCTCGTCAACTCATCAACAAGTAACCGACCAGCTCATGTAAATAGATTGCCTGTCTGTCTGTCCGTCCGTCCGTCTGTCTTAGTTTGTGGTCTGGGCCCAACTTGCTTCATCCTCTGCCGATGAAATCGAATTCCATCGGTGCCGCTCAGCCCAACGAGTGAGAGAGAGCTTCGCCGTCACAGACTCGCGACATATCACGATGGCCTCCGCTAAACCAGCCGTGTCCTTCATCGGGCTTGGGGCTATGGGCTTCGGCCTGGCCACCAACCTGGTAAAGAGGGGCTACCCCGTCACGGGATTCGATGTCTGGGGCCCAACCCTCGAGCGATTTCAACAGGCCGGAGGCAGCTCAGCAGCAACACCGGCCGAGGCTGTCGCCGGCAAGGGGCTCTGTGTCGTCATGGTCGCCACCGCACAGCAGGCCCAGAGCGTGCTGCTGGAAGGAGACGCTCCTGCCGTGCCGGCCCTGCCCCACGGCGCCGCTCTCTTCATCTGCTCGACAGTGCCTGCTGCGTACGTGCAGGGGCTGGCGGAACAGCTGGCTGGGCTTGGACGCGGCGACATCTCCCTTATTGACTGCCCCGTCTCGGGGGGCACCATACGAGCGGCGGACGGGACGCTGTCTATAATGGCCGGCGCAACAGAAGCGGCCATCAGCAAGGGGAGGGAGCTGCTGCAGGCCATGTCGGATCCGAAGAAGCTGTATATCGTCGCAGGCCCTGAGGGCATCGGTGCCGGCAGCAGCCTGAAGATGTGTCACCAAGTCCTGGCCGCAGTCCAGATCCTGTCGGCGAGCGAGGCGCTGGGCTTTGCGAGCCATCTCGGCCTGGACCTGAAAAAGGCATCTGATGCGATTATCGCGTCGGATGGAACGAGTTGGATGTTCGAGAACAGGCTCCCGCGGCTGCTGGCACCGGATTTCAAACCGATCGCAAGCGCAGTCACCATCATCTTGAAGGATGCTGGCATCATCACGTCCGAAGCTAGAAGGTACGGGTTCCCAACGCCCATGACAAGCGTTGCCGAACAGGTCTATTTCACAGGCCTGGGCCGTGGGTGGGGCGCCGATGATGATGCCAGCATGTTGAGGCTATACAGCGAAGGGGTGGGCAAGGTGGGCCCTGTCAAGGGGCTACCTCGCAGCGAGGACGAGAAGCTCAGGTTGGTGGTGGGCCTGCTCAGGGGCATCCACCTGTGCTCGACGGCCGAGACCATCGCGTTTGCTAGCCATGTTGGCCTCGATCTGGACCAAGTGTTCGATCTGTGCACCAATGCGGCGGGAGGAAGCGCCATGCTAAACCTGTATGGGCCCCAGATGATCAAGGCCTTTAGAGGTGGGCGGGACCAGGTGGCCCAGGGCTGGACGGCAGAGCAGGGAGACGGCCCAGGGCTGGACGGCATCCTTGAGGGACTGCAGGCGGCCGTAGACGAGGCGCAACGGCTGAAGATGCCGCTTTTCCTGGGCAACCAGGCCCTCAACTCGATACGTCTGGCTCTGCAAAACACATCGAGCGGCCGGAACAATCTCGCTGCAGCAGCAGTGGCAAGGACATGGGTCAAGTAGCGGCCAGGTCAGAAGTCTGGAGTTTTGGTGTCGCCAGACGCAATACACCATGTCAGAACACCACAATGAAGTACCCTGGGTCAACCCACCCGGGCGCCTAAGTGCACGATGGAATCTACGCATGAAACGTCGTGAAGTCGAGGCGCAGGCCTGTATATTAGTCTCGTTGGATGACCTCCTACGCATTCGTAATGAAGTTCAGAAGATCGCCGGAATCTGCCAGTGGTTCTTTGAGTGACCAGCTCTACGTGTAATACCGCGCAGTAGAGAAAGTAGGAAACAACAGAGGGGGCGCAGTGAAAGTCATAGTTTGCGTGACTGCTAGATGCTAACTACGGCCGAAATAGAAATGCAATGCAACCAGAAGGGAAGTACCTGCACGGCGGTATCAAGGCTCATCAATCCGTGCTCAGCGACCCTTCCAAAAACGCGTGAATTACATGCCGTCAGGTCTCGAAAAGGGGGGGGGGGTTTTTTCTGGAAAAAAAAAAGAACATTTTTATCCGTTCATCAATCCATAACACCTTCGTCGAGCCCTCGCCCGTAGCTCAGTACCTAAAATCAAACCACCTTCTTCCACCAACGATATGAGGACGAAGCTTCAAAGGCGCCGTTACCTATTCCAAGCCCGATGCCGCTGTTAATCATGCTGCTTTATAGCTCCTCCTTGACTTTGTCCTTGGCATCACCGGCCGTCTGCTTCGCGACGTCGGCACCAGTGTTGAGTTGGCCCACAACCCACTGCCAGGCCGCTTGGACTGTCTCGCTGAGCTTGGCAAAAGCGGTTCCGGATGGACTACTTGTGCCGTAGCGGAAGTAAGTGGAGTGCTTGCGAGCGAGCGCTCGCAGCTCATTTGTGGTTGAGCCCTGGGGAACAGACTGCACCGTGCGGTCAGCAAATTATCCAAATGTCCATTACTGACGGCGTTTCACACAGAGATTTACTTACGACTCCATAGCTGTCCAGGTAGTTCTTCAGGTCACTCTCGCTCCAAGTATCGAACGCTGTCTTCCTGGCTGTGTCCGTGGCCTGGGTGAGATAGCTTGTGGCGGATGCGTAGGTAGAGCCACCAGCAGATGATGCAGAGGCATAGGCAGATTGCGCGGCACTGACAAGTTCATCACGAGTTGCGCCAGATTTGTCGGCTGTCTTCTTGGCCGCAGCGTCCCCATTGGCCTTGAGGTAATCCTTGAGATTATCGATCGAGAAGTCATCGAATGTCCAGGCACTCAACCCAGTAGAAGCCTTGTGGTAGTTCTTACGAACTAAGGCGCGCAGCTCGTCAGTTTTGGAGGCGTGCGGGACAGGGACGCCCCGGGCGTCAAGGTAGCCCTTAAGGCGAGTGTCCGACCAAGAGTCAATCGCGGTGTTGAAAGCCTCTTGTACGGCCAGTGACGCGTCGTTGGTAGCCTTGGCGTACTGGTTGCCGGCCTGCGAGGTAGCAGCACCAAAGGCCGAAGCGGCAGTGCCGGAGACGGTGTCACCAAGAATTTCAGCACGGTTCTTGCGGACAAGCGCGCGGAGCTCGTTCAGCTTGGTTCCTTGGGGCACTGCAACGCGGGTTAGAGATGCTTCCTTGGATACACGTAAAAATGTACACACCAGGGATGCCATTCTTGTCGGCGAACTCCTTCAATTGAGACTCGCCCCAAGCATCGATCAGCTGGTCAGTAAGCGTCGCGTATGCAGCTTGGGCACTAGATGTGGCACTAGCAAGCTGCTCTTGAGACTTGAGGTACGCCAGGCGGGAGTTCCGGCGGACCGAAGCAATGAGCTTGTCACGCTGCGCCGGGTTGTCAGCAGGATTCTGAGGGTGAAGTGGATGGTCGAGATACTCACAGTGCTGGGCTGGGGGGCCGGGAAGCCATGGGTGTCAAGCCATTCTTTCAGATCGGATTCTGCAATGGTGAGATCTCCGGCACAGACTCGCAGTCCTCGACTCGCGGGGAGTACTCACCAGTCCAAGTCTCGTAGAGCCAGTCACCAGGATACGAGGCAGCCTCGCCGGCCTTCTGAGCAATAGTCTCATAATTGCTGCGAGCTTTTGACAGGATGGTGTCCCGCTGGCGGGGCTGGGGAACTGCGATCTGTCAGACGACCGTACTTATGCGGGGGAGGTTTGCGGGGAGGTTGCAGCAAGTACTCACCAGGAATGGCATGATGATCACAGAAGGCCTTGAGCTGACTGTCGGTCCATGTGTCCAAGATCCAGTCCTTGACACTGTAATAGGCATTCTGTGCCTTGTCCTCAGTCTCGTACCAGGAAGCTGCCACCTGTGCAACGAGAGAATCCTTGTTTGACTTGGCAGCATCCTGAACGTCGACGCCCTTCTGCTGAAGGTGGGCAAGCAACTTGTCGTTGTCCCAGCTCTTGTAGGGGTTGACGGCGTAGGCGTCCCAATTAGACTGGATAAGCTTCTCGAGATCCTTGCGGTCAGAAGGGGTTGGGTAGGGGACGTCGTGGTCAGAGAGCCAACGCTCAAGCTCAGTCTCATGCCACTTGTTGTAAGCTGGAGATGGGAGGCGCAGAGTAAGGGTCAGCGCTTGTGCTTGCCTCATTCAGGGGCGGAAGTGCGAAGAGTGCGAGAAGAGAGAAGGGCGGTTACTGTATTTACCGGCCTTGGAGAACCAGCTGTTGCTGCTGGCAACAGCAGCGTCGGCCACGAGGGCGACGGAGATGAGGGCCTTGACGAACCTCATGGCGTGTTTGGTGTGTCTGTCACGCCTGTCGTGTATCTCGTGTATGTATGTCTTTTTGTGTGTTTATTTGTTTGTTGGTAGGTTGGACAGTCCGGATCGTTGTTGACTTACGATGGCAATGCTCGAAAGTCAGGGTGGTACGAAACCGATGGAGAAAGGGACGGGGAAGGTAAGGGAGGAGGTGAACTGTGATTGTGATGTGAGGGTGTCAAGAAGAGCAGGATAGCCTACATGTAGGTAGGTAGGGAGATGGGCAGTCGAGCAGACGAAGCTCCGTCAGTCAGGCAAAGCGCCTCCTGGGGGCCTGGTGCGATGGCCACACATGTACGTCACTTCTTTGTTATGTGGCTTGATGGCAATGCACCCAGATGTATGGAGAGCAGCTCCTCAGCCTGCTCGTCAGTAGCACGGTTCGGTACGGTACGGTACGGTACAGTACGGTACAGTACGGTAAGCTACGGTAAGCTACGGTAACACTACGTACATACCAATGGGAGGCACGCGAGAGAGGTCGGTCGGCCGTCCACGCTAGATGAATCAAAGACGTGATGGCTGTGGCATACGTAGGTCAGCGGTCACCATGATCTCGATGGGCCCTGTGGTGGCAGGGTGCCAGAAACGGGAGCAGCCAATGCAGCCATTGCTGTTGACGCGACAGGAAGCTTCGTTCCTTTCGTTTTCATGCCCATGACGTCAGACGACGGTGTGTGAGAAAGACGCCAAATAGCGTCATTGGACGTCCATTGCTTCCTGCCCCTCTGGCCCCTCTGCCCTGGCTGCGTAGCTCAGTAAATTACGACGTGTGTGTATGCTGTGTGTGTGTGTCGCGAACGCAAGCAGCAACAGCTTGTTCCGCTACCGCATAACAAAAATACCCTATGGTGATTACATCACCATGTGCCCGTTGGGACGATGACAGCTGTGGCGCGCCGGGGGAAATGCTCCGGTGATGTCATGCAGCTGTGGCCCAGCATCAGGGAGCTCAGAGCTGTCAGGAGCTTGGGCCAGCTGCTAATTCCATGCTCCGTGTTACCTTGCCTTGCCTGCTTACCTAGGTACAATAAGGTGCTAGTTACCTAGGTACCTAGGGTTCTGCCTGCCTGCCTGAATGCTGTCTTGTTCTGTTAGCAGTCCATCAGACCGTCCATCATTTGCAGGGACGACTAAAAGGTCCATACTCATAGGCTACCTAGCAATCTATATACATATATATATGTCTATGTATATGCCCCCTTTGCTTACTATGTCGATACGAAGATATCGCACTGATATTGTGTATTGCCAAAGTGTCCGCAAGGGACACTATGGGATGTACTCTTTGATTATGAACATCTAGTCTATATGTTCTCTGACGCACCAAGGTACACAGGTGTTATCCAAGTGTTTGGGTGGTTTGGCGTGTAGGGCTGAGGGCTGGGGCTGGCAGACGGACTCAGACCCTAACCCTGGGATGGAAACTGAGAAGATGCCCCTGCCTGACCTGCAGCAAAATCTTGCTGTGCGAACATCAAGAGAAATGCACCATATCCTCACTGGTTGGACCCGAGCTGTTACATTCAAGCCTTGGGAGGCTTCAGCCGTTGAGCCGCAACGCATAGGTCGTCTTAAAAATTCAGATGGTGCCTGCTGACTGCAATGTTTCTCCAGGCTCTGGCTATGGCTTGGGTTCTGGTCACGGTCACATAGACTGACTACACAGTGCATACATGCACATGCATGACCCCGTCTGCCGGCATACACCCTCTTCACTTCTGTACTTCTTGACCAATTCACCACCTACCTAGGTATTGGTAGGTAGGCAGTCCATCAGTCCATCAGTCCACCTTTCCATCTTCAAAGTTGAGGGCTAGGCCGAGAGGCTCTTGGGCAGTAAGTAGAACTGGACGCTGCTGCCTTGTGGAGGGGCAGGCACAATACGCTGTTGGCCGTTTGACTCATTCGACGTTTGGCCTCAGCCGGCCTGGCCTGGCCTCGCCTCACCTCATCTCGCCTTGCCGTGCCTCGCCTGCAGGAAGGCACTCAATCACAGTATCAATCAATGTCAGCGTCAGTGTCAGTGCCAGTGCCAGTGAATGCCTCATCCGCCCCCTTCCCGCTTTCCTTCTCACATTCTGGCAGCAACGTTTAGTAGCCCATCGTTTCGCAGTCGGAGACTTTGTAGACATCCAATTTCACTCGCTGCCTTCACTTCTTCACCCTGCGAGACCCCGCAACTTCAGTCTCTTCGCTCTCACCTGTGCCTTCATCAAGACTCTCACCCAACACCTCACCGCACCCTGCCCCCCTTCCTGGCACCCGGGAAGCGAACACACTCTTCATTTCTCAGCCGCGGCTTTTCAACCCTTCGCATCTCGGGACATCTCAGAACACCAGCGCCCGCCATCAAGCAGGGCATGGAGCAACTGGCGCATGACAAGGCTGAGGCTGCAGGTGCCAGAGACGCACCCGCCGGGGCCACTGCCCCCTACGCGGAGCAGACCCCAGAGGCCGTCGCTCGGTTGTGCCGCTCTCTCGAAGACGCCGCCAAGGACAAGAAGAAGGCTGGCTTCAGCGCCAAGAAGAGCAAGTTCAGCGTCGCCGGCTCCCGCGATGCCCTGGCCGTCGACTCGTGGAAGTTCCAGGAGTACGACTACAAAAAGCGGGATCTGCCCACCTACGCGCGCGGGCTCTTCACCACAAGGACCCGGAACAACGTCCCCGAGATTGCCATCCGCGGCTACGACAAGTTCTTCAACGTCGGTGAGGTCCACGAGACCCGCTGGGACATTATCGAGACCCAGACCTCCGGGCCCTACGAGCTCACCCTCAAGGAAAACGGCTGCATCATATTCATGAGCGGCCTGGAGGATGGCACCCTCCTTGTTTGCAGCAAACATTCCACCGGTGACCGCAGCGACGTCGATCTCAGCCATGCCGCAGCTGGCGAGCGGTGGGTCGAGCGGCAGCTCCACGCCCTGGGCAGGACCAAAGATGATCTCGCCCGCGAGCTGAGGGAGCGGAACGCCACGGCCGTCGCCGAGCTCTGCGACGACGATTTCGAGGAGCACATCCTGGCCTACGGCCCTGACAAGGCCGGTTTGTACCTACACGGTATCAATATCAACGTCCCCGAATTCATCACTTACCCCAGCACCCTGGTACACCAGTTCGCCGATGGGTGGGGCTTTCGCAAGGTCGGCGTCCTTAAGATGGAGACGATCACCGAGGTCAGAAGGTTCCTGGAGGAGTGCGCAGAAAGCGGTGCGCACGAGGGCAGAGACGTCGAGGGCTTCGTCATCCGGTGCAAGCGCTCGTGGGACCCGTCCACCGTGAAGCCTTTCGACTGGTTCTTCAAGTACAAATTCGAGGAGCCCTACCTGTTATACCGACAGTGGAGAGAAAGCACAAAGGCACTGATTGCAGGCAAGCCGCCCAGGTTTAAGAAGCATCGTGCCATCACCGAGGAGTACCTCGTCTTCGCAAAAAAGAGACTTGCAGCCGACCCGAAACTCGGCAAGCTTTACAACCAAAACCATGGCATCATCGCCTTGCGCAACGACTTCCTCGCCTTCAAAAACATTGACGGTGCTGACGCGGCCAAGTTCGAGGAGCTGTACGGAGGCAGCGGGAAGACCGAGGTGGAGCGAGACGTCATCCTCGTTCCCATCGCGACCATCGGCTGCGGCAAGACGACCCTTGCGGTCGCCCTCTCCAAACTCTTCAACTTCGGCCACGTCCAAAATGACAACATCACCGGCGCCAAGCGCCCTCCACGCTTTACCAAGATGGTACTCGAGCAGCTGGAGGCTCATTCCGCCGTCACTGCCGACCGTAATAATGCCCAAAAACACGAGAGGAAGCAGATTCTCACAGATGTCAAGATGCAACATGGGGATGCCCGCCTCGTAGCCCTCAACTTTGTGCACGACAACATCGACAGGGTTCGAGAGATCACGCAGGACCGTGTCTTTGCTCGTGGTGACAACCACCAGACTATTCAGGCTGCCACAGACCCGAACAAGGTCAAAGGGATCATGGAAGGCTTTCTGGCCCGCTTCGAGCCTTTAGACATCGACCGGGCGCCAGACGACGGCTTTGATGCCGTCGTCGATCTTGACCCACTCGCGGGAAGCCGAGCGAACCTGGAGACTCTGGTGAACGAGCTCCATCGTCTATACCCCAGGTTGGTCCAGAATGTCCCCGAGGACATGGACCGTGTCATCGAGGAAACCATGGAAGAGTACCGCCCTGATTTACGGCACACGATCCCCGATCGGAAGAAGCCCGGCAAGGAGAACCAAAACGGCACCCAGACCCAGCCCCAGAAAAAGGCCAAGAAGAAACCCCTGGAGTTCATGTCGGTCGACGTGCCAGCAAAGGAGACCAATGCCCTCCTCGAGAAGACCTTCAAGGACGTCGGCTCCGAAAAGGCCCGCTTCTACAAGCTGCTGTCGCGCACCCGCCGCATCCAGCCCAAGTTTCATGTCACACTCATGCACCGCGCTACCTCGAAAGACCACCCTGAACTTTGGGACCGATACTCGAGACTGCAGGCCGAGGCCGAGGCCAGCACAGGCATCCCTGACAGTGCACTAGGCGAGGTTGAGATCGTGTTGGAGCGCGTTGTCTATGACAACCGCATCATGGCAATTGTGGTTAGGCTCAACGATCCGGAGAATAAGTGGCACTGTGTCAACAAGGTTGCACACCTGACAATTGGCACCCGGGATGGCAGCATCAAGCCCAAGGAGAGCAATGACCTGCTAGGACGGTGGATATCCGAGGGAGCTGGCGAGCACTCGGAGATCGAGGACATTGGGTTTGAAGGACGGCCAAGCGTCATGGGCGTCGTGAGAGCTGTCATGGCTAGATAGAGACACAGACACAAGGCGGCGGCGCGCCGGCGGGAGCGAAGGCAGGAGGGGGATCGGGGGGAGAGGACGCGAATCCTCAAGGGCAATTAAAATTTGTAGCTAGCTACCCTGCAGGCACATTTTAGACTCTGACTGCACAAGTCACGACCTAGCTGGGCCCAGGGTTGAGGACTAGGCATGTCCACTGTTGAGATCGTTCGTGACCTGGACGAATGCATCCCATTGCCTCCAAGCCTCGCCGCTCTTGACCGCCCATCGGGCTCTTCTCACCCCTTCCTTCCACCTACCCCCGCCAGGACCTGCCTCTTGCACCACGATGCCATCATCGCCATGGCCCATTTCGCTCGAGTCTGCGTCGCACACCCCGGAGACCACGAAGAGGGCGGCAGTGTTGATGAGCACAAACTCGAGGATGGGATCATCGTCGGCGAGCTCGTTTTTCAGTATCCTCTTCAGGATCTTGGCGTTCTCGGCCGGCTCCTTGCCAGGCGATACCGTGTCGAGCGGGTGTCTGGACAGGCCAAAGTCCTCGGGCGCGAGTTTGAAATGCTGGACCTGTACCTGGCCAGCGGTATCCTCGGCGAGCCTCCAGCACAGTGTGGGGCCGGCACAGCTGACCTCGTCCAGTTCCTCGTCCCCGCAGACGACCATGGCCTTCCTCACGCCGTTGAGGCGAAGTGCCTCGGCAAAGACGGGGCCGAGGTCCCTCCTCGCGACGCCAATGACCCTCGCCTCGAGCATGGGCCTGTCGTGGACATCCATGGGGTTGGCCAGGGGCCCGAGCAGGTTGAAGATGGTGCGCCAGGGCAGCTTCCTCCTCACGGGGGAGACGAAGCGCATGCCGGGGTGGAAGGAGGGCGCGAAGAGGAAGGCGTAATTGGTCTTGCTGTAGATCTGGGCGATCTTGTCGGGCTGGACGGCGGCCATGTCTGGCGGGGTGGGGAAGCGCATGTTTGCGATGAGGTCGGCGGAGCCAGACTTGGAGGTGGAGGCACGGTTGCCATGCTTGGAGACGAGGAGGAGGCTGGAGGCGAGGATGGAGGCGGTGGTAGAGATGTTGAAGGTGTTGTGGGAGTCGCCGCCAGTGCCGACAATGTCGCACTGCGCACAAGGAAGAGGGTGTGGTCAGCGGGTGGGTGAGTCAGGGCGGGGAGGCTGGCTGACTTACGAAACCGCCGGTGTAGCTGCCCTCCCTCCGGCCCCTGGTCTGGATGATGCGCTGCAGCAGCAGGGAGTCGACCTGTGCGGCGGCCCTGAGCATCTTCCGGGCGCACTGCGACAGGACGTCGGGGTCGCGGTCCAGGCCGGTGAAGTGCAGGCACATGAGCAGGGCGCCGGTCTGGACATCGTCGATGCGGTCGGTGAAGAAGTGCTCGATGGCGTCGGAGATCTCGGCGGCAGTGACGTCTGGGTGGCGTGGCCACAGGCGCGAGAGCAAGGGCTTGATGTCGACGACGGGAGGGGCCTGGGAGGCACCGGCGGCGGCCTCGATGAGGTCGGGCTGCGACTCGGACTGCAGCTCCGAGCGCGGCTGGCCGGGGGTGGGCGCAGCCATCTGGGCGGGATGTCTGGTTTGTGCTGGTCTGGTCTGATCTGGTCTGGTCTGGTCTCGAGCCCACACCCCAGGGAGGGTAGGTTGGTGGGTCCTTCTCAGATCAGGACTTGTGAGGGGCGTAGAGGTGCCGAGATATTGACGTGTATGACTGCAGGTGTGCAGGTGTGTAGGTGTGCGGGTGTGCGAGACTGGAAATCCCAGCCTCTATCGCCAGGCTTGGAGCCGCGCATGCTAAGGACATAGGATCCCTGCAGCTTCGTCGCCGAGATATTTTTTTATCTTATCGATGTCCCTGCCAGATCTCTAGCTGCAGGGGCAGCCTGGGTACATGTACAGTCAGTCATGGAATACTCAGTGGGTCAAGTCTGCCAGATGACCAAACGAAGGATGTACATGTACATGTGCAGTGCATACACAGATCTGATCGCATCCAACCGGCTCGGCTGGCAGCGTTCGGGCCTAAATTTTTGACAACGCGACCTGGAGCTGCAGAATGCAGCACGCAGCACGCAGAACCAGAACACAGCAGGCCAACTAAGGGTTTCGATGGTCAATGTCCAAAGGTCAATCGTCACTTGTCCACGGTCCATGGTCTTTTTCTTTTTGGTTTGGTTTGGTTCCACCATCTCGTCAATTCAACACCCCCCCCCCAAAGCAGCAGCGCGGCATCCCCCAAAGACAGGCCCGGTTCTTCTATCGCCTGAACTCCACACCTTGTCAATCAATCCCCTTCTCTCTCTTCCTGTCTTGATCCGTCCCGTCGTTCCCTTCCCGGAGCACGCGTCTCGAGACTGTCACCCCCAGCATGCCGCCCAGGGTACGATGTCAGGCCTCTAGGAGGCTCGCGGCCTCTGCGTGGAGATGCAGCAACATACACACGCCACCCCGTTGTGCGGCGCCGGCATGGCCGCCCTCCACGATCCTCAACACAGCTCCGAGGCATTATGCCACAGCGGCCTCAATAGCGTCACTGCTGAGGCTTCCCGATGATTATGTCCCGCCTACCAAGCCACCCAGCGCAAGACGCCCCGAGGAGCGCAAGGCCCAGCTCCTGAGAACCTACACCTCCCTCCTCCGCTCCACGCCTCTGATGCTCATGTTCCAGCACAACAACCTCACTGCCGCCGAGTGGGCCGCCATACGCCGCGAGTTGAGGGCCGCTCTCGCCACCGTGCCGCCTGCCCCGCCCGCTCCAGACGCCCGCCAGCCCATCGACATCACATCCAACATCCTGCTGCAGGTCGTGCGCACGCGCACCTTCGACCAGGCCCTGAAGGTCATCGAGTTCTTCGACCCCGCCGCTGTCGCAAAGTCCAAAAACACGGGCGCCAACGGAGCTTACACGCACGACCTCTCAATGGCCGCATACCAGGCCGTCAAGGCCACCGAGGGTGCCGTGCCCGAGGACTCCACCTACGCCCAGCTGGCGCCGCTGATGATCGGCCAGATCGCCCTCCTCACCTTCCCGGCCGTCTCGCCACAGCACCTCGCCGCGGCGCTGTCGATACTGTCGCCCAGTCCGCCTGCCTTCCCAGCGCCCACGAGGAAGAAGAACCCAGGCTACTACGACCTCACAACACAGAGCGGTCTACAAAAGCTCCTGCTGGTGGGCGGAAGGATTGAGGGCAAGGTCTTTGACTCTGACGGTGTGAGATGGGTCGGCGGGATCGAGGGTGGTCTCGATGGGCTGCGGGCGCAGCTCGTGGCCATGTTGCAGAGTGCAGGGCTCGGTCTCACAACCGCTCTAGAGGGCGCGTCCAAGAGCTTGTGGGTGACGATGGAGTCAAGGAGGACAATGCTGGAGGAGGGCGCGGATGATGCCGAAAAGAAGCAGTAGGGAAGGGACCCGGGCAGAAGGAACGAGCTTCACACGACTGTCCACAATCACGGGCAGCCCTGGCGTGAAAACAAGTGGTGAAAGAAGCCATTCAAACAATGCACAAACAAACCACTTGTTGCATGTATTCTGCGCAATTTGTATCCTTATGGGGTCTCCTTTTGAGGCCGACCACGCAATCAAAAGGACAGCACACGGAATAGCCTGCAGAGTCGCATAGTGCCCAACAATACCGGCGTTGGGTTCCGGCGGGTGAGTCGTGGACCTGGGCGTGTACAGACGTATTCGCAGAGAAGAGGGCCAAAGATCCTACAGCTTTACCCCCAGACACACTCAGAAATATAGCAAGAGGTGAAAGGACTACCTTAAGTGTATAGATGCGGAAAATTCAATCTGTATTGCATTGGCCTCCGCGGTTGGCCGTGAAGCATTTGTGAGGTTCATCACTGCATTTGCCCGCGCCAAAGATAAGGGATCCCTGCGACCTCCCATAGCAGAGCCGGCGGCGCCCGGCAGGCAGGGTCGCAACAGGCCGCCCCATCTCAGCACCACCGCTTGCCTGCCTCTGGACTCCCTTGGCCAGACCCCTGAAGCTTCCTGCTCTTGACGCGATAGCCCTGTCCTCCCCCCCCCCCAAAGCAGCTTGTCGGCTCCCGTCACCGTCGGCTGCCCGGGGCCATCACGCGAATCCCAAAGGCCATGTTAGCTTCTGTCACGTAAACGCGACGACTCCGTGGGCTGCTGTCCCGCAGAACCAGACACGTCCAAATGAACTTCGCACCCTACCAGGCCTCTGCCCCAGAGGAGTCCCGCTCGCCAGACACGGCGTCCCCTCGTGCCTCGTTAGACCGCCGTCCCTTCTCGCCCTCCACGTACCAGAAACGCTCGAACCAGGCCAGCCCACCGCCACTGCAACATCCCCAGCCGCAGCGCAACTGGCAGGCCAGCGGATACCGCATCACGAGTCCAAACTACCAGGCGAGTCCAGCACCTGCTGGCGCTGCCCGGCCGGCGGATGGATACTTTGGCAACATAAGCAGCGGCCTGGCTGCGGACAGGGAGGGCATCAACGAGTTTGACACGAGTCTGGGCATCAGGCTGGACTACGAGGCGTGCCTGGCTTACCTGGCACTGCCGCCGCTGGGGGCCATTGTGCTGTTGATTCTGGAGAGGAAGAGCGACTACGTTAGGTGTGTCTTGAGACGGCTCCAGAAGCCCAGCATGTGCCGACCTGGGTGGTCCTGTCATGCGCGTTCCGCGCCCGAGCGCAGCTAACGCCCCTAGCAGATTTCACGCCTGGCAGTCGGCGCTTCTGTTCACAGCCGTATTCGTCGTCCACCTCCTTTTCTCGTGGTCGGTGTTTCTCGGCTGGCTTCTCTTCCTCTGCGACCTCGGCTTGGTCGCATTCTTGACGCTCAAGGCATACCGTGATGCGGACATGTTGGACAGATTCGAGGTACCATTCTTTGGCCATATTGCGAGCAGGTTCGTGGATGAGGAGTAGGGCTGCTCGTAGCAGGGCAATGCAGCTCAGGGGAGAGGACGGCGTGGGACATTTGTGTGTGTATGTGTGGTTGGTTTGTTGATTGCTTGGTCTGGGCTTTTGGTGAGGGCTGGGGAGCTTGTTCGGTCAATTAGCAGGCGCAATGATTTTAAATGATACCATGTTTTACGCCCCAGAATGCACTGCAATGTCCTCGTGCATTCGATGCGTGTACTGCGTGCACACCTACCTAGGTAGTCTAGATAGTTCTTGTAAATTGTTTTCCAGCTCACAACGACAGGTCCCCATAGTGTTTTGAGATAAGGCTTATCGGCCGGGGCGGTTCGGCTGACTAAGGTCTAGTGACGCGCATCTGTTTGCCTGCCTTGGGCTTTGGCTGGGGGTGGCCCAAGCCGGCCAACCTCCAGCTCCCGAAGCTGTCAACGTCCAACCTTCCAACCTGTCTCTTCACATCCACGCCTGCCCAAGTGCTCTTTTATCACCACCCTGCCCCATCTTCAGCCGTTATCCGTGATACAAATACGCGAGACTTTGGCTGCTGCTAATCTCCCAAGGGCGAAACCTCTGAACACGACCCTCATCCCTCATTGCCACCATGGCGTCTCTTGAGGAACTGGACGATCTCGAGCGTCGCGACCGTGACGACAAGGATAAGAAGGATGGCAAAGATGGCAAGGGCGATGGCAACGACAAGCCTTCGGGCGACGGCGATGCTGAGATGAAGGATGCAGAGGAGGAAAACGTTGTCGATGACGAGATCCTCTCGCTCAACACCCAAGACATCCTGAACCGCAGGCGACTCCTCGAAAACGATGCCAGAATCATGAAGTCCGAGTTCCAACGATTACAACACGAGAAGGCCACGATGAACGAGAAGATCAAGGAGAACCGGGAGAAGATCCAGAACAACAGGCAGCTCCCCTATCTGGTCGGCAACGTGGTTGAGCTGCTCGACCTCGATCCCACGGCAGAGTCGTCGGAGGAGGGTGCCAACATCGATCTTGATGCCACGAGGGTTGGGAAGTCCGCTGTCATCAAGACTTCGACAAGACAAACAATCTTCCTGCCACTGATCGGGCTGGTAGACCCCGAGGATCTGAAGCCTGGCGATCTCATCGGCGTCAACAAGGACTCCTATCTCATTCTCGACACTCTGCCTGCCGAATACGACTCCCGAGTCAAGGCCATGGAGGTCGACGAGAAGCCAACTGAGAAGTACAGCGACGTCGGTGGATTGGACAAGCAAATAGAGGAACTCGTGGAGGCCATCGTCTGGCCCATGAAGGAGGCGGAGCGATTCAAGAAGATTGGTATCAAGGCACCAAAAGGTAAGTCGGCGGCCGGCACCGTCAAGGTGCCTTTCTACGGATGTTTACCACGGTACACTGACGAGACGGCGTTGTAGGCGCTTTGATGTACGGGCCCCCCGGGACTGGAAAGACGCTACTAGCGCGGGCCTGCGCTGCCCAGACCGACGCGACATTCCTCAAGCTTGCTGGTCCACAGCTGGTCCAGATGTTCATTGGCGACGGTGCTAAGCTCGTCCGGGACTGCTTTGCCCTGGCCAAGGAGAAGGCTCCGTCCATCATTTTCATCGACGAGCTTGACGCTGTCGGCACGAAGCGCTTCGACTCGGAAAAGTCCGGCGACCGAGAAGTGCAACGAACCATGCTCGAGCTCCTCAACCAGCTCGATGGCTTTGCTTCAGATGACCGCATCAAGGTCCTCGCGGCAACGAACCGCGTGGACGTTCTCGATCCCGCGTTGCTGCGTTCCGGTCGCCTGGATCGCAAGATCGAGTTTCCACTGCCCAACGAGGAGGCCCGTGCCCAGATTCTGAAGATCCACAGCCGCAAGATGACAGTAGATAGCGCTGTCAACTGGGGCGAGCTGGCACGCAGCACGGATGAATTTGGCGGTGCCATGTTGAAGGCCGTGTGCGTTGAGGCTGGCATGATTGCGCTACGGATGGGCAAGAACAAGATTAGCCACGAGCATTACGTCGACGCCATCGCTGAGGTGCAGTCCAAGAAGAAGGAGGTGAGCCCCGGCCCTCGTGGTCCTAACCACAATCCCCGACAATCTCCCTGCAGTGAACAATTGTCCGCTAACCAACGGCGCAGACCGTCAACTTCTACGCCTAGTCCACCAGGTGGCGTGAGGAGGTGCCGCGGAAGGCGATGGGCGGGGATGGCTATGGGTGCTCAGGAGCCAACGATAGAATATGCGCACACTAGAGGGCGGCTTGGGCGCAACTTGTATGATTACCACTGGCACACTGGCCGGGGGGATAACGAGCTGGGAGCTTGGCTACCCAGAGACAAAATTGGCATCGCGGAATGCATCATGCCTGCAAGAGTACTACTGCCTTTGCCTTGTTCGTGCTTTGTGCTGGATTGATGTGCAAGATACCGCCGCTTCTGAATGACTAGATCCCCCCAGCTTGACTCTCTACGGATGGGCTCCTGGGGTTGGGGGGAAAATACAAGGCAACTGCTCGGGGGGAGGCCCGAAATTGGGAAGGGCTGCGACTGATGTCTCCAACAGCTGGTCCGAGCATCATCGGTTTGCAAGGGCTGCCACGGCTGCCTCCTCGCGGTGGCCTGCACCGATGGGCGGCACCGGGCTCCGATACGCGACAGGGCGCCTGAGGTAGCCAGGTAGCGCTGCCGCGTCCTACGTCACAACCGCAAGTGAGATGGAATGCATTGCATTCTTTCAGGGGCTTGATGGCGGTCCATTATGATGCTGTCGCCGAGGATACTAGGTGACATGGTTGGCAAAATGGAAGATAGACAGGGGCGCGCTCGAAGATGAGGTCGGTCCGAAGGAGGTCCAGGACGGCGCGGACACCGATCACTTCCAGACCGGGCATGGCACGCATTGGAGGACAGCCGTGGTGAACCAAGGCGAATCGAGGAGCTTCGTGAGACGTCGCCGAGGGCTGCCTCTCGAGGAAGCTTAGCTGGCAGGGCTGTCAGGCTGCCCGACTACAATGCAACTTGTGCGCGTTGCAGCAGGAGAGAGAAGACGCAGCAGCTGTTGAAGCCGATGCTACTCAGTGGCGAAGATGGGCCAGACTAGTAGGCCCTGGAGCGCCATGCAGACCCGGGGGGAGGAAATGTGGTCAGCTATGTAACTCTGTTCAAGGAGGGGATGACATAGGCGGGATGGGCTGGCCGCAATAGGCAAGCAGCCCGGTGATGGCTCGACCGGATTTGGGAGAGGTCCAAGTAGTCTAGAGGCTAGTTATCCTTCCTTTTTCTCTCATCTCACTTCCTGTGTCTCTGTCGCTCGGTGTGTTTGTCTCCCTCTCTTCTGTGTTTGTGTGTGTGTGTGTGTGTGTGTGTGTGTGGGCGCGTGCGCGCGTGTGCGTGTGGATTTGTGCATCTTTCAACAGCTTGGGTCTGTGACGAAACGAGCTACATACATCATTGGAACCAACCTATTCATCGGCCCATGCAACGTGCGCTAATACCAATGTAACAGCCGCCACCTGGGCCAAAGTATCAAGGGGGAGCGGCTGGGGCTGGGGCTGGGGCTGGGGCTGACATTCCCGGCTCCATGGGCAATTCAACGGTTCGTCTCCCCGTTTCACGAGAGAGAAAAAGATGGGCAGTGGCAGGGCAGCATGCATGGGATGATCAGGTATGAGATGATCGGGCATGGGACGGCCTCCCGCGGATGGGCAGGCACCAGGCCGGGTTGTTGTGATGGGCACGATGAGGTGTGGGATTGGGAATTGGGAATTGGGACTTGCGTCAGTGGGGACAAGTGATTGAGTGGCAGCGGAAGTCGGACGCGAGCAGAAACAGGAATGTCGGCCTATATCAGAGCTTGCTTAATGGGGAATTTCGTGCCTGTGGTCGGGTCAAATCCACTCGGCACAGGCACATAAGAGGCGCTACTATAGATAGATGGGGGGTCTGGGGGGGGGTGTGGAGAGGGTGTGAGAGGGTGTGAGAGGGTGGAGCAAGGTCCGAGCAAGGGTGTGGGAAGGGCGGTAGGGCCAGCTAATATAGAGTACCGAACTCTGACAGACTGACAGAAGTCAAATCCTGCTACGTAACGTAGATATATGTACCACCACGCACACACACACGTGCTGGCATGGGCTGGGCTGCATCGGCTGCCGTCATCGAGCTCGCCCCCCCCCAGACTGCCACAGACTGTCCACAGGGGTTATGCTGCTTGGATCTCGGCGGCCTGGGCCAGCCAGGGGTGGGCTGCAATGCTGGTCGGTCCCCAGGCGCACGATGCGGTTGGCTGGCGCCGGCAAGATTCACGCGATGCTAGTCGACGTTGAGGCGCCACCATACAACGTCTTTGTTCGGGGGGCGTCCGACGCCGTCCCAAACTCCAAGACCACCGACCACCACCCGTCTCTCCTTACTGCTGCATGCACGCGTGCATGGCAGCAAATGTTAATGTAATTACAGTACAGGACAGTACCATTCCCGGCGCCCAGATCAGCCCCCCGGCTCCCAGGATGGCCTTGTCCCGGTTGTCGTCTTGGTTGTCGTCTTGGTTGTTTCCCTCGTCTGCCCTGCGCACACGAGGTCGGCTCAATGTACAGTAGATAGTGTGATAGTCTACACTATCTACGGTCTGAGTTCATGTGTCGCACACCACACCACAACAACATCCCCAATGTTCCGGTGTTCCTGCTCCCCGGCGCCCAGGCCCTGGTCGTTGCAAGGTGGTCGGGCTCCGGAGAGATTCCTGGTCCCATGTCAGGCACGGCACATGGTTGGCTGCTGCATGCATTGGCGTGGCTGATGATTTCCTCGCTGCCTCCACATGTGGGGTATGTGCTATCCACCACTGACGTCTGCGTGGATCTGCGCACGATGCCGCCTCGCCTGCTGCTGCGTTGATACTGAATCACATGCGTCAAACAGGTTAGACACCGGGGGGAGGGGGAGGGCGAAGACAGACAGACACGCACACACACACATCTTGGCCAGAGCCTCACGTCAGTTCTATACTGTACAGTCGACAGTCAAGTGTGCAATGCGTGGTCCTACAATGTGCACTTGCATCTGTCTGCCCCTGGCCCGTGTCATCATCATCTTCTGCCATGTCTTGCGATCAGCATTGTGCGTCAATGCTTGATCGTGTACCTCCCTGTCAATATTGAGTAAGTCTTCTTTTTTTTTTTTCCCCTCGGGCTCATTTCTCTATGTACTTCACTCGTCCCGGGGAGGGGGGGAGGGCTATTCAAGCTAGACATCAGCCTCTCTGTGAAGTCTTTGGCCGTTGGACTGCCCTCCTCCTGGCTAAATTTCTCCATCCTTGTGCACTTTACAGCTATTGGTGGTAGAGCGGGCGTCCAGTCTATTTACATGTGCTCGATGGCTAGCCGGCGCCGAACCAAGTCCTCAGCTGTGGATGCCAATCCCGTGTGGCGCACCGGCGACTTATATCACCCCTGATAATAACTTCTGCCCCTTTCCGCCCGATACGTATTTTGGACTGAGAGCTACGTAGCCACACCCCAATCATCGTCATTGCCCCCGAGAGCTCATTTCGAGAACCACAGCTTGTTACCTTGTCTGCCAGTCTGCTCTGTGCGTTGCGCTCTTCGACGTCTCGGCGTCTCCCTTGGCTTGTTGTTGCGGCTTCCATGTCCTAGTTTCCTCTTGCATTGCCTGTGGGCTCCTGGGGACCCCTGGGCTCTAGGTCTGCAACCAGATGCTGTACCAGTAACGGAATAGCCTGCCGTTTCTTGCCACAATATCCCTACGAAGCCCTTCGGCTGGGATATGATCGTCTTCAGATCAGACGAACCCAACTAAGAAGCAACTCCCTTCCCTCTGCATAGGCAATGCCTGTGCCTTGGAAAGGCCCCTGTGGTATCAACCATCCAGCAGAAAGGTGACCAGTGCTTAGCGTCTTCTTCGCATGTTACATGACGGTCTTGACTTCCACTGATGTCAGAGATGCTGCTTGCCCCTGAGCAGACAAGGCCTCGAGAGAATGGGCTAGTTGGGTTCGTCGGCGCAAGAAGTCGGAGGGAGCCCAACTCGTCGAATATAAAAAGAGGCGTCACCTCTTGCGATTCATCAGATGTGATTCTTGCCCACATCAGCACAACCAGAGACACCTCACCTTACCATTATCACTTTATACTCCTGCCAAACTGCCAACTCACACCCTCATCATATCCCATTACATACCACTTTCAAGATGCAATACTTCACCGCCATCGCCGCTCTCTTCGCCAGCGTCGCCCTGTCCTCCCCTGTAGAGGTTCAGGACCGCCAAGTGTACATCCCCTGCTCCGGTCTCTACGGCACAGCTCAGTGTTGCGCCACCGATGTGCTCGGGGTCGCAGACCTGGATTGCGCAGATCCACCCACCGTCCCCACAAACGCCTCCGACTTCCAAGCAGAGTGCGCAGACATTGGCCAGCGGGCTCGCTGCTGTGTTCTGCCCATCGTAAGTATTCTGCCCCGGACTTTCGTCTCAGTTGGTGTGCACATGCTGACACTACATCACAGCTCGAGCAAGGAGTCCTCTGCAACACTCCCACCGGTGTTACCGATTAAATCAGGGGCTCGACGACCCCCGCAGAGGCATTGGGCGTGACGAGCCATTATTTATGACTCGAGGTTGTGAATGTGAGAATACAATGTAACTGGCACGCTGCAAGACACGAGCTAAAAGGCTTGGGTAATAGTCTGGGATTTGGGTACATATGGTAGCTAAGAAAGTTCTGTACAAATGTAACATATTATGCGTTCGCCTTGCTTGACGTAGTCGCAGACCTTGTTCACTTGTTTTGACCTTTGCTTTGATAATACAAACACTATATGAGCTTCTCACTCAACTAAAATTAGCCTGACTCGATACATAACTTTTTTTTGACCATACACCGCAATGACCAGCCAAACCCGAGCTGTTGTGTTGCAAACATAGCTGGGTAGAGAGAATGCGTGGTTGTTGATGTCAATCATCTCGCTCCTTATAGTCTCATTTCTATGTGGTTCTGTGTTCTTGAAGACTTATTTATAAGTTGTGAACTAATCTTGATTGAATCCATATGGTTTCATCGAAGGTCGAAAAGTAATTGCCCCCACTACCCATCAAATTATTTCTTGAGGTCCAAATTCGTGTCACAAGGCCATGCAGTTATAATACATGGGTGTTGATGTATGGACCACTTCATTTGTGACGTTGAATTTATGACAAAAAGGGTTATGCTCAGGACCGGGGGGGGAGCTCTGCAAGGTGCGATGACCTCGCACGATCTTCCTTCTCTCATCTGAAGCTAATGGCAGTTACCAAAAAATTCCTCGCGCGACAAATTATTTACAAGTAGAAGAGAGTTGTGTCACTATTCACCACTTCTACAGCCCATCTGCTAGCATAGCATCAATCAGCTGAACATGCCTGTCAGCATTCGTTGTGCTCCACTCGGTTTCGTACTATTTTCTCTGTCGTCAGTACAAGTTCCTCGACGTATGTAATCCGGAGATTCAAAGAAGCTTTTGACATCTGGGACCGTGTAAAACGGATTCAACCCTGAACAAGCTATTCACTAAGCTGAACGCGGGTCACTGTTCACCTAGCCTGCATCTTCTTCCGTGTACGGAAAACGAAACCTTTCAAGGGTGTGCGTTGGGGTCCATCAGGGGGCGTGGGACACAATGCAGCACTTACATTCAACCCATACGGCCAGATATGCCCGCCTCCGCAGTTGATTTTCGCACTTGAGCCGTCCCAGGATCTCAAGAGCGGCGTTGCCGTAGCCCAGTCGTTGGCCGCGCACTTTGTATTGAAGGCCGACGTTTGGCCGATGCCCAGCGTGTGCGATATCTCGTGCATAGCTGTTCTTTCTGTCATGTATGCCCTGTCTTTGCCGAATCTGATGTTTCCATTATAGTTCCCGTCGGCTGTAGCAACGCTCGGCTTCACCATCTCGAATCAGTAGCCATTGGCAAATCCCTGGGGGAGGAGGGGGGGGCCCAAAAAGACAAAGTAGACGGGGTCGGCTGCAACTGACCTCATATTGTATTGTGAGGCTTTTGGTGGCATCAGAAAACTTGGCATAATGAGCAACAGCGGCCTTCATGGCAGCCTCGATCTTGAAGTAGGCATCCGACTGGTCCGAAGTAGGATTGGACGCCTTCTGCAAAGTCCATGTGATGGCAGCAGAGGTTGTGGAGGCCATCGCCAGCAGGCTGGTCAAGACGTGGAAACGCATAATGTCTGTTTAATATGGGCCTGGGCCGGACGATGATACTGACAAGGGGTTTTGCGGAGGGTTGCGTCGACTGTGGTGAGGAAACAAGGTCGTCGTCGGTCGGGCTGAAGAAGCACGTCTAGAAAAAGGAGAGGTTGCTGTCTAGGTTGGCCCGGACTATATATACGAATGTGCGTGTAGATACGAGCGGTGGGTGTGTAGTATATAGTCTGAATACATGTAAATAGATAAATACCACAATTCAGAAATCGGAGCTGCATTCACCGGCTGGTCTAGTACGCATGAATACCTTGGCGGTTGATAATAACCTTAGAAATGATTAAAGGCTTGCTCCAAGCGCTCCACTCCTTATTTGTTCCGAAACACCACCCAACATAAATGGGACTTCATTGTCAAGCAGCGGAAAGGTGCACCCCGCGAGTGGACTGGTCGTGGGCTTTTAGGTGTCATCCAAGTAAAGCGGGTAGAAGCCAAGAGGTGGTATATGTAGGGGATATATTGGCTCGGGTCTCAGGCCTGCCCTTTTTGGCTCTTGGCTGGGGATTCTAATTGGAAAACCCCCTGACTCTCGTTTACAGAGCCCACAATTCTAGTATACAGCCGGGGATGCCGGCACCGGATTGATAGATCCAAATGCACAGTACTGGCCGCCTTGAGTGCTGTAGGGACTGAGTAGCCCACGTGAGGACATAGCCTCCTGAGTGAATACCGCCTACCGTCTACCTGCAGGGTTCCCAAAGGTCAGCCGATACCTCATAGTCCGCAGAGAGAGATCGGAGGGGCAGCACCAACCTAGCTGGATACTTTCCAATAGAAGGTTATTTAGTAGAAAGCTATCGTATAACAGGTTATTCCGCACGCGATGATTGTACAGGGAGTTATCCCACAGGAGGTTGTCCTACTAAAAATTGTCCCACAGAGATTATCTGACAGGAGCTCTTTCACATGGCAGGTAGGAGATCATCTCAGAAGGGGTTATCCCGCAAGGGATTAATCTACAGGAAGGACCGCCATGTATTGGTCAAATTATCCCGCATATTTGGGATTCTTCTGAGCTGCAGAAGCGCCAGTACGGCTCGGAAGTCCCAAGTCTAGCCAGCATGGTTATTCTTGAACATTTCAGACGGGCCCGAGTAACGGTACAGGGCGGGTGTACCCTTTTGCCTGTGTTGTCTTGAGATGGCTACACAGCGGGTAGGCTATTTTTGTATATTGACGGAGCCGACTTCGGCTGTGCCCGGTAATTTGAATGCGCCGGATAAGCTTAAACCGACGTCACACAGGCCCATCTGGTAACACTCGACTCGTCCACTAAAGTGTCTCCAGTTGTGAGCAACGTACCAGTATGGCGGGCAGGTCGAACCCGTGGGCTATGCGCAGGTCTACGGACCTTGTAATCTCATGCTGCCGAGGACAATCCGCTCTCGCTTCCGCTGGCCCAACAGCCTCAAGGTCAAGGCCCCGCGCACTCGTCGCGCATTCGACACGCTGGCTTCGAACGACCGCGCCGCGGACCACGGATGGCGTCTTCCGTGGCTTGACGGACGGCAGGCTGCCCACGCCGTGGATCGAGGCTTTCCGAAAGCAGCAGGCCGACAAAGACAATGCAGCCCGGGAAGCCCGCCTCCAGCCGCCTCGCGACCTCAGCCCTAGGAAGATGAGTGACAGCTACCACCGCGTTATCCTGCCCTTGGGTCAGGATCCCTGGCTGTCTGACACCTACATCAACTCATCGGGACACATCAGGTACGTACGGTACAAGGGACGGCCCTCTTGTTGACCCTGTCCCGCCCGCCCGCCAGTCACTCTTCATCTAACCTGGCTGCACTCAGGCTGGGGACTATTTTCATGGACCTGGACGCTCGTAAGCTGCCCCCGAGAGACCTTTTTGCACCTTTCACGACGCGGATCACTCCTTTCTTTGTGGCTCGGGGTAGCTGATTGCCGACCTTGTAGTCTCGGGAGTGATCGTTTACAAGCACACCGGGCCAGGCGTGACGACTGTGACTGCAGCGCTGGACCGCATCACCATAGCTCACCCGCTGACCGAGATATGCGACCTCGAGTACTCTGGCCAGGTAACCTATGCCTCGGGTAGGAGCAGCATTGAAATCACCTGTCGGGTTGCTCGGGCTCGACCCGAGGGCGAGCCAGCCAGGCCCGAGGACGAGCTGCTCACCTGCACTTTCACCATGGTCGCACTGGATCCCGAGACCAAGAAGCCCGTCAACATTCCCGCCCTTGTCTGCGAAACACCGGACGAGGAGGCGATCTTCAAGGCGGGGGAAGCCAAATCGTTGGCCAAAAAGAAGATGAGCAAGACGTCCTTGCTAGCCACCGAACCCAACGATCCCGAGTCGGCTCTGATTCACAGCATTTGGCTAAGGCAGCTCCGGTACCACGACCCGAACGACCCCCTTCGTCAGCCTCCCAACGTGGTGCCCATGAGCACCACACAGCTGTCGACGGCCGCAATAATGCAGCCCCAGTACAGGAACAGACATCAGACTATGATCTTTGGAGGTTTCCACCTAAAACAGACCTTCGAACTGGCCTTTTGCTGCGCGGCCAGTTTTGCGCATGCGCGTCCCGTATGTCTAGGCCTGGACCACACTTAAAACAGACCCTCCTGCCAACCCTCCCTCTCTCTTGTACCTAGGGGAAGAAGTTCCCACGTGAAGCTATCTTCATGTGTCCTCTTCCAGGATGCTGACACACCCTAGACATTCATCAGCGCCGATCCTTGCACTTTCCGAAACCCTGTCCCGGTGGGCAGCGTCTTATATCTTCGAGCAACGGTTGCTTATACTGACCCGCCTCTGGTGAGTGGCCCGAACTTGTCATTTCCGGGGGATTATTACTTTGCTGTCCTTTGATCCAATGCCCCGGCCGGGTGCTATTCATTGCCCGTCACGAACACACCTTGTGATGATGCTATAGGTCACTGACTTTCGATTTCTACCTAGTTGGAGGAGAATGGCAGTGAGCCGAAGCACAAAGACTTGAAGCGACCTGTGACGAGAGTGCACGTGAGAGTTGATAGCAAGGTCAGAGGTACGCTTCGATAGAGTGCACAAATGCGCTGTCTCCAAATCCCCCGGATCCACCGCTATGTGTCGGCTAAGGACAAGCCTCCGAGTCCCCATAGCCGCTGCCAAACGGTGGCGTTCAATCTTGTTGCTTTCCCACTGTTTTTCTGGGGGGACGAAGAAGAAGAAAAAGAAGAAATAAGTAGACTGCTAACTTGTCGGTCAGATGTTGAACATGATACCACCACGAAACCAACAGGGCAGTTCAATTACACATTCTCGGTACCAAAAGACGTTAAAGTGTTACCGCATACGTATCAAGAATACATGATGTATATTGACGCCAGACGGAGAGTCAAGCTTGGGGACATACAGTCTCGTGAGGAGCGAACCGGCTCGACACAGGAGCAGAGGCAGTTGGCCGAGGATATGAATCTCACCGAGTGATAACAGATGTAGCCACGATAAGAGCATATTTTATTGCTTTACAGGGGCAATTACCGCGGCTCTGGTACGCTATGGTCAGCTTGCCAGCAGAGGGGCTTGCCGTGCTTCCTTCTCATGCCGACCTAAATGATAGCGTTCTGTGCCAGATCGGGGTACACCGGGTTCATGGTGCTCAGACATTTTATCCAACTGATAGGAATGCGTAATGCTCTGCCTAGGCGGGATAACTGTAAGATACGGTCGGTTACTAGGGAATGAAATGTGGAGTCGATAGATCAGAATCAGGGGGACAAAGACTCGCTCGGCCCAATTGAGTCCTGCCGAAGATCCGGATTGATTGGTGTTCCTTGTCGTGAAGATTCTCTTGGGGGCCGGGGGTGGACCTTGCGCCCTAGGCCGCGCGGTACAATTCGCGTGGATTGCACACGTCGGCGGATTGAGATTCGTATACTGATAAACTCAGCACCGCTCCCGTGAGGAAGAAGCTACTGTAGAATGATGGGCCTGTGGCTTCGAGCTGATGCAGAACATGTCAGGTCACCAATCAATTCCGGCCGCTAGATACACAGGACATGTCAGGTACCAGGATGCCCTCGTGTCGTGCGTGAATTTGGGCGTGCACTGTAGGTCGGTCCAGAGGTCCCTGCAGGCCGTACTACAGTACAGTACCGAGGCATAGCCGATGCTGGTCAGAAATAGATAACTGGCAAACGGGCGGATTACTGTAGGGGAGGTGGAGACATGTAGATGGGCGTCAGTGATAAGGTTTGAAATGCTGGTCCCTGTGTGTGGTCATGGGCGCTAGAGCGGGTGAGCCTGTCATCTTGCGGACTGCTTGCAGCACTTGATATAGATCATACGCTGCGTAGACAACGGTGCTAGACAGTGAAACAATATAGTGTATGTGGTCCTTGGCATGATCGGGAAATAAATAAACATACATATATAAATATATATATATATATATATATACAAAAGGCACGGTGAGGGAAAGAAGAAAAAGCCAAGCAGCCAAGCAAAAGGCACTGGCGCATCCGCAATGCTTATCTCGACGCCCTGCAGGGCGATCCGCACCCCACACCCGCATAGTGCATGCAGATATGCTTGGAGACCACCTCTTAGTCAATGTACTTATCCACATCCACATCCACATCTACATACACATCCATGTCCATGTCCATGTAAGCCGGGCAAGTCCCAGTCCCACCCTTCAAATCAACCCAGACCCAGATAATGAAAATTTCGAGTGCTAGGGCGCGCCGCCACCCTGACATTATGCCTGCTCACTCTCACCCGTCCAGGCCGTTTTGTGTGTTCCCTTCCTGTCAGTGCCTCTCTGATTGGCCTTCTCGTCTGGCCTGACCTCTCGCAACTCCCAAATTATGCCGCCGCCACTGTGGGGGGCTAGCCTTCATCACACGGTACGGTACAGCAACCAGTCCACCAGTCCCGTACACACGTACGTCTTATCAGCCCTCCTGCCCTCCAGAGCCCCAGGCACGAGGCACTCACCCCCGGGTGCTCTCGTGCGTGTGGTACACCCAGCAAAGTACCTACACGTCTCTGTACTGTACGCATGCATGGATATATCCCAACGTATGTATGTATGCAGGTGTATGTATATGTGAGTGAGTGGCATGTATGTAAGCGTTGCTTAAAAGCAACGAGTGCTTCCGGCTCTTCACCGAGCCACCCTCCTACACCCCCTTCATTATGTCTCGTCTCCCACTTCCTCACGCCCACGCTCGCACGACGACTTCACAACCGCCCTCGTGATCCATCGGGCATCGATATCGCCACCATTCGTCTTCCGAGGTTCCCTCCGTGGACTGGCAGCCACATTCACAATGGCCTCCAATCCCGTGCAGATGACTGCGCAGTCGCCAAAGGCTGACAAGGAGACGTCCGACCTCGAGAAGATGGCTCCTCCCAGCCCGGACAACACTTCCTTGGAGGACGCCACCCTCGCCGCGCTGTCACGCGTCAAGACTGCCGACGAACATCACCCCATCCACTGGAGCCCATTCAAGAAGTGGTTTGTCGTCTTCTGGTACTGCCTGCTGCAGGTTTTTGTCACCCTCACTACGACGACCTACGTGTCAGCCGAGTTCTTGGTCCAGGAAGCGTACGGCGGCACTACCCAGGTCATCGCTCTGGGTCAGTCCATGTTCATCATCGGCACTGCTGTTGGCCCCGTCTTCCTCGGCCCTCTATCGTATGTCCCGCATCTGACCGCTCGCATGGCCACCGGCTGCGCTGTACTGCATTGCTGACCTTCCCGTCAAGGGACATCAACGGCCGAAAATGGGTCTACGTCGGCGCCATCTTCTTCTACGCCATCCTCAATATCGGCTGTGCAAAGGCGCTGAACCTGCCCATGTTGATCATCTTCCAATTTCTGTGTGGAGCCGCCGGCAGCGTAGCATTGTGCAACGTCGCCGGCACCATTGCCGACCTCTTTGGTGACATGGACGGTGCTGGCCAGCCTATGGCCCTGTTCGTCGCCTCTGCTAACTCCGGCCCATCCATAGGCTCACCTGTGGGGGAGTGGATCGCCGAGAACCCCAACATGGGCCTTGCGTGGATTTTCTGGATCAACGTTATTATCGGTGCTGCTTTTGCCATCGGCATGTGCTTCCTGCCAGAGACCCTGCCCCGAATCGTCATTGCGAGGGCCGTCAAGAAGCACGAGGCTGCGGACCCGGAAGAGGTCGCCATTGCCGAGGAGAAGATCGATGTCTTGAAAGAGATGAAGTTTGTTACGACCATGGCTCTGAAAATAATGGTCACTGAGCCGATTGTGCTTTTCCTCGGGCTTTACAATGGCTTCGCCTACGGCCTGCTGTTCTTGTACCTGGACGGCGTCTTTGACGTCTTCGTGTTCAACAACGGTCTGAGCTACATTGGTGCAGACCTCACTTACTTGAACTTCATAGTCGGTGTGAGTAGACAACCCGCGCAACTGCAAGGGCATCCGAGACTACCTCATGCCCGGTCTGGGTGTGCCGATAGTCACATACCCACCACCACAGGCTTACTAACACAGGGCAGGTAACTATTATGTTCTGTATTGTCCCCTTGCAGACCTACCTCTATAGATCAGACCGCCTCAAACATGGCACCAATCGACCCGAGGCCCGGTTTCTCACCTCGCTTGTCGGCGTCTGGGGCTTCCCCATATCTCTTCTGTGGTTTGCCTTCACTGATGATGGGTATGTCCATGCCCCACGCCTCACCCACCCACCACCCGTCATCTCATGGAGCTTGGTTACAGGGGTCAGAGGACTCTTCAAACAGGCTTCAGGGCAACCTGGACCGCCAGTCTTGCTGACAAGAGTATGCATAGGTCCGTGAGCTTCTGGTCGCCCGTCGTTGCCGGCGGCCTCCTCGCCGTCTGTGACCCCTTGCTGTGGCTTGCCATGTTGAATTACCTGACAGACTCCTATCCCAGCGTTGCCGCTTCAGCTGTCGCTGCCTTCTTAATCCCGTCGTTTCTGATCGCCGCGGCCCTTGCGCACGCAGGTATCGCGATGTTTGAGAACATGTCCACTAAATGGGCTATGGCAACGCTGGGGTTCATCTCATTCGGTCTGGTTGCTTTAGTGTATGTTTTGTACTTCTTCGGCCCTCGTATCAGGGCGAGATCCAGACTTGCTCGGAAATCATAGCGCAGTAACTGCAGCCGCCGTAATGGTTGTCGTTACCCCTACCAGATTAGCCAGGTAGCAAAATTCTATGACATGCCGTCACTTTCAATTTCTCGGTGTTGACCAGCCTGTTGGGATGCCTGTGAGCCTTGGTGAAGTACTGCCCGCTTTTACAGCATACATGGCAGGGCAATATCTTCTTCATCGCTACTCACCGGCTAGGTGTGCCTTGACACTGAAAAATCTCATTTTATGGGACAAGTATGAATGCTTTTCTGATGCTCAACAGTATATAACGCGAGAGCCCCCGACACGAAGTTGCTCAGTTGATCTACATACTCTCGACCATCATCGGCAGCAGCAAATCATTGAAGGCCCAAAGCACGGTAGTAAATTGAGCCGAAAACGCTGCTCCAGTCCACCACGTCGAGCGATGGGCCTGGAGCGCGTACTGGGCCTGTATGAACCCGGCCTTGATGTGTTTGGCCTCCACCCGCATGTGCATTGGCCCATGATCCTCAAGAGCAGCGAATTGGAGCATCTGGTCAGTGGCGGCAAGCACTCCACTCTCTTTCATTTTGTTAAAACCATCAACGACAAGATCTCGCGCTCCATTTGTGCCAAGGTCAGTGTTAGCGACCATGAGAAAACGAAAAAGGTCACTGTCCTGGCCGAAGTAGTCGATCCGCGAATTAAACGGTGGAAGCGGAAGTGTCGTCCAGTTCGATGACTCTGCAGTGGCTGGCATGTTGGTCAGGGATTGATTTACTACTAGCGACGGGTTTCTCACCGCGCCGACATAAACGTTCGAAGATCGGAACTTGGAGAAGACGGTCCGCTCGCTTTCGTCCAAGTCGAAAGGGGCCATGTTATCCTCGCTAGGTTCAATAGCGAGCAGGAGGCGCTTGGCTTCAACTCGCTTCCTGGTTCCGTCTGCAGCTCTCACCGTGATCGTGACACCTGTGTCGTTGGCACCACGTACAGAAGATACCACAGTGCTGGAATAGAGCACATCGTGGCCGAGTAAACTGCCAATCTTTGAATACAGCTCACAGAGGTCCGCTGACACCGGGACCACGTTGCTTGTCTCTCCAAAGAAGATGCCTGTCAAAGGGGCACCCGCAGCCTGCATCACATACATTGTGGCGGTGTTCATGCTGCTTTTCTTCAGCAGGCTACTCTCGCTGACCACAAGTGGATGATGGGGACTTCATTGCAGAGAGGAGGTATCATTGTCAGAGCTACTTACATGTCACCGACACCCATGCCAGTCAGCTCAAACAGTCGTGGAACGGCAGCCGAGATATTGTATTTGTCCACAAAGTCTCTGAAAGAAAGTGTCAGGTCCTCGGGAATGTCACCCGGGAGTGGGAAGTCGAAGAAGCCTGGTAGAAGCAGATGCTCGTATTGCTCGCACAGTTCATGGTACCTCTTGAGGGCGGCAAGCACCTCCATGCTTGTAGGAGCCACATAGTTGTGCAAGATTTGGCCAGTCGTGAAGTCCACGTACTTGGTGGTAAGAGAGGTCTGTGGTTTCGCCATAATCGACATGTTCATGCGTTCGGTTATGAAGTTTGTGGAATTCTTGTACGTATTCCAAGCTTGAACACCGACATTGATGTTCTTACCGGTGGCGGGGTCATGATACGTCTCAGTGTGCCCTCCCTGAAACAGTCCGTCAGTAAACTGATGGGCAGCGGCAGCATCATAGCTCACAAGCCTGTCTCGCTTCTCGACCAGTGCGATGGTTTTCCCCATATCGCGTAGCTGCACCGCTGCATGTGCCCCAGAAGCGCCACCACCGACGATTACCACATCGCGGACAATGGCTGCATCAGCGGTATCAGAAAATGCCTCCGCGGCAGCAAGAAGGAGTGCTGTAAATACTGTGGATGCAGAAGAGCGCATTTTTGTGGCTGAAAGATGTTCACGGGGAGCCGGTGCTGGAAATAAGCTCTACGTTGAAGCCGGCGCTCGCAGGACCGTAGGAGCCGACTCAAGACAATTGACAAGATAGATCACCGGGTCAAGTAGACCTACATTGGCCAACTCTTGTGACAATTCAGTGCTCGCAGTCGTATCGGTGGGTGGCAGTGTTGAAATGAGGGGCTTGCATGGATTCCGACAACTTTCAGCCTATTGGCCTCTTGATCAGAGACGAGAGGCATCTCACCGTCAGCTATGCAGCTTGGCGAGGACACCCATCTTTAGGGTGTACCTGGACACTACAACTTCCCTTCCAAGATAATTTGTCGCAGGATAACTTGAATAGAGTGAATTTTATTCTTCTTTTAACATGCAACGCCATGTCACACAATGTTGCCGCAGTCTGACGCTTATGCTTGCCAGGCTGCGGATGCCAACATGGATTGCAAACACTCGTGAGGAGCCCACTGTGGGGCATTCACGGCCTATTCAGGGTAATGTGTAGCTCCGAGGCTCCGTCTATTCACAGTCCGGCAGTATTGCAAGGAAACCATGACGAGGCTGATCAAGAACAGATGATTCACAGGACATATGCTAACGGTAGCCTCTTGGGGACATACGTCCAAAGTATATAAGTACAATTGCTAGGCTCATGGTAAGACAATCAAGATCAAGATCAAGATCGATATCGAGACAGGATCAAGAGGCAAAGACAAAGAGAGGGAGAGAGATAGTGAGAGAGAGAGAAGCTCGGATACAATAAGTTCCACCTTATGGCTCTAGTGCCGGCTGCTCCCCGGTACAATTTCTGTTGAGCACATTTGTTGCTCCCAATACTGAAGCACCATCTGTATTCTCCATCGTGTGTTCGCAGCCTCCGACCTGTGCACTAGTACGTGCCGTACGTATTAGTTTTGTTTTGTTTGTGTACGTTGATTCTGATCTACCCGGCACGATGGCTATCGGTCATGATCTGAGGGCTGAGCAGTACTCGGAGTGAGGAAGCATATGCACAAGGACAAGCAGGCACTGGCTGGAGAGGTCTAGAGTCCAGTCTATTCAAGTCCGTCGTGCCTAGAAGAGTCAAGTTGATATGTCATGAGAGGGTATTGGGCTGGCGGAGCGAAGGGTGGCGCTGACTAAGCTGCACAACCAGTCCTCAATCCTCATCCCACTCAATCCCACTCATGCCCCCCACGCCAATGTCGAGCATGAAGGATGGATGCATGAACGAGTCCACGGGCGACCCGCTGGGAACAGAGCCGCATCACTCGTGCGGACCGCTGCTGCATCAACCTGTCCACTCGATCATCTCCCAGCTCGACAAGCCGTCTCGGATGATGAGCCGGTGCTGGTCGATCCTCCACTCAGCATACATGGTGCGCACGGCCTTGATTGCCTCTTTATGCGCAGGCCCCGTCCCTCCCCTCCGCGCGTCTTCACGATTGCGCCAGATACACGTCGCCAGGTTGCGGAGATTGCGGTCGGGCGTCCCAAACCAATATCTGCCAGCGTCACACAAATTGTTAGATTCACTCAGCGGCGCGGACGGGGGCATTCAAACGACAAACCAGCAAGACGGAAGGGTGGGGTGGGGGGGGCGGGTGGGAGAGCGTCTGTTTGTGTGTATATGTGCATGAGGGCGAGTGAGGGACAGTGAGAGAGCGAGTGCGTGACTGAGTTGGGTGTGAGGAATACATAGCCGCGAGAAGGAAGAGCGACGCACTTGAGGAACCCCCCACTGGCTGTGGCCTCCGCATGAGCCGCCTTGTCGAGGTCGCCAAGGTGACCATAGTCGATGCCCTCTATATACCGCGAGCGGAAGGCGACAATGTACCACGACGTCTCCCTCCAGCAGTGTTTCCTGGCTGCTGCCAGCTCCCGCACCCGGCCCACAACCTCTTCCCAATTGAACGTCTCCAAGTATGCCGCAGTCGCGTAGTCGTCCCGCAGGCACCTCAGGTCCAGCAGCGCTTCTGCCAGCATCTGGTTCTCGGCATCCAGAGTATCCAGGTCCAGCAGATGCGCTGCCTCGGTGTACGGCGACGCGACGACATGCTGCCGGGGGCCACCCGACAGGCCGTTAATGGCCTTCTTGTCCAGGATGGCTGTCTCGGAGAAGGCATTGTTACCTGGCAATACGTCGTTGACGGTCATCTCGACGATCTGTCTTCTGTCTTGTTGTATTTCTGAAGAGGGTGTTTCCGGGAGACGCAGTCGACAGCCAAGCCTCGGTTGTCAGCGCGGAGGGCGGCTTTTAATCCATGCATGTATATGTTTTTATCTATGTATGCATAGAGGGGTGTGTGTGCGTGTGTGTGTGTGTGTGTGTGTGTGTGTGCGTGCTCTCGTATGCATGTGCGCGCGCGCGAGTGTGTGTGTGTGTGTATGTATGTATATATATATATATATATCCATTTACGTACATGAGAGGACGACCGCGTTCAGGTTTTGATCTTCAGGGGCCGCTGCATCATCGGCCGAGGGCGCATCAAAGCCGGGTCTCTCGCACAAGGTTTATGACATCTGTCGCAATAATGGCGAGCGACGGTCGTGGGCCATCCGGGTGCCCCCAGGTGCGCCCCCAGACAGGCCAGAACCATCTTGTTGGGGCCCGGGAACGACAACGGGGAACGGGCTGCGACAAGCAAACAGATGGCGTGCAGCCGGGATCACTTACTTGGCCTGGGTCCGCCTCTGTCTAGACTACTTAGGTACCGGTAGAAATATATGTACCCCGTTTACATGTACAGTAGACAGGTAGAGACAAACTTCACCCCGCCCTGCCTCACTCTCCTCTCTCCATGGCTTGCCTGTACTCTCTTGACGCCTTTGGTCTAGATGCCACATGCCCCGTGCCCGAGGACACAGCTTTCTGGCGTGGTGGAATGCTGCCGCTATTGTTTCACGGCACTGTGCAACAGTTGGGAGCCGTCGTCGCGGGAGCGCAGATCGCGCCATTGCCTGACGGGTTGATGCCATTTTTTTTTTTTGGAGAAGACGAAGACAAAGCACTAAGCATTCATTCATTAGACAGAGTACAGTCCGGTAGACCTTAAACCATGACCAGAGAGAGCCAGAAATATGCGGCCCTCCGAACCGACGACTCACCGCCTAGACTGACAGACTGACAACTTTCCCACCATCCCTGGGGATATCTGGCATATGAGCAAGGGCATGGGCATGAGCATGAGCATGAGCAAGGCACTTCCGGCGGCTCCAGCAGAGCATTGAAGATGCATGGCCTGCCGAACCGAGTCATTTTCCCACCTTCGTCGCCGCCGGCTGGGCGAGACGTGGCAATGCAGAAGAACCCTACTGCCCTCTATCTGATAATGTGCGCCACCTCGGATTGGACGCTGTGAGGCTACATTGCCTTGTATCAATGCATGCGCCTGCATCCTGCATCCTGCAACTCTGCGACCGAGGCGATCTCGGGACACCGCCCGTGAGAGAGACGGCGATGCCAGATATCAGAGAATGCCTGGATCAGTTCTGATTTCACCGGGGAATCACACCAGGAGCGCCTCGGTATCTGGCCTCGAGCCTGTCTCTCTTGCTCTCTTTCCTTCTATCTATCTATCTATCTCTCTCTCTCTCTCTCTCCTCTCTCTCTCTCACACACACACACACACACACACACACAGAACGATCCATCCTGCCGCGGCCCGGGCCTCAACTCAATTCTGGTTGGCCCACTGCTGCAAGGCCTATCGCCCATCTGTGAATGGCCGGCCCCGAGGAAGCTGATGCGTCTTATAGCACCAAGTCAGAAGCGCCATATCTACCCAGTCACTTTCCAAAGCGTCATCATAGATATCCTAAACAACGACACAGTCACCCTCTCAATGACAAGGAGAGGAAATGCCCCCGTAGTGCAATTCCTTGACATGATGCTATTTCTTTGAGTCGTGGGCTCTGGCTGCGTGTGAAATATCACCACCTCCCCGGCTTCAGAATTGTCTGCAATCTGTGTACCCGCCTGGTTGACCTCATAAGTCCCCACTGTCCGTATCTACCTCGCTGCTGCCCTTCAACCACACCTTGGCAACTTCGTACGTCCCCAGGTACAATCCACTTCCCAACGCGGTCCAGGCCGCCCGGAGCAAGCCCCCTCTAAACAGACCATAGACGCCCCTTTCCCGGTAGATCAGCTTTGCCACCTCCATCCCGTTCAACCCTTGGCGTCTGACGGCGCTTTCCAGTCTCTTCTGTGTCTCACGATGGGTCTCCCCCCCCGAGGCCTTCGCGCCAGAGTCCCGCAGCCGTTGCTCCTGCTCATTGAATTGGGCCCGCCGCTCCCTCTCCTCCCCCGCAAAGAGCATCATGCGGGTCTTGATGGTGTCTGCAGGCGAAGTAACGACTGCAGCGACAGCGCCTGACAGCGCCGCGCTTGTCCCGTTCACGTAGCCTGTTTCGAGCAGCCCGCGCGCCACGGCCCCTTGTTCCACTCTCCTCTCGCCGCCTGCAACCCCGCCGGGCGCGTCCTTGACTGTCGGCGTAGCTTCCGCCCGCCGGTCGCGGGACTCCCAGATGCGCCGCCTGGTTGCCTCGAAAATCGGGAACTGTAGCGCCGTAAAGGGTAGGTTCCTGGCCACGAGTGCCGTGTAACCGGTCAGGAGGCGACGGGCCGCGCCGTCCGCGCCGCTCGCGCCGCTGGGACCTGATACCAACATGCGGAGGGCCTGGACGGAGGTGCTGTTCCTCCAACCCCCACGCCGGGGGCTAGACCCACCACTAGACCGGATCATCTGGGCGTTCTGCTTGATGACCTCGGCAGGTGTGAGCACGAGACAGGAGGCCAGCTCCGCAGTGCCGGATGCCAGGGAGTGGACCAGCGGCGTAGGGAGGACAACCCAGCCTGGCAAGGTCCCGGAGAGACCCGAATAAAACGGCTTGGTGGCTTCATAGGTGCTGAAGAATATCCCAGCGGCAGGAAGTGTGGCAATGATGACGCTGCCAACGCCCTGATAAAGTCCGCGGAAGACATTGCGGGGGGCCTGGTTGACAGAAGGCGAGCGCGCGAAGGTCTTGAGGTAGTCCTGACTCTGCCACCGGGTTTTAATGGTGTCAAGAGGGTAGACGAGTAGGTCGATGGTGAAGGCGGCCGCAGCGCCTGCCTGTCGACGGGAGCAAGTTCAGTCAGTCCCAGGACCAGCGGGTTTGGTGGTGATGATGATGGCGGGCACTCACAACCAGGATGTCTGTGTTTGTATTGCTCATCTCATCTCACAAGGCACCATCGAGACTCGAGACGGGCGGACGTTGATGGGACTGGGAGTTGGATCACATCTTGTCCACCAGGCCCGCCGAATCAGTCCAGATAGACCATGTCCTATTGAGCGGGAACAGATCGGCCGTCTGGACTCAGTGACGATGACATCAGCTAGCCATGATGGCAGAACGGCCCGATGTGCGTCCCAGTCTACTGTGTAGCAGTGGTAGTGGTCGTAGTAAGTAAAACGTAGACGGTGCGTGTGCGTGGTTTGCAGGGGTCCTGGAATCCAATTAGCACATTGATTGTACGGTACCGTGTATCGACCTTTTCTTGTTGCATGGAATAGACAGCCTCTTTATGAACAAAAAGACCTCTCCCTCGCAACAACAAGTAAAGATTATTTACTATCACGTAAAAGTTTGTTGACAGCACCTAATGTCCCTGGTTTGTATTATGTACAATACAAATGAGACAGATATTGATTGCTTTTACATAGTGGTTGATAAATTGAAGGTGGGTGTTGATGCACAAACAGACTACAAGTAAAGTCTACGTACTCACGTACTGTAGCGCGCAGCGGGGTTCCAAGGTGAGCGAGCGACCCTGCCACCAATCATTAGCTCCTCCTTTGCCCCACCGCCTTTCCACGTTCGCAGCCCACGAAAACTGTGCCGTGCCTAGTACCCCCAAAATCTTCAACTCCTGACAGAAGCACACAGCGCCCACTACGCACTCTCCAGCCTCCACGACCCTCGGCCCTCGACCCTCGATCCGTCAGCCATCCGTCTGAAGACAGTGACTACATCCAGGACACCACGCGACGATAAATCACACAAACATGGCCGACCCAAGAAAAGATGATGCGATCAAGTCGGTCCAGGTTGAGGCCCTGGTGAGTTTTGCCTGGTCTTTCTGCTCTGCGTCCTTGCCTCCCCCCCCACCCCCCTCCACGCCTGTCCATCCGTCCCGGTCACAGACACTCCCAACCCAAAGGCGAGGTTTGCGAGAGCGACACCAAGCGAAACCTTTTCCCCACCTCTGCCTTGCTTCACAAAGCCTGCGTGGCTGTAGTCGTGGCCGTGGCCGTGGGACACGATGCTGTTGCGTGAAGAAGAAGACGAAGAAGAAGAAGGAGGGCCAGGCTTGCTGACATCGCCCTGTCCTCGCGCCCTAGGTTGTCATGAAGATCACCAAACACTGCTCATCATCCTTCCCTACCACCGCGACCGGCTCCCTCGTCGGTCTGGACAACAACGCCGCCCTCGAGGTCACAAACACCTTCCCCTTCCCGACCATCGATGTCGCCAGCGCCGACTCCCACCAGAACGATGCCTCCAGCCTGGCTGCTGCCGCCCCTCGCGCAAAGGCCAACATCAACTACCAGAACGACATGATAAGGCACCTGAAGGAGGTCAACGTCGACGCCAACAATGTTGGTTGGTATACGAGCGCCACCATGGGCAACTTCGTGAACCTGGGCTTCATCGAGAACATGTACCACTACCAGCGCGAGAACAACAACGTCGTCGCCCTCGTTCACGACGTCAGCCGGAGCTCCCAGGGCTCTCTTAGCCTCCGTGCCTTCAAGCTCACCAGCACCTTCATGGCGGCTTACAAGGAGAACAAGTTCACCACAGAAAAGTAGGTCTACGTCCTGATTCATTGACGGGAGAGTTTTTTTTTCCTTGGGGGAGGAGGGTTGGAAGCAGAGAGAAAGGGAAAGAAGCCCTTGGTGCAAATGGCCGGCGCTACCTCGCGCGAGTCCCGTCGCCCTGATGCTGACATCCGCCGCAGCCTCCAAAAGACCAAGTTCACGTACAAGGACATTCTCCTCGAGCTGCCCGTCCACGTTCACAACTCGCACCTCCTCACGTCGTTCCTGCACCAGTTGCCCGCGCCGCCGGCGAACCCCGAGGTGGAGCTGCCACAGTCGCTGTCCGACATCGAGCGCGCGCCGGTGCAGCTCCCGGCCTACCCATCCCTGGACACGCTGGACCTTTCCATCGACCCGTTCCTTGAGAAGACGTGCGACCTCCTCCTGGACAGCATCGAGTCGCACTACACGGACCTCAACAACCACCAGTACTACCAGAGACAGCTGGCGCGTGAGCAGGCCAAGATCACGGCATGGCAGACCAAGCGCAAGGCGGAGAACGCGTCGCGGGCGGCAGCCAAGCAGGCGCCGCTACCAGAGGACGAGTGGCAGAGGCTTTTCAAGCTGCCTCAGGAGCCCAGCCGGCTGGAGGGCATGCTCAACGCGAAGCAGGTGGAGCAGTACAGCAGACAGGTGGATGGATTCACGGCAAACATCAGCGCCAAGATGTTTGCTGTGCGAGGCAACCTCGTGCCGGAGTAAGCAGGAGACCAGTGGGGTGCCTGGGGGCGATGGAGAAGGGGTCTGGCTGCGTGTGGATATGCGGCGGTAGGTTGCGCCATGTATTGCTATGCCGAGCGAAGGGGTGGGGGGCGGGGGGAAGACAGCTCGAGGTCTAGGCACGCACAGGATGGGCTGCTGCATGGGCTGCTGCACGGGCTGTTGCATGGGATCTGGCGTTTAGGAACAAAATGATGCGGGCTGAAATCATGAAGACTGGTAGAATCAATCAGAGATGTCGCGGCCAGAGCCAGCAGAGCCAGAGCCAATGACCTAGATCCGGCTGGTGGATCAGCGACATTCTGTGCGCAGGAATCAGAGCAGGTCAGGTCAGGGCAGGGCAGGGCAAGGCAAGAGAAGAGCAAGAGAAGAGCAAGGCGAGGGCGGAAGAAGCCTTGAGGCCTTGGGTGATACTAATCATGACACCAAAAGAAAGAGAGAAAAAAAAAACATGTCACAGAGTAGCTGAGAAGCTTGAAGCCAACCTTGGCCCCACCGACCACTTATGCCCGACGCAGCTAGTCAGTCAATTGATGGGGCATGGCGTTGTGAAATTGATTGAGGTGCGCCCCTTGGATAAGAGCGTGGGATGAGGGCGTCGGGGCTGACGGGAGTCGGGACAGGACAGACAGCATGAGGAGAGAGTATGTCAGTCAGCACGGGGATCAACTGGGTCAGCTCGCTGCTCGCTGACCGACTCGACTCGATGGATGGATGGACTCGGGAGAGTAGTTGAACCCCTCTCTCTCTCTCTCTCTCTCTCTCTCTCGGCGGAGGAGGCGGCGGCGGCGGCTGCGGCTGCAGAGTCAAGTCAGTGCAGTAACAGTCAGTAGTCTAACCGGTGCCTCCCCCCGTTACCAACATCTCGTCTACCTGTGTCCGCCGTGCTTGTGTACCTTGTGTACCTCAGGTAGGTAGGTTGAGTTTGTGCGTATGTTACCCACCCCACTTACCTAACCCCCCTCGTAACCCCCTGCCCTTCCCGCCTCAGCAGCGCCGGGTTGAGCTTCTGAGCTTGGGACTCTCTCTCTCTGGGAGCTGTGCCCCTCTGGCCTGCCCATCACAAAACCCCTCCTTTCGTTCACTTCTCACTTCTCACCTCCCGCCTCTTACTTCTCTCTCACTCCTCATCCTCACTGCTCTCTCTCTCTCCCGTTCCCTCGATTCTCCATCTCCCTGCACTCTGCAATTGCACTGCAGTCCTTTGCTTGCGAACTAGATCTAGATTCATCTTGTTCTCGTCCTCACCGTCAGACTCCAATTGCACCAACAACAACGCACATACATACCTCGCCGCGTTGCCCAGGAATCTGTCATCTAGTGTGAGTATTCCTTTTTCTTCTTCTTTTTTTTTTTTTTGGTCAACTCGTGCTACACTTTTCACATGGCCCTCAGGATCTGTCGCTACCCCTCAAGCTGCATGCTTATCCCACCTTATCCCACCCTTGATCCCACAGCGTCATTCAATGCCCCCGTTCCGGCTCTCGGGTTTTGGCGGCCTAGCTTGGCATCGCCGAGACAGACAGCTGTCCGGGCTCAGAGTTTTTCCCAACATGGGGAGGGGAGTGGTGGAGGGGTGGAGGGGGCAGGCATCTGTCAATGTTCCCGGCGACAAAACTGTCTCCCTGACCCCACCGCCCCCTCCTCCCAACCTCTTCCTCCTCATCCTCAATCTTCGCCTTTGTCTTCGTTTCCGTCCTCGTCCTCGTCCTCGTCCCCGTCCCCGTCTTGACCTTCCTTCTCCTACCTCTTCCAAACACCCTCTTGTCAGATTTGCTCTTGCTGGACTTGGACTCAACGGCTAATTGACAACCTACAGCAAACTTCTCTTCTCCCCACCACCACCACCTAACCTCTTACCACCACCACAATGTCTGCTCCTGCCCAGAAGTTCAAGGTCGCCGACATCTCCCTGGCCGCCTTCGGCCGCCGGGAGATCGAGCTGGCCGAGAACGAGATGCCCGGCCTGATGGCCACCCGCAAGAAGTATGCTGAGGACCAGCCCCTGGCTGGCGCCCGCATTGCCGGCTGCCTGCACATGACCATTCAGACTGCCGTCCTCATCGAGACCCTGACTGCCCTCGGCGCCGAGGTCACCTGGACCTCATGCAACATCTTCTCCACCCAGGACCACGCCGCCGCCGCCATCGCCGCCGCCGGTGTCCCCGTCTTCGCCTGGAAGGGCGAGACTGAGGACGAGTACAACTGGTGCCTCGAGCAGCAGCTCGGCGCCTTCAAGGACGGCAAGAAGCTCAACCTCATCCTCGACGACGGCGGTGACCTGACCCACCTCGTCCACGACAAGTACCCCGACATGCTTAAGGACTGCTACGGCGTCTCCGAGGAGACCACCACCGGTGTCCACCACCTCTACAAGATGCTCAAGGACGGCCAGCTCCTCGTCCCCGCCATCAACGTCAACGACTCGGTCACAAAGTCAAAGTTTGACAACCTCTACGGCTGCCGTGAGTCCCTCATCGACGGCATCAAGCGCGCCACCGACGTTATGATTGCCGGCAAGATCGCCGTCGTCGCCGGCTTTGGCGACGTCGGCAAGGGCTGCGCCCAGGCCCTGCACGGCATGGGTGCCCGTGTCATCGTCACCGAGATCGACCCCATCAACGCCCTGCAGGCCGCCATGGCCGGCTACCAGGTCGCCCCCATGGACAAGGTCGCCAGCATCGGCCAGATCTTCGTCACCACCACCGGCTGCCGTGACATCCTCGTCGGCAGGCACTTTGATGCCATGCCCAACGACGCCATCGTCTGCAACATCGGCCACTTCGACATCGAGATCGACGTCGCCTGGCTCAAGGCCAACGCCAAGAGCGTCCAGAACATCAAGCCCCAGGTCGACCGCTACCTGATGAATTCCGGCCGCCACATCATCCTCCTTGCCGAGGGCCGTCTCGTCAACCTGGGCTGTGCCACGGGTCACTCCTCGTTTGTCATGTCTTGCTCCTTCACCAACCAGGTCCTTGCCCAGATCATGCTCTACAAGAACGAGGACAAGGCCTTCGGCGAGAAGTACGTCGAGTACGCAAAGTCGGGCAAGCTCGAGAAGAAGGTCTATGTCCTGCCAAAGGTCCTCGACGAGGAGGTTGCCCGCCTGCACCTGGCCCACTGCAACGTCGAGCTCACCGAGCTCACCCCTGTCCAGGCCGAGTACCTCAGCCTCCCCAACGAGGGTCCTTACAAGAGCGACCAGTAAGTCTATGCCCATCTATGCCCATCTGCCCCCCCTCCACCTCACAACCAAAATAAAGGGGGGGCGTTACCTGACCATGTCTTCTAACCTCTTTGCAGCTACCGCTACTAAGCGCCTCCCCGGCGCGGTATTTGTATATTGACGCGATTTCCCGGACGTTTCAACCCCGTGGATCTCGCCCTAATATTTCGGCACTTTGGAGTGCGATTTTGCGCTAGAGGACATAAGATACCAAAAGCAATGTTTTCAACAGCATGACGGTCATGGCGATGATCCTTTTTTTTTCTTCAAATGGGGCAGCATTATTGTTTGCTTTGGCTGGTAGGGACAAAATTCAAAACGGACGCTCACGGGGAGAGGGGGCCGGAGGCGGCTGGCTTTTTCAACAAAAACGGCGTTGGGATAAATTATACCTTTTGTTGCATTGATTATTCCCCCCTGGCTGGAAGGGCGTTTTGAATATTGTGCAGGCGGCTCATCACGCCGTCATCAAGGACGTGGCCTGGCGGGCGTGCGACTGGATCAAGCGGTTGGCTCTTCAACGTAGCCGGATACCGTAGACTTGAGACGAATAAAGAGTAGAGAAGAGTTTGCAGTAATCTGTTTCATATCGCGAAGGATTTAGAACGGGCGCGTCCAAGCCCGGGGCGTTGCCCTGTGAGATGTGTGGTAGGTCGGATGTAGCAGGTTGTGTTTTTGGGGGCGGGAAGAGGCAACTCATGCTATCCCACGGGGAATTAACGACTATTTGCCTTTCGAAGGCTCTGCCGCTCCCCACACATCCAAAGACTTGTCCATAGGCGACACATGATGAGATAGATGCTCTTGTTCCCTCCCTTTATTGGCTCGCCAAAACAGCTCACCCCGCAATTGACTCTCCTTCACTGCATGCCCTTCTGCTCCGGAACAATGCTCTTCAGGCGCCCGTCCAGGATGGCCGTCTGCACGTTCGCCATGGTCCACTCCTCCATCTTGGCCTCGGTCTCGACCGTCCAGGTGCCCACTGCAGCAGTACAAAGTTAGCAATCAAAAGCACCGGGGCGGGGAAAGCGTTCCTCCAAGACAGGTCGAAGCAGGCCGCCACACACACATTGCCTGTTCCAAAAGCTGCAGCCCAACAAAGGGCTTCAGAGCAAGCGGTGAAACAGAGAACGGGTGATAGCAGATGTCTCTCCCTGGAGAAGGGTTTAATAAAGTTGTATCCGGAACCTGCTTACTGTGCGGCACCAATAATGCCCGGTTGTTCGCCAACAGGCCCGGGTGGATGTCGGGCTCGTTTTCGTAGACATCTAGCCCGACGCTCGCAACCCTGCCCGAGTCAAGAGCCTCCACCAGAGCGGCCTCGTCTATGACCGCACCGCGCGCCGTGTTTACGATGACGACGCCGTGCTTGACCATTGATAGCTCACGCGTCGAGATGATGTGCCTGGTATGTGGCTACGGAGCCTGGTTAGCACGCTTGTACCCCTCAACGCCTCGAAGGGATAGGGAAAAGGCAAGAAGAGAGTGTTGCAAGTTGTGTTTTTTGTTTTTGTTGTTGTTTTTGCAGCGAGGGGGGAGGGGTGGGGGGCAGTGGCACGTACGTTCAGGGGCAGATTCAGACTCAGCACGTCGCTGTGCCTCAACAGACTCTCAAAGTCACAATACTGGGCGCCTCCCAGCTCCCTCTCGACACCCTCATCCAGCCTGGTCCGATTGTGGTATAGGATCTTCATGCCGAAGGCCAGGGCTTTCCTAGCCATGTTTCGGCCGATGCCACCCATTCCAACGATGCCTAGGCTTTTGCCCTGCGGATCGTGGCCCAGCGCAGGTAGCGAACCATCTTGCTCGCAACCACGCCAGTTCCCCTGCCTGAGGTTGTGCATGCTAAGGGGGAAGTTTCGCAGGGCTCCGAGCATGAGGAATATTGCCGTATCCGCTGTAGCGTCATCCACAGCCGTGGGAACGTTGGACACTTTGATGCCTCGACTGGTGCAGGCTGGAACGTCCTGCAGCATCACACACAGTGTCAGTAGCCCCACTTGTGTTGTGCCGAGCTCAGGGCCGCGGGGTGGCCTACTATCTGATCAAACCCAGCGCCGTTGTGGCAGATGAACTTGAGTGACGACGGCAGGGCCAAGACAAGCTCGGAATCGATGCGGCCGGTGATGGAGACGGACCCGAAGGTCCGATAGGCCACCAGGCACCCGTCGAAAGCCCCCGAGGCAGCCTCCAAGAGGAAGCCAGCTCTGTCGGTCGACTTGGGCACGACCACATCGGCCATGGAGCTGACTGGAGCTTGGTCAGCAGTTTGCTCAGGCCCGGGCGGCGGATATCCAGCGGACTCTTGACACAACAGGAACCCAGCCGCGACATGTTCGAGGAGGGGACCAGGGCTCCGCCTGCCGTCACTTACTGGTATCCCAGGTGTCGTGCGCGTGTTCGACAACGCCGAGCTGGAGTAGTTTGCTGCGTGGAGCCGCCATTGTTTTTGTTCCGGGCCTCCTCCTGGTTCACCTCCAGCAGAGCCCACTGGCGACGAAATGCTGCGGATCTGAGCGCTGTTGGCCTCTTGACGAGCACATGCACTGGCTCTTTAGTCCCTGACCTGGAGCCGAGAGTTAGCGATTGAAGGGACGGGGGTCTGTTGGGAGGAGGGATGGACAGGCGGGCAGGGCAGAGAGATTGCAGCGGGCGAGGCGAGGATGTGTGTTGGGGAAAGATTGCCTGCATGTAGTATAACCGGCCAGCTGGCTGTATGGGTAGGCCTACGTGCCACGGCCCTCGGCCGTGATTGATTGGGTGGTGTACAGATCAAGACGCGAGGCGGGCGGCGACACATTTGCCTTTGCGCCGTCAACAAGTCCTCGCCCAGCTACTTACTGTGCTGTGCTGTGCTGTGCTGTGCTGTGCTGTGCTGTGCTATGCGGTGTTGAATGATTCAATTGAGACCTCTCCACTGCCAGGAAAGGCGCCGTCGAAGCCAAGTGATAGGGAAATAACGCCTTGTGTGTCAGAAGCCCCGACTTGCACGCATACGACAGCACGGCTCTGCACTGCAAGGGAACGTTTGATGAGTTCGCGGAAGCGGCATGGCACAGTATTGGCGGCGAGCCCCGCGCCTCTGCTCCACATATTCAGATCCCACTTCCAGCCCGCGGGTATCCTAAACGTCGGCCTGAGACCTGACTAGCACACACCCTTCTGGAGATGGCATACCGTCCTGATTCACAAGTTGCCTTATTACTGAGGCAAAAGGCCGGGGTACAGAGTGGAAACCTCTCATTATCTCATGGCACCCCTCCTCACGCCGCACTTGCATTTGCCGGGATGAGAATGGGTATATGGTTTGCAGATCGCCCGTATGACCGAACCCCTTGCTCTTCCTTGACATACGTGATCGTTTTTTGTGAGTGTGAGTGAGTGTAAATGAGTGAGTGTGAATGAGTGAGTGTGAATGAGTGAGTGTGAATGAGTGAGTGTGAATGAGTGAGTGTGAATGAGTGAGTGAGTGAGTGAGTGAGAGAGAGAGAAGGGGGGGGGGGGAAACATCATACATCATGGGATAGCTTACACTTGACCGGGACCCAAATCCCTGGCATATGCACTGCGATCACCAGGTAAGACTAGGACATGAGTGTTGTTTTGGTTGTTGAGGAAACCTCTGACGAGGGCTCCTGTTGTGTAATTAAGACTAGCTGTACAGCGCAGGCCGACCCTCGCCGTGCACTCGCTCGAGGTCGATGCTGGATCTGTCTCTCCTTTTGCTGGCTAACCTGTACCCAGGTGCTGCGTCATCTATTGAGTCGGAACCCCCCACGCCCCGCCCATTCCGCCCTCACTCGCGATCAATGCTGTATACATTACAAGCGTGCGCTAATTTGCCCCTTCACTAGTCACGACCTGCCGAGATGTGTAAACGCCCCCCAGCCCCCACCACAGAAAAAGGAAAATGAAACAACCAAAATGGCCACTGATATATACGCAGTGACTGCAATGTTACCAGCCGGGAAATGATGCGCCACCTCCATGACCTTTGGGCTGGCGCCAGATTGATGACTTAGTGCTTGCGCACAATGTTGAAACCAGGGTTGACGAGCGCCCGACACGCTACGAAGGTAAGCTGACGGACGACGTTGGTTGTGCCACCCGTGGCAGAGGCCTCTGCCTTGATGAATTGGGTGGCCACGTGAAGTTTATTGCGCGGCTCGCTCTCGTCGAGGTGATCCGGGATCTTATTCTCGTAGCCGGGCCCGAATCGCGGGCCGAGGTCCCGTATGATGGCTAGCGAGTAGAGCACGTCGCGGTTTTCTCGACCATCCAAAAGGCCCCGAAGCCTCTGCAGATGCTGCTCCCGCCCGACCTGGTCAGGAAGCCGCAGGAACTCGGCCAGTGAGTACCAGAACTCATACTCCTTGCGTCGATGCTGATCGGCGTTTCTTGGAGGGGGGATGAGAGGGTTTGTTGCGAGGGTCTCGCCGTTCAAAAGTGCCTCGAAGACGTGGACGCGGTTCTACAACTTTCAGAGTAAGCTAGTGAAGTGGCAAATAAGAAGCCCCATCCGATACGCAGGGGTGGCCCAGGACAACATCTGCCAGCGAGCCATCCCACAACCTGCAGCCAGATCAAGGACGCTTGGGCAAAGCAGAGACGGCCTTTGACACGAGGATGGCAGACTGATATCCTGCGAGGGGTGCGGGTGGGTCTCCGGGAGCTGCTTACACGCGTCTCGCTGGGGTTGTTTTCTGGCAATGGGTCATCACGTGGCATGTTTATCCCAGAAGGGATCGTGTATGCCAGCTTGGCCAAAGCCCAAACAACCCTGGTTTCGAGGTGTCCGCAGTACGAGAAGTGGTTGGGGTCGGCATTGACGGTGTGCAGCGAGACGAGGAAGCTGCCCAGGAGGGAGATGAGGGGGTCGTTGTGAAGAAAGATGGAAATAGAATTATGGCCCTGGCTCTGGAAGTTGAACCATTGCGATTCGAAGAATTGGCAGAGGCCAGGAACGTAGATCTCATAGTAGATCTTGGTGAGTTCCTCGACAGACTGCGGCGTCGGCCTCAGGCTCGTCTCGATTCGAGGCGCGGCGCCAGAATGGTCGATGATCTCATCGACCTTGAGCATCTTTACTGAGCAACTTGAGTAAGCGTGTGTGCTTGCGGGATGACACTGGAGGCTGAGAAAGGGGAGCGGCCACCTCTTAGCTGCGGTGCCTCTCCAGGCTGCAGCACGGTGAAGTCGGCGGTGGGTGACCGTGCAGCTGTGAGGGCGGCGGTCACAGCAGCAGAGGCAGCGAACGAGGCAGATCCAGCCTTGTCCAAGGCCGGGTCGATGTTGATGGATGGCCTCGCAGGCTCAAAGGGTTCGTGTTTGACGGTGGCGCTGTCGTCGGATGATTCACGGGCGGCGGGCGGGTCACTTGGGGTGAGCACAGGCGTCGGGTGGGTTGTGTACGGGGCTGCAGTGCCCGGAGGAGCAGTCGGGGCGGCTGTAGATGTCGCCGAGGCGGACGGCGAGGGGCCGCCACTGGGGGCAGGCTGGAGTGCCGAGGGGGTTTGCTGCTGCTTGAAGATTGGATCGTAGCCCAGACACTCGCGCTTCGACTTCTTGCAGTTGTTGCAGGTGGGGTGTGTCTCGTCACACTGGAACCACCAAAAGGCAGGCAGAGTCAGCTTAGACAGATCGGCAACCTACAAACGCGGCCGGTTGGGCGGCGATGGCGTTGGAGGGTAGGGGGGATGACTTGGTGGGTGGTTGAGAAAGAGTGCAGCGTGAAGTGCAAGAGAGATTTTGGGGGAGCGGAAGGGGGAGAGGCTTCTCGCTTGACTTGGGACGTGACGGGACGGGACGAAGTTTTGGCGGGTGCTCGCGTCCTACTCGCCCACTCGCGTGCCCACCTCGCGCCCGCGACAAGGATGATAGCAGTTGTGACCCGACACCACTCTCGCTTGCACGGTGGTTCCTAGTCGGGACGGGCTGCGCCATCAAGAGGCAAAGAGGACAGGGCAAGACGCAACAAGAAGAAGAAATAAGGTCTGAGGCCTGCAGAACACGGAGAAGAAAAAGTCCAAGACAGGTAGACAGTTGGCAACAACATTTTCAAGCAAGCCAGAAGACGTGGACCCAGTGTGCAATGCAGGCCAGACTCGGGCGACGCCCATCGGCCGGCGCACATCACATCACGGTCGACGGATCAGCAGGCAAGGGGCTACGAGTGTCTTGGCTCGACGGCTCCTCGTCGTCGTCGTCGTTGTTGTTGTTGTTGTTGAAGCGCGCCCTTGGCCTCCCGCTGCCAGTACCGCCCACCGTGCCGTGCCCTTCCTCTTGGTCTCGAAATGGGCTGTTCGAGTTGGCAGGGCACGCAGCGGCGATGTGACCTGACTGGCTGAGTGATGCAGCCCCTCGTCTTCGGCGGCCGACCGACAGACGTACTTCGGAGACAGGGACGGGGACGGAGGTTTTCAAGGAGACTGCTGGCACGCACCTTTATCCGTCGTTTCCGGCACGTTAAACACCCAGTCTTGGTCCGACGCTTGATCTCCTATTAGCAACCGAGCCCCACCGTCAGCAACACCCAGGGAAAGAGCGAAAGACATGACTTTGACAGACTCCGCTCCATCATCACCCCGCGCCTGGGAGGCGTGCTTGCTCGCACATCGCAACACAGAGGGACTCTGCCACCTGAAACAACAATAGAACAGAACCGAGCGTGCGTTTCCGCCACTCTCCCACATACCTTTTTGTGCCTTCCTCCACTCAGTTGCATGCGAGGGTCGTAGAGCCCCGGCGGAATCCCATAACGCATCGCCATCTGGTCGTGCATGCCATATGGCGGCTGGTTTATCGTAAAGTAGCCCATGTGCGGCCCAGGAGCCATCGTAGAGCCCATCGGCGCCCCGGGCTGCAGCTGTGGTGGAGGCTGGTACTGGTGCGGATGGTGATGTTGTGGGTGGTGCTGTACCTGGGCATACTGAGGCGCCTGCGGCTGCTGGTGCTGGTGCTGGTGCTGTTGGTGTTGCTGTTGGTGTTGCTGTTGGTGATGCTGCTGGTGGTGGTGGTGGTGCTGATGGGGCCCGGGGTGTTGCGGCTGGCCCTGTGGTTGCTGCTGCTGTTGCTGCTGATCGAAACTGCGCATGCTGGGGAGGGCGAGAGAATGGGGCGGCGGGCCAGTCGGGCTCTGTCGGTACTGGTCGACGGGCTGGCCTCCGGGGGTTGGGTAGCCGTACTGAGGGGGAGGAGGGGGAGGCGCATGGCCTGTTGGCGTGCCGTGGGGATGATAGTGAGCCCCTGGGGCAGGGTAGTTCACCGGCTGGAGTGTCGGCGGGGCACCATGTTGAGGTTGCTGCTGCTGCTGTTGTGGTTGTTGTTGTTGTTGTTGTTGCTGTTGCTGCTGCTGCTGCTGCTGCTGCTGCTGCTGCTGAGGTTGGCGAGGAGGGCCAGTTGGGGGCGGAGGATGGGACATGGGCGGCGACGAAGAGGGCGTGGGTGAAGGCACGCCGTGTGGGAAGGGTTGACGGGTATGGGTGCGAAGAAGGTGAGTATTGCCTTGCGCAGTTGTCGTGGCATACGAGGTCGTCGTCGAGGTAGCTGAGCTCGAAGGCTGTGAGCGGCACGAGGCCCCGTTGTGGAGTTGACGGCTACCCCTTTCTCTGGCGCCGTGCTCCTTGCCAGTATCACTAGAACTGGAACTGGCAGTGGTAGTGGCAGTGACACTGGGACTGGCACCGGAGACGCTGTCAATGTAGCTGTTGGCGCTGCTCGAGTCGCTGCAGCTGCTGGTCGCACTAGCTGTGCTGCTGCTGGCAGGGCGTGGAAGACTTGGGCTGAGAAATCGGCCCTGGGCTTGACCTTGGCTCTGGCTGTGGCCCAAACTCTGTCCTCGGCCGTGGGTGTGCACTGGTGGGTTGACAGTCGCTGCCTGTGGATGCGTGCGCGTGTACTCTCCGTCAGGTGTCTGCTGGGGAGAAATGGGCCGTAAGGAAGAAAGAGGAGGATGTCGGTCGCAGCAGGGCGGCTCCTGGACGCGAGCAGAAGTGGAAGTAGACACAGTAGAGGAGGGTGGTGGTGGTGGTGGTGGTGGTGGCGGCGGCGGCGGTGGTCGTGGTTGTGCAGGACCAGACGCGCCAGAAGAAGACAAGGCCGTGCCTGTAGGTGGAGCGCGTGGGGAGCGTGGTGCTCGTGGGCTTGGTAAAGATGGTGCTGGCAGCGGCAGGGCCGAGTCCTGAGGTTGTACCAGCTCGAGGTCGACGTCCAGTTGCGGTGCTTTTCGCAGTCCCTGGCCCAATCCCAACCCCAGTCCCAGACCAGATCCCAATCCGTGCGGTTGATGGCTCTGGGAGTGCGTCTGTGTCTGTGTCTGCGTCTGCGTCTGCGTCTGGTCCTGGTCCGGCTGCTGCTGCTGCTGGTGCTGCTGCGGCGGCGGCGGCGGCGATGATGAAGGAGGGTGGTCCATTTTGGGTGTGCTTTTATTATTACCTAGGGGCACATCCAAATTTTTATGGAGCCCCGAGGGGAATTGAATTGGACCGACTGGACTGTGCCCCGTGCCGATGGACGAGGGTGGGCAATGAAGCCAAAAAGAGAGAGGGAGGGAAAATTCGCGTTGGATGCAGGTGGAGAGGTGGTGTGGGGTGGAGTGAGGTGAGTTGACAGGGGGGGGACCACCGCGACGGGCGGGCCAGGCAGGGTGTCGGGCAGGAGCTCGCTCCCTGGCACCCAGGAGAGGCAGAGAGAGGCAGAGAGAGGCAGAGAGGCAGGGGACGGGAAAGGCACATGTCGAGGTACGTACCTGTACCTCCCGCTACCCCGTCGCAGGTACGTGATGGTGCTTGCTGTACCGCGCCCACCGTACTGTACTGTACTGCACTGCACTGCACTGCACTTCACTTCACTGCACCGTACTCGGTGCCACGACCTGTCATATATCCCCTGCGCTACCGCGTACAGTACAGCATACAGTAGTCTCATGAGTACAGTCCTTGCTTTGGGCCTCACAGCAGGCCAAGAGACAATTCAGCCATGGCTCGAGGGCAGAAAAAGGAGGCAACAAGATGCACCCGTGGAGCTCCAGCTCGAGCTTCTCTCCCCCCTCCCCCCTCCCCCCTCCAAGCGGGCAGCCGGGACAGTAGAGCCCGCCTCCGCCAGGACCTGACTCTGCTGTGACCTGGCGAGCCTGGATACTGTCATCTAGTCCGAGATGAAGAGGACATGATCCCATTTTAGGGTATCGTCCCACATGGGCTTATTCCGCAAGAGGTCATCCTATGTTCCGTGTCGGAGAACCCCCCGAACGCAATCTAACAGCAGCACAGGACTGTATAGACTATATATATGTGTGTGTGTGTGTGTGTGCGCGCGCGTGTGTATGTGGCTGCGAACACACATACATTGATCATTTACCGGTCCCTATTCCGCTGTCCTGCTCTCAGTAGCCCGTACGGCACATGTACTGCGCGGTCCCCCGGTGCTGTATGTACAGTATTGGACTTTTCAGGGGACAGGCTTGTGGGGTGCCAGGATATGGTTTTTTTCTCTTCTTCCTCTGGGTATTTCCAGGGGGGTCGCGAGGCAGGGGTTGGGCGTCTCCAGCCTTGAACCTCGAACGGCCCGGGCTCCAGGTCGACAATCAAACGTAATCGTCTGCTGCTTGAAATGAGGAAATCTGCCCGTCGAGGTTCGGACACGATAGTTGTCAAAATTAACTGAGTGGTTGCTTGACCGATTGATTCATGGCACGGCCCTCGCGCCGGACCTTGGGTGTTCAAGCTGCTGAGACGTAGTGCTCCGGGGGCATACTGTATAGGAAAAAGGACAGCGATGCGCGAGCAAAAGCACATTCCCAGGTGCGCGTGGGTCCTTGGGTTCATGGATGCTGGGCAGGGGCTGCTAGAACTTGGACTCGGCCGAGTAGGAGGAAGCTGTCAAGGCTGTTGGGGGGGGGTGGGGAACAGACCGCCAAAGGATACAGCCCAGCAGCGGCGCAGCCGTTAGCAGGGGTTGCCTTTTCGCTTCTTCTGTCTTCTTCGACAGCTCTAGCGACAGATTGCCGACCGTGGGATGGGATGGGATGAGATGATGGGATGGGATGGGATGGGATGGGATGGGTTGATTGTTTGCAGGGGGTGGGCGTGGAACGGGATGAAAAGGAATGGGGACCAGCTTGGTCGACAGCTCCGTAAGGTACGCCAGTCATGTACTGGGCCGTAATAACGACTTGGTATTAATGCTGTCTGGGCAGATTAAACACGACCGAGGCAAGGATCAGGAGACCCAGGGACCAGGGACCAGGGACCATGAGCCCCCGGGGCCTTGATCCGCAACCTCCATCCTACCTATGCATGCAGGACACACGGCGCAGAATGTTGTGTAGATACAGGGTACCGGCGTGGGCACGGCTGGAGGCTGGGAGGCTGGGAGGCTGGCGGCTGGCGTCTCGGCTTGCCTCGCTTGCTGTCTCGCTTCTGCCCGTTGAGCGAAGGGGGAACCAAGGGCCCTGGGGCCACGGTTCGCCTCCTGACAAAGATACGCGAGCCCGTTAGACCTGCCCTAGCGGGAGCTTAATTCAAGCTTCGCCGCTCGGGAGACCGAAACCATTAAACCGTTTGGACGACAACCATTCCCTGTGCTAGGCGAGTGAGTGAGTGAGAGTGTGTGCGTGAGTGACAGCATGGCCCAAAGTCAGCGCCTGAATCAGGCCACTTTCACTCCCTTGTTGACACTCTATCCATGTGAATACGTGTAGACGTGTGTGCGTGAGAGAGAGAGAGAGAGAGAGAGAAGGGGGGAGGGGACAGGGAGGGGGAGAGAAAGAGAGAAAGAGAGAGATAGATGGAGAGACTGTGTGTGTGCGCGTGTGCGCGCTCTTGGATCAGTGTACATGTATCGTGTTTGTACATGCGTGTATGTTACGTGCTGTATACCTAGGTATGTGCATGTCTGTCTGTACGCATTGCCTGAAATGCCCTGCTTGCTTGACCGGTTCGTTCATGTTCCCACCCGTCCAGCGCCACACACCCTCTCTCTCAGTCTGCTAGCTGCTCTGCCCCTGACTTAAACGGGCTACGTGCAGATCCGGCGAAACTCTTCAATGCTCACCCGCTGGTGCCACCATCCATCTGATTCCCACGGTTCTCGGGGCCGCCATGACCCATTCCACAATTCACCGTGGCGGCATGGCAGCATGGCTTCGTTGGCTCTTCAAGGGCTCGGCTCGCTCATTGCCAACATTGACAGGTGAGCAGGTGCTACCGCCTTTCCAGAGGCTACCTAGGTACGCTGAACGGGACCAATGGGGCCAGATGCATGTGGGATACCCAGGTATTCCATATGCAGCACTGATCCTTTGCGCGCCAGCTGCGGGCTGACGCCGGGATATCGTCTCGTGGGATGTGGGACGGCTTGCAGGCAGGCAGGGTAAGGTGGGAAAAGACCCCTGGCAAGAGACGCCGACGGGGTTAATTCTTCATTCGAATTGTTCTCCTCGCTGGTGATACCTGTCCGCGTGCCAGAAACAAATACCAGTCTCTCGTGGGCGTCGTGCAAAGGCTCCCGTGGTACCTAGTCCACAGAGTCTACTTCATGCTGATAAGCGCTGCAACAGCTGCAATGAGATCGCTCTCTCGACCTCCTCCATGACACAGCCCTGACATTGCATCTCGTTTGGACACACACACACACACACACACACACACACGCAGTACGTAGCACGGAAGCAAGAGCGGGGGGGACTCGAGATTGGCGAGCTCACATCAATCTCGAGCCCTGGCCCCCTGGTCAGCCGGCTTGTCGGCTGGCTCAGACCCGGCTCTGCAATCTCGTGCATGCTCCGTCACTCTCTCCCCTGCTCAACCCCCCCTCTCCCTTCCGGGAGGAATACACAGAAAATCTCTCTTTTTCTGACTTCTTGGGTCTTCTGGCACTCACTTGCCCTGTCCCGCTTTTGATCCTCCTTCAAACACCCTCTCTTTCTTAATATTCGAGCCTCTAGCCCTCCCACCACCACCCGTCTCTGGAACAGCCTGCTTCTCTAACCAGGAGCACAGGGAGAGGCCTTCCTTGCAAAGGCCCGCGGTCTGATCAAATGTCTACCGCAAGTATCAATGACATCAACTCATGGTACTTGCTGGTCGGGTAACAGCCCAGGGGAGGCCATGTCACCTCCAGGAACAACGAATTGTGTTCACGTCGTGAACAACTCGAAGCCGATGAAGTGTTGTTCGGGCTTTCCTGTCTCCTGGCGACATGATGTTCCTTGTTGACACCGCGCATTTGCTCCGACTGGGCACAGCCAAGGGTCCCAAGACAAGCTGAGAGCTGTGTCGATATTGCTTGCATGTGTATGACATAGGCCTCAGTGCCATCAGTGTGCGTATCCTCGCGCAGACGAGACGACAACGCTGGGTAGTCTATGCCTCGTGTCAGCTGGCTGGCATCTAGAGTACATTACACGCAGATCTGTGTTGGTGTCTCATTTGATCTTATTACGGCACCATGTAGAGCCTACCTAGGTAACCCTAGGCCTACACAGCACTGTAGATGCAGCGAGACTCTCGGCTGAATCAGCGAGAAACACGCATTAGCCTCTTTGCTACACCCCGCTCCTGCAGATACGACACCAATGTGTGGTGCTGCCCGCCCAGCGTTTGAGCAGTGGATATGGGTCGCGGCCTGCGCCGAGCCGAGGAGGGGCCAATCCTAACAAGAGAACACATGGCTCTGGGGCGAGAGCTCCTTAAAGTAGTGATGGTCTTCGGGCATGCGGGCCGGCCATTTGCCAACACGCCCGACAGGTGTCCCTTCGCAGGGCGCCCGGAGAGCTGAAGACCGGAGTTTAGAACTCGAGGCCTGAGCCGCCTGTCGTGCGCCGAATGGAACATGGCTCGTGATGGCTCGAAAGGCCGCGAGGCCGCGAGGCCGCGGCGCACCTGATTTGTAGTCTGTACGGCGCCGCCAGGGGGTGGGCACAGTGACCAGTGGCGAGTCGGCAACCGCAAATCTACACGGGAGAAGGCGAGCCCGGCCTGAGGGCATAGCATGTGCTTCGATCGCAGGGCAAAACAAGAGACAGCCGCGTCCTCAGTACAGTGGTGTAGCTGGACACACTGCTGTACGAGTAGACATGTCCACACACATCTCGCAGAGACCCCAAAGATCCCGTGCGGGTGATGTAGGGTACCAAAGGGGCCGAGGATTACGTGCCCGGAAGCAAGAGTAGAAGAAGATGATGTCTAGGCCGTCTCCCACGACAGAGAGATGTTGTCTCGGCTCCCTTCCCCGTGTCCAACCGAGCTTACCTAATCCGCCGCCCGGCGACCTTCCGGTGTGGTCTTACTTTGGGCCATGACGCCAACACTTGAGATGCGTGCAGCACGCACCCGTGTGCTCTAAGATTCAGGTGGCGCCAGCCATTATTGGGCAACGCAACCGCCACCAAAATACTGTCGTCAAGCTGCCACACCGCGCCCAAACAGAGGCGGCACTACACACAACGTTGACACTGCCTTAACACGACCATCAACCAGGTCAAGCAGGTCAAGCAAGATCCACAATCCACCATCCCACCCATCGAAAGCACACGTCAGGATCCAGGACCTAACGGTCACACCACCATCAGTCACAGTGGCGCATTTCTTCTGGTCAAGGCGGCAAAGCTCAGACCGGGACGTTCCTCCCTGCCGACCACCGTCTCGGGAAACCATCATGGTTGAGCAGCCGCCGGCGCAGCCCAGACTCACGCCCCAGTTCTGCCTGTCAACAGCTACGTTGCGAGGTGCGCTGCCCACCTGCTCCGCCCTCTGTCTCCCCCTCCGGCCCTGGCCCGTCCACTGATGCGTGTTCTTGCTTGCAGAATTCCTGCGGGTATCTCGCAGCACTATAGACGATTCTATTACCCAGAACCTCAACGCCCTCGTAACGCCTGCCTCGCGCGGGTTCGACCCCAACTCGACCTCTCAGCGAACCCCGCGCCCCCGGCCGGATGAACAGATTGGGCGCCGCTCGTGCCAGAACTTCAAAGACAAGGTCCTCTTCCCCACGTGGCAAGCCCGCTCCGACGTCTTGAGCTACTGTGCGCTGGTGGCCACCAGCCCGGACCCTAGCGACCCGGATGCCGCAGTGCGGGAAGCTGAGTTGGTGAGGAACAGGGAGAGAGTCGTCGACGAGAGGTTAGACCCATACTCAGCACGCTATTTCCCACGCGAGCCCAGAACGACGCAGCTGGCCGTGTTGCTGCGGCAGGAGCAGGGCATCGAGAACATTGTCAGGTCCAGGACGTGGGGTCTCGTTCGGGAAAGATGTGGTGACTCTGCCGACGACTGGGAGAGGGCGCTTGGCGATTGGAGGGTAAGGAATGGCGCATAGCGTGCAGTGTGCGCGCGTGGTCTTCTGAAAGCTAGGTAACGTTGATGCACCGTAAGGTGTGGATCGGGAGGCTACTCGGAGAGTCGGAGAGACGTGCCACATCAGACAGAGGCTGGCCGGCAACTCGTTGTAGAAAAGTGCCAGGCTGCAAATATGACTAGCAGCCGGGCCATACTGGCTGAACGATGGTGCTGTTGTGTTGTGTTGTGTTGTGTTGTGTTGTGTTGTAATATCATCTACCATCATCAATCAAGGCCCAGGTGGGCACCTTGGTTGAAGGCCGTCCGTCTCGTGCATGTGGTCCGCCCGACGGCTGGTTGCCGGCTGGTGTCGTCTAGGCCCGCGCTCACTGGGCGCTGGGGCAGCCAGCCAAATCGACCCCACGTCTGCTAGTAGTCCCAGTGCCAGAGTGCAAGCTTGACATCCCGCTCTTACTTTCAACCCACCTCTGCCGGGAGCAGCTTCTTGTACGTACGTACCTCTCTCTCTCTCTCTGTGTAAGTTTTACTGCCTTAGCTCGCGACCGGGCCGCCCACTCACACAAACACCCTCATACGACGCAATCTGCTTCCAACACGCTGGCCATTGTCCTTCCCTCCTCTCTTGGCCACGATCAAGCGTTCCTTCGGACGTCTCCAGCCTGGCATGTGCGCAGTCAGCCGGCATCCTCACCTCTCGACCTCATAATACGAGCATTCCATTCCACCAAGCTGAGCCCACATCTGCATACGTGCCAACTGTACTTCCACATCCGCCCACGCTGCCACAGAAGTGCTGCCTTCTCTGCCCTGGAGACACGCTCGAGTAGCTGACAATATCTTTGCTCATAGGATCCCCATCTCACACCAACCACAACAGACCACCCCCCCCCCTCGGCACACGCACTCGGCACCTGGCCCACCCGTCGAAATGTCACAGAAGCTGAGCACGAGGGAGCAAAATCTCTTTCGTCAGGTCGTCCGCAACTATGAGGAGAAGCAGTACAAGCGCGGCCTCAAGGCCGCCGAGCAAATCCTCAAGAAGAATTCTAGGCACGGCGACACAATGGCCATGAAGGCCCTCATCCTAAATGCCCAGGGCAAGACCGACGAGGCGTTCGCGCTGGGCAAGGAGGCGTTGACCGTCGATATGAAGTCGCATATCTGCTGGCACGTCTACGGACTGCTGTACAGGACCAACAAGAACTTTGAGGAGGCCATCAAAGCCTACCGCTTCGCCCTCAAGCTCGAGCCCGACTCCAGCCAGATCCAGCGAGACCTCGCCATCCTGCAGATCCAGATGCGCGACTACAACGGCTATGTCCAGAGCAGGCTTGCCATGTTGCAGCAACGCCCACAATTGAGGCAGAGCTGGACCGGCCTGGCCATCGCCCATCACTTGGCCGGCAACCTAGTCGAGGCCGAGAACATACTCAAAACGTTCGAGGAGACGCTAAAAACACCTCCCCCCAAGACCGACATCGAACATGCAGAGGCCATCATGTACCGTAACATGATCATTGCCGAGACTGGCGACACTCAGAGGGCTTTGGACCACCTTGAATCAGTCTGCAAGCAGAACCTGGACCGCCTGTCCTACATGGAAGCACGAGCCAGGTATTTGGCTCAGCTCGGAAGGAAGGATGACGCAGCCCGGGCCTACCGTGCACTCCTCGATCGGAACCCCGACCATCCTGAGTATTACGACTCCCTGATTGCAGTGCTCGGGTTGGCTGAGGGGGATGTTGCGGCTCGCAAAGCAATCTACGACGAATACGTCACCAAGTCGCCTCGCTCAGATGCTGCGCGACGTCTCCCTCTGGACTTTTTGACCGGTAGGTGGAACTATCCTTCCCCATTCACCCCAAAAAAAGAAACTTTTCCTCGTTTCCTTATTCTTTTCTTTTTCATCTCCTGTTGTTTCTTTCTACCTTAGCCTTGAACTGACCATTCCCAGGCGATGACTTCAAGGAATCGGCCAAGAAGTATTTGACCGCAGTATTAGATAAAGGCGTGCCCTCCACCTTTGCCAACCTAAAGCACCTTTACAACGATGACTTCAAGAGAACAACCCTGCCCGCCCTGGTGCATGAGTACCTTGAGGCGGCAGGCGGGGAGCAAGCTAATGGAGACAGCTCCAAAGGCAAAGGGGCGGCTCTGTATTTTTTGGCTCAGCACTACAACTACTCCCCAAGCCGTGACCTCGCCAAGGCTATGGAGTATGTAGACAAGGCCATTGAGCTAGATCCCAAGAATGTTGACTTTGCCATGACCAAGGCGCGGATATGGAAGCACCACGGAAACCTGCACAAGGCATCAGAGGCTATGGACCATGCCCGAGCACTGGACACCAGAGATCGATACATCAACACCAAGGCAGCCAAGTACCAACTGCGGAACAATGAATGCGACAAGGCACTCAAGACAATGGGCATGTTCACCAAAGCCGACACGCCCGGTGGCCCACTGGCAGACCTTCTGGACATGCAGAGTGTGTGGTTCCTCACCGAGGACGGCGAGGCCCACGCGCGGCTGGGCAATGTGGGACTGGCCCTGAAGCGATTCCACTCGGTTTATAACATCTTCGACGTGTGGCAGGAGGACCAGTTCGACTTCCACAGTTTCTCGCTCAGAAAGGGTATGATCCGGGCCTATGTCGACATGGTGAGGTGGGAGGACCACCTGCGAGACCACCCGATGTACACGCGCGTGGCGATCGATGCGGCACGGGTGTACCTGCGGCTGCACGAGGAGCAGAATGCGGTGGAGGCCAATGGGGTCAACGGCTCGGCGGGCGCCCACGGCGACGACGCCCTGGAAAAGAAGAAGGCGGCAAAGAAGGCAAAGAAGGAATCGCAGCGGCTGGAGCGCGAGGCGGCGGACCGGGCGGCCAAGCAGAATCCCAACCAGGGCCAAAAGGGCAAGCAGGACGCTGAAGCGCTGAAGAAGAAGGACGACGACCCGCTGGGACAGAAGCTCGCGAGCACGACGGATCCGCTGGCAGAGGCCATGAAGTTTGTGAACCCGATGCTGGCGTGCAGCCCGAAGAGCATCGAGGCACAGGCGACAGCTTTCGAGGTGCTGATTCTCAGGAGTAAGTCTAACCGGCCACCAAGTAAAGGGTGGAGGAAGCGGTCGGGATCAGGCACGCGACGACTTGACTGGTAGACATCGGTTGCTAACTTTTTCTTTTTCTCCTTCTCAGAAAAGTACATACTGGCCCTTGGGTGCCTAAAGGCTGTGCTGGCGTTGGACCGGGAGAACGCCAAGGCTCACGAGCAAGCGGTGCGTCTGAGGCAGGCGCTGGACAAGGAGGCGGGCACGCTGCCAGCCAAGGTGGGCGAGGTGATCAAGGCGGAGTTCACGGAGATCCCGGCGTCTACGGACCTGGCCAAGCACAACGAGGAGTTCCGGCAGAGGCACAAGGGCAGCGCGCAGCACATCCTGGCGAGCATACGCGTGCAGGACAGGCTGGGGGAGGACCGGGCCAGGCTGGGCAAGGAGGTGGCGGGCTTGCTACAGATGGAAGGCGTGGGGCTGAGGGACGCGAGCGATGCGCAAGAACTGCTAAAGGGGTGGAAGAGCGGGGAACTGGAGGGGTTCAGGAAGACAGCAGCTCAGAAGTGGCCCGAGTCGTCGGTGTTCACATAGTGTGCTTCGCAGCCCGAGCAGAGAGGCGTGTGGGTGCTTGCAGGCACCGACGCCGTCCGAGGATCTAGCAGCACAGCAGGGGAAACTCGGCTGAGGCAGACGGGTGCAGTAAAACATATTTACCCTGGGCGCATGTGTGCTTGCGTACAAGCCCACAATGAGGCTGAGGCTGAGGCACAAATACACACACAGTTGCGGAGGTGGTGAAGGTATGTACTTAGGTATGTATAGCAGTCTATGGATATGCAAGGGGCAAGGCGGAGGAGGAAGAAGAAGAAGAAGCAGACGAGGAGATAGAAGAAGGGGGTTCGTAGGAGAAGTGAAGTCCAGAGATGGGCCGACGGGCTTAGGTGCCAACAAGCTACAGCGTCACATGGGGGGTCCCGTGCATGGACGTTTTCACTGAGTAGCATGCAGGTGGCAGGTGGTAGGCTCGGCTCCCGCGGACGGGGACGGGGACGGGGACTGACACTGGCACGGGGGCAATGCCGAGCTACCTAGTACAGTACCTAGAGGAGTCAATGCCCGTCCCCTAGACGAGTTATAGTGCATGTCGCACATGTCGCACATGTCGAAACGGTGACAAGTCTGTTGTAGTCCAGACGGAGCCTTCTCTTCTTTTTCGATGCTTGTTTCTTGCACACAGCACACAGGATAGACTATAGTCTGCCCTGCCTATCCAGCAAAGCACAAGGTCAGACTGAACAGGACAGCAAAGTCAATCCACACGTGCCTTGGGGTGCCTCGGTATACAGGTCTACCCAGGTACTCAGGTAGCCACCAGGTAGCGGCCCACCGCCGTCCAAATCCTCCTCGCCTTGGGCAGCGTCCGTCCCCCTCTGCACCTGTCGCAGACTCAGACTCCTCTCGCAGCCAACCCCCCCCCCCATCTGGTTGACAACAACATAGTCTTATTAATACAGCATCCCCCTGAGCTTGAACTCGAATTCGGTCCCACCTCCAGCTCCAGCTCCCACCCCCAGGTCCCGGCTCGCCCATCCCGCCGCCCCGTCCCGCCCCATCCGGTCCAACTCGTGTGCGCGCGCATACAAAATAAATAGGCCAGCGTTCGATCGTCCACACATCCACACATCCACCCACCCACCCATACATACATACATACATACGTACATATGTACGCTTGAAACTCCCAAGTGGCAGCCTCGCCTCGCCTCGCCTCACGTCACCTCACCTCACCTCAGCCCAGCCTCAGCCCAGCCTCAGCCCAGCTCAGCTTCCAAGTCGCCCAATTGGTGGTCTCTCTCCCTCTCCCTCTCAGCCTCGGCCCCAGCCTCGCCCAGGCATGCCGTTGCAGCCTCCCGACCTGGCCGAGCCCGGGCCCGGGTCTGCCCATGGGTCTGTCGACTCGCCTCATACCATCAGGCTCGGTCCAGACCTTTCCCTCGCCATACAGCACGATTCCCTCGTCGTCCACGGTACAGTCAATCCCCACAACCCGCCGCGACGCCGACACGACGCCGTGTTCCGCCGCACAGCACACAGGGCACTGACGCACACAACTCTCCCCCACAGACGCCAGGCCGCGTGCTGATAAAAAGAGCAGGACATGCGGCTTTGGCTCGTCAGGTGCGTCCCTCCCTCCCGCTCTGCGTCCCGCCGCTCGAGTGCTGTCTGACCGTCCACGCTTGCCCTGCCAGGCCCCGCACGCCCTCCTGCGCCGTCCTCAATCCCCCTCTACAACATCCTCTGGGCAGAGCTCGACAGTGCCCACGCCACCCTGACCATCGATTACGCCCGCGAGGTCTCCAATACGCTCCGCCGAGCTGCCAAGCTGTCCTTCCCTCTCAGCCCAGCCACTGCGACGGCGACGGCGACGGCGACGGCGCCGCCCGACCCGGTGGCCGAGTGGGTCCAACATCTCATGGCCCGCTCCTATGGCCCAGCCCCGCGCCGCAGACGCGCCTACGTCCTCGTCAACCCACACGCCGGCCCCGGCGGCGCAGTCAAGATATGGGAGAACCAGGTGAAGCCCATCTTCGACGCGGCGCGCATGCCCCTCACCATCCACCACACCACCTTCTCGGGCGAGGCCGTCGGCCTGGTCGAGAGCATGGACATTGACCAGTTCGACATCGTCGTGCCCTGCAGCGGCGACGGCCTCCCCCACGAGGTCTTCAACGGCTTGGGCAGGCGCCCCGACGCAAAGCGAGCCCTGCACAAGATAGCCGTCGCACACGTCCCCTGCGGCAGCGGCAATGCCCTCGCCTGCAACGTCTTCGGCACCCACAGGCCCTCCCTGGCCGCCCTGGCCATCGTCAAGGGCGTCGCCACCCCGCTCGACCTCATCAGCATCACCCAGGGCGACAGGCGCATCCTGTCCTTCCTCAGCCAGGCCCTGGGCATCATGGCCGAGGCCGACCTCGGCACCGAGCACCTGCGCTGGATGGGCGAGCACCGCTTCACCTACGGCGTCGTAATGCGGATATTGAAGAAGAAGGTCTATCCCTGTGACCTGTGGGCCAAGGTCGACATAGACCACAAGGACGGCGTCAGGGACCACTACAGGCGGGAGAGGGAGAACAGCTCAGCCGTCGAGCTCGACAGCATGGCCACGGTCTCGCCCGGCCCCAAGGCGCAAGCCGGGGCCCAGAGCTCTGTTGCGGACTCGGACTCGGCGGCCGGGAATGACGACGCCACCGGGCTGCCGCCGCTGAGGTACGGCACTATCAACGACAAACTCCCCCAGGGATGGGAGAAGGTCGGGGCGGACAAGGTGGGGAACTTCTACTGTGGGAATGTGAGTTAACAAGCTGGCCTCCGCCTTGCGCCCAATCTCTCGGCCAGGCCCAGCCCCCTCCCCCCTACCCCCTTCCCGGGATAAAAAGAAGTTTTTTTTAAAAAAAAAAAAGAAAAAAAAAAAAAGAAACAAGAACGGTTTGGCTCACACGCTCAACAGGTCGCATACATGGCTCCCGACGTCATCTTCTTCAACGCCGCCTGGCTCAACGACGGGCTAATGGATCTCGTCACCGTCGACGGTGACGTGCCCACCCCGAAAGCCCCAGGCCTCCTCTTGTCCGTCAGCAACAACTCCTTCTTTGACAATCCTCTCGTCACGTACCGCAAGGTTTCGGCTTTCCGCATCGTCCCCAAGGATCAAAAGGACGGGTTCATCAGCATAGACGGCGAGAAGGTCCCCTTCGAGCCATTCCAGGCCGAGGTACACCAGGGCCTGGGCATGGTCATCACAAAACGCGGCGTCATGGAACACGTTGGCCCGAGGAACTGGGACCAGGTTACCGCGACCCAGCGGCTGATGGCGTAGGGATAACCATCCTGAGCAGGCCGCGGTGATGCCTCTGGGATCTACGCAAGCAAGCAGCACCTGCAGGGAAATAAGAGTCCGCCCGTCCCGGGGGCTAGGTCAGATCCCCCGGAGCGGTCCCCACATGAGCCGGCCACCCACGCGGTTGCATGCCGGCAGACTAGAGAAGATGACGTGGAAGGGTTTCCACAGTAATCAGTGATACCCCGACAGTAGAGATGAGTGCAAAGGGCACGTTAGACGGGTGGATTTGGTAGATATGTAATATGAGGGAGAGCGAGCATTCTATTCCGCTGTATACGTGTAGTTTTATCAAAATTGAACACCGTCAATCCACGGCAGTAGACTTCCCAAATGCCTCAAATCACGCCAGCGCCAGCGGGGAAGCGTCGAGGAAGCGCTCGATTCGTTGATGGTGACAATCTGTTTTCAGGAAGTCTAGGTCGTGATTATGCAACCTGAGGGTGCTCTGGGTATGAACGAGCCTCAGTCCCGAGCAGGAGGGGGATGGAGGAGGTCATCACTCAACCCCTCCCTCCTCTTCCGGAACACCGCAGCGCCAGTGACCCGTGCACGTCCCCAGAGTACTGGCACCTCGGGGTCGCCCGAAGCTATCACAAGGATGAGAGGTATTGGGCAGCTGCGATGGGACTGACGGGCCTGAGCAGAGCGCATTGACAGGATCCCAACGGCCGGTGGTCAAATGGTGATCATCGGCTCAGGGTCGCGGCTGGTAAAGCCCTCGCCCACGACCAGTCGCAGGGGTTCTGTTCGCAGGTGGTGCGCCAATGTCGTGCTCAATCCAAGCCGCCCCACTCATCATCGTCGTCGCCATCACCACCATGACCATCATCACTACCGCCATTGCCCCCGCCCGACTCATCGTGGTCGCCCCGCTGCCGGTTTCGTGGCAGGCGCTCATCAAGTAACGACTCCTTGGAGCGCTTTCGCACGGCCGGGCTGAGTGTTGCAGAGTGTAGAGTCTCGACAAGGTCGCCGAGGCGGTGCAGGACCTCTCCCCCCGAAAGCGCCTCATGCTCTCCCTTGTCTTTTCTGCTTCGGCCGCCCCTCGCCTCAGGTCCGTGACTCTCCTCTAGCATGCGTGCCTTTTCCGCCTCATCAACCCAGATGTCCAATACATGCAGCTTCATCCCAACAGGGACGATCTTGGGCATCAGGGCGTCGTCCTCCTCTTCGTGCCTGCTCTCCTCGTCGGGCCGGAAGGGCCAATCAGCCAACAGTTCCAACATTTGCTCCACTCTCTTGTCGTCGAACCAAGCGCTCGAGTGTGCGATTTGCCCGTCTGCTGCCCTTTTCCTCGGACGCGCCGTCTTCCTGGCTGGCTCTCGAAGCTGCATCCAGACCAGGCTACTGGCCAATGTCCTCCTCACCAGAAGCAGGAACTTCTCCATGCGCAAGACGTCGATGCCGGTGGTCCACTCGCGTGCCATGGTGGCCCAGAAGCCCCTCAGCCAGGGGATGACGGCGGGCTCGGGCAGCACCCAGACGAGGTCGGCGAGGTCTTGACAAAGAGCCTGTTGCGGGAGGGGCCGGTCGCACATCCATAGTGCGTAGAAGAGGCCTTTCCAAAGCTTGAGAATGTCGAGGGTCGAGAGGCAGGAGGAGATGTGCTTTGCGGACAGGAATGTGCGTAGAGACTCGAGGGCGGCGGTGCGGGTCTTGCGATCTGTCGGCGGTGCGGGTCAGCGCGAGAGAGGGAAACGGGATGGCGAGGCCGGGCCCAGGACGATACTCACCGCTTGATGCCAGGTTCTTGATGAACGGCATGGGCTTTTCCTGTGAAGCCATGGTGATCTGGACAGCAGGTAGAATCGATCAGTTGGGTTGTTGGCAGTACTGATGTGATTACGGCGGGCAGCGGGCAGCAGTCGGCAGTCAGTAGTCAGTAGTCAGTGATAATAAAAACGGCAGAAAAAAGTTTTGGCGGTGAGACTTGACAAGCACCATGTTAGCCTGGTCCCACATGCAATTTTGTGACGGCACTGCGGGCAGGTTGAGTGACTGCAGGTGGGCTACAGCGCACAGACCACCTACAGCCCCAAGGTCCTCTGCTCTTAAGGCCTGACTGCAATCGGATGCATCCTTCCCTCCTGCTCTTTTTTCTTAGCAAGACAAGGTCTTGTTCATAATTCTACAATAATAATTCTACAATAATGAGCCTTCAGAGCATCGCCTCGTTTATGTTCCTCTTTTAACACCTTTTCTCAGCTGCAGACCTGTGGTCTAACATAAATAAACTTATATCTCACTAACACATTTTATATAAAATATATATATTATTAAAATAATAAATAAGCTTTTAAAAATATTTAATATAATATTTAAAAGTATAATAAAAAAAGTTTTAAATAAATTAAATAAATTAAATAAATTAAATAAATTAAATAAATTAAATAAATTAAATAAATTAAATAAATTAAATAAATAAATTAATTTTAAATTTATATATATTATATTTATTAATTAAAAAAGCTATTTATATTTTATTATTTATTTATTTATTTAATATTATTAAATTAAGTTTTATAATAATTATAATTAATATTTATTTAATAAACTTAATAAATAAATTTATATTTAAAAAATATTTAAAATAATAATATCTTAAATAATATATAATAATATTTATTTAAAAGCTTTATAAATATTTAAAGTAAATATTTGAATTAATTATTTAAAAGCTATTTATAAGTAATATTATTTATTAATAATAAATATATTTTATATAATTTATTTTTTTAATTTAAATAATTTAAAAATAAATATTTAAATTTTTATATTAGCTTATTTAGTTTCATTTTAATTTAAATATATTATTATTTTTTATAAATTAGTAAATTATATAATTTAATATAAATTTTATTATAATTTAATTATATAATAACTAGCTTATTTATTTTTTAAATTATAATTTTATTTAAAAAAAAATTTTAAAAGTTTAATTTAATTATTTATTTATTTTCTATTTATTTTTATATATATTTATTTTTATTATACTATTTTATATATTATTTTTTTTTAAAAAAAATTATTTATTTACTTTAATTATTATATTTAAAATTAAAAAACTTTATTTTAAAAACTTTATATAATATAAAGCTTTTATTATTTTATTTTAAATAATTTAATTTATTATTTTTAAAATATAAAAAAAGTTTATTTAATAAATAAAATATAATTTAAGCTTATAAATTTATTTATTTATTTTATTATAATTTATTTTTTATTTTTAATTAAATTTTTTAAAATTATATTTTATAAATTATAATTAATTAATATTATTTTATTTTTAAATTTTTATTTTATTATTTTTATAATATTAAATTAAATAGTTTTTTTTATTAAAATAAAATTTAAAAATAATTAAATTTTATATTAATAATTTTATTTTATAAAATACTTTTTTAAAATTATATTAAATAAATAAATAAAAATTATTTATAATAATAGTTTATATTAATTTATTATTATAAAAAAAATTAAAACTTTTATATTTTATTATTTAAAAGTATTACAATTAGCTTTAATTTAATTTATATTATAATTTTTATATATTTATATTTTTTATTATTTATTATATAAAAAAACTTTTTTAAAGTTTTTTTTAAGTATTTAAAGCTTATTTAATAGTAACTTTTATTATTCTTTATTATTTAATTTTTAACTAAAATATTTTTAATTTTATTAATAGCTTTTTTAATAAGTTTTTATATTACTTTTAATATAATTATTATTATAATTAAGTATTTTATTTATATATTTTTAATATTAATTAGTAATATTAAATTTATATAGTATTTTTAATATTAATTTTTAAAGTTTAAATTAAATATAAATTAAAAAGTTTTATTATAATATTAAAATAATATGTTTTTTAATATATTTTTTTATAATATTTAAAAGTATAACTCTTTTTTTTTTATAAAATCAAATATTTTTATTATTGTATATTATTTTTTAAACAATCCTTTTAATTTTATTAATATAATATATTTTATATTAATTAAATATATAAAAGGCTTTTAAAATAGTTTTATAATAAAAGTGCTAATTATATATTTTTAAGTTATTTATTATAAAGTAAAAAAATAATAGCTTAAATAGTTTATTATAACCTGCTGCTATTAGTATACTATTATTCTACTTTAAATAACACTTATTTTAAGTATTATTAAAGGTGCTTTATTCATATACTTATAAGAGTTTTAGTTTTATAAATTTAAAAGTATTATAGTATTAATTCTAGTGAATATTATTATAAGCTTTTATTTTATTATAATAAGTATTTTTAGTTTTTTAAATAACTTTTAAAGTTTTTTTTTTATTAAATAAATATATTTTATATCAGTTATTAAAGTATTTTATTTAGCTTTTTTTATATAGTTTTTAAATGCTTATTATTATTTAGCAGAGTTAGCTTATTATATTTATAATACTAGTTTTTAATCTTTTTTCTTTTTTTTTACTATTATAAATAAGTAATATATTATTAAAATATAAATATTATATTTAAAAAGTAATTAAAAATTTAATATAATTTATATAATATATAATTACTTTCCTTTTTTAATATTAATTATTATAAAAAATACTTTTAAATATAAGCTAGTTATTTAAATGCTTATAAAATAATAGTAATTTTTATTATTTAAACTTTTAATATATAAGCTATATTATAAAAAGCTTACTATAAGATTTTATTTTTAAAATAAATATATAAAAAGTATTATTTAAAAATATTACTATTTAATATTAAATATTTATAAAAATATATTAATTAATTTTAAGTTTTTCTTTAATTTACTTTTTTTATTTTAAATTTTATTAATATTTATAATAAAATTTTAGTACTATAAATATTTTAAAGTAAAATTATACTTTTTTTAAAAAAATAAATATATAGTTAAAAATAAAAGTAAATTTTCTTTTAGCTAATAGCTATATATTTAATATAAATACTTTAGTACTAGTAATAAAAAATATATATTTTTAGTAAATTATTAATAATAATAAGGCTTATTTTAAAATTATTATAATATTAAGTTTAATAGTAATATATTTTTTATTAGCTTTTTTAAAAAATACTTATAAAAATATTTAAATAATATAATAACTTTTAAATATATAATATTTAATATAACTTTTATTATTTTTTAAAGTTAGTTTATAATATTACTAAAAAGTAAGTTAATAATATTAAAAAAGGTTTATTTACTTATTTAATATTATTAATAAATATAAATAACTTTTTATATATTTTTTAGCTATTATTTTATAAATTAAGTATTATAAATATAATTATAGCTAATTTACTTAATAAAGTATTTAAACTAGCTTTTAATATAGCTTTTATTTATATAATAAGCTATTATATATTTAATATTTTAGTTTTTATTAAAGCTATTTTAGCTATTTTTATAATTAATTATTATAATTTAAAAAAAGAAAGTTTATAATAAAAAGGTTTTTTTTATAATATAAAAATTAATATAATATAAATATTATTAAATATATTTAAAATTTTAAAAAAATATTAAGCTTATAAATTAAAAAACTAACTTTATATTTAATTTATTTAAATTTATAATATTATTATAAATATTTATATATAAATAAAAATATATTTTATTATTTTTTTTAAATTTAATAATATAATAATATTAATTAATTAATTTAGTATTTTATTAAAAATAATTATATAAAAAGTATATTTTTAAAAAAAAATAAGTTATTTATTATTAATAATTATTTAAAAAATTTAAAAATTTTAAATTTAAATAATATTTTATATAATAAATATTAAATTAATATTAAATAACTTTTATTTAAATTTAAATATAAAATTAAAATAATATTTATTTAAATAAGCTAATAATTTATAAAAAATAAATAATAAATATAAAAAATTTTAAGTTTAAGCTTATATATAAATTTATTTAAAAGTTTAATATAAATTAAATTTTATAATTATAAATATTATATTTTAAAATAAATAATATTTTTTTAATAAATTTATTAATAATTATTTAAAATATTTTAAATAATATTTTTTAAAAATATAAAGTTATTAAATATTAATAATATTATTAATATAATAAAAAAATTTATAATTTATAATAAATAAAAGCTTTTTATAAAAAATATATTAATATTTTTATTATAAATTTATTAAAATTATTTTATAATAAATTAATATTTAAAATTTTAATAATAACTATTTTAAAATTAATTGTTTATTTATTTAAATATTATAAAAACTTTATTTAAAATAGTTTTTTAAAATTATATTTAATTTTTTTATTTTTAATATTATAAAATTAATTTAATATATTAAAAATAAAATTAAATTAGCTTAAAAAATAATATATATTTAAATTATATTAAAATATATATATAAAAGTATTAATTAAATAAAAGTTTACTTTATTTATAAAAAAAATATTAAATAATATTTAATTAAATATACCTTTTATAATAAAATAGTTTATTAAAATAATAATTTTTATTTAAATAAATTATAATATTACTTTTAAATATTTTATTATTTATATTAAATATATTATTTTTAATTTTAAAAGTTTATAATATATTTTTATATTTAAAAATATATAGTTAAAATAAAATATTATTAAAAATATATTTATTATAATAATATTTATATTAAATTTTTACTTTTTAAAACTATTAATATATAAAAATAATACTTTTTTAAAATTTTAATATAAAAAGAATTTATTATTATTTATAATATTTTAAAAAGCTATAAAATTAACTTTTTTAATTTATAT